TCTAAATTAAAGCCTAAGGGACTAAGATTAAAGAGCTGCTTTATAAGTAAATAATTCGACGAGAAATTCGACGGATTATATAGCTTTATAAGCTCGTCCTAAGCAGCTTTAGCATTTATTAAATGCTTAATTTATATTAAAGGGCTATCTTCGACTTAAAGAAAAATCTAGGATAAAGCTTCTATAGTCTTTATATAATTTTCTTACTCTAAGGTAGCGATAAGTTTTCCTTAGTAAGGATAGCTCTTATCCTCGTAGTCTAAAGAGTATAATTTAAATTTCCTTAAGTCTAGAGAATTTATATTCTTTCTATCTACCTATTTTATATAAATTCGGTATTATTTCGTTCGTAGGATCGAGAAGTCTAGGCGGGAGTTTAAGAGCATAGGAAGGTAGAAAAAGTCGTTAGGGGGATTTTCGAAAGGAATTTTAATCGGGTATTTCGATAAGGAATTTTAAAGGTATAAGTAGTTGATTTCCTAGCTTAAAAGGAGCAAGCCGGGCTTATAACCTCTAAAGGTATATAAGTAAAAGCGGAATTTTAGGAAATTAAGGAATTACGTAAGACTACGTAATAGAGGGGGAGAAGGAGTATAAGGTAGGATTTTCAACGGAATTTATTAGTAGTGTATTAGTATATAGAAGAGGTGTTAAAGTTAATTCTCCTCTATCTATCTACTAGCGGATATGCTGTCTTATATAGATAATTATAGCTAAACGGAAGAACCTTTCGGGACTAGATTTAGGCTGCCGTATAGCCCTAAGACTAGGGAATTCCGTGATATCTCGAGTAAATCTAGAAGTATCTTAGTTCTACTAATATTCATGTTTAGAGGAGGTTAGTCGTGCCGGTATTCTTAAGAGGTCTTAGCTAGTATTCTAAGCTAGCTCTATTCCTTCGATTCCTAATTATACGATAACCGGCAACCCGTTTAATGCATAATAACATATAAAATAACGAGCGATTCTTACTCTATAGGATAAGATTTTATCTATAATTAATATACTACGTATTAGCTTATATAATCGGGAGAGTATATTATAGCTACTTTATTTATAGTAGGAACACTATTCCTTATACTAAGTATTTAATATATTCTTTTCTTATCTTAAAGTATATAAGGATATTATTAAAGTAGACTATATAGATTATATTTATAAGCCCCTTAAGCGCTTAATAGATATAGCTTTAAAATATAGCTAGTATATTAATAAGTTTTAAGGGTATTACTAGGTATTTAAAATATCTATAATATATTTAGAAAGCGGTCTTTTATTTATCTCCTTTTTAAATTTAAATATATTAATATATATTCTATATATTAATCTTAGAAAAATACTTAGCTCCTTAATAGTAGTTAATAGTCTTTAAAATAAAGGGTAAAAGGTACTAATTCTTTTATATAACCTAATTAAGTCCTTAGTAGTCTATATATAGCTATAAAGTACTATCCTTTTTAAAATAAAAAGGATAAGCGCCTTAGCTAGGCTCTTTAACTCTTAGATTATTTTCCTTTTTATCGCGTTTTAAATCTAGTCGCGTAATACTTAGAGTTCCTTTTATAATAAAGGGTAAATCGGTCTATAAAAGGGTTCTATATTAAAGATTAAATTAATTAAGTAATCCGTTCCCTTTTTAGCTAGTAATAAGTTAGATTTATTAGCTAAGAAAGTATCTTTAAACTAGTAGAAAGTTAATAGGATTTCGGCTTATTCTTCTTATAAAATCCCTTTATCCTTATCTTTATTTAATAGTAGGATTAGCTTAAGATTAAGCGCTATTATATATACCCTTACCTTATTCTTATATTCTTAAAGGAATTTATAAGGATTTTATAGGGTTTCGCTACTTAGTTAATACTTAAACTACTACTATCGTTTCTATAAGATAATATAGATATATTTATCTTTTAAGGTAGTAACTAATAAAAAGATTAATACTTAATCGTTTAGCGTTAACTTATTAATATTAATATAAAAATAAGTAATTATCTTTTTAATACCTTTTATATTTATTATTTAAAGTAATACTAACTATACTTTATACTCCTTTACCTTATTATTATTAAGCCTTAATAACTTAAGGTATAATAGCGCTACTTATAGTAATCCTTATTATTAGGTAAAGTATATATCTATAAGGTTAATAGTATTATAAGTATCTAAGTATATAGAGACTTTAATAGGGTTTCGCTTTAATATTATTATAAGAGTTTTAAGTAACTATCCTATAAGTATTAAGTTTACTAAAGGAAAGGTATTTACTTTAATATCTTACCTTTTCCTTATTTTATAGTATTAAATTTAAGAGTCTTTACTAGGGTTTCTACCTTTAAAGAATTAATATATTTTATAGATAAGTATCCTAGCTTATTATATTAAAAATATATAATTCCTAATTAAATAAAAGATCTTCTTTCTTAATAATATCCCTTAGTTTAGCCCTTAGTAAGTATATTACTAGCTTATTAGTTATTAGTTAAATTAGTAGTATTTCCTTAATAATTTAGCTTAGCTTATCGGCCTTTTTAATTCCTTCTTTTATATATACTACCTTAAGGTATAATACTACTTTTATTCTTAGTTCCTTTAAGGGTAAAAGTAGTATTAATATATCGCCTTTTATTAATAGTTATATTTTAATATTATTAAGCGACTTATATAAGCTCTTCTTATTAATAGGTATAAATAAGTATTAAATAAAGGTTAATTTAGTTTTAAAGTTATAGCTCTAGCTTAGCGAAAAATATAAGAGTATATACCTTTTTTAATAAGTATTTAAAATACCTTTCTAAGGAGTTAAAGTATAAGCTAAACTCTAAAAAAGACTAGCTTTCTCGTTAGTAAGCCTCCTTTAATTATATCGCTAATAGTATCTCTTTATTTATAGTATCCTTAATTAAAATAAGTATTTATTTCTTAAAGTATACTTAATTTATATTATATTTAGTTTAATTAATCGGTATTTATTCTTTAAAGTATTAGCGCTATCTCGCTTTATAGTCGCTATATATATAATCTACTATATAAAGGATCTTTATTTTATTATAATAAAAGTATTTAAGCGCTACCTTAAAGGTATCCTTTAGATTATAAGTTTAGTTTAAACGTTTTTATATATTAGTAGGTTAAGATAATTAAGCGATATTTTTAATCTTAACTTTACTACCGCGATTACCGTCCGATTTAAGGGAGTAGGACTATCGATACTTTCTTAAATAGATAGCGATAGTACTAGCGCGTTTAGTAATTTCCTCCTTTAATTATATAACGCGGTCTTATAAGTATTTTATCTCCTCTAGCTCTTTAATACGCGCTTATAAAGCTATAAGCTTTTCTTAGCGAGTTAGTAGTCTTACGCCTATAAGTAGCGATATCTTTAATATAGCTAGAATATTATCTATAATAGGGGTTTATTCTAAGGATATATCTTCTAGTTCTTTATCTCTTAAGTAGATACCTAATATACGTAATAAAAAGGCCTTAACTAGTTAATTACTATATCGCGCTATATAAGCGTTATATAGTCTTCTTTAAGTAACTATCTTTATTAAGTAACTAAAAAAAGAAGCTTTAGAAATTATAAAGGAATATATATTATAGTACGATTAGTTAGGTAGTAGAGATAGCTAAAGGTACTATGCTATATATATTATATTCTCCTTATCGTAAGACTAAAGCTTACTAAAAGAGGGATTTCTCCTCTTTAGTTAGAGTAGCGAGAGGTCTATAATATACGAGCGGGGTAGGCACGATTCCCTACCGATACCCTACTAATATATTAGTACTATATACCCGAGTACTTTATTAGCCTATACCTCCTAGTAGCGCTCTTATAGAGTAGAGGAGACGGTACTACTCGGCAAAGGAATAGGGATCTAGGGCAATAAAGAGCTCGCTATTAGGGATGCTAGGTGTTAGTTAGACCTACCGTGACTAGCGATAAATACGAAGTAATACTCGCTATATCTAGCGATAGTCCTCCCGTAACTCTAGATAGTCCTAAGATATGCTGTCTAAGTAGTAGGAGTAAAAGGCTTATCTTTTCTAACTATCTAGTCGTTAGGTCCGTCTTATATACGGACGGGTCTAACGTTACTATCTAGTATAAGAGTGGCTCTGCCTGTCTCTACCTCGTACCTAGTAGATCTAGCCTTTATCCTATAACACCCGCGACCACCTTATTCCTTATTAAATAATATTATGCGTGATTGCTAGTAAGCAATTATAGGATTCTACTTTTGCCGCTTTGCTAAGGTTTTAAATTTCGTGAGTGAATACGGTAATCACCTTATACTAGATATAAAGAATAACCCTCCTCGAGATATTCTTTGCTATCCTGCTTATACAACCAGGGGGGCTTGAAAAGTATAATAAGGTATAAGCAATAGGCGCTGACGTAGCCACCAAACTTGGCAGAGACATGTTGCCTAATAATGTATCCTACATCGTCCATTACTTCCAAGGGCATGTAATCATCGCGACTCGTGTCCCCATAAATGCAATGACGGGTACATTCGCCGCTCTACCATCGCTTGTACTGCGCAGCGTGTTGGGCAAATGCAGCCGCTGAGGGAAGCCTCGAGAATGCGGTCGGAATTACTATATTCCGGTTGTGCTCCCCGCTCTGTGTCGCCCCAGCAACCATGACAGCCGCCCATATCGCTGGAGGTGTCACAATCACAAACATCAACTCCCGACAAGGAAAACTGCACGGATGAATCGTCGACACAATGCACACCCACGTTGTTCAGGCCTGGGCCCGAGAAATTTCATCATCACCGCCGTCGTCAAACGAGGCCCCTAATCGGTGGCTTCTACCGCCCTCGACCTCGCGCCGTAGGCGGCTGGATCACTCGCCACTGCCGTTACGGAAGCGTCGGCGCTGCCCCTTAAACCCCATCAGTCCGAATCGAGTCAGTATGCCCAGAACTCGCAGTCAGTCTCCGTCCAAGACGGATCCATTCATTTCTCAAACCCCGTCTCCGACAAAACTCGACATGAACCGAACCCCGCGACCCTTGAGATCCGCCAATCGCCATGGTATCTCGTATGTCGACGCACTCGCCCACACAGACAACGAAAATACACCTCCTGTATTCGACGCGGAAGCCATTTCCTCCTCGTCAGCAACCTCGAGACGCTCGACGAGCCCTATCAAGCGCGTAGCAGCATTACACGAGATTGGCGGTGGCATTTTTTTCCGCAACTTGTCAGACAATGCAGAGGAGCTCGAAAACGAGGGTCGACAACTGTCGTGGGATCTAGATGACTCGGCATCCGGCCTCAAGACGATCCCAAGGTCCCTGTGGGATGGTGACGGGAGCTGTCGAGAGGCTCTCGGAGGGCGTTGGCCACATCCATCACACTTCGACGACACTGATAATCGGAACCTCACTGATCTACACAGTGAGTTTTCTTGCATCAAGGCGGTTGTTCGGGAGTCGAGAAGGTGCGATGAGGAGTGTGAACCCGAGGCGGAGTGGAATGGCGCAGTACATGGTTTGATCCTGCGAATTGTCTTCGGTGGCAACGACAGCTCTGTAGGATACCGCTGCATGTAAGCAAAACCCATAAAAAATCAACTTCCCCTCTAAAGCTAATCCGGATTTTGAATAGGACGTCCGATAAGATCGACTCTCGATGGCTTCCGAGACACTCAGCTGGCTTCTTCAGCTCCCGCATGATCGACTATGGCATCTACCTAGAAGACGGTGAACAGAGCCAGAAACCCTCAGGGACCCTTCAGGAGAGACTGAACAGGCACGCCATCGCGCCGTCCGTCAACCACATCAACAGGCTTGGCCTGCGCAGCAAACCAATTGCGGTGAGCATAGAGACGAAGACAATTAGTCGCCCGGAGGAAGAAGCTCGAGTCCAGCTGGGCATATGGATAGCTGCGCAGATTGAACGCCTGAAGGCTATTGTGCATGGATCATCATCAGCACAGAGCGTCCTTACCCGCATGATATTTCCTCTTCTCTTTGTACAGTCGGCCCGATGGACTGTCATGTTCGCGCGCATAGACCCCTCGAATTACGATCGTTTGGTTAGTCCAAAGAAAGTCGTTTTACAACCCTGAAACACAACACGCTAACGCCGAAGCCAGATTATCTACATCGGCCCGCGACTTGGAGAAACATCGACTCTGAAGGGAACCTATTGTCTATTGAGTGGGTTAAAAAGGTTGAAAGCTTTCGTTGCAGGAGAATTTTGCGGTTGGTGGCAAGAGCTACTCGACCAAGTAGTACTGGGCCACTGATGCCAGTACTGGGGGTAAACAGAGAACGTCGTTTGATGAACGCAAAGGCATAACCCTAACCCTCACGTCGCCAAATGGGAGTAGCATGCGAACTTCCAGCGCATTACGCTCCATACCATCGGCAGCGGCCCCGCACCGCGTTGTTGCTCTGCGGTTACTGCTTGTAATGTCCGATCCTCTTTCTCAGAACGAGTGCCTCCTGGTCGCCAACCGCCTTTTCATTCGTCGGCAAGTCATCCCGGCTCGCGGCGCCCCCACATTGTCCTTTGTCTCTGAAGGAGGATGGTCAATCTCGAATTTTGCGGCCCCGTGGTGAGGATCGGTTGGGCAGAACGGAAGTGATGCATTTCTCTCGAACCAGCCCCAGAACGTCGCCGCCGGTGCTCCACGGCGATGTAGAGAAACGCCCGGACCGAGCGAAACGGTGGCTCGGCATCTGGCTTGACAGTTCCTCTAGGTATGTCTGCCCGCTGCAAAGCGACTAGACAATGTCATGTGGCTCTCTTCATCTAAGCATCAGAATACAGCTCGAGGATATAACGACACTGACGACCCCCCTAACGTGTGGGCCGCCGAAGGACTCCCCGGCCTCCCCGATTCTCTTCCTCTATAACCGCCCCTATCTACTCCATAGGGGAACCGAACTCGTGCTTCGGCTACGCAGATGACATAGCTACCCTGATCTGGGGCCGATCTCTGCAGGGGAATAAAGCAACTTCTTTCCCTCTTAATTAAAGAATCACGTAAGAGGAGCTCGCCGTTTACATATCCTATACAAGCCTCTCGTTGAGTTTCTCGGCCAACATGCGAAGCGAGGCACTCTGGGTGATGTCGAAAACGCTGACTTTGGAGGCCACGTTGAGCCCCAGCCAGGACCGCAACTCGACCGCCACCAGGGAGTCCACCCCGTAGGCCGACGGCGGCTTCTCCTGGTCGATTTGCGTGGCAGAAACACCGAGCATCTGGCTGATTCGACCTTTTAGGACCTTGATCAGCATCTCGACTCTCGCCTTTGCAGGGCAGTCCTTAAGGCTCGTCCTCAGCAAGTCCCCGTCTGCCTTGCCATGGCTTTGCTCCCCAGCAGCTTCGCCACCATGCCGCCACTGGCACGCGAACCGAGGCTCCAGGCGCCAGTTCAAGTCCCCAAAGCTCGTCCAGGGGCGGATGCCAGTCACCATCTGCCCGTGGTATGGGTGGAGGATGGCCAGCTCGACGGTGCGCAGCAGCTCCGACTCGCTCAAGGAGCGGTAGCCGGCCTTTTCGAGCCGCTTGCCTATCCCGGATCGTGCCGCAAGGCCCAGCGTCGGAACGGCTCCCAGGTCAATCGACACGGCGGGCTGGCCCCTGGCCACGCGGTTGAGCGCAAGGGCATCCTGGAAAGTCCCCGCCGCCGTGTAGTTGGCCTGGCCAAAGTTGCCTATAATGCCCGTGACGGAGGAGAGGAGGATGAAGAAGTCCAGCTTGATATCTCGTACCGCCTCGTCTAGATTCTTTGAGCCCTCGCATTTCGGACGGACCACGGCATGCCACTGTTCGCTCGTCATCTGGGAGAAGCTTGCGTTGTCTAACACTGCGGCGGCTTGTATGATGCCACGAATGGGTACCTGGCTGTGGCACTCGCGCACGACGTCCTCCAGACACGCTTTGTTGACGACATCGCAGCTCCGGATCAGGACTCGGACGCCGGCATCATGGAACTCTTGCAGGATGTCGTGAACTGGGTACCTTTGGGGGCTCCGAGACATGAGAATCATGTTCTTGGCCCCCTGGCGCGCCATCCAGCGAGCAATTTCCAAGCCAATGCCGTTTAAGCCTCCCACAATGAGATAGGAAGCCTCCGGCAGGAACCGCACCATCGAGTGAGCTGCGAGCACCTGTTTTTCACCGAGTTGATATACCGTATTAGCTTGACTGATGAAGCGCGAAAAGACGGGTCTTACTGGATGAAAAGTCCTTTGACGCACCGTAATGTCATCTCCCTCTCGGGCTTGAATGACAATCTTGCCAATGTGTTCGCCAGTCTGCAGACGACGAAACGCCTTTTGGCACTCCCCAATCCCATAAGTTGCGACAGGGATTTTATGCTCTATTCTCTTCTCCTCAAACATGTCCATCACTTTCCGGAGAATGCTCGAAAACGTCTTGCCGTCATGCAGGGCCAGCTGCACGAGATCCATGGCGACAAACGACGCGCACTCGTCAAACCGGCTCATGGCTAGGCAGCTGTTGTGCTGTGCGTCTTCCTTGCCGAGCTCAATGAACCGCCCAAAGGGCGACAAGCAGCTCCAACCGGCGTGCAGCAAGGGCCCCGTCAATGAGTTCAAGACGACGTTGACGCCTTTGCCTCGAGTTTGTCGCATGATCTCCTCCGCGAACGACGGATCTCGGCTGGAAAATATGTCCTCCGCAGGTATGGAAAAGGTCTCGATGAGGAACTTGCGTTTCTTCTCGGACCCGACCGTTGCGTAGACTTGAGCGCCCAGGTGTCGACTGATTGTAACAGCGGCTTGGCCTACTCCTCCCGCAGCCGAGTGGATCAAGACCGTCTCGTTTGGTTGAAGGCGGGCGAGATTGACCAGGGCGTGAAAGGCAGTGGCGAAAATCATGGGGATGGAGGCCGCCTTCTCCAACGACATGTCCTTGGGGACGGCGGCCACCGTCGTACACGGAACTCGTACTCTGTTTGCCCAGTGTCCGGCGGGCATCAGGGCACAAACTCGTTGACCGACGTGAAACTCGCTCTGGGCCGCAGTCCCGACCCTGCAGACGTATCCCGCGCACTCAAAGCCCATCCACCTCTGCTTCAGCTGGCCGACGGCGGCCAAGACGTCACGGAAGTTGAGCCCAAAGGTGTGTGGCACAATCTCAACCGAGTCGTCCGTCCAGGGATTCGAATCCAGCAAGGCGTTGTCTTGCTTGAACACGAGGCTGTCGAGCAGCCCGTGCGACTGCTGCTCCATTCGCAGATACGGCCCTTGCAGGGAAAACGGGCTTTGACGGGGGACGCTCTGCCCGCCCATGCGCGCAAACTTTTCGTTCAAGTCTTCGTCTCCTGACATCCTTGGGACCAGTATTCTCCCCTCGCGCTGCGCAAACTCAAAGTCGTTGGGCCCCGAGGAAGTCCATCTCCTGGACAGGCGGAAAACGTCGCAAATGGCCTTGATAGTCGAGCCATCCCATGACGCCACGTCGGGATCCAAATCCAAAGACACAAATCGCTTTGCCCCTTCCTCTACCCTGAGGGTTCGAAGCAGGCCAATGTGGAGAGCAGCGTCCGGCAGGCGACTATCACAGGTGGCCCCTCTCGATACCCATAAAAGGCTCTCGGCGTGTTGAGCTGTTCTCTGAAGCAGGCTCCAGGTTTTCGAGTTGACGCGAGCCAGGAAGTCCGGGTTGGTGTCGGCAAGTATGATACACGGCCTTCCAGCCAGCCACGCATCTCCAAGAGACTCTTCGACAACTTCGGTTCCAGTAAGCTCGTGCAGGCCGCTACAGAGGTCTGCCGTCCATCCATGAGGCCTGTCCGGGGATTCTGGAAGTCGAATCACTGCCACACTTCTGCAAGGTTGTGCTAACGTGTCAAGCGGCTGATGCACCGCGGAGGCTACAATGACTGAACTTATCGGATCATCGGTGGAATGACCAGAAACCCGAATCTCTGGAGGACTAAAACCGCAGTCAGATAAAACAGCATCCCATGATACATGGCACGATGGCGGACTCGGCCCTTGCTTGAGTATGTTCCTGATGCGCCGGTGAAGGGGTTTAGCAAGCTGTTCCAGAATAAACACCTTTCCGCCGGGCACCAGTATCTTTCGGATACTTCTCAGAGCTCTTGTAATGTCCTTGACCTCACTCAGCACATTACAAGCAATGACCAAGTCGTAGCCGGCAACTAGAATGCCCTGTTCGGCTGGGTCGCGCTCGACATCAAACGTCTTGTACTGCACTTGATCCGCGAACCGCCCGAGTCTCTGTTTTGCGCCATCAAAAAAGCTGGTGCTGATATCGGTGAATTCGTAGCTCAGCTGTATCCTGCACGAGGTGAGCCCCTCAAGCGCCGACACAGTTGCGTTGCCAGCACCAGCGCCGACCTCGAGTACACGAACTCGCGGGTGCTTATGGGCAAAAAGACCCGTGTAGTCCTTCAACTTGCCGAGGCCACTTGACCAGCTTTCCAGAAAAGCATGAACCTGTTCCAGAAGCCCGCTTTGAGATATGATCTCATGCGCATGTCCCTCGCTGCCGATGAACTCGATCAGGTGCTCTGGCAGGATCTGAACGAGTTGGCCCTTTACATGACTCGAGGCTGAGTCTTCGGCAGGCTTGGACTCTTGCTTTTCCTCACACGTGGCCACGCCTGCGTATTGAGCTTGGTCCACGTCGCGCATCCACGCCACTATCAGCCGGGTCTGCAGATCGAGGCCTTGCTCTTCGTCTGGGGTCAAGTGCGCCAAAGCGTCGTGAATAACCTTGAGGATGGCCTGTTTCGAACTCGTGATGCCAAGCTTCCCTTGTGAATATGAGGAGCCCTTAGAAATCATGTTCTTCAAATCAGATGCGTTGAGAAGGGTCACATCCGGCCTCCAGGTAGTTGCCAAGAACATGGAGTCATCGGCAATCTGTGCTATTCTCCGCCTTCGCGAGAGCGACTGAATCTTGAAACCTTGAATCTCGACAATTGGAGTCCCTGTTTGTTCCTCGTTCTCGAACAGTACCAAGGACACTTCAAATCCTTGGTCATCAATGTTGTCGAGGGTCGCGGTCACCCGAAGCTGCATGCCCGCGCTCAGTTGGCGCTTGGCATCGCGGATGATGATTCTTCCTGCCGTCTTAGGGATGGAGAGGCCGAGCTCCATCATGATGGGTTTGGGCATACTGCCCCAGGAGACCTGGAAGCAAGAGTCAATTATCCCAAGGTAGAAGAGATAGTCACATCGATACGGGGTTGGCATCATAGCGGCGATGTCGGGCACGGCTAGAATCGCAACCGCCACCTTTTCGCCAACGGCCATGGAGGTGATGTTTCGAAACGTTCTGCCCAGGGTCGGGCCCACGGTTTGAAAGTACTCGTAAAAGTCTGCAACGTCGACCGAGGTGAGTTCTTGGCTTCTCCCTGAGCCGAGGCAAAGTGCTTCAGCGCGTGCTAGCTGAGAGTGGGGAGAAACGAGGGAGACTCTCCCTATACAACATTCAAGCCAGCCTCTGTCCTTGGTTCTTGAAAAGATCGAAAAGTCTTTATTGCCCGTGCAATCGAGTAGTCGCGGGTTGGCATCTCGGAGCACCAGTTGCACCTCGACCCCGTCGTCGTCCTTTGGGACAACCACGCCATTGAATAGATTGATGTCTCGAATGATCAAGTCCCCACCCGTTTCTGGATACGCCAACTGATGCATGGCTTCGGTCAACATGACTGTCAGGCCAGATATCGGAAACAAGATGGATGACTGGAGGGCATGATGCTGCAGCCAGGGGAGATCTGCTACCCGGAGGATATTGCGCCAAACACAGGTCTCCGGGTTCAGACCTTCGACCCGCAGCCCCAACAAGTCGTGGCGGGGAAAGCGTCGTTGAAAGTCTTCCTTGGAGCTGAGCGGCTGCGCCCAGTAGCCGACGGAATGGTCCCATTGGTATCGCGGCAAGTCATGAACAACCCGTACGTCTGACGTGCCACGAGGGAAGTTGACCTGGGCGAGATCGACGGGATAGCCGTGGCAGAATAACTTGCCGGCTAGTTGTTGCATAGTGAGGACGGCATCTTTCCCACGTTGTAAGCATGAAGACATGGCCATGCCGTCTCTGTCTAGGCCATGGTGCTCAAGCACCTGCCGCATCGGTCCTTGCAGGGTACCGTGAGGCCCGATCTCAATGAGCATGTCAACAGCGAGGGGGGGTTTGGGCCTGTGACGTCTCTCCTCCAGTCATCAATTTTCCAAGCGCATCTGCAAACAAGACGCACTGGGTCATGTTCTGGACCCAATGGTTTGGCGAACGCAACCTTTGCATCTCATGAACGATATCTCCAGTGACGGGAGAAGCATAAACGATGCCCCGTTCACCGTTGGCCGACTCCTCGCTTCCCAGGCTTGAATCTAGCTTTTCCTGGTAGTCTCTCGCCAGGGCCTGCATCTGAGGGGAATGATAGGCAGCCGGAATCTTTAAGCGGCGAGCAAACACCTGATCAGAGGCCGCCAGAGCCTCGATTTCACCCAAGGACACCAAGTCTCCGGAAATAGTGACGTTTGACGGGCTATTTTGGCACGCAACCACGGCATCGCCCAGCGGTATCTTGCGAATATACTCGAGTGCTTCCGCTTCGCCTACGGCGATTGATGTCATGCCACCGGTAATCGTGCCGCAGTCCACAGCCTCGGACGTAAGCTGGCCGCGGAAGTATGCCACGGAAATGGCTTCCTCAAAAGTGAGGGCTCCCGCGGCATAAGCTGCGGCAATCTCTCCACTTGAGTGTCCGGTTACAGCCGCTGGGGAGACGGTCCATGAGTCGAGGAGCCGCACCAGGGCCAGCTGCAGGATGACGGTGAGTGGGAAGCTGAGAAAGGGCTGGTTTACCCTGCTTCCAGTTTCGCTGGCGGTAATCTCCTCTGCATGTTTACACAGAAAATCCAAAATAGTTAGCGGGTTCGGTTTCTTTTGAAAGTGCGGAAGGTTTGAGAACTGACCAAGAACACTCCACGTCGCACCAAGCGACTTGACGTGGTCATCAGCCATCTCGAGGGCTTCGGAAAAAGCAGGGTACGCAGCAATCAACTCGCGACCCATGGCATACCACTGCGCCCCCTGTCCCGTGAAGACGAAGCAAAGCCGTGGCTTTTTGGACGAGTACTTTGGCGAGAGACCCAGGCTGCTGGCAAGGTCGGTCAACTCCTCCGGAGACCTGGCTGGCGTTGCCACTCGCCAGCAGAAATGAGACCGGCGTTGGCCAAGGGTGAATGCCACGTCTCGAAGATGGCGCTCTCGCACCAGGGACAAGGGGATATTTGCCAGATTCTGCATATATAACCGCAGGCTCTGCTCTTCTTTAGCGCTCATAACGAACAAAAGAGGCTGCTGGAGAGGGGCTGGCGCTGAATGGTGGACGTTTGTGAGGGGAGCATCGTTGGATGGTTGAAGAAAGGTTGAAACTCCATCGGCATGAAGACCATAGCAGTCGAGCCCTTCCAGTACTACGTGGGTATTCGTGCCCCCGGCCCCGAAATTGTTGAGTGAAGCTCGACGAGGCTTGTTTTGCGGCCATGGTGCCAGCTCGCGGAGAACCTGCCAATGGCTCATCAACCCTGTCAACACCCATTCAGGGGACGGCTTGAAAAACTGAGCACTCACCTTGATCTTCAGTCTCGAAAAATCTATGCCTCTGTTCGGGGCCTTAAATAGGGCTTGGGGAGGGACAAGGCCCATCTCTAGCATTTTGACCACCTTGATCACGGCGGCCAGGCCGCTGGTCGCTTCCATGTGTCCAAAGTTTCCTTTGACGGAGCCGACGAGTAGAGGGTCGTTGTCGGGTCGATCCCTGCCAAAAGTATTTCCAAGAGCATTCATCTCGATCCTGTCCCCGGCGATTGTCCCAGTGCCGTGGGCCTCCACGTACGGGGTGTCTCGAGGATCTAGCCCAGCCTTGTCATAGCAGGCACGTATTAGCTGTTCCTGGGCGTCTTGGGAAGGCGAAGTGATTGTGGGAGTTCGTCCATCCTGGTTCATGCCGGTTTCTCGTATGACGGCCCGGATGGGATCTCGGTCGCCCAGGGCGGCGTCGAGTGGCTTGAGGATAATGCAGCTCACGCCTTCTCCACGCCCGTAGCCTTCAGCGCGGTCATCAAAGCTATATGACTTGCCTGCGGCACCGGTTAGGCTGTGCAGTAGTTGTGGACACCGTTAGCAGCACACAATAAGGTCCTAGCCGCGTAAGACACCGTGAGTGCGGTAATCCAAGGGGGAGCGGAGGCACGATCAATGTCCAGGAAGCAAGACAAGATGGCTGGAGAGACTTACCCTAACGTAGACAATCCGACAGACGTGCTCGGATGCAAGAGAAGATTGGCGCCTCCGACAACGGCCATATGACTCTCTCCGGACCGGAGACTTTGGCAGGCCAGATGTAAGGCAGACGTCGACGTGGAGCATGCTGTGTTGACAGTCACGCTGGGCCCGTGGAGGTCAAAGAAGTGCGATATTCTATTGGCGATCATGGTCGGGTCGTTCCCCGGCAGCATATATCGCGGCTGGTTCTCGGCATCCTTCATGAGCATGTCGTGATAGTCTCGGAAGGCCGTGCCCGCAAAGACGGCCGTCGAGGATCCCGCAATGTCATTTAGACGCAGGCCGGCTTTGGTGATTGGTTAGCTACGCACTCTTTGCAAAGAGATGGAGTTGAACGTGTATGGAATGCACCGAAAGGGGGACCTGCCTGATTCGAGCGCTTCAAAGGCGGTCTCTAAGAGCAAGCGTAGCTGGGGATCCGTCGCCTACGACACACCTTGAGCAATGTCTTCAACAGACGGCTCTACTGCTGGGTCTATGTCACCTTGGCTAACTCAACAGGCAAGTTGAAAAATGGAGCATCGAAAAGGGACACGTCTTCTTTGAGAAAATGGCCGCCTCGGCTGTGAATCTTTCTTACAAAGTTAGCCAACGTATCAAGTGAAGCTGCATATGCTATTCGTAGATCCTAGAATATTTTACTGACAGTACCGCTGCGTTCGGCACGAGGATGGAAGAAGGCGTCCTCATTCAGTCGCTCGGGCCAGCTTGACCAAGTGTTGCGGGCGGCGGCGCAAAGCTCCCACAGCCTTTCGGGGGAGTCAACTCCCCCTGGGAAACGGCAGCTCATGCCTACGATGGCGATGGGAATAGATCGTGTCGACATGGTTGAAGAGTCTCTGAGCAGGATACTCAGCGCAGGCAGTTAGCAGACAGCTTTCACCGCGGCGACGTCTTCCTTTATTCGCGATACCCGAGAGGGGTCCGAGTTTGAACACCGTAGTACGAATACCGCAAGTCAATAGGTTAAGACTCAGAGGCGTAATTCCGCAGTAAGTCAATAAACTGAGACAGTCTTAGCGATCGACAACGGCGCGGGACCCAATGGGTGAAGGCGAAGAAGGCCAAATCGCGCTAAAACTCACTCATATATCCCGGCTGTCAAGACTGTCTCGTTTTATTGTTTGTCAAAAGAAAACTCGACCGCCCTAGTGCATGTACACAGCACAAGAGGCTGCAATGATGGAAGCTCAGGTTTGGGATCGGCTGCGAAAGGGCTCGGATCGAGGCCTCACCGCTGTTCTGAATGAAGGCGATACTGTAACTAATAAGTAGCAGACCAGCAGAATTTGCCTTTTCCCTCTTAAGCTGGCATGCGACGCGGTAAGTCCTTGCAACCACATGCCAAGCCTCAGCATCATGCCTGGTTAGTTCACGAGCAACTTCGGCTTCCGGCGACAGCCCTTGTCGAGGCTGCGAGATGGTGTTCTGATTCTTTATTTAGTGCGATTCGGGCGGCCGTAATTCGCCTCGGGTTATAGAGATATTCCTGCCGGAGACTCTTATAATTAAGAAGTAGCAGAATAAGCTCGATACTACGATATAGTGCAAAGCTTCTGGCTTCCTCGGTATAATTTGAGTATCTCGGCTAAGCCGGGGGCCTAAGGGGAGGAAATGGGGGTAGCGGGGGGAGGTTTCTAATACGTTGGGAAATACGAGCTCATAAGATAGTCGGTTTCCATACACATCCATGCAGATGGACGGGCTGGAGGCCCGGACTGAAGTGGAAACTCACACACAACGGAGAGGATAAGAACAGGGCGGTGCCTACTTTCAGACACATAACAGAACGGGGACGGTTCTTTTCTTTCCTGCCCTCTTGAGGCACGGAGCGCCGTGCCCCCTTGTTCGTATGTCTTTTTCAAATTGATCCGCCAACTCACGGAGATGCATCCGCAGCTTCGATTTGCTCTTCACATCGAGATCCGCTACATAGTTCCCTCTGGTTGCGTTGGTATCGATTCGCCATACGTGTTAGGTACCGGCGCTGCTACGCTGCAGTTTGGCGAGAGGCTCCAAGGGCTTCCAACTTCCGCTATGTCTCTGTATATAGATCTTCAATTTCTTTGACGAGAGCAGGGAATTTTCGACGGATGTGTTTATATAACAGTTGGATTAAAATATAAGATAAAAAGCTAAGAACTCATTTGTATCTATCTACTATTAGAGGTTTAGGTATAGATAGATATACAGGCTTAGCTACTATCACGGGGCTAGGGCCCTTGGTTGGTTGTTTGGTTGCTAGACCAAACGTTCTTATGTGTGGTCAATTGACGAAGTTGTCGCTTAGTCAATTCACCTATGGAATCCCTAGTGTGGCGGAGGGGGGTCTAGTAGCGCGACCACTGCTCTTGCCCTTCTGGGCTAAGGCCCTTATAGTTACGACTTATATAGAGATATATATATAGATTGCTTCCATCTATCGTTTCTCCACTTAAAGAGAGAATCACTTATAGGCTTAAGCGTCTAAACAAATCTTTTATACCTTTGCTACTTAAACTCGACATTCAAAAATGCAGTTCAACGCCACTGCAACGCCACCACTTTCGTGCTCTCGCCGCCTCCTTCGCCACCGCCGCCCCGACCCCTCGGTAAGTAGATATGATATACCCCCCCCCTCTCTTACCCCAGGAGCAGATCTCGACTAAATTAGTACATCTCCGGCCCGCACCCTCTCGCGACTCCATGACCACACCGTGAACAGGCAAAACAATGGTACGTTCAACTCCCACAGCTCCCCTTTGCTGCGCGTCCCTTTGCCCTCGCAAGCTAATGGGCGGTCCGTCTTCCTCCGCAGGCGCCCGATTCTCCCGCCGGGAAGCGCAAGCGCGGCCGGACGCGGCTAGGGCAAAACAACAAGCAGCGCGCAGACGCGTCGGGGGGCCAGCACATGGCCCGCCGCGACGGCGATGACGACGACGACAGGCCGAAAAAGCGCGGCAAGGTGATGGAGAAGCACGTGGATTCGCCGCCGGCCATGGACGCGCAACCGCGCAAGAGGGAAAGGCCGCGCAAGTCGTTGGATGACGCTGCTCAGCATCGGCTGCAACCCGAAGACGAGCCGCAGCCTGGGCCATCGCGAAAGGGACGCAAACGCCAGCAAGCACCCCAAGAGCCACAGCAAGAACCTCTAGATCAGCGACAGGAAGCCGCGCCCGAGGCAGCGCCCGAGGCCCCTCGGAGAAGACACAAACGCCAGTGGGGGCCACAGGCACAACGGTCAGAGCCCACGGACAAGCAGCCGGCGACGGACGAAGCACCGCGGAGGAAGAGAGCCCGTCCGTCGTTGCAGAATCGTCGGGACGATACGAGCCGGGAGCGGGACGCGTCTCACGCAGCGGAACCGGCGCCGCGCGGGAAACGCGGCCGACCTCCAGTCCCGGAGCGTCCTGAGAACGAGGTTGCGCACCAGGAAGCAGACGAAGAGCCAGACGCGAGGACTCGCAACCGAGCACGGCCGTCTCAACGGGGGGTGTCGCCGTCCCAAGCCCAGAACGGCCCCGCCGAGCGTCGTAAAAAAGGCCAGCGACCATCGCAGACGCAAGAAAAGTCCGATCAAGAACGCACACGAAGGGAAAATCGCCCGAGCGGAGCCATGCCGACGACCGGATCTTCTAATAGAAGACGCGCTATCCCCGAGCCATCGCTGCCCGTCACCGAACCGCGCGACCCCAAACGCCGCCGATCGCGCCAGCACGTCGATGAAGACGACGCAGCCCCCGTGTCCCCCTCTGCCCCTCCGCCATCGCCCCCCAAACCCTACGTCCACATCGTGCCTCGCGTCCGCCACGTCCGCCAGTCCACGATTGCGGCAAAGTGGTCGCCACTGACGGGCCCGTCGCTGTCGGCCGTCTCGGCCCTGCTGCAGCTCGCCCACCAGCCCATCCTGCAGCGGCTGTCAAGCACGCACCAGCGCCGCGCGCACGCGTCGGCGGCACTGCGTCTCATGGCGCGCCGCATCTCGCGCAAGGTCGCCGCCCGCGGGTTGCCCTTTCCCCCGGCGTCGATGCCCGCGGCCTCGCGCCGCGGCGGCCAGCAGCAGCAGCAGCCGTCGGATGGGGGTCGCGAGACGGAGCTCGACTTTGAGAGCGTGCTGGACGCCAAGGCCGCGCTCGAGGCGCAGCTCGGGCCGGCGGCGCACGCTGTTGAACTGCTGAGGCGTGAAAGGGACAGCATTGAGAAGGAGCTCGAGAGGGACTATGAGACGCTGAGGGAGCTCGAGGCCCGGGCCAGGTCGCAGACGAGGGAACAGAGAGGGCTCTTGAAGAAGGCGCACGCGCTGACACCCCTGGCCATGATCCCGGAGCAGCCGTACGATGCGCGTGCGGAAGAAGGCGTCCTAACGGCAAGCGGCCTGGCGACTGCCACGACCTCATCGGGCAACCTCTTCACCGTAAGCGTCCCCTCACCCCTTTCATTCCCGCCTCCTTGCCTCCTGCCTCCCTCCCTCCTCCTTCCCCCCTTGTAACCCGAACGGCTCCCGTGTTTCACCACAGCCTTGCAAAGCGGAAACTGACCTCAAGGCTCCGGCCCCGAAACAAAAGGGTCTCGCAGCCGACGACGCCAACACGGACGACGGGGGAGAGCTACGGCAGCTCGCCGTCCAGCTCGGCGGGCACGTCGAGAGCATGCGCGCCAACCTGCGGCAGGCCGACGGCATCGTCCCGCAACTTGCCCGCGCCCGCGCCGCTCTGCAAGCCGCCCTGCACACGCATCTTGACCAGGACCAATACGAGCGCGTCGTCCTCGGATGAGGGGCTCGCCTTTTTTTATTATTTTACTTCGTGGGGGTGATGCGGTTCCCCGTGAGAGGGTTGACGCTGGGGGTTGCTTTCGTCCCATCTCCCTTTGGCGATCCGGCGTGGCGGAGGCTTCGATCGAGCAAGGGAGACGTGAGATGTGTTTGAGGGAGACAGGCTTGGATGGGTATGGCTCCTCGCCGTTGCAAAAGCAAAGCGTTGTGAACACAAGACAGCCCTGTCACCTGTTGCTTCCCTTGCCGTCGTTGCCGGCTTCACCAGACCCCTCGCCCCCTTTTCTTTCCTTTTTCCACCCCGCACTCGCCCGCATGCCCTTCCCCCCAACCCCCCTGTGCAGCTTTGCTACAGGCAAGCGTGCATATCGTGCAGATATTCATCACGCATGGGCTCGAATCTTCGCAAGGGGGAGGCGTGTCACTCTGTTGTACATTGAAGTCACAACGACAATCAGCAAAGAGCTTTCCGCTCAGCTCGACAACGTGCGTTCCGGAACTGAACCTTGTTGAAGTGAAAAAGCTATGTACACAAGAAAGCTACCTACCATTCCGATCTGTACGGAACCAAGCCCGTCTGTTTGCCAAGGGCGAGCGACCATCGCAAAACCCTGTTGCTATCCCCCCTTTTGGTTGTCTCGTCCACCCCTATCCACGGGCCTTTGCCTCACAGAATGCCCCCGAGTAGGAAAAAAAAACTCTGATTTTGTCACGCAAAATCAGAAAGTGCATGAGAAAAATGAGCTCGTTCCGGTGGGAATTGTTTGCATTTTTTCTCCCGATGAGAAATTGGACATGTCGTCGTTGAACTGCCCTCCTGTGGCTGACCTTCCATCCCTTTTCATCTGGTCAAGTCAGATGATCCTGCTCCGTCTCACCTTCTGCTGTCGACCCCGCGAACAACTCTGCGTGGCAAAGAACTGCGCCGGCGCCCGCCCTTAAAAGATGCCATTCATTGGCTTTTCCCTTAGCGGCGCAGGCGAGCGAAGCCAGAGGGACGAGCAGAGCCATTGGGTTGGGTGCCGTTACCGCTTGGGTAGGGCACGACGGTGACGGTCGATTGGCTGGTGACAGTGGACCGGGAGATGGCAGGAGGCTGCTGACCACCTCCGACAGCCTGGGGCGTGACGGTGACATAGACAGTCGAGGCAGAGGGAGACGCCGTGACAGTGACTGTGGCCGGGGCACATTGGGAGTCACCAGCTCCGCCGCCGCCGACAGGTCCGTTGACGCCGCCGGAGGTCCGGGCAGAGGAGTATTTGGAGATGGTGACGGTAGTGGTAGTTCGAGAGGTAACCGTCGTGGTGGTCATTCCCTCCTTGTTGCCGCCAGCTAGGGCAGAGGTCTTGGCCTCGCCCACCGGTTGGGGCGTCGTGCTGGGGCGGACGTACTTGGTGACGGTCGAGTGAATGGTGGAGCTCATGGTGGTGGTGGTGGTGGACTCAACGCCCGTGCCTTGAGAGGGGGGCTGAGGGTAGCCAGGGCCTCCAGTAGCCAGGGGGACGACCGGGGCGATTTGAGAGCGAGATTCTGCTGGGTTCGTTTGGTTGCTCCGTGGAAAGTACATGCGACGAGGAGGAGAGGCGGCAGAGGCCACGGCGGCCAGCATGCCAAGTGCAGCAATTGTAAGCTTCATTGTGCGTGGCTGGTCTCGGGGGCAGCTGCTCTTTGCGTGTAGAGGTTCGCACGAAAGGGAAGAAGCTCTGTGCCTGGGGGTCTCTCGTTTGATGTTGGATGATGCTCACTCGGAGTCTTGAGACTTGACGAGTATGGTATAAGGAGCGAAACTCGATTTCGCGCCAGCGCGGTGGACACGGAGTGCCGGAAGAGGTGGAAGACCAAGGACAAAGGAAGAATCCGAGCTGGAAGCACGGTGTTGCGTACGTCTTTGGGATAGGTCAAGACGAGAGCGTGTCCAGCTTGGAGCGGACAAAAACGAATAAAAGGAGTCACGGCGACGTGAGACGGAAGAAGGACAGACAGGGCGCAAAAACCGGGCGCAAAAAGGAGAGAGCGAGAAGATATGGGCCAGAGAGAGGGTGTAAAGCGTAGAGCCAAAGGAGAGAGATGGGGAGCGCGAGAGCGGGCTGAAGGAGAGACGGAGGAGCGGCGTCGGGAGAGACGAGGGACTTTTAGGTTATCGAGGCGAGCCGGAGCAACGCGCGAGGGCATATGTAAGTCGACATAACAACAAGAATGTACAGTACACGGGCAGGTACTGTACATGGCCTCGCAGCATTTCTGGGGACAAAACAAGGCCCCAGATTGCGACAGGACTTGGGCGACAGGGCTTGGGCGACATGTCTTGGATCTTGTCTTGACCGGGGGCCCCGGTGGGACGTCTGTGGGCCAATGGTAGCGCTGACGAGGGAGCCACAGAAGTTTCTCCGGTAACCTTGAACAAGGACGTGGATCTGCCATTGTCCGTGGGGGAACATGGGTTGCGACGCCCTGGCTGTCGGCCGTCGGAGGAGGCGGCGGCGGGCGAGGAGAGGAATGGCGACGACGCTTGCTGCCCAGCCAGAGGTGATGATGGCTGCGCGAGGTGGTCAGCTCGGCCCGTGCGAGATGCGTGTACAGCACGGCACCGTACCTTTGCCTGTCCAATTGCTGGAGCTCTTTGAGATGAGATGAGATGGCCGATCCAACTGAGCTCGGCTGAACGAGGGCGAACGGGGTGGAGATTGTGAGGAGGAGGGGAGAGAAGGCCGAAAGGGGTGCAGAAGCCAGCGACCTGATTGGCCCGCGGGTGAAAAAGGGGGAAGGAGGGGCCGCCAAGGCATAATTGATGCAGGTACCAGAATCGCCCGAAACGGCCCGCCAGCCAATCACGAGGGCCCTTTTTTTTTTGTCAATTTACAGTATTTATTCTCCTGCCTTAGTTCCCGGGCACATGGCCAAGAGGAAAAGAGTGGAGATGACGGAGAGGAGATTGCAGAAATGACGGGAAAAGGCACGAAAAAGCGCGCAGATGACAGGGCGCCTGCAGCATGTGAAACGTGAAGATGGCAGCTATGCGAGCGAGAGACGGACGTGGACAGTACGCGCGTGTGTTGGAGCAGCATGTGGCAGCATGTGGCAGCATGTGGCAGCATGTGGCGGCGGCGTGTACTGCCTGTACTGTACGATAAGAGCGCCGAGCCCCCAGACCGCCACCATCCAGACCGCAGACCGGACACGTTACAGTAGAGAGCAAAGAGCAGAGCCGATCCCTCCCTCACTCAGTCAGCCCCGCCCTTGGTGACGGCCCCGGTGTCGGCTGCAGCGGTGGCCACGGCCACGGTCAGTACTCCGTACGGATACAGTAATCAAGCCTTGTTTGGCCAAGCACCCTCGTGGCTCCAGCATTGTGTGTGTGACTGACTGGGCCGCCCAACAAAGAGGATGACTGACATTGTTCCCCTTGTCTCGGCATGCCGCTTCCAATAGCCTCACCCGTCCGGACCGAGCTGTGAGACTGCCCAAGCACGCTCCGACGCGCGACCCGATGTGCACCCACTGCCGGCGCGTCATGCTGCCGCTCTCCGCCAAGGAAAAGGCCGAGAGAGAGGGGCGCGGGCCAAAAAAGGAAAAAGACCGGCTGACACAAAAAGGAAAATTTCGATCGATGCGCGTCTGCGCGAGCACGGATGTCCACGCACATCGTCACCGTTGCAGACCGCCACGCCGTCGCCCGGGCTCGCCGATCCACAGGCTCCTCTTGGCTGCGTTACGGAGCCACTACGGGAGGCACGCTTCCAGCGCACTCTTCCAGCGCACACTTCCATGTGCATGCAGGCATGCGAGGACGGCTTTGCGATAAATGGATCTCGTGCAATTACACATGCAGGTGCTTCTCAAAGAGGCAGCATTGATGTATCCACATACAACATACATTTGGTTTGAGTGACCAGTACATGCAGAGTTACCTGCTGCGCAACACTCCTCCATCCACGTCCTCTACCGTCCCCAGAACAGACGACGGGCCGCGCCCTATTCATTCCGCCGCGCACCACCTCTCGTTCGCTGTGACCCCCAATTGCGTGTCAGACCCGTTCCTCCGTCGTTGGTGGGTGCGTTTCATGTTTCTGTTGGCGCGAGCGCGCCTTACCACGGTCTACCAGGTGCCGAGTAGATGATCTGCCATCTCTGCTCGACAGGGTCTCGTCAGAGCAGGCACCATCCCTACCCTCGCGGACCACGCTCCGTAATATATCTCAGGGAGATTACCAGGCATCCATGTGCTCGTTGGTCATCCTCCCATTCACCACTCTGTATCCGGGCATGTATGGTTCAAGTATACATACACCGTGCCGTCCTCCATTGCCTCAGATCGACGGTCGGCCTGGCTGATAACTTAGCCATCCATGTGAATATCAAACCGCCTTGACCAGCACGTCTGCCCAAAAAGCCACGCCGCCTCACCTCTTTCCGCTCGGACCCGCCATCGGCGGGAAGCTTTGACCCCTGAACGAACGACTGTGCGGGCAGCATGTGCAAATATCCGTCCGAGCTCTCCACGACCCGCAAGACGTTTTCCTGATAACCCGAGATCCTGGTCATCAGTCGCCATCCAGCTGTGGAGTCGCACAGCATTGCCCTCGGCTCCTCATTCTACCTCTTCAATCATGGGGCGCCGACGGTCCGACTCATCAACCGGGCCACCACCTAGACTCACTTGCAAGCCCGCCAGCCGTCCCAGACCCGGGGCAGCCCGGTCACCGTGCTGTGGCAACAAACTCCTCGCCCGCCAGTTTCCCAGGCTCTCCACCACGTCGCGCGCATGTTGCTGAACGAGTCCATCATTGTCCGTCTCCGCCACGTATGTGAGCGTGCGCTGTATGTCCGCCCGGCTCGCTTCCGTAAGCCCAAAGCCAAGGGTCCGGTTCGACTCTCGTGCCTCATCCAGAGCCTTGACAAAGCTCAAGATGGCCCGCACTGCCGCTCGTCGCACGATGCCGTACTCGACCTCTCGCTCCATGGCCAGCACATGGACGCAGAGGTCAACGACGCTGGATACTATCGTTGGCTCAATCCCGACAATATGGGTCTCCAGTGCGCTTCCAAGGATGGATAGCGACGACGCACGCATGCGCACATCCTCGCTTCCTCGTTTGCTTTCCCACCCCTGGATGATCTGTGCCATCATGTCCCTGTTTGATCCTTCTGTCGCCGCCATCGCCTCATCATCGGATATCTCGTCATGTTGGTCCGCGTCGTCGCCCCCTTTTTGTTTCTTCATGTTGCGCAATCTCTCCCGTCTCGCCTGGTCGGCCATCGTCTTCGGCCGATATCCTCGGCGGCCGGCAATCGACAAGAGCGTCTCGCATACCTGCTTCGCGACTTCGTCGGAAAACGTTTCTCCCAGTCGCTCTATTACCTGAACCAAAGCTTCGCCGAATCTAAGGCGTGTGTCAGTCGATGCCTTCTCGTTCGCATCCAAGTAGTTGTCGAGCAGCTCTTGCACCGTCGACCTGGGGTGCTTGTTGGCCAGCTGCGTAAACACCTTGATCACCCTGAGATTGATGTAGTCTTCGTTCTCCTTCAAAAGGTCGGCCATAAGCACCGTAACCGCTGTGATGTCTAATATTGGGCTCTCGGCGACAATCAGGTTGGACAGCAAGTTGAGTCCCTCGGATATGACCGGCGGCGGATTGTCGCGCTCCCCAGTCATGTAATTCATAGCCAAGCTGTACGTCTTTTGGTCCTCTACCTGACGAGCGGTGCGGACAGAGCTGAAGTTTTCCGCAGTCTCCAAGTCATCGCGATATTTGAGTAGCATTTCGAGGTTTCTCGCAGTTGTCGAAACATCCGGTCGGTCCCCGTTGCCTATTCTGTCGAGAGCCTCTCCGATGGTCTCCAGCTCATCTGGCTTGAAATCGGATTTCTGGAAGCTGGGTGCGGTGATTACCAAGTTGAGAAGACTCAACGCGACCGCGACTATATCATCTCCAAGGGTTGAGCGGCCATCGGCCTTGAGAACTTGGCAAATGACATCGACAAGCTGGCGAAACTGATTGACTAGCTTCCCAGGGGCTTCATGCATGAGCTTCTGTAGCAACGTGACTTCGACTAAGTCCTGGATGGAGGATTTTGCGTCGTGGCCTTGGGGCGTGATGTGCACTTCCAGATCAAGTGGCTTCTGTGCAGATGCAATCCACCGGCGAAGAAGATGGAGAAAGATTGCGGCGACCTCGTCGCTCGAGCAGGCCCCTGTGATCAAATCAACCAGGACCGCAGCTTTATGATCAATCTCATTCCAGTCAAGTTCGGCATCGAGCCCACTCTCCTGCCCGCGGCGTCGCACGACCTCGATTCCTTCACGTGCGTTTAGATGATAGCACCACATGGGTCTTGAGGTGTCGACAGCGCCCGCGCAAAGGAGATTTGGAACCATGGTCGAGATACAGTCCACCTCACCGGCAAGTCTAAGATGCGTGCGCACAAGGCCACGCGCCACGCTGGAGAACCGCTGTTCCGCTGCTCGTGGCGCGTTCATCCACGAGCAAAGGGCCCAGAGTTGCAGGATGACCGGTCTGAGAACCCTCCTGCATAGTCCTGGAGACGGATTCGAGAGTACCAGAACATTTAACCGGCTGAGTGCTGTCTCGAGGGACCGCGCAGGAACAATCACTTTGATCAAACCGAGGTCGACCACTTCAGCATCGCTTGTCCCCGCCGCAGTGTCGATCTGCGCGTCGTCTGGCCCAAGTGATGGGTTCACGAGCTCCAGGAGTGGCTGGACAAAAATGTTCCACCCAGGTGCGCCTAGATGTTATGTTAGCTTCATGTCTGGTTTGTTGGAACAAGAGAGCCCCAGTCCATACCTGGAGCGCCAAACTGTTTTTTCCCCAAGATCCCGAAGCCGACAATCTGTGCCAAGGTCTTGGCCAATTCTGGACCCCCTTTTCCGTCGAGCAAGTCGAATGTCTGACTGGCGATACCTTCAAACCATGCCTCGGGCGTAAAAGAAGATGGGACAGAGGACAGGAGCCTCGTCGCCAGCGCCACCGCCTCGTGTGTGATGCTGGCACCGCTCTTCTGCGGTCTTTCTGAGTCCGCAGCCGCATTGCTGCTCGGGTGGACCGCAAAAACAAACTCCAATGTCGCCCGTACTCCGTCAGGCCTGAGTGGGAGCAAGGTAAGAGTTTGCAACAGAGGATCTCTTAGCCATTTCGGGAGCGCATCGGGCTTGATCAACGCATTCAGGGTGGGCAAGAGAACAATGGTCGCTGTTCTAGAAACCTTTTAGCACATGCAGAGCGTGTCAGGGCGAGCTTCGTACTTTGTGATGACGTCGTTGTATTGTTGGAGTCTAGCCTCACGGCTGGTTGGGCTCGACTGAGGATCGAACGCCTTCTTGCCCGCTTCGAGGATCTCTTGAGCGATTTTCACGTTGGACAGGTCTGGGGCTGCAGCTCCCGCCATCTGAGCAAACTATGAGTCCCCGCCGCCTGTGAACGATGCTGGTTCGAGCACGTCGAGTCGCCAGGAGGCGGGGCGAGTGAGGGAATGCGAGGCGCCGAAGACAGTGCTTTTGTCCCGAGAGCCCACACTGTAGCCCCCTCCCCCCCACCCTCATCACGTGCTGACGCGTTTCGGTGCGCACACAGTGTGAGCTGTGCGTATATTTAGCTGTCGATCCACCCTGACGCGCTTTCCCAAACCTCCAGTTCGCACACCACCGACCCCCCAACTCCCCAAGGTCCATTGCCGGAGACGCGCTCGTCACTGACTTCTGACAGCAGCTCTAGAAGGCAGCTTTCAAACAGAGGCAGCTTTCAATCGCTCTTTGCTGCCGTGAACTCGAATCTCCTTCGCTGCAGCATGTCGCCTCCCTCAGTTCTTCGACTCTCGTTTTCCGCAAGGAATGTCTACCGCAGACCCCCTCTCGGGCTCGTTGGACACAATATGCCGCTCTCGAGCCTGTATCAGGACCTCGCTGCACGCCGCACTCGGATCTATTGTTGTCCTTGGCCGTCGGCAACCAGACGGTACGGCCTGGCCTGGGGAACGAGCGTCGAAACTTAACCCTAAGACATATCTTGGTTCGAGTTTGCGCCAAGTCGTCCAAACCATCTTCTAAGTCGAATGAGCGATCCGTGAGGCTGCGTCCGCCGAAAGGTGGTGCGGCGGACATGGTGATCTTGGCCGACGGACTGTTGGGGCGGACTGTCCAGTCACCTTGGGGTGCGCGAGAGGAAGGATGCCATGAGCCGGTCTGGTAAGAGCCTCTGGTCTGAGGACGCTCGTCTGCCCTATCCGCTGGAACTTGGACGTTGGTCAAAAGTGGACTACTTCACGGATGCTGCCGGCTCTCGGGGGACAGTGCTTGCCGTCTCCTGCGGACAGACCTTTAAGTCGCACCATACGATTTGGACAGTGGACGGCGGAAGGAGATGAGTACGGGTCGGCCACATACTGTCATGGCATGCGTTTCCGAGACCAACATCGGAGATTTGCCTCGTCGGAAACACTCTCTGGAGTGCAGCGAGGATGTCCCGGTTACACACAGAAACGCTCCACTCAGCCTGACTCACTGCCATCCCGGGGAACTCTGGGCACTCTCGAAGCCTGTCCATTGTCGCCTCGTCTGCCCGCGGGAGAACGTTGTGAGCCCTGTCAATTTGCTGCGATGCTCCTGAAGTCTCGCCTCGGCACCCTGCCATTGGTGTGTGATGCAACTGCATCTGGTCCGGCCAGGCGCATTAACCTTCCATCGTCGGAAACGCGATGTTCGGAGGACGCCAGTCCCTGTCGGGATCCCTTTGGGTGTCGATGGGCCCTCGGCGCTCTTTCGAAAGGAAGAGGTCGGGACGAAAGCGCGGTTTTTGTGGATGTCTTTTGTTCGCGCGTCAACGCCCTCCATACTCGCTGTTTCGAAAGCATCGCGGAGAGGAAACAAAAACCAGTCCTTGTTGGCAGTGCATCACACACGGAAGGAGATTCAGTTCCCGGCACAACGAGCTCTTTTCGGCTGCTCGGCGGGCCGTCTATGAAGGCCCTGGACTCTTGATGGATGTTGGCTCTTAGAGCCGATGCGAGGGCGGACCGCCGGTTTCCTGGAGTTGCGCTCGAGTCGCCAGCAGAGCCGGGACCCATCTTGAGTTGGAGTCAAAGTTTCGTACTTGTCCGGCGCTGCAAACGACAACAGCACACAGCAATTCAACGGGATCTGGCGCCGGCCATCGGATCTGGAGATGTGTCTATTGGTCTCTAAGGGCAGGCCGTGACGACAGGTAGCCCTGGTTGTCCTCGTGCCAGAAATGGTGAGAGGGCAACCCCCCGCAGATGAGGGGATAAGTACACCTGGTTCCTCACCCGGCTGATGCGGCGGCTAACATGGTGTGCAGGTGCAAGAACGACCGATCACGTTACGGCTGTTGACGAATGGTGGGAGATTGAGTTTGCGCTGGTTGAGTAATTCGTCGCGGTGTCTTGGGGAGATCTGATGTGATGACCGGCGCCAACTTTGCTCTAGGCGACAGAAGTCTTGGTACAGCATTATGAGCTTTTTTTCATGCTCTACTTCGTACTGTACGTAGGTAATACGCTACGTACTTGATGTGATGCGTTTAGTGATCGCCTGAGACCATCCCTAGCAGACTCTTAGTGCGGCGTAGCGGCCTCTTGTGGTTTGGGAGCTGAAGCTTGCTTGCCTGCCACGCCCCAGGAAGCTGCTGCAGGTAAGACTGCGCAGTGATGTCATGACATGCGGGAATAGCCCCTTGCGTGATCAAAACAGCGGGTTCCTTCGTCCCTCTACATACCTACTGTACCCCCTCCCGTGTCCATCTGTACTCTTATACTGCACATCGTCAGGAGGCCTTTTGGATCGTACAGCCGGCGCCGGAGACACACCTGTCCATTCGTCCGAGGATGGCGCTGCCCCCGACGCTGCGCCACGTGGTCGCAGCCGCGCTGCTGTCTGTCGTCGTGTTGGGCGTGCCGTCGCCGAGGCCTGCAGCAACGCCGACACGTCATGGAGTTGGGAACGCTGCAGCGCCTTCGGTCCCGGAACCCACCCCCATCCAGCGAATCAATCAACGGGCCTTGGAAGGCGGCGTGAAAAGCTATGTGGAAGGCTTGGCAAGCGAGCTTGGCGGCGGTATGTCATCGTTTCTCGACTCGGGCATCCTCAACTTCCCCACCGGCTTCCCCGTCGGCTCCGACGTCGAGAAGTCGGCCGGCGTGTCCAAGACCGACCTTGACGCGAGGCCGACCCAAGTGTTGAATCTGCCGTGAGTTCTCGGAGTGACGGCATCGACTCGACATCTCCAGCTGACCCGGGCTCTGCTCAGAGCATATGGCAACTGGACGAACAGGGGCTGGAACGTCCGGGCTCACGGCAACGTGTACAAGGTCCCGGACATTGCGCAGAGCAGAGTCGACCATCTTGCCAATGGCTTCCTCATCGGAACCGACGTCGACGAGCTACAGAAGTCGGAGCAGGCCCAGGCCCGCAACCTGACAAGGTCCATATTTGTAGTCCAGCAGCGCGACACGAGCGTCACTCTGGATTTCGTCAGTGATGTGACCGTCAAGCCCAACGTGAGCGGAGGTGTCATAAATGCCGTAAGTTGCCTCTTGAACCGCTCTGCACGATGTCTCTTGCTCACACGATTCTGGGCGGGCAGGCAGGCGGTGGCCAGACAATTACTCTACCGCACAACACGACGCTCGAAGGAGATTTTGATGCCTTCATCACCCTACGCAACACCACAGGGCCCAACGGCGGACATGTGCTTCGCGGAAACGAAACGTCTCAAATACAAGCGCTCAACATGTATGCAAAAGGAACCGACACTGGTAATGCAACGGCATACCTGGTGCCTCCCGAGGGCATCACCGTGGTGTCCGACATTGACGACATTCTGCGAGTGACAAAGATTTACCAGCCCAAGGAAGGCCTCCTGAATACCTTTGCACGGCCGTTCACGCCTTGGATGAACATGCCGCAGGTATATGCAAATTGGTCCTCGTCCATCAACAACCTGCATTTCCACTACCTCACCACAACACCAGAGCAGGTGACGCGCAACTACATGGAGTTCATCTATAAGACATATCCGCTGGGTTCCTTTGACACGCGGCCCTTGAACTTCTCCGACGTCTCTGCCACGCTGCATATTCGCCGGTACCTGCTCGACATGGTATTCCGGACTTTCCCGCAGCGAAGGTTCATATTGGTTGCCGACACGACCAACCGCGACGTGATGAAGGCATATCCGCAGATGTACAAGGACTACCCGGGCCAAGTCCTATGCATCTTGCTGCGCAATACAAGCTCGACGGATCCGGGAAACAGATTCCCGTACGACACATCCGGGTTCAAGGACATACCGAGGGAGCGCTACATGTTGTTCAACGTGCCCGACGACCTGGCGAGACTTGATGTTGTCAACGGGCAATGCCTGAACAGCTCGGTCTCGCAACACGTGACGTTCAAAACGCAAGGGCTACCGTTTGGTATCGGCGACGGGGACAGCGTGGCTGGACGAATCGGTCCGTCCTTTGTTTCCGCGGCCGTGGCTGCGTTGGCGGTGGCCATGGTTGTCAGCTTGGCTTGATGAATACACGACGGAAGGACGGGGGTGAGTATTGTCTACCTAAGCATTGATGTCTGTATTGCGTATCACGTTTCACGACAAACAGCCTCGTGTCAAGGGGTTCAAGATGTTTGCTGCCGGATTCCGCTCTCTCCCTGTTAGTTGATTCAATATTCAAACGGTCCCTGTGCCGATTGATGAGCCTGGGGCTATCTTGGACGCCGTTCCTTTTCGCGTCCACCGGAACATGGACCCAGTCTCTGCTATTTTGAGCGGCCTCCAAGACTGAGATTTCTTGAGGCAGGTACGGGATAAAGATGCCGTTCCCGAATCGCGCTGAGAGTCTAGGATAACTCACGAGTAGAGAAAATAGGGGCTTGAGGGTTATGAGCCCTGTCCGCACGATAGGAGCCTCTTTCGCCCGCCGATACCACCTTTGAAGCTATTCACAAGCCATCGACGCCGCCTTCACACTCCAACCTTGGTGTTGAGGCGAGGAACCCAATTACCCTAGGGGGCACCACTGAAGACGCACAATTTGTGCTTCCCTTGAAGAAGAAAACAACTTACTAGAAGATGAGGCTTCAGCCAAGGAAGCCAAAGGGGATGACACATCGTGAGGCTCAAGGGGAGCCTGGATTAGACCCCATTTCTTCGAGGGATCAAGTCATGGGCCTAAACTTGCGAGATATGGGAATTCGTTGACCCTGAAGGGACTGAGGAGCTGATCAAGAAAACTATCAGCGAGGGGCTCCAGGGGGCAACCCTAGCCCACAACACTCTTCGAGAAAAATCAAGGAACTGAAAAAAACAAGCCCTGCCGTCAGACACAGAGGAGAAGAGGCTTATCTTTGAGAGATACGCAACTATTGCCAACGCAAAACAAGGGACACTCTTCAGGGGGGGAAATGAGCAACACGATAAAAGGACGCGCCCAAAACGGAGCTCGCGAAAGCAAGAACGACCCACCGGTTAATCCCCCTCGGGAGACTTGGAAGGCCATCCTACGAGCCTTTATCAAGCGGAAAGGTCACTTCCTCATTCCTCTTTGCCGGGTCTTTGCATATAAGACCGACGAGCAAGGCTACGTCACGCGGTTCAAGGCACGCATCGTTCTGCAAAGAGATCAGCAACCTGAAGATGATGAAGACACTTACGAAGCCACTCTGCGAGCGCGCACCTTTCGCATGCTAGTAGCCTTCTGCTGCCTTGAGGACTTCGAGACTGAGCAATACGATATCAAAACAGCGTTCCTCTATACAATCCCCAGGCAGGAAGCCTATTGCCAGCCCCCGCCGGGATTCTCAATGCCAGGGCTATGTCTGAAGCCTCTCAGAGAGCTGTACGGACTACGCATCTTTTCTAAACTGGATTCACTGCGAAGGCATTGGAGTTGCTCGTGTGGCCACAGAAACAGGCTACCAACTACTCGTTGATGCCCTCTATATCCCTATTTTCCTCACAAACGGGCTATATATTACGAAATTCAATGCCCAGGAGGTTCTTTGGAATAACGTCACAGAGGAACTTCGAGATAAGAAAGAAGTCCTCCTTCTGACAATTCCATACTTCTGGGGCCAACACTGGATCCAGTACAAAGAAATTCGGCCTAAGGGATCAAATCAGGACTCTATCTTTGCAACAACTGCGTTCAAAGACACAAGGAAGCCTCAAACACCAATTGGGACAACAGAAGCTCTTTGGCACGCAAGGTTGGGCCACCCAGGAGCTACAAAGATGCAACACATCACCAGTTCGACACCCAAGCTAACAAAATTGGGCTCAGGCTTAAAAGCACCCAATGGCCTAATGTGAAGTGTGCGGCACAACGAAGATATAGAAGAGCATATCACGGATCCCACAGTCTTCCTCATACCCACAGAGGGCATATGGGGCATTTACCTTTGATTTCTTCTGCCCAGTCACTGCTTACTACTGCACTAGCAATATGATGGATGTTTTACCTGCCCGTTCACAGGCATGCGGCACGCATTTGAAGTAGACGAAAAGACAGGCCTTCAGCACATCTGGCTAACTCTTAGAGCTATTATTTGGAGAGGAAAGAGAGGTTATTCAACAGTTCCTCTGAGCTGTACGAAAGAGACTCATGGGAAAAAAGATCTAAAAAAACTCCACAAGAGCCGTGTTCGAATCCTGCAGTTGTTATTGTGCAGCGAGAGCCAGAACAAGAGCCAGAGCGCGGGCAACAAAGCCAGAGCCAGACGTCGATACACCAGGTAGACACCAACACAACCAAAAACGGATGTGTGAAAGGCCTCTAGTGAGTTGATACAACTAACTAGTCCCTATGCTGTTTACTATCAAGATAGAGAAGAAAGAAAGAAAGAAAGAGAATCTACTACATGAGAGCACAATAGCATTTTATAGCTTCGAGCCAATGGAAGGTTCTAGAAGCTAGGCGGCGCAGCCGCCGTTAAAGCGGCTTGCCCGTTACATTACCTCCTCCTTCCAACGTTTCCTCTTCCGGGGTCGTGGCAATCTGTGGCAAGATGACTTGAGAAGGTGACACTCCTTTTATGCTTCTTCCATTGCTTCCATGCATCGGTGTGTCGAATAGTAGTAAGGGGTTCCCACGTAGGCTGCGAGTAATCATGCCATTTTACGAGCACCTTCTTATGCGTACCTTCCATTCTTTCATCCAGAATTCTTTCAACAAGGTACATCTTTTCGCCGTCCACCAGCACCGGTGGGGCACTCTCTTGATCGAGTTTCTGCGAAGGCAATGGGTCTCCGGGGACTGGCCGGAGTAGGTCGACGTGAAAGACTGGATGGATGCGCCCAGGCACATCCAACCTGTAGGCATGTGGGCTAACTTCCGCGAGCACTTGATATTTGGCATGTAGCCAATCGAGCTTCTTGCAGGGTCGCGATGTTTTGACATTTCTCAAGTTGAGGTATACCCAATCCCCAGGCTCGTATCTCGGTGCGGCTGTCCTGTGCTTGTTGGCTTGCGCTTGCTGTATTTCCTGGGCCATAGCTATCGCTGCTTGCGCAAACTCCGTGGCGTCCTGTAGTCTCTGAATAAAATCCTCCGCTGTCGCTTCCCCCTGCGTCGTGTCTTCCGTTCTTCGATGCTCAACTAATTGGATTGGCTCGTTGTGGTAGCCGTGCATGAAGAAGAACGGACTCAGTCCGGTGGAGGTTGCTTCCTCTCGTTAATAGTCGCCATCGCGATTGGAAGCAAGTCTAACCAGTTCTCCTGCAGATAATTCGTCCATATCCGAAGAATCCTCTCTACCTCTTGGTTCATTCGTTCTGTTGCACCGTCGGTTTGTGGATGGTACGCCGTCGACAACCGCTGCTCGATCCCTAGCATCTGACAGAAACTTTTCCACATACCACTGACAAACTGGGGACCCTGATCACTGGTTATAGCCGTTGGGATGCCATGGACAGGGTAGTGTCGTTCGAAGAGTCTTCTTGCAACCGCTTCTGTGGAAATATCGTTCAATCCTTCGAGTTCGACGCCTTTGGTGAGTCGGTCCGTGACCACCATGCAGTTCGTCGCGCCATCTTTCCCCGACGGTGGGAGGTCAGTAATAAAGTCAATGGTAATTTCGCTCCATATGCGTTGCGGAATAGGGAGCGGCTTTAGGAGTCCTTTCTTTGTATCCCTCCAGATGGTGTTTCGTCCGCAAACCTCGCAGTTGCGCACAAACCGACGTACATCGCTAGCGGCACCCGGCCAGAAGAAGCGTCTCGACAGAGTCGAGTACGTGAGGTCCCTTCCAGGATGTCCGGTGATATGAGAGTCGTGAGTTTCCTGGATGATCTTTGTACGTAGCGGCTCCGAACCGGGTATCCAGACGCGTTCTCTAAAGCACAGCAGGCCTCTATTGTCTAATGAGCATTCTGAAATGCTGACAACCTTCTCCTTCTGTAAGTCTGTTGGCACACTCTTCGCTCCATCTGCTACCAGCTTCGTGAGTTCTTGATAAAGCTTGTCTTCTTGCCGTGCGGCGTGCCACAGCTGCTGTAACTCCTCATCTTCAAATATCCTGATCTCTTTTCCGAAGTTGATTTCCTGGGCACCCTCGGTGTTGGTAGACAATGTCGATATTGGGACCCTTCTAAGGTGATCATTTTGGAATAGCCTCATAATGCGTCCCTTTAGTCGTTCATCGGAGTAGTTGGCCGGCATATCCTGGTCCCGTCGAGAGAGTGCGTCAGGCAATCCGCCCTTGCGGCCCGGCCTCCATTCGAGCTCGAATTGGAACCTGGACAGGAACTCCGACCACCGCACTTGTCTCTCTGTCAACCTCCTTTCCGAGTAGAAGTACCTCAGGTTCTTGTGGTCCGTTAGGATCTTGAAGTGCTCTACTGCCCGTAGCTCTGGTTCCCACTGCTCCAAACATCTGAGAATGGCGAGTAGCTCCTTGTCATGGATAGCGTAGTTCGCTTCGGCTGCCGAATGTTTCTTCGAGAAGTATGCGACAGGTCGTACCAGTCCATCCTTATCATCTCTGCAAGAGCACGCCTCCCGACGCGAATCCTGGAAGCGTCTGCTTCCACGATAGTCTCCCTTTCTGGATGGAAGTGTGCAAGGATCGGGGCCGTGATCAACAAGTCCTTGAGCTTCTCGAAGGCTTCTTCGCACAATTCATCCCAACGGAATGGCACGTCCTTCTTCGTTAGCCGCGTTAGCGGCTCCGCTATCACCGAGAACTCTGGCATAAACATCCTGTAGAAGTTCGCGAATCCAATAAAACTCCTCACGGACTTAACATTCGTCGGGTTGCCCATTCCTTCACAGCCTCAACCTTCTCAGGGTCGACTCGGATCCCACACTCCGCCTCGATGATAAACCCAAGGTATTTCACAGCCTTGACTTCGAATTCACTCTTGTTGATATCCAGTTGCAGCCCGGCGTCCATCAGTCGTTGGAGGACCTTGCCGACCTTGTCGCGGTGGTCTTGCAGGCTTCCAGAGGAGAAGATCAGGACATCGTCGATATATGCTGACACAAAATCGTCTAGGTAATCCTGGAGCGCGCTGTTAATGTACCGCTGAAAGGCTGCTGGTGCGCCTGTCAGGCCGAATGGAACTACCAGCCATTCGAAGGATCCATAGCGCGTTCTGAAAGTTGTCTTTTCCTCGTCGCCGGGGGCGACCCTGATCTTATGGAACGCTGCTATAACATCTACCTTGGTGAACCACCTTGCCTTGGCTATCGTTCGCAAGGTCTCGCTCAGTAAGGGCAAGGGATAGCGGTCCCTCTTCGTTATATGGTTCAAACCTCTGTAATCCACGCAGAAGCGGATGCCTCCGCCGGGCTTCTTCACCATAAGGACTGGTGCCGCGGCTGGCGAGCTGCTGACTCTAATAAATCCCTTGTCGAGTAGTTCTGTGAGAGTCTTCCGTAGTACCAATAGCTCCTCGCGGGACATGCTGTAAAGCGGTCCCCAGGGTAGGGGCTTCTCTCGGCCATGCTCGTCTTTCAGCACTTCGATCTTCAGGTCCACACCTGGCCGATGAGGGGGCAGCTGGTCGGCCAGTTGCTGAGAGAAAGCTCGAGACCACTTGTGGTACTGTGGTGGCAGCTTCTCCATTACGTCAGTCTTCGGTTTCGGTCTTAGGGCCTTGTCAATATCCGCCATCGTGACCGAGTGAACTCCAATGCCGCCTTTGCGTTTGTCACGGCGTGCTTCTGCTAAAAGGTTGCGGCCATGACATTAGAGACATCTAGCTGTGGAGGCTGGTAACGTCGTCGGTCTCGTACTTGAACTCCATTGGACCCGATCTCGAGATATCCTTCCTTCGCATGGATGTGAACATCCTGGTCTTCCATCCATCGTTTACCCAGGATCATATCCCAGTTCAGATCGTCGATGACGTACATGAAAACACGATGCTGCTGATGTCCATCGAGGTCGATCGACACATACGTGATCTTGTCGATTTTGACCTCCTTGCCGTCTCCCGCTGCATTCTCCAAGATGCGCGGCTGGACGCGTATATGTGGCAACTGGAGAGAGTGAAATGTGCGCTTGCTAACCGCGCCGTAGCAGAGGCAGCCATAGTCGACAAGAGATGGCACGAAGTCTGTGCCGTTCACCCTGACGTCTGCTATGAACGGTTCTCCGTCCATTTTGCTTTTCCGCTCACATCCCATTCTCTCACAGCCGCCGCGTGTCCCTAGTCTGAATCTTCATCGTTATGAGAAGAAGTATCGTCTTCGGCGACCTCGGCTTTAGTGACCGCTGGTCGTGACGGGGTCACGGCATTGACCTGAGTGCGTCGGGTCGTGTTTGCGGGTCGGATAGGCGCAGCCAATGGACAGCGCTCGATTCTGCAGTTGTCTCTTCCACAACGGAGGCAACGCCCTTCACGGTAACGGGCGTCCATCTCGGCCTGGTCGACCCACTTGGCACGCTTGCCCAACAGCGCTTGGTCTTCTGGTCGCTTGGATTGGTAACCATATGTGTTCTTATCACTGCGGGTGCGCGCAGCGTTCACTTTCGCGGATGCTTGTAGAGTTGGTTCCCATTCCATCATATCCTCTCGTCTAACTTCGGTTTTCTGGCCAGGCTGTTTCTGGGCAGCCTGGCCTCCATGATTCTGGTGGTTGTCATAGTTGTCCGAACTCTTTGTGTTGCCTCGAGGCCTTTCCACTGACCCAACAATTCCATCTGGCTGCTCAGCGAATCGCACCTCCTCGCCAGCCCAACATAGCTGCTGATGGCAGAGGGGTCAGAGCCTATGAGGGCTGCTTTCATTTTATCGTTTAGTGCCTCCTGGAGGTAGGAAATCTTGCTGTCATCTGGCCAATACTCGGCGTTGGCATTGGCGATCTCCTCTCAAAGCGGGGGTAAAGGACGTGAACGGTTCATTCTCTCCTTGCTTAATCGAATGCAGGTTGCGTGTAGCTCTCTGCTTGCGATCCCTCTCCCGTACAGCAATTCGAGGCGGTTGAGTAGTTCAGCAACATTGAACGTTTTCTTCTCGGTTTGCATCTCCACAAATGTGGTCACGTTGTCTTTAGCCTTGCCTTCTAGGCTCATGAAGATGTACATAAAGTGGCCTTCTGCATCTCCAAGGGCTTCTTTGTCGACTCGTAGCTTTCCTTCGGTTTCTAGTTTCCAGCTTCGCCACTGGGCCTTGTCGCCGCCGAATTTCGGTATGTCTCGTAATTTGGGGCGCTTGGTTGGGTGAGGGTTGTGAGTGGCGACCACACGAGTGTCCTCAATGGGGACAGCCGGGGTGACAGATGGCGTTGGCTCTAGGAGTTCAGACGAACGGGCTTGCTGGTGTTGTTGGAGTTCCAGGGCAATAAAACGTTCTTCAAACTGGGTGTTTCTTCGGGAACTCTCTTCTCTCAGACTTCGTATCTCGGCAACCAGGGCGCTGAGGACGTCCGGCTGCATGTTGTTGTTATCTTCGGCCATCGCGACTTCGCTGAACGCTAATAGTTCGACGGGACTCAGTTTGGTGTCTTCAGTGTCTTCGGTGTCTTCGGTGTCTTCAGTGTCTTCGGTGTCTTCAGTGTCTTCAATGTCTTCAGTGATCTTGATAGTATGTGAAAGGCCTCTAGTGAGTTGATACAACTAACTAGTCCCTATGCTGTTTACTATCAAGATAGAGAAGAAAGAAAGAAAGAAAGAGAATCTACTACATGAGAGCACAATAGCATTTTATAGCTTCGAGCCAATGGAAGGTTCTAGAAGCTAGGCGGCGCAGCCGCCGTTAAAGCGGCTTGCCCGTTACAGGATGCAAGAAGCAGCGCCTGCACCACAATTCATGACGACTTCTAGCTCTTCTTGGCAACATTAAACAGCTGGGGGAGAGTATATCGCGTGTAAAAATAGTCAATTATAATAGTCACTTGCAGCACCATCTGCTGGAGCGTGCACTCTCTACCTTTGCTTAGCAAAATGACGTGACAGTTGTTTCCTCACAGCAGCCGATGAGTGAGATCTACTAGGTTGGGCCACGATAATGAGGGCAAACAACATGCAAGATGAACGGCACGGCAGGGAAAAGCTTCCCCTGAAGAGCCTGCTAGCTGCCCTCAAAACAAGAAGAATTCCCTGCCAAGGAAAAACAGGGGTAATGCCAACCAAGCCTTGGGAGCAGGCCAGCAGCAAGGCAATTGCGTTAGGTGTAAACAACACAGAAACGGGGCTTCCGCTTGGTGAGAAGCTTGCTACACGGAGCGCGCCCTCTACAATAAGAAGCCCCTGCTTGAGAGTAATGAGAAAGAGGCAGAAGAGAAGGTGATGATTCTAAGCTTGGACTCGAGCACGAACCCTCGCCGCCGGGGAGCCAATAGAGGCGCGGGGGTCCGCGCCTTTAAAGTCGGCGCGGACGTCCGCGCCTGTTATGTAAGCCCGGCTGGCCATTGTGGGCGCCGCGAACAGCGCCCGCCGCGACCGCGCTGGCGCGCCAGTTTTACTGCACATATCTCCCGCACATCGGCAAAAGTACTCAACGGCCACAGCGTCAATTTGAGTGTCAATCGACTCAAATTTTTTAATCTAGAATTGCTGTGGTTTCCAACTGTGGCGCACTTATACAGACCGGTCCTAGCAGACGACTTATATGCGGGAATAGTTTGCCTGCTGTTCCTCCGAGTCTCTCGCAGTCAGCCCATATACCTGCAGTACCTCTTTCTCGTGAGAAAGGCTGCGCTTGCATTTCCTCGGCCACCCGGGCATCTAACCGCTCTTCTTCTGCCTTATCCCAATCAAGGTATGCCATCATCTCTTCCTTGGTCCATTTCCTCGAGCCGCAGCTCCTTGACATTTGCTTCCAGTCGAGGCACCAGTCATATTCAGTCTTGCTGTAGCGCAATGGCAAGCCCATTGCCTTCGGTATGCCTGGTTGGTCTTGAGATTGCCGCGAGGCTGTGCTCTATACCAAGAGTCTCTTGCCCTGACATACCTCTGATAGATGGCTCGTGGGTCATCATATCGTAGATTCTCCGTAGTCTCTGTAGCTTCTGCAATTCCTGTCGAGACTGCAGCAATTGTAGACACCGTAGAGACTGTAGTGACTGCAACCGTGATTGTCTCCATGACTGCTGCAGTCTGTGCAGTCTCTGAAATTGCTACTGCTTGTGCAGTCTGTGCAGTCTGTGCAGTCGCTGCAATTGCTGCCGTCTCTGCAGTCTCTGCCGCCCGTGCCTCTGCCCGCTGCAGTATGTCGCTATAGCGTAAAGGACAATTGCGAGATGTCATGATGTGCCCTTTCTGGTGGCATTTGCTGCATGTAGGTGGCGCCTTTGGCCGTAGAACTGGCTCTATGGCTTCAAATGCACTTGGCTCGCGCTGTGTGGATGACTGTGTTATCCTCGATGTGGCGACAAGTTGGTCCAATCGCCGACGAGGCTCTATGAGGACCTGACCAATCTCTTTGGTATCCCGTCGAAGGCGCCAATGCGTATGAAAATGTTGTGGCCGGAGTGGCAGATCTTCCTCTATGAGCGGCTGTAATGTGTGCGCACAAGGGAGACCGTGAGACTTGGTGAAGCTGCCTGTGCAAGCAGGGATGTCTTTCTCGTTGAGGCGCTTGTGTTGCTTTGCAACCTGTCGCAAGGCTTCGTGTGATACCCAGCCACGTACCGTGCTATATACGGTTCCAGAGAGCTCAATTGGCATCCGTATATGCTGCCTGGCTTGGTTGGCTTGTAGCTCGGCCAGTTGGTTGAGAAGAGCTTGCTTGATTGCCCTCGTTGCTTCGAAGAGGTCTAGTGTTGACTTCTTAAGGTGGCTCTTCAATAATGCGTGGATGCCTTCCACCCGGAAGTAGCCACATTGCCGAAATGAGCATATTGATCAACCCAGGCCTTGACGAGCTTTTCCTTATACGGGTCCAACCAGGTTTCCCGTATGTAGCTAACCTCCTTGACGTATCGTGGTACAAAGCGCTTCTCCAGCTCTTCAACTTGTTGATCGAATGTCTCCTCATCTCTCGAGCTCACGATTGAGTGCCAATACCCAAAGAACTCAACCCATTTCTCATCACTGTTAGAGTTCTCATCCTCACGGTCGAATGCTGGTTTGCAATAGCTAAGCACCGCCTTGTTCGCATGCCAGATGCAGAGCAGAGACCTTGACGCAGGAAAGCACGGGAAATTGCGTTCATGCAGGCAAGGCAACGATCTGTAAGGATAACGGATGGCTGGCGAATGTCATATAACTCGTATATCGATTGGAGTTGGTCCAGTGCCCAGATGTAGTCATCTTCATCTTCACCACTGAGAAAGGCAAAGGCAATACAGAATGACCGTTGGCAGGCATCAACGCCGATCATATCGAGCAGTGGCATCTTATATTTGTTCGTCTTGTATGTGCAGTCTAGAAGTAGTAATTCTGGGTATGCGTTGAGGTATTCTAGTGACGCCGGGTGTGCGAATAAGACCGCTGTGACTCGGCCGTCATGGTCAAGCTGTATGCGGGTTTGGAACCCTCGTTGTCAAGCTCATTGGCAAGGGCATGCATTGTGCTCTGCCCAGCAAGAAGCTCTCGTCTGCGCTGTGCGATACAGTTATATATGTCTTGCTGTGTCGCTCCTTGAGCAGTCTGAGAGCTCTGGCGCATATATGTCCGGATATCCTTTGGTGCTATGCCGGCGCTTGCGAGGTTCCCAATAGCTGACTGGTCAGTTGAGGAGAGGGCACGATGAGCTGGATGTGCTGTAATGTGCAGACTGGGCTCATGGTTGTGGACCGACTTCTCCTCGCCTGGGCGATGCCTGATATACCAGTACGACTTATCAAGGCTCTCTTTCGCATTGATGGAAAACTGGCATCCAGTGATACGGGAGCTTGTAGACCGTTGCCGTTCAGCTGGCTTCTGGTCCTTGCTTGTATGAGCCCCTGGTCTACCTCCACGATCACAGGCAAATGTGACTGTGCGTCTTCCGGACCGCGGGTCTCTCGTGGACTTGCCTGTGGTGAAGGCATAGCCTCTTGGAGCTGCCCACGCATTAATTGAGACAAGAAGGGACTCTCGCGAGTCGAATTGACCCTCAGGAGGAAGGCAATCGTCAGGAATTCAGTAAGCTCCATATTGGCCTACTCTGCGTAAGGGGCGGCGGATAAATTGGGCCGCAATGGCGGCGCGCTGACCCTCCGTGGATATGGTCGTGATATGCTTGCCACAGTACGGAGGGCGAGAGAAAGGAGAGGACAGGTCGGGGCCGGAGGCGGGCCCGACTATCTTCCGGCTGGGCTTACAAAACAGGCGCGGACGTCCGCGCCGACTTTAAAGGCGCGGACCCCCGCGCCTCTATTGGCTCCCTCGCCGCCGCTCAGGCTGACTAATACCATGGGCTAACCCAATCAGGGACGCCGACAACAAGTAGCCATGTACTGTACACGCTACAATCGCGTGACCGCCTGGCTTCGCCGTTCCTGGAGGAATGGACTGCTTTCTTCGACAAAGGTAAAAGGTACGGATACGCACACTAATTACCTGCTCAACGACTCGTCGACGACGAATGGCCAGTCTGCCTGTGCTACATCCATCTTTGCATGCTGCATCCTCCAGAGGCCAAATCTTACCCTGCAATCTGCCGTCGCGACACCAACACCAACCTATCCCGTGCATCCCTGGTCGCACACGCCAATCATCGGGGCGTGCTGCCATCGGCGTGTCGTCGCTGGCCTCGTCCGCTATCTGTCGGCTGAAAACGGGGGACAGCACAGAGTATCATCGTGCTGTATGCAAAGGCTAGCATCAAATACAGTACTCCGGAGCCACGCACTGCGTCCGACTGACATTTGGCCAAGGCGAACACCCTGGTGGCACATTCCAAGGTCCAGTCTGCGTGCCACACGAACGGTCAGAGCAGAGGCTTCGAGCGCCCTGGGACCTTGGATGCTTGGAAGGCCGGTCACGACGGGAGGCTGAGTATGGGAAAAGCAAAGAAACAAGCCCGCCGTGTCCTTGCATGACGCCATGCAAGTCAATAACAGCCATACATGTCTGACATCCCTTCGACGACCGGCCGAGTGGTGTATCAAAAGGCCTCCCACACATCATCTTTGGAGGCGATCCTTTACTGGTCCGAGTGAAGCGCTCGCAACCTCAAACAATGCCCTTGATCCAGCCCCTTGCTGCGTGGCCTGATCTTTACCCCCCTGCGCCTGGTCCTTGAGTTTCATTTTATACAAAGGTACAAGAGCGGCGGCACTGGCTTTCGCCCCATGGTCGTCTACTTGCTTTCACCGAGGTTGCTTTCGGCCAGCAATCGACGTTCCGAAATCCCGCGGGGGAATGCACACCATTTTTTTCTCCGCCATCAAGCTTGAGATGTCGGGAAACCAGGCACTTCCAGCATGCCACTCGTCACGGGAACTGCCGGCGGAGGCCCCGGAAACTTGTCCTTCAGCGTCCAGCCGTCGCCGGGCTCGGTCGGCGGCACCAGCTCCATCACGACGTACTGCAGGACGCCGTCTCGAACGCAGGGCGCAACGATATCTCGGGAAAGTCGCAATGGCGAGACTTCGGCTCGCTCCCCGTCCCTGCCTTCGGCCTGTCTTCCCGTCAGCTTATCATTCATTTGAGTGGAAATAGACGACGTCTTTGCCTACAAGACACATTGCACAGGGGGCTTTGGCCACCCACACCCAGTTCGGACAGTCGTGCGATATGAAGTATTTGCACCGATACTTGTAGAAACCGTTTCCACCCATGGTATCTCGAAGGGGCATCACAAGTTGCTAATGGCCAAAGTATCGATTGGGGCTGTTTCGATCACCCCAGAGAGCTAACAGAGCCCGGTGCTTAAGCTATCAGCTGGCGATGGTCGCCTTGAGGCTCTGACGGTTGACCCGCAGAAGTGGCCGGCTGTCGATGTCGAAAGACGAAGAGGGACGGGGGCGTGAGACGCTGTTGAGAGACGAAGAGCGGCTTGGTATTTATCTTGAAGCTCGCTCAGCCCAGGTACGCAAGTCTAAAACAACTGCAACTGTTATTCAGATCTAGAACCCGGAGCGGCATACGCATCCTCCCTCTGCCATGGTGGGAGCATCCAGGTGCAGACCGGCGTTGTGACGCAACGCTGAACACGCTTGACGCCGTGGAACAGCTGCCCGAGGGGTTACGCTACATGATGCCCCTCTCAAGCTCTAATCGTGGATCTTTGCCGTGGATCATCTCGTTACATCCTGTCAAGAGTGGTGGAACGGCCACTTCTGGAAGAGCAACCGCGAACGCCAAGGCTCTTCTTGATTTTTTCCCTCATATCCTATTACATATCCAAGCCGTCCTTTACTGCACGACTAAATTGACGTTAACAAGACCCTGTCCAGTCCGTTGATGCGCTCTGTGTAAGGGCCAGTCGTACTCACTTACTTGTCATGTCGAATCCTCGGCGGGAGTTTCATGAATCAGTTTCATGAACCGCAAGCTATCCGTCAGCCAAGCTGCGCGGTTGGACTTTCAACCCACGCCAAGCGTTGCTCGGCAGGTCGGGCCGGCTACGATGCTCCCCTGAGAGCCTCGCACCGATCATCAGTCTACGTGCGTGGGTTCAGGTATTAATAGGAGAGCCAAGAGAGCCCGGCAGAATTTATTCGCGCACCGACGATTTTCATACGCAGTGGCTTAGTCTGGCCCTCTCTTCTGGGCCATGATCCAGTCATGTCTAGCTGCGGCCCGGCGAAGCCGCCGAAAAGCAGCACCAGTCGGAAGGACATCCGCAAAACTCTGAACACAGCTCATGCTTGGCGACGAAGAACCAACAGTGCTCCGACCGGAGCCATGCGAGAGGGCTGCTTGACGATATGCCAGGAAACCCAGAAGCAGAGGAGGCTTGCCTTGGTCGGGCACCGAAGCAGCATCTCATCGCGGGCCGAAGCTTGGTCGGTGTGTCTTACAGGCTCCGTTCGGTAGACGAGCACAACCTGCTGTGTTCATGCAACACGCCCAGAAGGTTAATCCGGCGCAGCTCGGGACTATGTCGAAGCTATTCAACGCCAAGTTTGCGGACCCAAAAGACTAACACCCTGTCATTGTGGTCTTGCAGGAGCGCCGGTGAACACACCAAGGATCGGTAGCAGTGAAAAGCAAGATCGCAGCCTTAGTACCAGATATGCCGGCCCCCGGCTCTGGAGAATTGACGACTCACGGAGAGCTTGCACTGCAGATGATCATGCTTTGAACAGGCCGTCTGTCGAATGACACGCATCTTCAATACCAAGCTTTCCCTGCGCCCCAGACCCCGCTGCCAAATTGAAGAGCTGCGCCCTGGCACAAGCTTCCTGACCCTGCGGCTCAGGGTGACGTTGGAGCCGCCGAGCCAAGATCCGATCCTCCACCATACACCGTGATCGCTGGAATGCAGGAGGGTATTTGCCATGAACGCTGAAGTATCGGGGACTCAACTACTTGCCCGACTTTCACAGACCATGGGAGGTACATAGTCCGATATGTGCTGTGTGGCGGTGACCATATCACGACGTGGTCATAACACGGTTCAAGTTGTGGCTGATTTGGGTGCTTTAGATGGAGTGGCCCGCTCGTCATACCCCATACTTCACCGTCAAATTGCTTGTCTTCTTCCTGGACCATCAGACGCTCTCATGCGGAAAAGTATTAACCACGTAGACCAGACATGCGTCAATTCGGGGGCCACTGATGTATCTGGTTCAAGAACGGATTCAAACGCTGTCAGATGCTGACCCCAGGCATCCTGGGATGTATCGCGTGGATGCTGGATCCGTCATATATGTCAGGGTGTAATCCACTCGTGGCTGGCGAGATCTTGGCCTCGAACCTTTCCCATTCCTCTGATTCATCGAATCATGCGGCACTTTGCAAAAACCATGCAATCGAGCTACCTGTTCGAGCGGAGCCATACGGGCAGCTCTTGGCGCTGGCCGTGAACGCCAGCGGATGGACGGGCTGTATTATAAGGAGGCCGGATCTCGAGCCCGGACGTGGTGCCACTGAAACAAGCATGCAACCGGACCCAAGCCAAGCCAAGCGACCCCTACTGCACCCACAACTGCCTTGCCGTTGCGCCGCAGCGGTTCTGCTCTCCCTGGCCGATCCGGGTTCGTGTGAGCTCGCCAGGAGTGCATCAAGGCGGCTACGAGGCTGCCCGCCACAGCTGCTCAGGGGCCGAGAGGCGACCGTGAATTGGACGGTCTTCAGGGAGCAGGCTGCCACTCCATCGTCGATGATTGCAACCTCGTGTGTTTGCCGACTGCCAGCGTCCTCGGTCCGATGCATACACCGTCCCCACAGCGCAGCACGTACGGCCATGAACATGAACAGCGGGCAGACGGCGAGTGCATGTGGCACGTCGCACCGTCGACCCGGTGGTTTCCCCCCTGGCCCGGCGCTGTGAGCTGCAGCGGCGTCTTCTTGCTCTGCAGCATCACGCCTCTGTCGCCCGTCAACGGCGTTCTGCGGCTTTTCGCTGCACCCCGTGTCGTGTCCACGACCTCTCGACCCGTAGACTGGAGAGGAAGTCGGTCACAGCCAGGGCGCGCGCCTCGCCGAAGAAGCTTCCCCGTCTGACGTGCAGTGCCGCCGCCGCCTTGGTATGTTTCATCAGCGGCACAAAGCCACCAGCCACTGCAACAGCGCGCGGCCGGCCTCGGCGTCAGCCTACCGTGCGTCCATTCACGGCCACGACATCGAGAGCGTGGCGCCCCCCTCCCCTTTGTTCGTCGGGCTTGCTTGCCGTTGACATGCGCATGGCCCGCTTGCATTGTGCCATGAAGGGTGGGAGGAAGGGGGCTTGGACGGGTGTCCAAGACGAGATATAGGTAGGCTTTTGCATTCCGATCCGTGCATACGTACATGTGCTAATGTATTTATGCGCAGCAAAAGACTGGCACTTGGACTCGAACCTCTACCCCTGGCCCGGGTTGATGAGGCCCCAAGGGGAGTGCTCCGCCCCCATGTGAAAGGCCCGGCGTGTCGAGAGCGTCCCCGCCGGCGGATTGGGTTGCAGATCATCCTTCAGACCCATCACCACAGTCTGACAGTCTCAGACTCACTCACTGTCACGCCTGCATGCCCCAGGATCCGGTTCCCATCCCGCCCTGCCGAGCCAACGGCTGCACAGTTGCAGGTGCCGAATCATCAGCATCGACGCGAACCGGCATCGCGCACCAGGCTGGCTGGGACTGTGCCAGCTGCGTCGCGGCGACATCCGCCGCGCAGTCAGTAAGCACGCAGGCCCAAGGTGGACAAAGTCGAACCCCGAGCACGACATATGTAAAACTCTTCCCCGTTGCAGACGCCGTGTAACGCCGCAGTGTGGTCATGAAACCTCGAGTCTAGCTCTAACTGGTCGACGTGCCATCTGTCTACTCCAGTGCCCCGTATAGTATTGGGTTCATTTTGCCAACACGCTGCCGGCTCCCCTCCCGAAACAGACAAGCAGCATGCCCAGCCGCCGACGCCTTGAAACCAGACCAAGCAGCAAACGCATATACCGTTGCAATGCCGTAGCAAGCCTCTCTGTCGGCAACTCGTCGGGTGTGACGAGACCTGCCCCCCGTCGCCGCTCCCTCATTGGACGAGCCGCTCAAACTTTCAAGGGGGGGCATTTTCCGTCCGAGGCAACTCACCGTCCCGCCTTCATCGCCTCCTTGCGCTTCTTCTTCTCCGTCGCCCGCTTGAGCGATCTCTTGATGTCGCTGTCCTCGAAAGTGTCGAGATCATAATACACGGGTGCAATTTCCTATTGACGAGCAGTCAGCCATCATTCTCCGAACACGGCCTCGCGATCGCCTCCCAAGGCTTACCATTAGCCACTCCGGGCGAATGCCAGTGCACGTGCGGATGTATTGCTTCGACGTGAGCACAAACTCATTGTACACGACCCAATCGAACTCGGTGCGTAGGACCGTGGATGGGTGGATGAGGACGGCCTGGTCGTCCTTGACGGTGCGATACACCTTGCCCGAGCTCTCCTTCATGGCCACCTGCATGAAGAAGCCGGCCAGAAGGGCCCTGCGGATGTTGGAGTAGTAGGTCTTATCCTCAAACGGCGTCGAGATGAGCTCGATTCCGTGCGTCTCCATGATCCGCTTAAGCTGAGTCCGGACGTTATCGGCACTCGACAGGTGGCGGAGAGAGAGGAAGTGCTCGTGGCACCAGTTCTTCAGGCTTTCGGGGCTCGACGTGGCCTGGCCTTTGAAGGCGTGGTAGGCGTTGAGCAGCGTCAGGTGGTCCCCGTCCGGATGGCTGAAGTGGGCCTTCATCTCATCCGCCCGTTTGCGGCTGCTGGCGGGGCGGACAAAGATCTGGGGGACCGACAGCAGGGACGTGATGGAGAGCATCTCGTTGGAGCAGTAAAATTCGGGCGACGAAATCAACATGACGGCCAAGGAAGGATCCAGGGGGAACTCTGAGGCGAGGCTCCCCAGCGTCGTCAGCTCGCCCTCGTCGTCGAGACAGGCGAGGTAGTTGAGCTCCTCGAGCGCCCTCATCATCGTCTCGGGGGCCGGCGGATCCATCAGATCGAAATGGACGAGGTCCTCGACGCCGAGCTTCTTCAACTCCAAGACGGTATTGGCCAGGTTGGACCGGAGAATCTCGGGATAGGTCTGCTCAATGAGCTCCTTGTTGTGAGCGTGCTCGGTGTACAGTCTGAAGCACTTTCCGGGCTTGGTACGTCCAGCTCGACCGGCCCGTTGCTGCGCCGACGCCTTGGAAATTGGCGACACGAGCAGAGACTCGACTCGGATTCGCGGGTTATAGATCTTTTGCTTGCTAAAGCCGGGGTCCACCACGTACACGATGCCGTCAATGGTCAAACTAGTCTCGGCGATGTTGGTTGATACGATGCACTTGCGTCCGGGGCGTCCACCCTTGCGGAGCGGGGCGGGAGCCTGGTCGAAGATGCGCTGCTGCTGATGCGGCGGCAAGGTACCATAGAGAGGATAGATGGCGAGGGGCCCGGCGTCGACCTCTCTGACCAGTTCTTCGGCCTCGAGGCCGATCTTCCGGCAAGCATCTTCAATCTCGTCCTCGCCGGTCAGGAAGAGCAAGATGTCGCCCTCGGACTCGGACGCATGAATCTGCAGGACAGTTCGTATGGCGGCCTCGACGTAGTCCCTCTCTGGCTCCGGCGTATAGAAAATTTCGACGGGAAATGTTCGGCCGGGGACGGCGAGCAGCGGCGCGTCGTTGAAATACTTTTGGAACTTCTGAGCATCGAGCGTGGCGGACATGATGATGATCTTGAGGTCCAGGCGCCGGCTGGCAATTTGCTTGAGCAGGGCCATGAGGATATCAGTGGCCAGCGTGCGCTCGTGGGCTTCGTCGAGGATGATGCAGCTGTAGCGGGACATTTCATGGTCGTGCATGGCCTCGCGCAGCAGCATGCCGTCCGTCATGTACTTGAGCACTGTCTTGGGACCCGTCTTGTCCTCGAATCGGATGCTGTAGCCGACCTCCTGGCCGAGGGGCACGTCCATTTCATCGGCGACGCGCTGGGCGACGGACATGGCGGCCACTCGACGCGGTTGGGTGCAGGCAATGAGCTTGCCGGTCTGCTGGGGTAGCTCGTCGAAGACGACATATTGGGGAATCTGTGTTGTCTTTCCGGAACCAGTCTCACCGACGAAGACGAGGATCTGGGTCGAGTGGTACTTGTCAAGGAATTCTTGTCTGGAAACGGGGGCGCCGGGTTAGCAGCTGTCAATGCTCTCCCTCTCTGTCCACACCCACCTTTGCTTGTGAACAGGCAGGTTCCGCCGAGTCTCGAGGATGCGGAAGTACTGCTGCGTGTGCGGCTTGCCGGTGAAGGGGTTGGAGTCCAAGTCCTCGGCCTTGGAGGCCTGCTCGGCCGTCGTCTGGCGTCGCTTCATGCCGGCCAGGGGGCCGTAGCCGTTGGCCACGGCGCCGTCGTCTTGGTACATGTGGGCGAGGTAGGGGTTGAGCTTTGCGCCGGCGTCGTCGACCATCTTGGGCTTTTTCCTAGAAGCGTCGTCGATGGTGTCGGCGCTCGTGCGCTTTCCGCCCTTGGCCTGGCCGAGGTCCATTGCTGGGCTGGCACGTAGGTAGTTGAATTGCCGGGCAACAGCGAGCAATGGAAAATCGGGAAAATTTTGGCGGGACAACCGGCGAGGCGTTTGTTATCGATAAGGGAGGACCCTGGGGAGTTGCTACAGTGCGATTTTGCCGAGCGCCGCTGGAGACATCAGGTCTGCCACTTTGCCGCTCCGCTGACGAGCACAACGGGTTATGCCTGGATCGAAGCCGTTTTCCGGGCTCTGCCTCGCATAAAATGGTAAAGATTGGAGTGTTCGAAGTTCGAGCCCTCGCATTCAATCAAAATTCATAACTGTGCGGCGCAGGCCGTCTCTTCCGCCGTCGGCGCGTCTTTGCCGTGCCATGTGCCATGTGCGGCGCACACAGTGCCTCGCAGAGGCTCCAGTTTGATCTTCGCCGAACCAATGCAAAAAAAGCCAGCCAGCTGCTTTTCGCCTCTTCCACGGACTCCTCCAACCCCAGCAACAGTTGTTCGCCGTTTCTGAATGAGCAGTCAGCGTCGTCTTCGGGAGCACCTCTGAGCCCCGTTCGCCAGCTGACCTCGAGGCCAGCGCTGCCAGACGTTGTCGCTCGTCTGCCGTCCGTAATTCGGCAGAGAACAGCGGCCTCGTCGCGCCCCAGAGCAGCAGCATGGCATTCGGTGACGAGGGAGCAGCCCCGGCTAGCCCTGCCGGCTTCGGTCCTCAGCAGCCCCTTTTTCACATCGGAAAGCATGATTCAGCCCGGGACGTGCCTCTCACCGACTTGCAGTATGGCCATCTGCTCAATCAGGGTGTAAGTGACAGCCGTTTCCTCCAAGCAAAGCCGCGATCCCTCTGACCCCTAGCAGATCGGCTTCGTGACGACGCCCGTCACCAACAACCGTTTCAAGTCGAGGGTCTTCAAGCTTGTCTCGGACTACCTGGCGTCGCTGGAAAAGGACGGCGAAGCGGGCACCAGCACGGCCACGTCGTCTCGAGCCGAGCCCATCCTGCCGCCGTTGACGCCCGAGGATACCGGCCTGTTCCCCTCTTCGGCCGTAAACACTTACACGGCGTACCTCAGCCCCTGGATCGACCTCTGCTCCCTGGACCCCATCATCGCAAGCATCTCCCGCCAGGTCCTGAACCTCGAGATCAATTACGCGAATTTCTGCGGCGTTAGGAGCGTCGTCATTGCCGGGCCGTCGTGCGATGCTTCCAAGGACGACGGCAACCAGGGCCTCATGCAGTATGCCCGTGCCGTTCAGGAAGCACTAGCTATTGGGAATTGCTTGACTTTCTTGATCCACCTGCCCATGTATCGAGAGCCTGTCGCGGATGGGCAGTCGGAGACTCTATCGTCGATCAAGCCACAGGCATCTCAGGAGACGGAGGCGAAAGAAATTGACCTCTTTGGTTGCTGGGACTCTTGGCATCACATACGGACAGTGTGCAAGTACAACCCCAGGCTCTTTGTCGGTAAGATGAATGGACCCGATCCGTGTGTCGCGTAACGGACAGCAGTGCTAATGGCTTTATCACGCCAAGCACTCAAACTTCCAAAGGCGATGCCGGAAAAGGACCTGCGGAATCGATGGTTCGCGGAGCCTCTCCACTACCTGACCATCGGCCCTGAAGTTTTCCAAACAAACAAAACTGGTTACCCTTGCCTCTCAAGGCACCACCAGGAAACGATCTTTAGTTACATGAGGCTCAAGGCTGTGCCGTGGCTGCTCCTGTGCGACGTCGGCCCGGACGCCTCTCACTTCAAGGCACTTTCTCCATCATTTTTAGCCACGAGGCCGCCCATAGATGAAGAAGACTTCCCCAGCTTGGCTGAAGCCCACTCAACCGTCAACACGGCCCCGGGCCAGCCGAATCGGGGCAACGCCTACATGGCGTACCTGCAGTGGCTTGAGTCGCAGCAACCACCGTTCACAGCCTTGGAGTCGTCGACCTTGACGAGTTTCCAGGACTGGCTGCAGTCGCCACTCCAGCCCTTGTCAGACAACCTGGAGTCTGCCACCTACGAGGTATTTGAAGGCGATCCGGTCAAGTACAACCAGTACGAGGCTGCAGTCATCAAAGCCCTGAGCGAGTGGAAGGAGCTTGGGCTGCCGACTTCAAAGAAGGGGGTCGTCGTCGTGGCCGTGGCCGGCTCAGGCCGCGGGCCCCTGGTCACGAGGGCGCTCCAGGCGGCGGAATTCACTGGTGTTCCCGTTGAGGTGTGGGCAGTCGAGAAGAATCCCAATGCCTACGTCTATCTCTTGCGGCAGAATCAGACGGTATGGGGCGGCCGAGTCAACGTGGTCAAGACGGACATGAGGGCCTGGAAGGGCCCGGTGGTGTCCGAGTCGACAGACGCTGGGCCGGTCTACGGCAAGGTGGACATACTCGTCTCGGAGCTGCTCGGGTCCTTTGGCGACAACGAGCTGTCCCCGGAATGCCTGGATGGGATCCAGCATGTCCTCGCGAAGCCTTGCGGCATTTCGATCCCGCACTCGTACACGGCCCATCTCAGCCCCATCTCCACACCCAAGCTGCACGCCGATATCCTGACGCGATCCATGTCCGACGCTACGGCGTTTGACACGCCCTGGGTGGTCAGGCTTTACGCCCTGGACTTTGTCTGCCAGCGCGTGCCGGGCCGGCCCCGGTTCCAGCAGGCCTGGGAATTCTCCCATCCCATCCCGGAGGCGACGCTGCAGGCCATTCAGGCCAGGCGCTCGGGCGGCGTTGTCGGGGGCGGCGGCGGGAGCATGGCTGGAGCAGCGGGCGCAAACGACCACAACTCGCGGTACTGCCATGTCACTTTTGTTTGCCGCACCAGGGGAGTCATACACGGCCTGGCCGGATACTTTGAGTCGACGCTGTACGAGTCCAAGGTGGACGGGAGCAAAGGCGAAAAGGTCGAGATTAGCATACACCCGGAAAGGATCGACGCCAAGAGCAAGGACATGGTTTCATGGTTTCCCATCTTCTTTCCCCTCAACGTGAGTCGAGTGGCGCTGGAACGGAGGTAACTGCCAGGAGCATGGCTTTGCTGACGCTTATCATAGAAACCCATCACCTTTCCCGCCGACACGGAGCTCGAGGTCAGCATGTGGCGCCAAACGGACGACACGAGGGTCTGGTACGAGTGGTTGGTGGAAGCCTGGACTTGGATCGGGCCTGATTCGCGCATTAAGGTTGCGTCGTCGGACCTTTGCAGCAGCCGCAAGGTGGCCTGCCTTATGTAGCTCTCGCTCTCCCTGTGTGCACTTGGACAGACCGGCAGCCGGGGGGCGTTTTGCGTGAGGTAGAAAGAGAGGTGCTCGGCGTTTGCATGTGGTTTTTCCCGCGATGCCAAGGCCGGTGGATTGTGCATACATGTCCGGCAGCCCCGGGGACAGCCGGATGCTACTCGGGGTCACATCGGGGAGCTTCGATACCAGTGTTCCGGATTTTGCTCCGGCGGGGGCCATACATGGATGCCTGGGGTGAGGCGTCTTAAACGAGTGCAAAGCCCGGGCACGGCCATTGCCGTCGTCATTTTTCAAAGCGTCTGAATGTACTTGCCTACGCTTACTTGGGAGAGCAAGAGGCCTCCTCGCCCATTTCTTCCACTGCGTAGGACCTGCACAACCTCATCATGGCCTCCCGCCGCGGCACTTTGAAGCGCCGTCTGGCCTCGTCCCCTCCCAAGGTTGCAGGTATTCACGTCAGCGCCGGCTTTCAATAGCCTCTGGATGGTCTCTACTCGGCCTTTCTCGGCGGCGGAATGTAGGGCCATCCCTTCTCCATAGATACCGCCCAATGCATGGATGTTAGCACCTGCCTCTATGAGAATGTTAACGATGACTATGTCACCCCGCAAGCAAGCCCCCTGCAGAGCTGTAAACTGGCTCCACGTCGAGGAGGAGGCTGGACAACATCCTCACGGAGTAGCTATGAGCTTCGCAAGCATCGTCGGAAGAGGCAAGCACGTGAGGATCTAGATGCATGGGGCACCCCTAGAATTCCGAGGCCATGATGATGGTGAGTCAGCGTAGTCTCTATTCTCTAACAGCTGCTACTGCTCGGCAGCCACGGATTGCCTCGGCATCTCGTCCTTAATCGGCGCCATGTCTCTATTATTAAGACGGAGCGGCGCCGCTGCTTCCGCTGCTCTCCGACCGGCCGGCCCCGCCAAGCGTCACCCCGTGATTGCCGAGGGAACCCCTCCATCGTCAAGCTCCCACCGCCAACGACGACGAATTGCACACACAATTGCCGAGCACCCGAGACGTCCATCATCGACCATGAGCTCGCAACCCGCACATCCGACGCTGCTCGTCCCGGGCCCCATCGAGTTTGACGATGCCGTCCTCCAGTCCATGAGCCACTACAGGTACGTACGTCATCGACACCATGTGAGGCTTCTTCTCCTTCTCACGCCCCCCGTCGACAGCGAGAGCCATGTCAGCGCCGGCTTCGCAGCCACCTTTGGCGAGACGCTGTCGATGCTCCGCCAGCTGTTCCAAGCGACGGATCCCGCCGCCCAGCCCTTTGTCATCAGCGGCTCCGGCACCCTCGGCTGGGACCTGGTGGCCGCCAACCTGGTCGAGCCGGGCGAGAACGCCTTGGTCCTGAGCACGGGCTACTTTGGCGACGCCTTTGCCGACTGCCTCCGCGTCTACGGCGCCAACGTGACCAAGCTCGACGGGCCCGTCGGCGGCCGCCCGCAGCTGCCCGAGATTGAAAGGGCCCTGGCGGAGAAGAAGTACAAGGTGCTCACGGTGACGCACGTGGACACGTCGACGGGCGTCCTGAGCGAGATCAAGGGCCTCGCTGCGGCGGTCAAGAAGGTTTCCCCCGAGACGCTCGTCATTGTCGACGGCGTGTGCAGCGTGGCCTGCGAGGAGATTGCCTTTGACGCGTGGGGGCTCGACGGCGTCATCACCGCCGGGCAAAAGGCCATTGGCTGTCCTGCTGGCCTGTCCATTTCCATGTTCAGCGGCCGAGCCATGCGGGCTCTTGAGAGCCGCAAGAAGGAGCCCGCTGCGTACTTTGCCTCGATGAAGCGGTGGCTGCCGAGTAAGTTGGGGTGATGATAGGCCAACCCAAGCCCCTCTTTTCCCGGGAAAGAATTCTTTGCCATGAAATGCTCACATAAGAAACGCAGTCATGCAAAACTACGAGGCAAAGAAGCCGTCGTACTTTGCCACACCCTCTCCGCAGCTCATCCACGCCCTCAACACGGCCCTTAAGCAGATCCTGGAGCGGCCGCTCTCGGAGCGCTTCCAGAAGCACATCGAGGTGTCGGACAAGGTCAAAAAGGCCGTGGGGGACTTGGGCCTCAAGATTGTCGCGACCAAGCCTGAGGATCAGTCTCACGCCATGACGGCCATCTACCTGCCGGACAAGGTGGCGATTCCCGACATCCTCCCGAAGCTGCTGAGCAAGGGCATCATCTTTGCGGGTGGACTCCACAAAGAGATAGGGACAAAGTACATCCGGTTCGGGCACATGGGCGTCTCTGCGGTAAGTGGTTCCTTGAGCGAGAGCTTGTCTTCCTTCTTTTGCTGCGTAGCTCATCTACTGACAAAAACATGACTTGCACATTCAGCTCGACCCCAAACGGGACGATATCGACCGGGCTCTCGAGGCGTTGCAGGCGGCGCTGGCCGAGTGCGGCTACCAGAAGCCGTAGAAGGCGCGGGAAGTTTGGAGAAGAACATCGGCCGACCCCGTCACCTGGACTGAACGGAAGTGATGGAGGGGCCAGAGTCAAAGTCTGTCATTTTTCCAATACGATGGTCCTACGTTACAAGAGTCACGAGACTTGCAAGGTTACCCCGGGCTGTCAGTCGCATGTTGAAGTCTGAGGCCGAAGGTCTTGAGTGGCAGTTTACGTTGGCAGCTGCGCGTGAGTGGTGAACCTCTCGCTCCACTTTGTGCTTGGGCGAATGACGTTGAGCCCTTATGCTGCCCACGAATTCGCATGGTTGTATAGTAACAACACATGGACGATTTTCATTTAGATCAAAATAGCATTCTTGCTTAACGAGACTGCAAATAGGAAACAGCAGGACACGGACGATGTATAGTTTGACGGAAATAACATCAGAGCCTATCCGGCAGACACTTGATTAACGAGACTGCAAACCGAAAACTGCAGGACATGGACGTGAAGAGCAAACAGAGAGTTCAGGTGAAGACAACAAGGCCTCTATATATACCCACCTCTTGACTATCGGCAAACGGCACACAGCTTAGCTTACAGGCCCTCGGTAATGAGTGTTTTCCGAAGCAAGCATGGAAAGGTGGTTGGCATCATGACCGGCCGTTGGCGCGGGCGTTGTGCACAGTGTGGATAGTATTGGTACGGCTGTGCGTGGGATCCACCAGAACGGTGACAGGCGGCGGTAGGGTAGGGAGTGAGGCAGGTACTGTAAGGTAGTTAGGTAGTAGTCCAAAGTACTGGAGTGCCTTTTCATTTCCGTCTTGGTAATGACTTGCTGTGCGTCATGCCCAACCCAAGAGGAAGATGCGGAATAGCCGTTGCACGGTTATATGCCCGTCATCTCACGGAAGCTGTCCAAGAAGAGAGAGCACGGTCGGGGGGGGCCCGACGTGATGGCGTTTGGTGGACCCGCAAGAGCTGCGGTGAGCTTGTACCTTGGACTTGGCTATCACAGCGTCGACACACCGTGCAGTGCCTGCTGCAGCAAGTGGGCTAGTACTCCGTGCTACTAACAGATGGTGCAGGCAAAGATAACGGGGAGCCTCCGTCAGGTGACTGTTGCTACAAGGCAGCTGACGTAGGGGTTTATCAGAGCGGAAGATACTAAGACAAGGTGAAGAACAATGGACCGTCGAATCAAGGTAGCGAGTACTCCGCAGGCGCCCCGCCGCTGAATCTCAGTGGCTGGCTGCCCGCCGACTGCCAACTGTCCGCCCCGGCGGCCACCCGACAGTAGGTACAGTACTTGTAGGCTGTACAGTGCACGCCTGTATCTTGGGCTTGGGTGTACATCATCTCTTGCAAGCTTGCTTCAACACCGCAACCCCTCCACCTCTCTCCCCAGGACCGGGGCTCGTTTTCTTCACTTTTCCATCCCCCTCTCTCCCCAACTCCCCAGCCGCCGTCCACCTCGCGCATCGCCCCCCTTTGCGAAGCCCGCCGAACCCCCCTTCCGCTCTCTGCGCCAAGAAGCACACGGCTTCCACGCATCGCACAGCGTTCTTTTCGTGCGCTGCGCCGGCTGCTGGCCCCGCCTCTCGACTCTTTGGAGATTCCCCCGCCTCGGGCTGCCTTCCCCTCGCTCCTGTTGCTCACCATGGCTGTCTCGATCGAGGAGCTCGACACCACGGTCCGCACCTTCTACGAGGGTCGCGGGGACCAGGTCAGTCTCGCTCTCTTCAGTTCGCCATGTCCCGTTGCTGACCCATGTCCGTCCAACAGCAAAAAACCGCCCAAGCCGCATTGAACCAGGTAAAGAAAAGCCCCTCCCCCGCCTGCCACAGGAGATATATATACACACACATATATATCCTGCCTTACGCCCCATTGCCATCGTCAAGCGAGCGACACTTTGCGGCTGAGCTTGGGCTAACGTCTTGGTCACCACAGTTCAAGGAAGACCCCGACGCTTGGCTCATGGTCGACAAGATCCTCTCAGACGCGCAGTATCCGCAAACAAAGTGTATGCCACTCCATGACCCGACCCCCCGGACGAGCACGAATAAGCTGACAATCCGCGAGACTTGGGTTTGCAGGTCCTTGATAATGTCATTTCTACGAGGTGGAAGGTGCTACCGAGGGACCAGTGCCAGGGTCAGTCCTCGTCTACCCCTTGTTGCGAGCGCTCCCGGCTAACTTTTCTCGGCGGCAGGTATTCGAAACTTCATCGTTCAGTTCATCATTCAGAGCTCGAGCTCCGAAGAGGCTCTGCGGAGCAACAAGACCTTGCTCAACAAGCTCAACCTCGTCCTCATCTCCGTCCTCAAGCAAGAATGGCCGCACAACTGGCCCACCTTCATCAATGAGATCATTTCATCGTGCCACGCGAACCTCTCCATCTGCGAGAACAACATGATTATTCTGCGCTTGCTATCCGAAGAAGTATTTGACTACTCGGCCGAGCAGATGACGTCGACAAAAACGAGGAACCTCAAGCAGACCATGTGCGCCGAGTTCTCACAGATCTTCCAGCTTTGCCAGGAGGTCCTCACCACGGCTGACCAGTCCAGCCTGATCAAGGCGACGCTCGAGACCCTCCTTCGCTTCTGCAACTGGATCCCCCTCGGCTACATTTTTGAGACCCCCCTCATCGACACGCTGCGCACCCGCTTCCTGTCGGTTCCCGAATTCCGGAACATCACCCTGCAGTGCCTGACGGAGATTGGTGGCCTGCAGACCGGAGGGTCTGGCCAGTCCAACTCGTACGACGAGCAGCTGATCAAGATGTTCACCGAGGTCCTCACCACCATTGCCGACATTATTCCCGTCTCCCTCGACCTCAAGAGCACCTATCCGAGCAGCAACTCGCGAGACCAGGAGTTCGTCCAGAACCTGGCCCTCTTCCTCTCCAACTTCTTTGGCATGCACCTCAATGTAAACCCCCGAATCCGCACTCCATTTCATACGTCAAGTTTGACTGACACGTCACAGCTCATCGAAAACCTCCCCAACCGAGATTATCTTTTGCACGGACACTACTATCTCATCAGAATATCCCAAATCGACGATCGCGAAATCTTCAAGATTTGCCTCGACTACTGGCTCAAGCTGGTCCAAGAGCTCTACGAGGAGATGCAGCAGTTGCCAATCACCGACTTGAACCCGCTCATGGCGGTTGGTGGCGGCATGTCAGGCAGCGGCGCTCCCAATCCTTCGCTGCTCATGAACTACCCCTTGCGAAAGCATAAGTACAACGAAGTTCTTTCGAACTTGCGGGTCGTCATGATCGAGCGCATGGTTCGTCCCGAGGAAGTTTTGATCGTTGAGAACGATGAGGGAGAGATAGTGCGCGAGTTCGTCAAGGAAAGCGACACCGTGCAGCTGTACAAGACGATCAGGGAATGCCTGGTCTACCTCACCCACCTCGACGTGGTCGACACCGAGAATATCATGACGGAGAAGCTTGCCCGTCAGGTGGACGGCACCGAGTGGTCATGGCACAACTGCAACGTTCTCTGCTGGGCCATCGGGTCCATTTCGCTGGCTATGAACGAGGAGACGGAGAAACGCTTCCTGGTCACGGTCATCAAGGACCTCCTGGGCCTCACCGAGATGAAGCGAGGCAAGGACAACAAGGCTGTTGTTGCCAGCAACATCATGTACATTGTCGGCCAGTACCCCCGGTTCCTCAAAGCCCATTGGAAGTTCCTTAAGACGGTCGTCAACAAGCTCTTTGAGTTTATGCATGAGTCTCACGAAGGTAAGAAAGGCCTTATTCCACACTGCTCCATGGAGCGTCCCCGCTAACTTGCTCGTCAGGTGTTCAAGACATGGCCTGCGACACGTTCATCAAGATCGCCCGCCAATGCCGACGCCATTTTGTTGCGCTCCAGCCTAGCGAGCAGGAGCCCTTCATCGAAGAGATCGTCCGGAACATGGGCAAAATCACCTGTGATCTCACTCCCCAGCAGGTCCATACCTTTTACGAGGCGTGCGGCTACATGGTCGCCGCGCAGGGCAACAAGCATCAACAGGAGAGACTGCTTGCGGATCTCATGAGCATTCCGAACGCGGCCTGGGATGAGATTATCAAGCAGGCAACTATAAATCCGTCCATTCTGCAAGACGCGGAGACGATTAAGGTCATCGGCAACATCATGAAGACTAACGTATCGGCATGCACCTCTATTGGGTCGTATTTCTATCCTCAGATCGGGCGCATCTACCATGATATGCTTCAGATGTATCGCGCAACGAGCACCCTCATCTCCGAGGCCGTCGCACGAGATGGTATGTTATCGGCGCGTGGCAAGGTCTGAATTCGGCTAACCAAGTCCTCAGGCGAGCTGGCGACGAAGATGCCCAAAGTTCGGGGCCTGCGTACGATTAAAAAGGAGATTTTGAAGCTCGTCGAGACGTACGTCGAAAAGGCCGAAGATCTGCAGGCCATCCGCGCCCAGATGGTCCCTCCTCTCCTGGACTCGGTCCTGGTCGACTACAACCGCAACGTTCCGGGAGCGCGCGATGCCGAGGTCTTGAGGGCCATGTCAGCCATCATCACCAAGTTATCCGTATGTTGCCACGCGAACAAAGAGACGCAGACTGCCATGCTGACATTGGCACATCAGGCCTTGATGGAGGACCAGGTTCCGACAATCATGGAAAACGTCTTTGAATGCACGCTCGAAATGATCAACAAGGACTTTTCTGAGTTCCCAGAGCACCGTGTCGAGTTTTTCAATCTCTTGCGAGCCATCAATCTTCACTGCTTCCCAGGTAAGCCACACGCCGATCCACGCCCGCACAGCCACTAACGGACCAAATTAGCCCTCTTGAAGCTGGATAATAACCAGTTCAAGTTTGTCATTGACTCGTGCTCGTGGGCCTTCAAGCACGACAACCGAGACGTCGAAGCGGCCGGCCTGAACATGTGCCTGGAGCTCATCAACAACATCGCCGACAAGACAGATGTCGCCACTGCCAATGCCTTCTTCCAGCGCTTCTTTGTCACAATTCTGCAGGACGTGCTGTTTGTCGTTACTGACAACGACCACAAGGCCGGCTTCAAGACGCAATCGATGCTGTTGATGAAGCTGTTTTACTTTATCTATCCCGCCGACGGGACGCAGCCCAAGATCCAAGGGCCCATCTACTCACCTGACCAGGCTCAGGCTGGAACCAGCAACAAGGAATTCTTGGGCAACTCGGTCGCGACGCTCCTTCGCAACGCCTTTCCCAATTTGCAACCGTAAGTGTCCAGCTTTTCCTCTTTACTCCAGCCTCTGGTGCTAATCATGGACAAACAGAGCGCAAGTGGCGAGCTTCGTCGAGGGCCTCTTCAGCCTCAACACGCAATACGACAAGTTCCGACTCAACCTTCGAGACTTTTTGATCTCGCTCAAGGAATTCGCCGGCGACAATGCAGAGCTTTTCATCGTCGAGAAGGAACAGCAGGAGCGCGACGCCAAGGCTGCAGACATGGAGCGGCGACAGAAGGTGGGAGGTCTCCTCAAGCCATCCGAACTCGACGATGACGAGCTGTGACTGCGCGAAGAACTGCGAACAGAGTTTGCGTCGAAGCGTGAGGTAGAGAGGCCTCCTGCGACCGAGGGCAGCGCGGATCTCGGCGGGAACGGAGACGGCTGGGAGCTTTACGGCCTCTAAGCCCAGCCGTCCACGACGATTAAAGAGGGGTACAGTTGCTGTCGAAGTCAGCAATGGTCTCACATCAATTCTCTTACCGTAATGATACCAAGCTTAGATGGATCGCCGGCTGCGGCGGCTTCGGATGAGAAGGCCCTGCCGGTGGCTGGCACAGCACGAGAAAGGGCTCTCTTTCTCTTCATACTCTCCTCAACTGGATGCTGGAGGGCATCTCATGGGTGGTGAGATGGTGGAAGTCGTGTTGTGAAATCTTACTTCTCTGGGGGATCGAGACGGGTGATGGAGTCAGGACGACAATGGTGAAAAGCGCGATGAAGTTGATGAGAGAAGATGGATGCAGGGGTTCCATCGAGGATGTAGATTTCGGCAGACGCCGCCAAATCGAAGAAACATGGAAGACTGCGGCCCTCCCGTCGAAAACCCAGATAGTAATACCCAAGACGTCGACGGTGTTGCGGAATGCTCGGAATTCCATTCTGGGACGACACATTGGTCGAGTCATGATGTGAGGCTTCACTGGTCGTATACGTAGGCACATGGCGCGAGGGATATCTACTCGTCTCCTCATGCTCTCTTCTCTGGGCATTATACACAGGATGATGTAAATTGATGTGATCAAAAGGTGCGTCTCCCCAAAGGTGCGTCTCTCCTGCGGTATGAAGGGGGCAGGTCACCCAGCCGGAGTGGGCGGGCAGCCATGCGCTTCAGACCCATCAGCCGTTGTCCTCGCTGACAAGCTGCAGCGGCCACGCCATGGCGTCGGCCCAGTAGCCGCCGAGGTGGTGGCCAATGGCGCGGATCATGGCGGCGCCGGCGTCGCCAAAGATCCAAAGGGCGCGGCATCGGTGCAGCAGGACGGCGCAGTGGGCGAGGATGACGAGGGCCTCGGGCTGGTGGCGCTGCAGGGCGTCGACATAGTCCAGGCTGACGGTGACGCAAAAGGCCGAGACGGCGTGGGGCCCGCCGGCGACGTCGTCGTCGAGGTTGGCGTAGAGGTCAAAAGCCCACTGCAGGGTGGCGACGGCGTCGCGGCAGGCGGCGAGGGTCGAGGGGCCGAGGTCGGAGGCGTCGAGGAGGGAGGCCAGGGGGCGGCACTCGTCGCGGCGGGCGGCGGGGTCGGAGGCGTCTTGTCGGGCGGCGGCGCGGGCGTGGGCGGCGCGGGTGATGCTGAGCAGCGGCTCGATCTCGGAGCCCAGCAGGTGGTCCCAGGTCGGGCGGATGACGGCGCGGACGCCGTGGTGCAGGCGCAGACAGTCGACGAAGCCGTCGACGAAGCGGTGGAAGGGCAGGCGGCCGACGTCGGCGAGGGCCTCGGCCAGCACGTGCAGGCTGAGGGTGCTGGCGAAGAGGAAGCGCGGGATGGAGCTGGCGGTTGCCTCGCCGGCCTGCTGTTGCTGCTGCTGCTGCTGCTGTTGCTGCTGCTGCTGCTGTTGCTGCTGATTCTGGGCGGTGCTCGTGAGGCGGGTGAAGCAGGCGACGGCTCGCGTCTGGAGCTCCGTCGCCGTGTGCCGCAGGGCGGATGGGGTCGTCATGCCCTGCGGGAGGAGGGAGGAAGACGACGACGGCGGCGGCGGCTGGGAGACGACGGGTGTGGGTGCGGGCGAAGCCGGAGATGGTGTCCTCGCGCTGCTGCTGCTGCCGCCGCTGCTGCTGCCGCTGGCCATGGCAGTGGCTGTTGCGAGGTGCAGGGCGGACAGGGCGAGGACCTGGTCGATGAGATAGGGGGCGTCGACGGCGTGGCGGACGGCAATGTCGACGATCTGCCGGGCTTGTCGGCGCGCCTGGGCGTGGTCGCCGAGGGCCGTGGCCGCGTGGTGCAGCAGGACGAGATGCTGAGCCGTGTACGGCGGCGGCGGCGGGGCTTGGCCGTTGCCGGGCGAGGCGCTGTCGTGGCCTGTCCGCTGCTGCTCCTGGTGCTGCTGCCAGTGACGAGACCAATATGGAGGAGGAGGGACTTGCGACGCCGAGGTGTCGGGTGAGGGCACCGGCGCCGAGCCGAGAGCCCCGCTCCGCTCCCCGCCATCCAAGCCGGCGCCGTCCGAGAGACGGGGGCCTTCCCCGTCCGCCGCCGCCAACGCCTCGCGGCCCTCCCCGCCGGTTCCCCGCCCCGCCCCGGGAGGCGGCGGCCGCGGCGGCGCGGGGAACAGACAGGCCCGGCGCCCGGCGGTGCAGTGGGCGCACACGGGGCGCTGCTCGTCGCACCGGATGTGGCGGCGCTTGCACTCGGCGCACCCGCCCCTCGACTTGCGATGGGACCGCCGCCGCCGCCGCCGCCGCGTGGCTGCTGCCGGCTCCCCCTCCTCCTCCGCCGCCGCATCGTCGTCGTTGGCAACGGCTGCGGCCGTCCGGACGCGCGGCGCCATGCCGACGGGACGGGCTCCTCTTCCCCCCTCCTCCGTCCCCCCCCCGCTCTCGCTGATTAGTGGTGGGTGGTGCGGCTGCGTGGTTTCATTTGGATTAGGCATGCGCGGATGAGCTTGTGGAGCAATAATTAGATCGGTTACGGGGGCTGGGGATGGAAAAGGAGGAGGATAGATGGAGTTCGTAGGTTGAGCTTTGCTGGCATTGGTAGACCTCGGCTTAGTCAACGAATGCTCTTCTTCAACCAGACGCAGCGACTCGGCCGGTATTTACTGTTTGCCAAAATGACTCGTATGCAGGCCCTCGATGACGATATCTATCCTTCTGTCCCATGTCTGTCTAACATGTATTGCTGACAATCCCCTAGGTTTTCCCGTACACCTTCCCTAGCCTCTTTTCTTCCACGGAGTGAACAACACTCATCCAAAGGACAAGAAGTCTGTTCACTTCTCATGACCGCCGCCACGCGTCCGCAACCCATCGGCCAGCCCCATCCCCTCGTGGCCAGATAGAGAGCTCGCCTGCTCACGCGGCCACGCCTTGGTGTTCGCCGCCGTCAGCTCCCCGGGGTACACCCACCCGTAGACAACCGTCACGGCCAGCATCGGCACCGCGTCAAACACGTACAGCGTCCACTCGTAGCGCAGCAGGTATCCGTCCTTGCCCATGACGTACTCGACGACGCGGACGACGCACCTGACGAGGATGAGCGCCGTCGTGGCGTACAGCATCAGCATGGCGCGCATCCACCGCTGCCCGCCTCCCTCGAGCGAGCCGCCCGTCGGCCAGCGCCGGATCCGCACGTCGAAGACGACAGCCGTGATGGCGAAGAGGCCGAACATGACAACCTGCACAACCAGCCCGCCGAGAATGATGTTCTGCGCCGTCTCCTGGCTAAAGTTGCCCATCCCCATGAGCCCGCCGCCAGAGCCCTGCATGAGGAACGACAGCACGTCCCCGGCCACAAACGCCCGCGTGAGCCATCGCACGGGCACGAGTGAGTGCCGCTCCCCTTGAACGCTTCGCATCAGCCGGCCCAGAGTCATGTAGATGGATGCCGCGTAGAGGGCCGGGGCGACGAGAATGAGGATGCTTTGCACAACGTACGGTCCCAGCTGGTCCGTCTTGTCCTCGGCCACGGCTCTGGCGCCGTATCCTGCAATCTCAACTGTGTTTGCAAGGCGGGCAAGTCAGCCATCCGCCAGGTCAAGGGGGCTGCCGGTCCGTAGAGAAGCCGCCGTCGACTTACAAAGACCACCGAGGGCGAAAGCAATGCTGAAGAGCGTCCGCGTCCGAACCATGCGCCACACAACGACGAGCGTCGCAAGCCCAAAGAGAATCGCCAGTAGTATGGCCGCTGGTTTTGACGGGACATAGTCCCAGAGATAAAAGTTGCCGCGAAAGGGTTTCAATTGCGCCATTGTCGTTGAGCCTATCGTTGCTTAAGCAGATTTGGCTCCTGGAGGATGCTCCGATGAAGCCGCTCCAAGAGCCGACATTGTCTCCCTTCTTATACCGCCGTGCGTCCTCGGTTTGGTCCTCGAACCCCAGAGAGTCGGAGTCAACACTGCCCGCCGTTGTTCAGGAGCAAGGCAGGGTGCGGTGACATTTCCAAATCGGGACGGTGTTCGTATCCAGACACGCGTATTGTGAAGTCCCACTTCAACAAATACGCGTATTTAAACCATGTCCATTTGGCGCCGTGATTTCAACTTCAGATGGCCCAGGACTTCACAATACGCGTATTTAAACCATGCCCATTTGGCGCCGTGGCTTCAGCCTCAGAGGGTCTGACTGTTAGTTCGCTTCGCCTCACGGCCACCAGACCGAAACCTGGTTTGAGACTTGCTTTTTCGAGGGTCAATGCGCCTCCAAAACGCGCGTTTGGAGCAGACCCTCGAGCGTCAACACTCGATGCCGCAAGGACATCTATCGTCGGTCGCACTTGCTTGGATTGAACCAGGGTACTGCATTGCCTAATCGTCGAAGCCCTCGAACTCATCATCCTTCGACTCGGCCCTTGCCTCGTTTTGCTTCCGGACCTGTTGGATCAGTTCCTTCAGTTCCACCTGCTTGGCCCTGTCCTCCGTCGTCATGTTGGCCCACTTCTCGGCCTCTCTTTTCTTGTGTCGCTTCTCGCGCCTCTCGACCCGCAACCCTTCCATCTCATGCTTCCCACTCCAGGCCTCGTTGTTCTTCCTCTTTCGCTTCAAGTCGGCCACCTTGTCTCGGGTCTCTCCCGACTTTTCAGCCTCTAGCGCCTCCTTTCTCGCAATTTCTCTTGCCTTGTCCTTGTACTCGAACGCGTCCCAGTCCATTTCGACTCCCAACATCTTGTCTCCCTCCCATCGCTTCAACTCGGGCATTCTGGGCATGCGAAGAAGGCCCCAGGCATGGCCCAAATCTGTCCAGTCAAGGTCCCCGACTCGGAATATCGACGTTGCCTGGTGAGCGCCGTAACTTCGAACCCAGCTGACAAAGGCCTTTTGAGCCTTGTCGTAGAGCGCTCGATCTTGTTTAACAATATTTCGAATTGTCCGCGATGCCGTCGCGGCGTCATCCTCCGAGACAGAAACCTGGGGCTTCTCCAGCGGGATAATCGGGGTCTTTCGAACTTCCAGGAATCTAATGTAGTCCTCCTCTCGTCCGGGGTGCAGCATCACTACCGCGAGTCCTTTCCGCCCTGCCCTCCCAGCTCTCCCGCTTCGATGGATGAAGACTTTCGGGTCTGAAGGTGCGTCAATCTGCACGACCAGATCGACCTGGGGAATATCCAGACCTCGAGCTGCCAGGTCCGTGGTCAAGAGTATTGTGGGGGATACAGAAGTCAGGAAACGGTTAAAGTTCTTCTCGCGCACCTTTGCCGCATGTTTGCCATGAAGGGGTATCAACGCGAAGCCAGCCGGGAGGAGCGCGGGAAGAACGTGCTGGAAGTAATCGACGGCAGCACAGGTGGAGAGAAAGACGATACTTCTTTGCGGCGTCACAGGAAGTCGCTCCAGGAGTTGCGATAACGCAGGCAGTCTTTGGCTTGCTGGCTTCATCAAGTAGGCCATCTGCAGACTGGCCGGTATCTTCCTGTCCTCGAGAGTGCCGCCGTCTTTCATCTTGACCCTGACCTCAATCTTGACGGGATTGCGCAAGCCGACCCTGATAATCTCACCAACGGCTTCACTGACACTGGCGCTGAACAAGCCGGTTCGTCTTTGTTTGGGCAAGCGTGAGATGATTCCTTGAAGGTCCTGTTTGAAGCCGAGATCAAGCAGTCTATCAGCTTCGTCGAGAACAAGAATCTCGAAGGAAGACTGGGGGCAGTGGACGTGGGGTGAGGCCAAAAGCTCAACGAGTCGGCCGGGTGACGATATGAGAAGGTTGGGGCTGTGACGGAGGAAGAAACTGAGATCTTGGGCTGGCGTAGTTGTGCCGCCCACGAGCAGCTGGGGCACGACGACGGGCACCGCGGTGGCCGGCCGCTTCTCGTCGCCTTTTAGGTACGGCACAAGCTCAGCAGATGGGGGGTGAAACTCGAGAAGCGACAGGAGGACAGAGTGAATCTGAGCAGCCAGCTCCCGCGTCGGGGAAACGATGATGGCGCCAACGTGATGTTTCTTGGTGGGCTCCTCGAGCCGCAGCAGCCTCTGCACGGCGGGGATCAGGTAGGCCAGTGTTTTGCCGCTCCCGGTGACGGCCTGCATTAGACGTGTCAGTAAGCTTCTCGAGTTGGAATCTGGGGCCGGCTCACCTCGACAACCACATCTTTGTTGCCCATAAAGTGCGGCAGAGTGGCGGCTTGCACAGGGGTCATCTGACGGAAGCCCATGGTCGACACGGCGTCGAGGATCCATTCGGCAAGCGGCGGCGTGAGAGCGTCCCAGGATCTGAGGTCCCTCTTGGGCGCGACCTTTCCGGTAGCCATGGTTCAAGTCAAAGTCTTGATATGCGATCAGTCCCTGTAGGGGCGCGACGCTATACAAGGGTCTACTGCAGAGGCCGGAGGAGGAAGAAAAAAGTCTTATCTTATCTCCACGTGCCATAGCGCTGAAGGCTCTCGGGCTGGAGAAGTCAGCCATCAGGACTTTTCGATTTTTCCGACGCCCCGATTAAGTAGCCGGCGGCGAAGGATACATGTGGTTAGCATGGCAGTTCTGCTACGTGCGTAATGAGCACCAAAGATTTATCAGCAGACAATGCTTTTTGGCGGTTTGGCGCATCTTCAGAGACGGTTGTGGCAAAGTACAAAAGTACCCAAGTGCTGTGCTGAGCCGTGATAGGTCTGGTCCCATTAACGCTGGGCCTGGCCGGTCACATGCCAGGGTAGCCGAAGCGGCCACTAACGGCCACTGCTCTGCGCTTCTTCATGGCAACGGCGCATCGGCAAAAATTCTCAAGCCCGGCTCCTCCGTCTCCCACCTGATCACGACAAGCTACATCCGCCCACCGCGCGCCATTTCCTCACCCTCTCTCTCTCTCCTCCGCCTTTTCTCTCCTCCTTCTCCTCCTCCTCCTCCTCTTCACTCCACCACATGTCCTTTTCCCCCCCTCGTTTTTGTACCCCAGGGCACCTTTCGTGTCCATCATGTGGCGGGGTTAACGGCCTCAGCTGCGTCATCCTTGTTCAACACCTTCAATCTGGAGCCGTCCGACCATCACGCCCTACGCTCGCGCACCCCCCCGACATCCCATAACTTCTCTCTCTTCGGTCCCTCCCCCCCGTCCGCTGCGCGCCTCTCGCGCCGCGACCGCCATCTCCCTCTTGCCTTTTGGCCTTCCGGCTTCGAGTGCCTACGCCGCGTCGTCACCGGCGCCGTGCGCTGCCCCGCGCTACCACCCTTTTCCTGGACCATGTCACTACGACGCAAGTCGGGCGTCCCGGCCACACCTCGCGTCATTTCGCCCAGTCCCACGCAGTCCGACAACGACGGCCACGAGTACTTGGGCCCCACGACGCGCTCGGCTGTCAAGAAGCGTCGCTCGACGCCCCAGCCGCTCGACGAACACGACCAAGAAGAGGAGCATGGCGGCGCACCGGGGCTACGGAGGTCCCGCACGCGAAGTCGGTCTCCCATCGACAGTCTGAAGCTGTCGCGCATGACGCCCGGCAACTCAGGTCAGGTGTCCAAGGCGCCGACATCCGACCGGAAGGGCGCAAACGGACAGGTTGCGGCTGTCAACGGCCATCTGGCTCCTCCGGTGCCCCCAACGCCCACCGGCTGGTCGTGGCGCGATTTCAGTCGCAGCCCTAGTCCTCTCGGGCTAATTCCAATCCACCGGCACTGGAGAACCTTTGTTCACAAGCACGAGGTTCCCCGCAAAGCCTTGCACGTGTCGATCGGCTTCTTCGTCGTCTGGCTCTACACCAACGGCACGCAAACGAGCATCGTGCCGCCGTATCTCATGGCCGCCCTGATTCCCATCGCCACGACCGACTGGCTGCGGCATCGATATCAGTCTGTCAACAGGCTCTATGTCAGGCTGCTCGGGGCGCTCATGAGGGAAAGCGAGTTTTCTGGCTGGAACGGCGTCATCTTCTACCTCCTTGGCGCGTGGATTGTGCTCTACTTTTTCCCCAAGGACGTGGGGGTCATGAGCGTCCTGCTCCTCAGTTGGTGTGACACCGCCGCGAGCACCTTTGGCCGCCTCTGGGGCCGATACACCCCTAGGCTTCGCCGCGGCAAGTCTCTGGCCGGGTCTCTGGCCGCTTTTCTCGTGGGCGTGGCTACGTCCTACTTTTTCTACGGGTGGCTTGTCCCGACCATCGGGCCCATGCCAGGCGACGAGAACTTCATGTTCAAGGGCGCTTTGTCACTACCAAGCGCCTGGAAGAATGCCGTGGGCATCTCGGACCACGTGGCCGACATCAGCGGTCCCCTGGCCCTGGGGGTCGTGAGTGTGTGGTCCGGCTTCGTCGCATCAGCCAGCGAGGTCATGGACATTTTCGGCTGGGATGACAACCTGACAATACCCGTCCTCAGTGGCCTTGGCATCTGGGGCTTCCTCAAGCTATTCGGCTAGACTCTGGACGCGTTGTAGACAATGGGAAGACGGGGTGGGAGTTTGGTGTCCCGTTCGCCTTGGCATTCCACTCATGAATGGCCGCGAGCACCTGCGTATGCATGGCGTTGGCTTTTTGGTCTCTTTTCTCCCAGGACGGCAGGGCGCGAACAGGACGACGATGATGAGAACGGTTATCGTCGGTATTCCGGCTTGTCCGCGGGTATTTTGCGATGTGGATTCCCTAGGATACAGAGACGAATATATTGAAGCAGCCGTCGACGCAACGGCGCGTGGCAATCACTTGACTGTTCGACCCCCAGATGTGAAGGCTCTGAAAACGTGGAGGGCGGAGGGCGAACGACGTGGTTTATGGCAGGTACCCGGGCAAGTTGAACGGCTAGGTGCAATGGACTACGTAAGCCGTTTTTCCCGATCGGGACTAAGCCAGATCTGTCTAGAAGGACCCTGCAAGGCTGCAACTCATCACGCGACCCCGGCCGCAGCCTCATTCCAGATCCTACCTCGACTGCAACTCCACCCCACGAACACGCCAGATCGACCTCCAACTCACGCACCCTTGACGCTCACCACCCACGCCGTTCCCTCTTCTCCTCAATCGTACTCTACTCATTCAAACACCCCTCGCGTCGCAAGTCCCTCGTCCCTGCCACCTGGCAACAGCTGCCCTCGGCGCACAACCCCGCCGCCCGTCATCATGGACCCCGAGGCCGACGAGGCCGCCATGTCGCAGATGTTGGGGTTCTCGTCCTTTGGCATGCAGGACAGGCCGCTCAAGAAGCGCAGGCACGACGTCGGGGCAGATGCCTTCATGACGGACGCGCACGGGGGTGGCGGGGCGTCGAATCCCCCCGCGCCGTCGCAGCAGCCGAGCCATGGCGCAGCGGGTAGGCAGCCGGCGAACGCGGACGAGATATCCCTCGACGACGACGACGATCACAACGATGGCGCTGCGCCTGGGGCGACGGTGCCAGAGAGCGGGCCATCTGGCGGTGTGATGTCGTCGCGCCCGGCCGGTTTACCAGACCGTCCGCCCCCAGGAACAGGGTTCACGGGCTCCCCATTCAACCGCCACCAGCCCCAGCAGGGGGGCCAGCACCAGCATGGGAGGCATTTTGACGATCCCTCGCGGGGACCCTGGTATGAGGGCTACTACGATCCCGACTCGAACCAGAATCCTTGGAAGAAGCTCGAAAAGGCCCGCGGTCTGCAGACCAGGGGCTCGTGGAACTTGTGCGACTTGCGGACGACGGCGGCGGCTTCCGATGCGACATGAGCCACGAATGTCTCAGACGACTTTCAAAATACAGATACACCCTCCACCCTCCCGTGGCCGGAAGTTGTTCACCCTGTCCTTGGGCTACCTTGCTTCCTACTCCGGCCACGACCGCGTGTCACGTGACACTTCTTCCAACCACTTACACAGGGTCCCAAGGACACCCCCCTTTCTTGAGCCAGCCGTCGACGCTCCTCTCGGCAATTTTCTTTTCCAATCACATGGCTCGGATCGCTCATGGAAGTTTGTCCAAGGATTCGACACGTGAGGGCCTCCTTGTGTGCCGGCTGAGGGGCTCCATCACGTCTTGGGCCCCTTGTTTAGCCACGTCACGAAGCTGTACCGAGCATGGTATTTACTAGGAGCTGACGCAGCCTAGCTTCGACAAGCACTCCACCGTGCCCCGAGCAATACATACTCTGCCAAATGAAGCAGTATCTCTCGCCTCCCTTCGTTGCGGTTACCCCAAAGAAGCAGTATCTTGCCCTGCTCGGCAAAGCGTTTCCCAGACCAATCCATCCGTCCCGCAATGATCCCTGCGCTATCCCGGGAGCTGGGTCTCCTCTGCCCTACGGCTGGAACAGCTCCTGCGGAGCATGGGATATCGGCGCCATGATCCGGCTCGACACGCAACCAAACATACCCCCCTGTAGCCCTGGCACCAGCGTCCCCCAGTACCCGCAGACGCAAGAAACGAGGCGTACCCTCGACCATCCCCCCGGTTCGTCCCGCCAAATCCATCCAATCATAAATCGTGGTCACATGAAGCCAGCCACGTTCACACACCCCTACCCTGTTGCCAGCGGCCGCAAGTCTCGCTTGTGAGAAGAGACGGGGCGCGACTAGTTGCCGCCAACTGCAGGGGCTCATGAAACTGCATGGGGATCCCGCATCTAACGCAATGCAAGATTGCCGCGCTGGCGCCACCCATTTTCGACGTCAGTTCATCCGTAGGGCTTTTTTTAATATACATTTTGATGAGAGTCAGTTCTGGTGTCGTTATTTCGCCGGGGCTGAGAAGATGGCGAAGATGCCCATTTGTGTGCTGGCACCATGAGAACGTCTCTTCTGCCCCCTTATTTGCTCCGTTGCAATATGTCAAAGAAGTGCTTTTCAAGAAGTGTAGAAATGGCAGGCCGTCAAGTCGTGAGGAAAGGCGTGGCAAGTGGTGCAGCTTGGGCAGCCTAACACTCGGGAGACGGATATCGCGCGCGAGCCTTGCCGTATTCCTTGGGATGCTTGCGAGAGGCTTTTGACTGGAGCGAACTGCGCAAGAAAATTGGTCAGCCCAAGCTCATGGTGTAACACCCAGCTGCCACTGTAGCAGGGAATTTGTGCTCGTTGTCACTGTGACACGAGCTCGTGACAGTCCCTGGGCTCTCGGGAAATCGCGGGCGCAACTTACGAAACCTTCTTCTGAGTCCATTCCAAGTCTCCGCGCACCTCGCGCGCATCACGCATGCCCTCCTGAAACCGCTCGCGCGTCTTCGCAAGGCGAGCTTGGGCCTGCTTCTGCAAGTCGACGAGCTCGCGGTGCTTTGCGTTGAGCTTTCCGGATCTGCAGCTTTGTCAGCCACCGAGACACATTCTGGGGAAGCGCGCGCACGGCATCCAATTCTGCCAGGCTCGGTAGTTGGTGTTGCTGGATGCGGGTGGTCGGCTCAAGGGAGGAAAGTCTGCACTCACGTCTGCGCTTGGACCGCCATGCTGCGATCCAGGGGGATGGGGTTGAAGGAGTTTGCGAAGCGCTCCTGCATGTATTCCTGAAAGTCGAGGCCGCTAGCAGAGCCGGTGGTGTCGTAATCTCCGGCAGAGTAGCCGACGTAGCTGGCCGAGGTGGCCGAGTAACCGCTGTTGCTGTACGAGGCGACGCCCGAGGCCGAGCTGATGGAGTCGTCGCATTCCGGAGGGGACACGGAGTACTGGCTGTACGTGGGGTATTGGTTCCCCTTGGAGGGGACAGCCATTGGCATGGAGTATGCAACGTGGGAGTAGGGGCCCGACATTGCAATGAATTGGGGCGATGACAAGGTCGAGTGGTTGTTTGTATGACTCTACACCACTTGGGGTGAGAGGCCTGGTTGCCTGGGGTAGGAGGCGTGAAGGGGGTAGAAGAGGAGGGAGGAAGATGGCACGATACTGGAATGGAGCAGCAGGTCTTGGAGAAGATGTGCCGGCAAAAGTGATGGAAAGGAAACAAGGAGAGGATGGATCCATCCCGGCCACGGGAGCCCCTTTTATAGTTTTTCCCTTGCTACATGCCTTGGCCGGACGACATGCTCAGACTGAAGGGGACGAGTCTATTCGTCGACGGACAACCCCGCTCCATGTCCAAGAGGGAAAGGCACGAGAGAGGGATGAGACTTGGGCAGAGGGAAGAGAAGGACGAGACCATCATGGCGGCGTGCATGGAGTGGAGTAACACGATGGTGCGTGGTGGAGCCAGGCTGGGCTGGCGCCTGGCTTTCCCCAGCTTGAGCCGGCGAGTTAGAGGAGAAGCAGTCAACAGGGGGGAGGCGTGTGAGCAGCAAAGGTCAAGGCATTGGCCAGATTGGAAAAGATGTGATGATAAAATATTTGACTGTGAGAGAGAGACATGAACAAAAGAACGATGCATGTGTGCGTATATGCGTGTACGTGTATGTGTGTATGTAACAGTATGCCGAGTACCTCTACTACCACTAGCAGGCAAAGAACACATAGAACACATAGGGAGATGTGAGGGAGTGGAGACCAGGGGGTGAGGTGTGTGGTGTGTGCCAGACAGGCAAAGGCCCAGATACTCGGGGCGCTGTGATGACGGAGGGCGCGGATCGGGCACATGTGTGGAAAGTGAACGAGACAGCAAAGCTTTTTTTTTTTCATTAGTGCCCAGATCAACGCGGCGTCGAGGCGATGGACCGATGGTGGCTGCAGGTAATCCACCACCAGCCTTTGGGGTCGAGAGGAAGAGGCGGCAGACCGACAAGGTCCGGTACCGAGCCGCTGCAAGTACATGGCCGCGGCGACGAGGCCAAGGGCAGATGGGGAGGATGGGCAGGATGAGCAGATGGGCAGATGGGCAGATGGGCACACGCCAATGGCGTAGAGCGGGAGACGAGCCAGCCGTGCTTGATGCATGAACATGTATGTACGAGCGTCAATGTATGTAACTTAATTACTGTACGTACGTGCAAGATTCGTGAGGCAGATGAAAGACTAGGTAGACAAAGGAAGAATGGAGGGGAAACGACAGTGACGCTATTAGCCGAAGCTCTGTGTCCGAAAAAAAAAGAGCTTCCTTTTTCTTTGCCCACTTTCTTTTTCGTTTCTTGTCGGTTGGATAGGACGTCCGTTAGGCACGAGTGCAGCAGCCCAGTGCGGAGCGTCGGGCAAGGCGGTTGATGCGTTGTCAAGATGCCTGGCAGGCCATGCTCGCCATGCTCCGGGAAAGGCAATTGCCCGACAGAGTATCTCGGAGGTTGCGTCGGCTGCGGTGGGTGCGCGGCGCGATACCGGCAGGGTACCGGGACTTGCTGTGCCCGTCCCCACCCCCAGCTGCCTCCCCCGCCATTCCATCCAGCAGTAATTAGTTAAGTGCCTATCATACTTGGTAGTGACAAAGCAAATGACTAGCAGAGAAAAGCTCTTCACTGCTAGGCAAACTGCTAGGCAGACGGCGCCACCAACTGCCTTGAGACAAGACCTTGGCCGAATCGAATGACTGCATGTTTCTCCTGCCATGATGATTCGAGACGAGGCCTGTCTGACGTATCTCGCCTCTGCGTGCCAGCCCTCAAGAGACTGCACTTTGTTTCCTCGTCGTCCCATTGGCAAGCCCTTCGGAGATGCCGACCCGGGTTTGCGTGTGCTGTATGTACGTACACGACCGCCTCGCCATGCTGTGCTTTCTTCGGTGCGTTACTGGTCTGATAGAAACTTGCCTGCTGGCCTGCCTGCTGGCCTGCCTACGAGGCGCCGCCCCTTTTCCCCGGCAAGGCAGAGCGGGAAGCATCGAGGCGTGTACCGAGTATGTGCAGCAGATCCAGAGCACAAGGTGGCAATGGCTGCCGGGTAGATGCCTCTAGCCATGTCGACTCTCAAGCGAGTCCCCTCCAGCACCAACATGGCCATGTCGTTGGCCCGCCGTCATCCCTCTTGCATGCATGCATCCAGTATCATCCGCCTACCCTAGGCCAACCACGGAGCAAAGGCCTCTTCGGCCAACGCACCCAAAACAGAAGCGAAGATTAAAATCGTCGACGACAAACGTGCCATGCAACGCTGATGCGCAGGCCACCGCGTTGCGGGTTGGTTGACCCCTCTGTAAGTGCGAGTGAGTCGCTGTACACCCCTCATCAGCACTGCAACCCATCGCGCCGCCTCAGCTCGTGCAGCCGCCGGCGAACGAGGACAACGCAGAATTGCCATGGAGCGATTGCCATGTGTACGGACGATAGACGGGTACTTGTCGAGTGGACCATGGCCCTGTTTTCTTGCTCCCTGCACCGTCTTTGCTTTGTTGTAAATGCCTCGTTTACCACATCCAGCGGCCAAAAAGACCAAGATTGTCACGGCAATGCCAGCCGCCGCAGACCGTAGCAGCCTCGGGAGCTGGCATCAGGCGCGCCTTGTCGGGCGAGTGCGTCGGGGACGGGATCCATTGATAAGCCTCCACCTCGACTCGCTCTACCCGCACACGGCCGGGTTACACTGCGTCCTGCCATCCCGGCCGCTTGAGCAGTCAGAGCCATCCGTCACAGAAGGCGCCCTGGAAAACGTGTCAGAGCATCGTTGTGTCGAGCAAGGTGCCCCACACAGTCAGATCCGGCCCTGAGGGACCCGTCTACTGTGCAGCTTTGTAGGTATCCGTGGCCTCGGCTCTCCCATTACCACCAGATGCCTACACCGATTTTTCACCCACCACCACACCCACCGCCACCCCCACGACGGCCCCGATGAGCGTAATAACGGATTGTCGTCGTCGACAGGAGACAACACAGCAAAGCAGCCGCCGCCCCCCTGACGCCGGGACCCTGCCGCTGCAACTGGACCTATCGACGAGGACCCCTCGAGAACGGGGGCATGATGCACACGCCTCCTCCAACAAACGGCCGAACAACTCATACGCACGTCTCCATCTTCCTTTCTTCTTCTTCTCCCTGCGCGGTTTTATGTATCTACGTCTGCATGGCGTGCTCCCTACGCAATCTACACTTGCGTACATACATACTGGACGGGACAATGCGAACGCCCATGGTCCCTCTGGGCTGAAAAGACGCCTGCACAGGCGTGGATGATGGGGCATCATCTCATAGGATGGAACCGTCGCTCGGGAACGTGGCCTAGGCTCTCGTGAGGGATTGGCCACTTGCTGTCTGCCCTCGTTGGAGAATCCTTTGCTCATATGTTCTGCCTCACCGCCTTTGCCACGCGCTGGCTGCGGGCAGTTGCCTGGCTTGGCCTAGCAGATGAGCAACTGCCGTCTGTCAGTGGCGGAACGGGAAAAAGGAAAGTCCTTGTCTTCGACACTGACACCCCCTGCGCCCCTAGCATGACGTAGTCGCACCTCGTCGCACCTCGTCCAATCAGACCCTGCGCTCGATATCACTTGTTCCCTCTCCGAACCAACGAGCTCGGAATGGAATTCAACGACTAATTCTCACAATGGCTGTGTTCACATAAATCTGCGACTACTGAGCCCATTCTGCATACCTCATCTGGCCAGGAGCGCCGTCTTGTCTTGGATCCCCAGACTCAGTCACATTGGCTGACATGCAAGCTCTCTCAGACCCATCGCACCCTCTCCTCGGACCTTGAACGCCATCCGCAATGGCCGCCCCCGAAGGCATAGCCCTCAACCTCCCGTCCAAGTACTCGGCCACCCCCTCGGGCCCCGTCGAGCGCCGCCCTCCACCGCCCACCGACTGGCTCGCCGGCACCTGGACCGTCACCCACTCGACGCTGTCCATGTGGCGCTCCGCGCGCAACGTCCGCATCAGCTACACGCCGCTCGCCGCCAAGCCCGACGGCCGCGCCCGCATCGACGACCTCGTCGAGTACGAGCCGACGGGCAAGACGGGCGTGCGCAAGACGGTCGAGGGCGTCGACACTCAGGCTGCTGCCGGCCCAGGCTGGGACTGGCGCGGCAAGGGCTGGCTCTTCTTCGTCGGCAGCCACTGGGAGGTCCTGGGCTGGGGCGAGGAGACGACGGCCGAGGGCGCCAAGGAGAGGTGGGCCGTCACTTGGTTTGCGCCTACGCTCTTCACCAAGGAAGGGCTCGATGTTTACTGCGATCAGAGACAAGGCTTGAGCCAGGCCACGTATCAAAAGGTCGAGGCGGCGTTGAAGAAGATGGAGGCGCGGGATATCGTGGCCATGGTGGACAAGGACATGCGACCCGTCGAGATCAAGCTACCTTGGACGGAAAAGTAACGCCCTCGCGAGACCCGGGTTGGACGAAACATACACTGGGACGGAGGCCGAAGGCGTGTTTATCTTGACACTGTACGATGCATCTATTCGATCTGTCATTTATAGTCGGTAATTCATGAATCATGTCTCATGGCGTCTCTGGGCCGGCGAGGAGAATCGTGTCGACGGGGCCGTTCTTCCTCTCTGCGTCCCCTCTTGCTGTGGTCTTCTCCAACTCTATCGATGCGGTCTCTTGACCGCCGCATCTCGGACCGTCCAGTAAGTGAGCGATGCCGGTGCCCGCGGTCCCTCTCATGATGCCTCCTTTCCCTTTTGCGACGACGATCTTCTTTCCTCAGCCGTCTAAGTTCCTCTTCCCGCCCATCCTGCAGCTTCTTGCGCTCTTGCTTCACCTCTCTGACCTTGGCGGCGCCTCGCTTCATCATCGCCAAGGGATCATTGACGGCCAGCCGCTGCGCTTCCCTCGCCTTTCGTCGCGGATCCTCGTTGCCCCACACGTCCTTTGATGGTGCTTCTCCCAAGGCCATCATGTCTTGTTGGGAATACCACGGGCGGGCGAGCCCCTCCTTGCCCGCGGCATTGGAGAAGCGCATCGTGTATTGGTCCTCGTACTCTCTCTTCTTTTTCCGCGCCTCGTCCTCTGCCTCCTCATTCTTTTGGGCGTGAGCTCTGCTTCGCTCGTCTCCAAAGAGGTCGATGTGGCCGGTGCGATCCACTATGGGCGCCGAGCTGGTTTGCTGGCGCACGTCGCCGGGTGTCTTTTTCGGGGCCTCGTTCCTGTCCTTTGCGAGCCGCAGCTCGAAGTCGGTATCGTCTTCGCCAGGTCGCTTTCTTTTGCGCCGCGCACCACCGTCGTATTCGTTGCGCGAGGTGTCCGTCAATATCCCAACATCCCTGGATTCGCCGCCGTCCTTGGCCTCATCGACCGGCGGCGGCGCTTCTCCTCGTAAGATGGCAAGTCGGCGCTGGGCGTCAATCTCCTGCATGCGCTGCTCCTCAGCCTCTTCGGCCGCCTTGGCCGCAGCCTCGTCGCGGCGGACTCGAGCGATGTTGTCGGCATTGTAGACGTTCCATGACTTTTTGCCGAGCAAGTGCCTGTATTTTACTGTCAGGAGGAGAGGGAACGGCGCGGCAAAGGATGAAGCTTACAGTGGCATGTTGCGATTCTAGAGGAGAAGGTTAGGTGGCGAGGCGCGGCAACTTGCGGCTTGTGACGATGCGGTGCTGACAGTTGACGTCTTCATGAAATCAAACTTGTCGAGACGGAACACGCATAGTTGTTGGAATAGCCTTGGAGCAAGCGATGCTTTCTCGAGGGCGCGTCGTCGGCTGTGACATCAGGGCTAGGCCGAATCGGGCAACGACCACTGAAACAGCACTGAGACCACCGGGGCCGCCCTCGACGTCCCTCCATCTGTCAAAGCTCCAGCTTGTCCATCCTACAGAACTTCCGTCTTCCTTCAGCCTATGCGTCCACTCTACGCAATAGCCACGACCGACACAGACAAATCCATATCCTACCAGACCACCTGACCTCTCTCACGCCCCCGCGCACCAGGCATCACCAAAGAGAGACCTGCCAAAAAGCAACGTCACCATGTCGAGAGCCCCTCCGCCTGGTGGCGCCGGTCGGATGCCGTACGGCGGCGCGCCCGGCCTGCCTGGTAGCAACCCACGAGCAGCCATGGGCCAGAGCCGTCAGCCTCCTGGAGGGGACCCATACGGCCAAGGCCAGTACGGAGATGCGCGCATGTCCCAGGCTGCCGGGCCGCGATCCCCGGGCATGCAACGGTACGGCGAGAAAGGCCCGGCTGCCCAGCAAGGCGGCGGAAGACCGGTGCCGCTGAGGGTTGAAAAGGTGTCCGACAGATCCCTTCAGGCGAGACTGATATACGGGAACCTGTAAGCATCACTCGAGCCACTTACCCCTTCGGTGTCATCGTTCGTCTCACCTCTTTGCAGATGCGCCGTCAATCCCGAAGACTTCCCCCCCAGTCGAGATGGCACCGATCTCTACATACTCCTTCGGGGCGGCCAGCCCGCTGGTGAGTACGTCGTCACCGCCCAGCCCGTCAAAGATTTCCCGCGGGGCTGCATCAGCTTGTCCGATCCTCAGCGTTTATGGTGCAACATTACGATGCGAGATCAGTTTGCGGGCGAACTCTACGACCCATTCTCATCAGGAGGGAAAGCCTATCTCGGGTCGCTGGACCTGGAGATTGGCTTTGCTTCACCCAACAAGAAGACCGAGGTTCCATACGACGAGGACGAGCTGTCCAAGATATTCATCGACACCTATCAGAACCAGATGCTGGCGCCTGGTCAAAGGATACTGATGGACGTCCGAAACATCCCGCTCCTAATAATTGTCAAGACGGTCGGCTTGGTGGACCTTGCAATGTCCTCGGACGACTCCAACAAGCAGGTGTACCGGGAAGCCAACGCCAGGGGCATCCTCACAAACCAGACCCGTGTGCTCTTCCACCGAGACGGCAAGGGGGATTTCAACATGAAGCCCTCCATGTCAAAGCCAAACTCCAATGCCATCCTGGCGCCCGACTTCAAATTTGAGGACATGGGAATCGGCGGACTCGGCGACGAGTTTGCGACCATCTTCCGCCGAGCATTCGCCTCGCGCGTCTTCCCGCCCGGACTGGTCGCAAAGATGGGCATTCCCCACGTGAAGGGAATGCTGCTATACGGCCCCCCGGGAACTGGAAAGACCTTGATTGCGAGACAGATCGGTAAGATGCTAAATGCCCGGCCGCCCAAGGTCATTAACGGCCCCGAGGTGCTCAATAAGTACGTTGGTCAGTCCGAGGAGAATATTCGAAAGCTGTTTGCGGATGCCGAGAAAGAGTACAAGGAGAAAGGGGATGAGAGCAGCCTTCATATCATCATCTTCGACGAGCTCGACGCCGTGTGCAAACAGCGAGGATCCGGGGCCGGAGGTGGCACCGGCGTCGGCGACAGTGTCGTGAACCAGCTTCTGTCCAAGCTGGACGGCGTGGACCAGCTCAACAACATCCTGCTCATCGGAATGACCAACAGAAAGGACATGATTGACGATGCGCTGCTGCGTCCCGGCCGTCTGGAGGTCCATCTGGAAATTTCGCTGCCCGACGAGCCTGGACGACTGGAGATTTTCAAGATCCACTCGAGCAAGATGAGGAGCAACGGCCTTCTCGACCCCGACGTCAACTTTGAAGAGCTGGCCGGTCTTACCAAGAACTACTCGGGTGCCGAAATCAACGGACTTGTCAAGGCTGCCGCTTCCTTTGCCTTTTCCCGCCACACCGAAGTTGGGCAGCTAGCCGCCGTCAAGCAGGACGTGGCCGAGATGAAGGTCAACCGCGAGGACTTTATGAACGCCTTGACCGAAGTCCGGCCCGCCTATGGTGTCTCGGAGGCGGAGCTGGAAGACGCCCTTCGGCTGGGCATCATGCCTTATGGCGCTCACGTCGAGGCTACAGTCCAAGAGATGATGCGCGTCGTGGGCATGATCAGGGACGACCCCAACAAGTTTAGCACCTCTGTCCTCTTCCACGGACCAAAGTCATCTGGCAAGACGGCCATGGCGGCGCACATTGCCGTGCAGTCGGGATTCCCCTTTGTCAAGATGGTCACGCCGGCCGACCTGGTGGGCTACAGAGACGATTTCGCCAAGAAGGACTACGTGCACCGGGCCTTTTCCGACGCGTACAAGTCTCCCGCCAGTATCCTCATCCTCGACGACTTTGAGCGCTTGATAGGCTGGAACCCGATCGGGGCCCGTTTCTCCAACACCATGCTGGAGGCATTGACTACGCTCATTGTCTCGAAGCCCCCAAAGGTGAGTCGTAAAGGAGCAATGGCGTTGGAATACTGCTAACTCGGCCTCAAAGGGACATCGCCTGCTGGTCTTTGTCACGACATCAAAGGCGTCTGTGCTGAAAATGCTCGAAATCGACACGGACTTTGCCAAGAAGGTTGCCGTGCCTGCGGTATCCAACCTCAAGGAGCTTGCTGCCGTGCTTCACGAGTCGAGGGTCTTCAACTCGGGAGACATCAACGAGATTGTCAACATTGTCCAGCAGCGGACGGGGTCTGATTCCATTGGCGTGGGCATCAAGACGATTTTGGATTGCATCTTTGAGGCAAAGGCTGGCGGCTCCAGCTCGGACGTCCTGGAGACATTCTCGGATCTTTTGCTGGAGAAGATACAGGAGATGCAAGGCTAGAAGGGAGTTGGTGTAGATAGAATAGACGTGTCACAGGCATGGCTGGGCAGGCGGCCTCTAAGGGGATGCTCCTGGATGAAATGATACGAGGGGCATCCTGGCTTTGTCTGCGGCGGTCGCGGCTCTGATGGCGATAGTGACGTAGCAGGCTTGGGTCAGCAAGGGGTCACAGCTGAAGGGCGCTCAGCTTATTTGGGAGTCAAGGGAGCTGGGCTTTCAACCCCCCGTCGGGTGCTGCACGGGGGATGGGGATTGTGCGTGGCAGATGGACGGAGTTGTCGAGGCGGTACTAGAGGCAATAGATGAGATGGGATGCATGGCTTGGACAGGAAATACTGGCCACTTTGCTTCTTGTTCTCTTGTCGAAAGATGGGATGTGGGTGCGTCGGTACAGGGCGAATATGCAAGTGACGCGGCTGCCTCAGCTGTTCCTCGTCCTTTTCTTTTTATCCCTCGATTGACATGACCTGATTCGGTCAAGGCGTCCAAGGGGTCTGTCAGCTGCACAGGCAGTGCGAGGTGTGTCGTCGGTTGTGAGCGGAGAGGCCGCGTCGACGTGGGAGACGGGCCGGCCGGGGCTGTGTCGGCGGAACCACGATGCTGGGAAACAACTGGTTGGGCGACGCCGGCGTGCTGATTGGACGGGCTCGACTATAATTGTTTTTTTGCTATTGCATGTTTCTGCGGAAGACGGGCGCTTATTCCAGATAGTGTTGAGTGGTGGTGGTTCTTTTGCCCGGATGCTCACACGGGAGGTGGGAAGGTGGTGGGAACTGGGAGGAAGAAGCCGAGGCCCGGGAGACGAGGATATATCATATTTGTATGTAATACGTACAGAATTACGTTACATGTACTGTACAGTAATTACTTGGGAGACATGCAAGCCACAGCCAAGGCAACGGGGCAGGACAAGACACATGCGCGCGCAACACATCTGAGCTGATGGAAAGGGGGGGGGACGGAGAAGCGGCGCGTGCGGCACCGAATGGCGGGCCGCGTCGGCGTCGGGCGGCTTAGGGCCGATTGCTTGGGGGGATGGGATTGGAGGGGGATCGCGGCCGGTTGCAGGTAGAGGCAGACGTGGGAGACTGTCTTTTTGCGTGTTGGCTGGCGTGGTGACACAGTTGACCCCGGGGGAAAGAGACTGAGACTGAGTGACTGGACACGGCCAGACTCATCATGCCGGCGAGCACCTGCTGTGCTGTACATAGTACATACGCGTCATGCATGTAATATCTCGCATCATTTGATCATCTATTCCCATGTGCTTTGCCTGACGCTCGGATGCCGTCTTGCCTTGTAGACCCTACTCTCCCCGACTCCCTGAGTGAGCCATGGTTGCTGAGCATCATGGCCGGCAGTCCCCAAGGAGCTAGAGCAGGGTTTTCCCGTTCCATGTGATCCAAGAACAGCCCTTGCTGAAGCCGTTGCCAGTACCATGACGCACCCGATTTATGCAGCCTCTTCCTCTATCAGTTCCCTCTCTGGACTACCAGTTCGTAACCGGATCAAAGCAATGGTTCAGCCCTTTGACTCCGCCTTCTCTGCATTCCCTGTCCGCCCCGCCTTTCTAGCTGCACTCTTTCTTTGCTTTCATAGCGGCCTCCTCGTCCTTGATTTTCTGCACCTCGTCGCTGCCAAACACCTTTCGCCATTCTTCCGCTTTTTCTGGCTTGATACGAACGAACAAGTGCGCCGACCTGTTGATTTCGTGGCCAGGCTTGATGGAATCAGCATGCCAGGTGTCGGGGATGGGAAGCGGATCCCTATGGAGTTGCGAGTTGACGAATTTCAGGAACACGACTGACAAAGTTGCCTAGGTTTTTCAAAAGCACGTTGTTGTCGCAGCTGATAAACGAGTCCCAGGCAAACTCGCTCTCGCCAGCCTCGGGCCGATGGGCAAGCAAAATGTAGCGCCAGATGTCGGCAGCGACACCAGTCTTCTGAGCCGAATCTCCAAAAACGCCAAGGCCGCGAGACTTGGAAAACTTGCCGCCCTCGTACGTAAGGCAGTCTGTCGTGGAGAGGTGGTGAAGCTTTGTCCAGGCTTCCCTAGTGCCGATTTGCGAGCTGAGGAATATCACCGAGTGAAAGACGGACGACATTGTCTTGGCCGATGAATTGATACAGCTGCACCTCGTCGGGATTTCGCCACCACCTTTCCCACTGGTCGGTATAGCGGGCGGTGATGGACACGTATCCGATGCAGGTGTCAAACCTCGAATATATTACCTTTTCTTCGTAACCGGGCAATGGAACTATCGTTCCGTATTTTATATCCCTGGTTATACTGCGCGGTTATAATCCTTCCTTAAGCTAAGCCGAAGTGATGACCTTGCTGTTGTTGGACCATGCACCGTTTGCGGCCGAGTCTCGAAAGAAGGCTTCGACATCGGGTTGCAACTTATCTAACTTAAAGAAGATATACTTGGTGTCCTTGGTCACCGGCTTAGAGCCGTCAATCTTACATCGAGGGTGTTTAAGCTGCAGAAATTCGAGGAGTTGGCCATAGAGATCGCACTGGTCGCCACGAGCATCCGCGTAGCCAGATAGGGCACTCGCTCTCGAAGAAGCGGTCTGCCAGGAACGAGTGATGCTCCTGGCAGTATAGCTGAGTTGTCATGCGCTCCTTTGAAAAGTCGTTTTCCTTTAGCTTTAGGAACACGTCTTAAGTAATGTCTAAAGCTGAGTTGTCGTGCGGCCAAAGATGTCGAAACTAATACCGAACTACTCGTATATCTCTGCGTGAATCGCATGGTACTTGTCCCAGAACTCTTGTGGCGTGCACTTTTCCACGAGGGCTTTCGCCTCTGATGTGGTTCCGTACTCGTCCGTTCCTAAGGAAAGTCAACCCTCTTGCTCGGGCCCACGGAGCTTCGCTGACTATATACTTACCACCGATGTATAGAGTGTTGACGCCACGTCCCACGTCCTCCGCAGTACCTTGCGAAGACATCTCCGGAAAGTACAGACCCTATGATGTTTCCAAGGTGTGGGACGTTGTTCACATACGGTAGAGCGCTGGTCACGAGTACATTCCGCTTGCCCGGCACGGGGAGAACAGGGCCACGGCTGCGAGGTCCTTCACTCATATCTGCGAGGACAAAGTCGTGTCAGGCTGGGGTGGAGCGTATCTGGCGACCTTGTATCGAGACGAGCTGCGGCGCTGCAGGTGGGATGCGTTTGCCCTGCTTGGCCTCAGTTCAAGGCGGGAAACAGCCATTCCCATACCAAGGTATAAATTCATGTGAGTTCATACAGAGGGAGGCGGATTTTCACCCGCCCCTTCTGGTTGGGCGGTCGATTCCTGGCTTCCCAATTCAGGGTCCAACGCAGGACCTGGCGAAAGCACGAGCGTTGCCATCAACGCATTTTTGTAGGGCCGGATACACTTTGGCGTCAAATTGGTTAATTAGAGATTGAGTGGAACCCTGGACAGTGTCTAGACTCTAGGGCGACTCTGGAGGGCGCTATCATTCTACAGTAATTACATCGCTGACTCTATAGTAGGTAAGGATAAATGGTAGGTAGATCTACCGGTACTCCCCCTCAATGACCCCCAACCAACCCCGAGGAAGCTCTTCGCGCAGTTTTCGTTAGGCAGCTGAGCAGCTCGGGAGCTCAGTATCTAGGTAGGTACCTAGGTGACTTAGTCAGTACCTGTACTAAGGTAACTTACCCGTCGAGGCTAGCGGGAACGTACATACAGATGTACTCCAGGATTCGTAGGCTTCCCAAGGTAACTAACAGAAACTAGTATCTCGACGGGCTTCTATAGTCGGGCAAGTACTCTGTCTCAGATACAGCCAATCGGCGTCTAGCATAGCGCTTTGGTGATGCTAGCGGGCTGTACGCGCTCCCTGCAAGTGGCCACTTACAGGGGGCTCGTCATGCAGGCGACATTGCGACTTTCAGGCCTCATCAATCGAGGACTTTGCATCGCACATCGGACATGGCTGCATTCCGTATAGCGTCACGTACTGTATGTATGTACAAGTGATTCTGGGCACCACAAACCTTTCAGCCATGGCCGTCGCAGCTGACAGCCCTTCTCCACCCACCCACCCACACAGGCGGGATGCGATGGAGGACCGGGGACGAGAAAAACAATTGGCCCGGTGGCCGTGGGCGCCATCTTGTCCATCTCATCTTAGCTGCCCAAGCAAGACACCCTCCCCCAGATTAGTCCCACGCCAGCCATGCATGTACATCTCGTTACCTGCCTTGCTAGCCTACAGTGTCTGTACCGGACGAGGTGCATCATGGATGGATCCCGCTGGCTGCTCCTCCCATCCCAGCCCAGTCCGTGTGCTTCCACTCATATCTCGCTTCCCCCCCACCACTCTCTCGCTCTCGCCCTCCCCTCTCTCTGCCACCACTGCCACCACTGGCAACAGGGCAGAAAAGGAAACGACAAGCAACAATTGTCGCGTCCTGTGCCTGCGCCTGGCCATGTCTGCACAATCTCCGCGTCCTGGCTCGCCCGAATCCCCGGACGCGCTCTTCCCCACCTCCTTTTGCTTCGCCTGCCATCCATGACGATAGCCCTGTCCCTGTATGGCGCCTCCCGACAAGACAGAGAGAGAGAGAAAATATACACCAACGTACGTTCGCCTGCCTGCCCAGCTTCTTTGCCCGCCGCCGCCCGTCTCGCGCCACCGCCGTGCCGCAGAACGCGCTTGCTGGCCCACCCATCCTCATTATCCAAACACCGTCGTCTCCCGAGCTCCATTTTGCCAATTCGCGCCTCTTGACATCCACCTTGCTGACGCCTCATGTCCCCCGCCAGCATCGCCAAGCGTCGAGCACCACGAGCTCCGGGCTGACTTTCGCTGGCCATGGACGCCGTCGAATCTCAGTCCTCCACCACGAGGCCGCCTCCCCTAAACCTAGCCGAGCCCAAACCCCTACGAAAATACGCCTCAGCGACAAACATCTCCCCGAAGCGCTTGCCCCGAGACGCCAAACTCAAAAGATGCTCCCCTGGTGCGCCAGGCCGGAGGGACACGTCAGCACCCAACCTGATGATTAGGCCGACGACCAAGTCGACGACCAAGACGGCGACGCGCGCAGCCCTGACAGCGGCAAGACCTTTGGTCCCGGTCACAGAGCGGCGCTCCCACGAGGACAGGAACACTTCGTCGGCCAAAGGGGATCCCGAGTCCGGCAGGTGGGATATCGCTCCCGACGGCACCTCGGCCGGTCGCGAGGGTCGCCAATTCACCGTCGCCAACGTGGGGAACAATGGCAGGATTTATCTGAGGTAGCTAAAGCTTTTTTCGTTGGCGCCTTGCGGGGGGCGGGGGGAGTTTCTCTCTTTTCCCCTCTTGGCTTCTCGGGAGCTACAACTAGCTGCCCGACTGGAATGCTGACCTTTGCACCGCCCTTAGGCCGACGGTCCGACCTGCGCACCAGCGATGCCCACAGCCCAACTTTGCCTTTCCCCTGACGCCGCCCAGCACCGGAGGAATAGAAGCCTTCAGCCAGGAAAAGCCAAAAGGGCGCAAAGAGGGAAAAGAGCAGCATGCTTCCCAACTGCAGACAAGCCAATGGACGCCGACTCCAAGCACCTCTCTCCTGGCAGGCGACGACCAATACTTTCCTGACGCTTGGAACTCGGGAGGTCGCACGAGACAGCGACGGGCCATGTCGGACAGCACCATGAACGACTCTGGCATTGCCAACGAGCGTGACAAAGATGCCTTCAGGGTTGTCATCTCCAAGCCCGGCGATGACAAGCGGCCTCGGACCATGGAGGACCTAGACACCGCCCTCGCTCCGCTTCTCGACATCAACATACCCTCCTGGCGCATCGGCACGCCGCGGTTCACCCTGAGGGGCACGCCTGTGATACGGGGCTCATCGTACGCTCCTACCGAAGGGCCGCGGTCCAGCAGTGTTTCGGGGCTCAAGCAATCGTCGAGGACCCCTAGCCTGCCCGCCTCCGAGCCCAGGGCAAGAAAACTCAATCCTCTAGCGATACACCCCCCCCCGGCCGGCCCCTCCGCGCGACGAGGCGCTCGCGGATTACCCTCTCCGCGCCTGCTGCGATCAACATACATGTCGACGCATCTGGCCATCGAACCGGCCATGTTTACTGATTTGACCTTCAAACCCGCCTGCGACGACAAAACCATTGTTCGGTATTCTCCTGTCGGAGCCGTGACCGCAGCGACTCCCCCACGCCTAGTCGCAGAGATAACGTCGCCGAGCTTCCTCGACTACGAACTGATATCCGACTTTTTTCTCACGTTCCGATCATTCCTCGACTCCACCGACCTGCTTCGTATGCTTGTCGCGCGGTTGCGATGGGCGCTGATGCGCAACGACGAAGTGGGAATGATTGTCCGGGTCCGGACCTTTGTGGCGGTGCGACATTGGATCTTGAACTACTTTTTGGACGACTTCGTCCTCGAGTACGACCTGCGAGTGACGTTTTGTGAATTGCTCAACGAGTTCGTGGACGAACTCTCCCAGGACGCGTCGTGCCGCAAGGTTCGACTAAAGATACTCGCCGAGCTCAAGAAGTGTTGGCGGCGAGTCTGCGCGGAACACTGGGATGGTCCACAGTTCGACGACTCTCTGGGTCCAGAGGTCCCCATCGCCCCTGGCGGCCTGGCTGGGAACAGAGACCCGGGCCTGGACCCCAGCCACTGGGAGCGCGAGGGCATCGAGCCGCAGCTGGACGGCTGGGTTCCCATGCCCAAGGTCCCGACGGAGTCGGCGAGCTTCTCCCCAGATGCGCCCGGTGCCGCTCCAATCGGAGACTTCATCGTCTTGGGGAATCGCCCGGGGACTCCTGAAAATCCCGTCGGACATCGAGCTGGCGTTGAGAGCGGCGGAGGCTCGCCGTTGAGCCTGGCTAGCCTGGACATTGTTTCCTGCTCGTTTCCTGCCAAACTGATCAGGGCTCCCAACCCAGACGCGGCGCTCTCGAAGCACGCACATCCCGTCTCGTCGCCAACGCCAATGACCAACGGCTTTGGGCAGGTAGCCACGACCCCGAAAGCGCTTGTCGGCAAAAGGATCCGCCCGACCCAGACCCACAAGCGTAACAACAGCACCAGCGACTCTCTGCGAGAACATGGCTCCGAAAAGTCGTCATCGCACGACCACGACTTCTCGGCGCCGTGGCCATCTGCCGGCAGCTTGGTACGGGGCGATCTGCTTCCGCCTGGGCAACCCTTTGTCAACTATGAGCCGCATGCGCTCGATGGTGGCCGCAATAGGCAGACGACAATCTTCCAGCCCAATGGCCGCGCCCTGGCAAAGGAGAGAGCGGCTGGGAGCGCAATGTCTGGTCGTGGCATGAATAAGCTTCTCGGAAGCGTCCGTCGTGCCTTGCGCCCCCGAGGCCAGGCCTTCTCCCCGTGGCACGCCCAGTTCATGGGAATATCGCCCGTCGGACCCGGCTCAACCACCCGGCTACCTGGCACTGCAGTTGTTCCGCAGGACCTCCCTAGGCAGACTGGCGGCCGCCCCCCCGTTCGGATCGACCTCCTTGGCGCCGCGGTCGCCGAGGACTTCAAGGTGGCCATCCGCGAAGAGGAGGCTGCGGCGGAAGCAGAACGCCTGGGCTTGACGGTACCCCCCAACTCCGCGCCGCCTTTCGGAAGACACCCGGACTACTCGGCCGCCCACATGGAATCGAGCACCTTTGACAGCTTGCCGCAGAACCAAAAGCCAAGGGCGGTGAGCGACATGGGTATTACCATCGGTAGCAAGTCCATTGTCATTGTGGACGATACCCTTCCGTTCGAAGTGCCATCGGCTCGTGGCCGGGGGGCGCCGGCGCGAAACTCATCCGTCGACACGTTTGCAGACACGTTTATGCCAAGCCGCGCAGACCCAACCCCTCCTGACACGCCTCCGACCACATCCACGACGGGAGACACACCGCGGCGATCGTCATACCTTGTCAATCAAGACGTCGCTGGCCCGCCCACGGTGGATGGCGCCCTGCTACCTTTTCTCCCGCACACGGCGACCGTGGACGACGATCAGAGCGGACACATCTCAGGGGACCTGGGGCAGCCCTCACTACCGGTGAGTCGTCGCATGAGACGGCCTCCGATGAGCGGAGGAACCTTTCGGATGCACAGGGACAACCGATCTGCCGGCACAATTCAGTCGCTCGACTCTGTCATTCATAGCCGATGCGTGTCGCTCAGTGGCAGTGCTGTACCATCGTCGACAATTCGCAGCTTTGATGCAGCGGCCGATGCACCTGCATCTACTGCGGATGAGGGGTTCGATGTGCCTGAGCCCGCACCACTACGCGTCCTGCGGCGGCGACCTGGTGGCGACCTGAGAGCAGCTACAAATATCGGGGATCTGGACCGAGAATCGCTGAGGCGATCGTTATCTGTTGGTTCTCTGGCCACGTACACCGAGTCTGTCCAAAGCTCCTATCTGCTCAACACTCGCCCAAACTCGGCCGGTCGCTCCGACTCCGTCCCGAGTCTCGCGCAGGACGGGCGTCGTCAAGCCTTCTCCGTCGGTCAGCTGGCCGAGAAAAGTGGCCCTGTCAAAGTTTCGCTTTTGAACACCCATTCGTCCAAGCCTGCCATGCGCCCCTCCTTTGAAAGGGAAGCGCAGTTTCTAGCTCAGATACCGGATGATGAGGATGACGGCGGCATCGAGTCCGCTCTGCTGAAGCTTGAGGGTAAATACGAAAAGAAGCAGTCCACGATGCCCGTGGATTTAACAAGCCCGGCGACAGTTGAGGAAGATGGAACCGCAGATTTCTACGAAGATGGAGTTGATGACCGCGACTCGGCGACTCGAAAGCGCGAGCGAAAGGAGAACCGCCATGTACACGTTCTCGACGAAGCCATTGCCACTAGAGAGAGTGTCGGGGGACAATTGCCTCTACAGGAATTGAGTGGCGAGTCGGAAGGGGAACAAGGGCCAGCCCCTGACATGAAATCGTTTCTCTCCGAGGGCTCCCACGACTCCTACTACTCCATTCCGTTGCTGCAGAGAGAGCTCACAAACGACAGCCGGAGCAAGACGGCGACCTGGGAATGGACAGACAGGTCAGTTTTGCGCGGCTCCGACGAGGAGGATTCGCCGGTTGCAACCGACGGAAACCCCAGTGCAGCCGAAGGAGACGAAGCTCATCACATGTCCTTCGACCTGGTCCAAAAAACCGACAGCCTCGAGAGGATCAAGCCCGGCGAGTCGGCGCCTTCGGAAGTCGAAAACCAGTCTTTCCTGGACGATGGCACGGATGATACCGATCTCTCTTCCGAGCTTTCTACCGACGGCGCTGGCACTTGTGCCGCCGAGGGAGGCGATGTGCTGGTTTCCAAGCATCGGCCTCCCGGTAACGGTTCAGCTCGTCAGTTGACGTTGATCCAAGCCTTGGCGATGACGCCCGGCACTGGTGATGTTGCATCGCAGGCGGCGGCTCGAAGCCCACTCCTTCCAACTCCTGAGATGAGTCCGGTCGCTCCCCAATGTCTGGCTCCGACGTCTGGCCGTCCTCTAGCCGGCCCCGACGACGCTCTTGCTGGAGTACCCAAGCCCATTATCATGCCTCTGCGCAAATACTCTGTGCACTTGCCCTTCATACTGGCGTTTGACTCTGATATCCTGGCCCAACAACTCACGCTGATTGAAAAGGACGCGCTCAACGACATTGACTGGAAAGAGCTCATCGACATGAAATGGAAGAATGCCGCCAGGAGCGACTCTCGTTCATGGGTCGATTTCTTGCGTCACAGTGATGCTCAGGGGGTCGAAGTTGTGATTGCTCGATTCAACATCATGGTCAAGTGGGCCATCTCCGAGATTGTCCTCACCCAGAAAATCGAGGAGCGAGCCCGGTGCATCATCAAGCTCATCCACATTGCGTCGCACTGCCGCCGCTACCGAAACTTTGCAACCCTCGCGCAGCTGACGATTGCCCTGTCGAGCAGCGAAGTGGCGCGCCTGGCCAAGACGTGGGAGCTGGTGCCCGCCCACGACATCCAGACGCTCAGCGCACTGGAGAGTCTGATTACGCCGACTCGCAACTTTCATGCCGTTCGCGCCGAGATGGAGATGGGATCGGACGCCGGGTGTATCCCATTTGTCGGCATCTACACCCACGACCTGCTCTACAACGCCCAGCGGCCCTCGGAAATCGCCAGCTCGCCCACCACGGCCCCGTTGATTAACTTTGAGCGGTGCCGCATCGGGGCTGCCGTTGCCAAGACTCTGCTCCGGCTCCTGGAGGCCAGCACGCGGTACACGTTTCTGCCCATTGAGGGCATCACCGAACGCTGTCTCTGGATCGGCGCCCTGAGTGATGAAGAAATCAGGCGACGTGCCGACGGCCTGGAGTAGCGATTCTCAATCTCCCTCACTCCCAGTCTCTCGCTCTCTGCAACTTTGTGCGCGTCCAGAAACGCGATTCTTATATTTCTCGTGTCATTTACCCAGCACGCATTTTGCACCTGGTCCGGCCCCGAGCCGGCCGCACAGCGCTTGTCTAGTCTCCCGGGCAGCCACTCTCTTTTCTTTTGTCGAATGCGGCCGGCTCAGAGCAATGAAATAAGTGCGGAAGATACCCCGGGTACACGTTTACGAACGGATCCAATTTACGACTCAGCACAGCGTTGACATTTTCATTTCCGTCTTTGTCTGCTTGCCCATCACGGCGTTGTGGTCACCAATACCCGTCCCTTTCGACTTGCGTTTGCTGTCTCTCGCAGCCACCTTTCCTTGTTGTATCCGCCACGGCGTCGGTCCACAGCCGAAACCGTGGCAATATACCCACCTGCTCACTCACTCCTGGGGACCTCATATCGGCAGAGCATGTACAATCGCCCCAGGGTTAACGGCCTATTTCTGCGCACAGCGAGGAGTCTTCTTTTTGTTTTGTGTTTGTTTTCGTAGACATGGCATTGACGCGTGTCTCGTGGGAACGCCTAGAGAGGGGGTGGTGTTGTCATGGAGAGGACGGCGTCGTCTTTGGGCCTTTGGTCTTTTCCCCCTCTGCCGTATTGTTTTGTATCAGTGGTTGGATGCTGTTGGGATTGAGAAGGGGGGCTTCTGCCGCATGATACCGGCTTTGGTAGATACTAGTACCGGGAGACAACGATGCTTAGCTCACTTTTAATTGAATTGAACGGTATGGTTGCAAATGGGAAGACGAAAAGCCTCTATGAGCATTTTTTCATGAGCGAAACTGATGCCTTGGTCCCACTGCTGTCCGCTGCCGGCAAAGCAGCTTTACTCCAAGCCGACGACACAAGCAATGCCAGTGGCTGCTACTTGATTCATTTTTCTTTCCCCTACTGCTCTCATTTGCATGGCTATAAAGATTCACACAACAAAAATGTCTAGGAAAACAATGGCGGGATAACGGTCAAGTCCATCCCTTTGGTCGGCACAGGGCTTTCCCTCCCCCCCCGCCGCGCGTCACAGCGCAGAGAGGTGAGTATCTTTCCCTCATCAGTGCCTCCCAAGTCAAAACCACAGAGTCTCCCAAGACAGCAAAAAGAGATGCCAAGCCTGGAAACGCCTCCGAGATGACCCGTAACCATTTTACCATTCTGTTGTTGCTGGCAGCCACGTTCGTGAACGGACGGGCGGCGGTGCGAGCCTTTACCACTGGGTTGCGCTGGTGTCCTTAGCAGCCTCGGCATTCCAGTCGCTGGGCTGGGCGGAGGCAGCCGCCCAGTCGCCGCCTCCCGTGGCGCCGTCCCAGCCAGGGGCGGCGGCGGCAGCCTGCCAGTCACCACCGGCGGCGGGGGCACCGGTCTCAATGGCGGCAGGGCCTTCTTGCTCGACGCCGGGAAGCTTGTCCTCCTCGGCCTTCTCTTCGGCCTCGGCCTCGGGGTCACGGTCTGTCGAAACTTGTCAGCACCACACATACACTCAAGAAAGATTGAAAAGACATACAGAAGTACAGATCGGGCATGACGTCCCAAGGGGTCTCGCGGTTGTAGATGGTGCCGCGGAGGCGGAGGACCTCGCGGGCAAGCAGCCACCAGATGGTGCCGATGGCGTTGCGACCCTTGTTGTTGGTGGGGATGGCGAGGTCGACGTACTCGGTGGGCGAGTCGGTGTCGCAGAGGGCAATGACGGGGATGTTGACGTAGCTGGCCTCCTTGATGGCCTGGGCGTCGGTGCGAGGGTCGGTGACGACAATCAGGCGCGGCTCCTTGAAGGAGCGGGTGATGTAGTTGGTGAAGCTACCGGGGGTGAAGCGGCCGGCAATCGACGAGGCGCCGGTGTGGGCGGCGAACTTGAGCACGGCACGCTGGCCGTAGGGACGGGCCGAGATGACGCAAATGTCGGCGGGGTTGTCGATGGCGACGATGATGCGGGCGGCGAGGACAATCTTTTCCCTGGGAGCTCGGTTAGGGACCCGTCCTTGCTCATGCCGCGCATAGAGCTTCCCGCCACGTACCAGGTCTTGCCGATGTTGATGACGTTGACGCCGTCGGCGCGCGTCTTCCACAGGTAGGGCTCCATGTGAACCTGCAAGTTCTTGCTGCCGAGGTGGCTCTGCGCAGCCAGGAGCATCTCAATGTCCTGGCTGGTGGCATTGAGGACGGAGGGCAGGTTGGAGGGGGCCATCTTGACTGATCGCTTCCGCAGGAAGAGTGTCGGAATGAGCGGGGGAAGAGGACAAAAAAGTCGGAGATGGTTGCAGTTCGTGAAGGTCGCAGAAAGTTCGCGAGGCCTTCACAGACATACGAATTTACAAAATGTGCGCGGCCGAGAGAGCCCTGAGGACGCTTAGCCCATCTGGGGCTAGCTCAGACCACCCGCAGGTTGGGGGGGGGGGTTCCTTCAAGATCACGTGCCTGAGAGCGCTAGGCTGCTTTGGGGCGGCGTCCCTCAAATGGGCCCGGGCAATGGAGGAAGCCTCGTCGTCCCGTCAGACGTGCCGGGGAAATTTTGACGACGTCGGCTCGGCATCACCCATTCCAAGCAGCTTTGCAGCCGCAGCCATGCCGCCCAGATTAGAGGCGCTGCGGCGCCTCGGAACCGTCAAGCGTAGGGCCGTGCCCGGAAGACCGGGGACTTCTCAATGGCTGCTGACTTTTTGCTTGCAGTCTGCCTGCGGCCCGGGGCCCGTCATGCGCCGCCCAGCTTCACGCCCCTCGCGCAGACAGCCAGCCTCTCGCTGAAGGAGAAGAAGAGGATGGCCAAGCAGGACCCCTACCGGTGGGCACAGGCGCAGCAGCGCAAGACGGCCAACCTGAAGCGGCGCGAGGAGCTGGACAAGGAGCGGGCCGAGTCCCAGGGCGACCCGGTCATGGGCAAGCCGACGCCCTTTGTAGAGTCGCTCGACTTGGCCGGCCAGGTAAAGGCCGGCGACGTGCCGGCTGACGATAACGCGACGCCCCTCGAGGAGCCGCGTGACATGCCGACATCCGCCGCCGGCCTGCGCAACCACTACCTCACCGACGCCGAGCTCGAGGACGTTGCCAAGCACGCCTACACCCTGACCAAGCCCGTTTCCAGCGTAGTCGCGGCGCAGGTCGATCCCGCAATGGAGGCGAAGATGCAGGCCCACGACAGGAACCACGAAAAGGCGGTCGACGCCATGCGGCGGATCACGTCCCTGGAAAACAGCAGCGCCCGCGACCGCTTCCACGCCAACGTGCGACGAATCGTCGACGAGTTTGGCCGCCACAAGACGGACAAGTTCCTCGCGCCCAGGCCGCAGTCGATTTCTCCCAACACCGTGCCGATGCCTAGGCGCTCGGGCCCGGACACGGGGAGCTCCGAAGTGCAGATCGCCATCCTCACGTCCAAGATCAGAGCCTTGAGCCAGGCCCTGGAGACCAACCGCGGCTACAAGGACAAGCACAACAAGAGAAACCTGAGGGTGCTCGTGCATCGACGCCAGAAGCTGCTCCGGTACATGGAGCGAAAAGAGAGGGGAAGCGAGAGGTGGACACACATGATTGAGAAGCTGGGCCTCACGCCGGCTACGTGGAAGGGTGAAATCACACTGTAGGAATATTACAGAAGGCTCCTTCTCTATGTACAATATCAAGCCAGTGGCGGACGGCTCATTGGTGTCCATCACGCTTTGCCTCCCGCCATGTGCGCCAAACGAGATACCCTTTCGTGCAATGAGATGTAGTTGACGGTGCTAGTCTACCAGCATACTGAAGCAAGACCCAGGAGAGCAAATCAGAACACGCTGATGAAGTTGCCGATGCGGTCCTTTTGGTTTTGAGCTATGCACTCTGCAATCCAGGTGATGTTGCGAATCTCCTGCTCATCGTTAGCAAGCGTGCCTATATCGTGTCATCTCCCGCTACGATTCCGTACCTGTTCTCTCAACTTGACCCAAGCGTAGACGATTGCGTAGGTGAATTGCCTCGTGAACGCGCCCTTGGATATCTCCATCTCCTTCTGATAGAACATATCTTCCAAGGTCCTGCCGTCGGAAGAGCCGCCGCCCATGTTCCCTGGGCCCGAGGAACCGCCAAGGGAGGCGGCATCGAAGAACGTCTTGTAGTCGTGGACACCGTCGACGGCCAGACGCACACCCTCGGCGTCGTCGGCCCGCGAGAGCATCAGGGTTCCCTCGGGGTACAGCTTGCCGAAATTGGGGTAGAGCTTCTTGCGGTCTGCCTTGCTCAGCTCTGTCCCGAAAGAGTTGAGCGTGATGTTGATTGCTCGCCGATCGGCCTCGAACTCGAGAATCTCCGACATGACTTCCGCCGTGGGAGTCCCGGCCATGTCTGGCTGGGTGTTGACAAAGTTGTAAAAGTCTTCGAGGTAGTTCTTGTACAGCGTGTTCCGTACAATCTCAATGTTGAGCTCGTCGAGGTCCTGGTGGCTCAGGCTGCCCTTGAAGTACGGAGCGAGCGGGGTCTCGATCAGCACGCTGTTGTAGAGCTCTTCAATGTTGGTCGCGACGCAGAGCACAGGCATCGTCTCGAACCAGCCGAGCGGGTGGCATCGCTCCAGAAGCTCGCGCGTATCTCTTTCGTGCAGGGTGCCCGTGATGAGCAGGGCCACGTTGTCGATCATGTAGCCGTAGGTGACGTAGTCCATAAAGGTCGCCAGCGAGCCCACGGCGTTGGCGCGAACATAGCGAAACTCGGAGATGAGCTTGTCGGTCGTCTTGGAGGCGAGGCTGGACGTGGACGGATTCGGCGGAAGGGAAGCGAGGAAGTCGCCATAGGCAGGGCCGAGCTGGAGCTTGAGATCTGCGTCGCTGGCTTAGTATGCGGCCGTGAGCTCTGCAGGGGAGCATACCATCAATAGTCTCGCACTGCGTCAAGTTGTTGTAGGCAGGACCGGTGAGCAGGCCGTTGCGATAGCCGCGGACAATGCCCTCGACGTAGCTGTTCGACGTCAGCGCCTGTGGAATGCCGGGGTCACGTCGTTCACCAACCCATTGTTGACGTTGAAGAATAGGCCTTCCATCTTGAAGACTGGTAAGAGGAGTGGGTGACTGGGCCTCTGAGCCTGCGCAACAATAGAGAAAGATGCCGCGCCCCGATGCTTGCGAGAGTGGTGATCCGAAACACCGCCAACCAGTCGCTGCTTTATCGACCGTCACCGTCGCCAGCGATCTTGGCGCTGGGCCCCACGTGAGCCAAGTGGCCAGGTCGGGAGATTGGTATCGCCGGGATCCGAAGAGACTCCACTTTACAAGACCCCGGACCAAATTTTTTGGGTGGAGCCTCTAAGCCTTCTGGACTGAAAAATTTCCCAATAAATTTTGTGCCGTGCCTGCGTTTCTTGCAACTGCTCCCACGAGAAGGAGCCAGAGCCCAATCGACCCGCGCAAGACCACTGGAGGGAGCCTCGATCGCTGCTCAACATGTCACTCTTCGTTCTTGCCGAGACGCCTGCGGGGTGAGTCACGATCCTGCGGTCCTGAACGAGGCACACACAACCCTCGGAGTTGGAAGCGACGCCTAACAAGCAAACAGCTACGGCCTGTTCAAGGCGGCGGATAAGAAACTCTTCAAAAATGACGATCTCGCAGCCGAACTCGGTCGTCCGGAGAAACTGGTTGAGATGTACGAACATGGGCCCGAATCCCGGGCGTGGACGACCGGCTAATCAGACGATATAGGCTCAAGCTCAAGAAGTTTGTCAAGTTCGACAGCGCCGCCATGGCCCTCGAAGAGGCCGCCTCTCTGAAGGACGGAAAAGTTCCGGCTTTGCTGACCACTCTTCTCGACGAACTCAAGACTGAGAAGAAGGCGTCTCTGGCCGTTGCAGACGTCAAGCTTGGGACTGCAATTTCAAACCTGCCCCAGTTCAACATCTCCCCAGTCACCGGCTCCAATACTATGGACGTCTTTCGAGGCATTCGAGAGCATCTGCCGTCTCTCATCCCAGGTCTGCTCCAAGAAAACATTGATCGGATGGCGCTCGGCCTCTCGCACTCCATTTCCCGGCACAAGCTCAAGTTCTCGGTCAACAAGATTGACTCAATGATCATCCAGGCAGTCCGACTGCTTGACGATATGGACAAGGATCTCAACGTCTTTGCCATGCGCACTAAGGAGTGGTACGGCTGGCACTTCCCGGAGCTGGCCAAGATCCTGAATGACAACCTTACCTACGCCCGCCTGGTTCTTATTGCGGGCTTCCGAACAAGCATCGCCGAGACCGATCTTTCTGAAGTTCTCCCCGAGGACACGGAGGAAGCCGTCAAGAAGGCCGCCGAGATCAGCATGGGCACTGAGATTACCGAAGACGACCTGGCCAACATCAAGTCGCTGGCTGAGCAGGTGATCCTCTACACCGAGTACCGAGCCCAGCTCTCGTCCTATCTGGAGAGCCGAATGCGCGCCATTGCGCCGAACCTGACTGTTCTGGTCGGCTACCTTGTTGGTGCGCGGCTCATCGCCCATGCTGGCTCTCTCATGAACTTGGCCAAGGCTCCTGGCTCCACCATCCAAATCCTTGGCGCCGAGAAGGCTCTCTTCCGTGCCCTCAAGACGAAGCACGATACTCCCAAGTACGGCATCATCTACCACTCGTCACTCATTGGCCAGGCCAGCGGCAGGAACAAGGGTAAGATTGCCCGTATGCTGGCCGCCAAGACCGCGCTGGGCCTTCGCGTGGACGCTCTCGCAAATGACGACGAGGATGACGAGGAGCAGCGGTCCATTTTGGGTCTCAGCAGCCGCATCAAGCTTGAGAACCATCTGCGGACACTTGAGGGCAAGTCGCTTCTCCCCAAGGGCGCAAACGTCGGTCCCTCTGGCGAAATCACGACGCCGGGCCAGTTCACCCTCAAGGAGACCCGGAGATACAACGTCGACGCAGATGGTGTGGGCGATGCAGGCAGCGACGAGACCCCCAAGAAGCTCAACGGAAAGAAGTCAAAGGACGGCAAGAAGGCACTGATCCAGGTTGTGGAAGAGCAAGCCGACGAGGAGAGACAGGATGCCAAGGACGTTGCCTCTGACGATGATGACGAGGATGAGGACGTCTCGACCCCGGCCAAGCCCAAGCTTTCCAGCGCCGAATACGAGCGTCTGGCCAAGCTCGCCGGCCTTTCAGCGAAGAAATTCAAGCGAAAGTACGAAAGGGGCGACGTGCAGCTGAGCACCGAAGGCACGCCCAAGGTCTACAGCAAGAAGGAGTTGAAGAAGATGCGCAAGGCTGGAGAGAACGGGACCCCCGTCAAGAAACCCGAGACACCATCCAAGCCCGAGCCCTCGTCAGAGAAGAAGAAGAAGCGGAAGCATGTCGAGGATGAAGAGGACGCCGCCGAAACGAAAAAGGAGAAGAAGCAAAAGAAGAAGAAGCGCCACTCGGAGGCTTGATCATATGCCGTCGAGCACCGCGTTTCCGCTCAGACTATGCTGAAGTTCGCCCACCGAGACGAGGTGGCGAATGGAACCGGACAAGATCATCTGCGAGGTGTAGTTATGTGACGATACCTGGGCCTCTTGGAGGCGGGGGTCTCTCCGGGACTCTCTTGCTGTTGAGCCTATTACTGGCTGGCGTTTTAGGGAGGAAGGAAGGATGCATCCGGCGCGTGGGGTTTCTTCCTTTTTGTGTATTTTGCCGCTTGGCCTCCCAGTTTAGGGCTGGTCTCGCTCGATATTGTGGCTCTGGTTGGATGGGCGGGATGAGGTCGAGTCAGCATCGCATCTACCTTTTCAAAAGTTTCTGGCACGTTGGATGCTGTGCTTGCACTTGGTAATATTCTGGCGGTACAAGTGAGAGCTGGGATGCTAACTCTGCGGAGTCGGTTGCTCCCTTGCGGAGATGACTGTCGGGCACCAACCTACCTCTGCTGGCCGATCCACGTTGGCAGCTACAGCCAGTTCGACCTCGAGTACGCATTGCTGGTCAGTTTCGGTCATCCTTGGGGTATGTGGTGGCGTCCGGTGTGCCCGAATGTGGCACCCATGATAGCGCGCCAAGAGCGGATCGCAGAGCTCACTGCCCGGTATTCCAACTTGAACTCTTTGTATGGAAATTCCATCATTCATTAAAGCACATTGATTATACTAGGCTCTTTGAGCTACACGTTACTTATACACTTGAATCCCGGGCGATGCCAGCGAGCGATTGGGGTATCCATTGCAAAACGACAAAACACCGCCTCTCCGATCATCGTCAGCCTCGTATCAATTTCGCCCTCCGGCGCTGGCCGTCCTCGGGTATCAATTAAGGAAAGAAAAAGGCGGAAATGCACGCATACGCGCGAAAACCCAGGGTCGGCATCATCAAATGTCCTCCAATACGCGCGCGTTCAGGGCTTGCAGGTAGCCGGGGTCCTGGCCGCCGAAGTCACGCTGACCGGCCTCATTGCCGGTCGCCTGGCCCGTCTGGTTGGGGGAGGAGGCGGCGTTGAGGACATTGCTCATGTTTTGGCTGGCGCCGGGCAGGAAGATGACCTTGCTGTTGGCGGACTTGGCCATGGCTTGCATGGCCTCGAGGTAGCGAATCTGCATGGCGGGGGCTGAGCTGAGAATGTCGGCAGCCTGTCGCATCAGCTTGGCCGAATCAACCTGTGGGACAAGACGGGTTAGCACGGAGCCAGCTTCGCATCGGAACGACGAGGCCATACCTCGGCCTTGGCGGCGATGATCTTGCTCTCGCCGATGCGCTTGCTCTGGGCCGCCATGGACAGAGACTCCTGCAGTTCCTGACTGAAGATGATGTCCTTGATCAACATGCTCTCGACCTGGACGCCCCATCCGGCGGCGACGTCCTCTATGATCTCGCCAATGGACTGGGCAATCTCCTCGCGGCGCTCAATGACGTCCTGGAGGACGCGGGCACCGACAACGTGGCGCAGGGTGGTCTGCGTGCGCTCCAGCAGCGCCTGGCGGACGTTTGAGATGCCAAAGGCGGCCTTGTGGGGGGCGACGATGTGATAGTAGATGACGGAGGTGAGGCGCAGGGTGACGTTGTCCTTTGTCATGCAAATCTGCTCGGGCACCTCGGAGGTCTGGATCTTGACGTCGATCTGGATGAGTCTTTCGCTAAGGGGATTGACCTTGACGAGACCGGGATCGACGGCCTTGTAGAAGCGGCCAAACTTGGTGACAAGGCCGACATTGCCTTGCTGTACGTTCTTATAAGGGTTGGGTAAGCAGATGCAGCAGGGAACGGCGCCAGCGGTGCCAATACAGGCGCCGAGGGCGTTGACTGAGGACAGGGTCAGCACGTGTGCGGCGGGGCATGGGCGTGTGGGCAGCCCGGGGGGAGGAGGGGGAGAACGAACTCATGCTGCCGTACCAGCCCTTGGGGTTTGCGTCGTCGCCGACGAGGGTGCCATAGCTGCGCTGGAGATCCTCCTTCTTGGGCGGCTGGACAGTCATCTTGGTCTGGGGTTGGAAGCCGCCGCCGAAGCCAGCGGCGGAGTCGTGCTCCTGGGCCGTGGCCGGGGCCTTGGAGGAGGAGCCTTGGCCGTTGAGGGCAGACATGATGGGTTCCGTGGACGACGTGGTGGAAGCCGTGGTTGCGACGAGGGGGGGGGGGTAGGATGACTTATAAAGCTCGACCCTGTTTGCATGGATGTCAGCACGTCCCCCCGAGTTGAAACGAAACGTGGTGGCGGGGGAATGTTTGGGAACGGACCCTTGCTGGTGAGAGGGAAGCTTGTCAAGATTTAAGTGGCGTGCGATGTGGGTGGGAGAAAAGGTAGAGAGGCAGCGGCGCAGACAGACAAGACGACGGCGGGAGGGGAAAGGCCTTATTATGTACTACCTTATGAACAATAGAGCATGTTCAATAATTACTAGTAGAGAGGCAGAGTAGAGGCAGAGTAGAGGCAGAGTAGAGGCAGAGTAGAGGCAGAGTAATAATATGCAGGGCGTGCGTGGGTGAGAGAGGCACGAGGAAGCCGGTGTGTGTGTGCGCGCTTGTCTTGGGTGAAAAAGCAGTGCCCAGGTATTTAAGTCCCGACTGCACGGTACAGACGAGGTACCCGGCTCTACCTGGGGCCGACACAATCAAATCAAACCCAAGGCTCTGGCTCGGCAACGCCCAGCCGGACCGTGCGGGGGCGAGACGAGACATGCCACATGCCACAGTGTGTGCCTTTTTCCGGGCCGCGAGTAATTAATGCCTACCTACTGTACCTGCAAAGTACCTACCTGGCCTGCCCGCCCGTCAGCTTGCCAAGCACAGCTCAGCCCCGGGACTTTGCAGTAAAGGTAGGTACCGATACGACGAACGCGAGGCCCCCCCCCATCGCCGGACTCTAGGCGACCCGGGTCCATTGTGCTCCATCCAACAACCATGGCCAGTCCCGGCCGGCAACGGCGGAGGTGCGAAATATGGCATCGTGACCTGTTGATTCTGAGAATGGACGGGGATTGCTGCGCTGCACTGCCTCTCGCCCACCTTGGCAATGCCATCGTCGGTCCATACGTCCATACCTGGGTAGGGTGTCTGGCCTACTTTGTCTGTCGAGCCTACTTTGTCTGTAGAGCACATGTATGGGAGGGAGTGAGGGGGGAGAGACGATGATGCCTAAAAAAGTGCGTTGGCTCGGATTCCCTGTCGTCCGTCAGCTGCCTCGGCGCAAAGCTGTCATCATCCATGATTCATGACGTCGATGGCCTCGAGTCTGCCTCTCACACGTCCCCTCGTGGGCGGGCTTCCAGAACCCTTCTTGTGCTCAGCCCTATTCCTCGTTGTGCACCGTGGCCGTGTAATACAGCAGATGCCGGTCAACATGGGGCCGTCAACATGGGGCCGTCAACATGGGGCCGTCAACATGGGGCCGCTGGGCTGTGTTGCTCCCTTGCTCCCTGGCTCCCTTGCACAAGTTTCGCGCCAGCGTCACCTGATGGCTCCGTCATGTATCCTTTCCCATTTGCTCACGAACCGACGAACAGGCAGCCGTTCACCAACGGCCACGGCTTCCATCGCATAGCCACTCCCAGGTAGCAGCGGCGAGGCTTTTCCCCTCCCCGCCCTCGCCGGGCAGATTCCCGCTGATCACGGTGCAACAAGCCTTGATTAGGCACCCGCTATGGGAGCTGGTCACTTGGCTGCTTCTATCATGGCCGCCCGGTCAGCGTGTCAAGGTCCAACCTTTGTCTCCATCAAAGACCTCCTCGCGGCCACGTCTCGTCCAGGAGGCGAGGCGGCTCAACATCAACCCATCGCACTCGTTAAAGTCTTACACATTTATCAGACCTGTCGGCACCGCTTCACGTATGCAACAGGCACCTCGCTTCCCGGATAACCCGGCCCTTGATTGCCCGACCCAAATGGCCGTGAGCCTTCCACCCATGTCGCCACGGTGCCAACGTCGGCCTTCTTCATGTCGACCCGCCCCTGCTCATTGCTCCAATGACTCTGGCTTCCGCGTCTCCCTCATTGGCCGGCGCCACCTCTGTACAGTTCTTCGTGCCATCGTTCAGCATCGTCTTCAACAGCACTTGTCCATCCTGCGTCTCCCGTCTCATCGGATCTCGGGCTCGCGCATAAACTCTGGCATCGTGAACCCTGCCTCACCAGACTCGAGTCTTGCGGCAGCCAGCGTCCTCACAATGTCGCCGAGCATGTCTCCGGAGCTCTCCTGGCGGGCCACGTCGCCGTCACCCCCGGTCAAGTCCATGTCATCGCCCGCGACGCTGCTCTCTCGACCGGCACCGTGGGCAGCGTCGGCGTCAAAGGCATAGATCTTAAACCCCCGCAGGTGCGTGTCCTTGCCGTTCTGGTGGTTCTCCAGAATCTGCATTTGTAGCACGTACGAGACGAGGGTGTTACCGTCGGGCTCGCCGCCAGCGCCCGCGATGGGAACCTGCTGCCATCCGACGGGGCTGTCCAGGTTCATGGTTGCAAACTCAATGAGGCTGTTCTCGCTGGTGCCGGACTTGAAGACAATCTTGGTCGGCGTGTACGACTCGTCCTCGTTGTAGTCGACGAAGAAGCGTATGTCGCGGATGCCAACACGCTTGACAAAGTAGACGGTCAGCTTGTGCGGCTGCGGGCCATCTGACCTGGGTTTTGGAAGTTAGTGGACAAGGCGACGCGAGATTGTGTGCGTGCGAGAAAAGGGAGAAAGCGAGAGCTGGTCAGGTAATGTGTCACGCGTGCGAAACCAAGGGCCTATCATGACCAAGGGCCTATCATGTCGGGAGCCTTACTGCCAGCACAGCTTGAGATCGTCGCTTCGAAGCTCGTCGACGCCACTGCCGGGCTTGTGGCTGCTCACGGTGAACTTGCCGAGGTTGGAGATTTCCTTGAGTCCAACTGTGGCCGGGTCAAACAGCGGAGCCGTCTCTTGCTCGTCGGCTTGTTCCTCAATGCTGGTGTCCTCAATTTCGTAATGCTCCTGGGACAAGATCTCGTCATCGTCCTCGCCACCGGCATCGTCGTAGGCCATGGCGTTGAGGCGAGCCTCCGGGCCAGCACCTCCTCGAGCCATTCCAAGCAGGCTCAGGTCCGGCTCGGAGCCGGAATCGTCCGAGTCCAGAGACATGCTGAGACGGGGGTTGGCTCGAAAGTGAGTCGCTAGCGAGAGGGTCGGGTCAGTGTCCATTGGCTCGAAGGAAACCTCGGCGAGCGACTGCTGAAGAGGAGCTCGCCGAGAGTGGACGTGGTGGAGGATAGCGGCAACTTGGGTGCCTCGCTGGTCGATGAAGCGGTCGCGGTGCTCGAGAGTGTCTCGCAAAGCAGACAAGTTTTCCTTGTCGGCAGAGGGCACTGGCCGCGATGAGGCTTCCCTGGAGGCGACGAGGTGGCCGAGAGGCGAGATGGGAAGCTCTTGCAGAGGCTGACGGGGCAGAGGGCAGTGAAGCTGGTGATGGTGGAGGGAGTCGAGGAAGACATCTTGCTGAGTTGGGCTTGGAGGGGGAGAAGGCCATGTTTGAGAACAGAGCATGGTTTCTCGTTGTGCGACGACGGGCGCCTGCAGAGGTCTCGTGTGCTGGCTGGGTGTCCAAGGGGGAACGAGCGTGAATGGTGAAGTGGAGAGAGAAAGAGAGAGGATATGGGGGGGCGAGAAAGAACGGGGTCGAGAACGCAGGGCTGGGGAGAGGAAAAAAGGCTGAAGTGCCGGGACTGAAGAGCCAAAAAAAAGGGCATAGTAAAGCAAAGCGAGCGGCCAAACAAGCCAGAAATCCCGGAGAACGAGCAACACAAGGAGAGAGGGGAGAGAGAAACTTACATCTGTGCAGGCGAAAGGGATGCGGAGGCGGCCCAGCAGGCCCCGGGGGCGAAGACTGGCTGCCGCTTGAACGATGGCGATGATGGTGATTATGATGATGACGATGGTGATGATGGTCGGGCGGCGTCCTTCTGCTGAAGCCACCTCCGGCGACAGCTCCAGCGGCATTGTTGGGGGGCGTCACCTGAAAGGCCGGCCCGCGCCGCCCAGCAGCCTGCTGTAGCACCCGCTGTCCTGGCGCCCGAGCCTGCGCCGGCGGTGGTGGTGTTTGCCCGGCGCCATCGTCCACGGCAGCGGCTCGTCCGGCAGGGTCCATGGTCGGCCGCGATTTTGTCAAATTTTTCCTCCTTTTCTTTATTTCTTTCTTTCTTTCAAACGTCAACTAATGCAATCGCCCGCCCAAGCTCGCATGTACATGGTGCCGAGCCAGCGAATCCGGGCATCTGGAGCTGCGAGATGGATGCCTTTGGATTCGGTGCAACGCGTCCGCGAATTGGACAGACGCGATATCACGTGATGATAAGTGGAGAGGCGAGTCTCTGAATTACCGGAGCGGGAGTCACGACCTTGATCTCCATTCTCCAGAGTCCAGACTTCGGCTCACTGAACTAAATTGCGACAGAATATCTCGGTTCGATGCGAATGAAAAGGCCAGCCCAACCCGGCTGTCCTAGCCTCCGTATTTGCTCTGCGTGCGCCCTTGATTCTCGTCGACTCCCGCCTCGCCTCGGCTTTCTTCCTGGTCCAAAATCAATCCTCCTCAGTCCTAAGTCCTCACCTTCTGGCCCCGTCCCTTCTCCGTGGCCCAACCACACCCCGCTGCCCTCGCCAGCTCGCCAGCTCATCCATTACAGCGCTCCAGATTACGAGCGTGATTACAAAGGCCGCGAACCCGAGCGCAGCGCCCGTCAAGAACCCGCCGATAGCGTCCAGTCGAGTGGCGTGCTGCCACGCGTTCCCGCTCGCCATTGCCAGATGATACGCTTTCTTGCTGCGTCGATGCCGGGTGCCAGACTTGCGTCTTTCTTCTCGAAATGCCCTATTGATGGCTAGCGGCTCGCTCGTTGTTGGCAAAAATCCCCAGCTGGTGACTAGGACCGGAGCGCAAGATGCCCTCGACGTCGACAGCAAGGGGCGCGAGGCGAGTATTTGTATCATGGCTGCTGCTGGCCATCACGTATGTTCTAAAGCGCCGTGTCACAACATTGCATGCAATTGTGAGTAAAAGGCATCGTGAATGCCCCCATTCAATGACGAGGGCGGTCTCCAGAAGCATGAAGCCGGATCGCATCGCCATTCCATCTCCCGGCCGCCGTGCACCACAGTGAGCAACGTCTGAAATCCACCGCTGTATGGCATGGACCGCCTCGTGATGGGGCTGCCGAGGCGCCTGCCACGTCTTGATGTGAAAGGCTGGCCCGGAGTTTATTCAACAAGCAGGTGCCTAGGTGTTGTCTATCTAGAGCTAAGGAGGAAAAGAAGCTGAACTCGAGGCGTAGCCTCGAGTGCGAGCTTATATTGCCCTTCTCGGAATGTTCTCGCAGCTTCTGGGTCCGCGGAGCGGGCCGGTGTTGCCACCGAGCACGACCCACCGGACCCGGTACAACCGGGTCCACCAGCCGGGCACAGCCCGTGACATTACCCCCCTTGTCCCCTCCGACCAGGTCGGCGTCTGCGGGGTTCTTGCGTTCCTGCCAGCGTCTCGTACCTCTCCCTAGGGCCATCATTGGTCTTGATTGGCCCGTACTTGTCCTCGAATGCCTTCATCGCAATTGTTCCTTGCAACCACTCAACTGGCTCCCAAGTCGGCTCTGCGTAGCCCGTCCATCGCACTAGTGCTTGCCTGAATTCCCTCGTCCGCGCTTCTTCCATCTCGCGCAGAGGATCTCGTCGACATCCCACAGATCCGTGCCGGACTCATCTTGTACCGGTGGTGGCTGTGCGTCATCTACCTTTTGGCCAGGAGCCGGATCTTGATGCGCCCGCCGCAAAAGGTCAACATGAAATCGCGGGTAAATTGAGCCACGAACATCGAGCTCAACAACGTGCGAACTAATTACCTTCGTGACTGTGTACTTGTGATGCAGCCAGTCGAGCTTCTTGCACGGTCGTGGCGATCTGTAGTTTGCCATCGAGAGCCACACCTTGTCACCAACTTCAAATCGCTCCGCAGGCTGTCGCTTTGCGTTGGCAGCCTCTTCTTGTTGTTGCTGTGAGGAGGCCATCACTGCTTGCATGTACTCATTGACCTCCTGCAGGCGACTGAGTAGGCTATCAGCTCTGCTTTCCTCTCTATGCCTCGGTGGCTCTTCCGATTCCTCGACGCTGATGGGATCGACGTGGTAACCATGCTCAGCGAAAAGGGGCTGATCTTGGTCGCTGCGGATTCACGATTGTTGAGTGCCAGCTGCGCGGCAGGGAGCAGTTCTCCCAGTCGTCCTGCACGTACGACACGTAGGCTCTCAGGTAGGCCTCGATCTCCTGGTTCATTCTCTCTGGCCCTCCGTCCGTCTGAGGATGATAGGCCGTGCTCAATTTCTGCGTGACACCTGCAAGACGGCAGAACCTCTTCCAGAACCTACTTAGCCAGTTGCTCCCGCGGTCGCTGACGATGGACCGTGGCATTCCGTGAAATCGGTAATGACACTGGAGAAAACGGTTTGCACACGGCTCAGCTTCCATGTTGTCCATCACCTCGAGGGTCACAGCCTTTGTCAGTCTGTCCACAATCACCCACAGGTACCTTGCCTTGCTCGGTCCAGTAGGCGGCAGATCTGTGATGAAGTCCATGGACAAATGGCTTCGGGGTCGATCTGGAATCGGCAGAGGCTTGAGAAATCCTTTTCGACTGGCGCCAGATGTGTGCTCTGCCGCAGGTGTCGCAATTGGCTACGTACCGGCGAACCAGCTGGGACTGCCCAGGCCAGTAGAATCGCCGAGCCACAATAGCCAGCGTACCTTCCTGCCGGGATGACCGGTCGCAACAGAGTCATGCGACTGCTGCACAATGCGGGTTCTCAACTGGTCTTTCTCAGCTTCCTCCTGGTTACCCTCCTCTCCGGATCCACCCGGCACCCAAATACGGTCTCTGAATGTCAGCCTTTTGCCTGCGTCGATCGCACATTCTGAAATCTGGATCTTCAGGCCCAGCGAGGGCGGGAAGGCACGCTCGCGATCGCGGACTGCCTTATAGGCTGCCCGGAATATCGAGTCCTTCGCCACCGTTTCGTCCCAGAGTTGCTGCAGGTCCGCTACCTCGAAGACCTTCATCTTCGGCAGGGTGGATGCCTCTGAACAGTCAGAACTCATCGCGTTGATACATGCTCTTGTCGATGATGGAATGGCACTATCCGGTATCAACTGTATCATTCTTCCTTGTTCCCGCTCGTCGTCAATGCCCTGTGGCTTGTCTTGTTCACGGCGGGACAACGCATCAGGCACGACAGCCTCGCTTCCCGGTCGATACTCGAGCTTGAAGTCGAACTGGGACAATTCGGCTGCCCAACGGCTCTGCCGTTCCGTGAGCTTCTGGCGTGTCCAGAAAAACTCCAGGTTGCGGTGATCGGTAAGGATTGTAAATGGGCCGCAGCTCCTAAGTTCGGCGTTCCAGTTGTCGAGACATCTCGAGATGGCAAGCATCTCCTTGTCGTGAATGGGATAGTTGTACTCCGCTGGCGAAAGTCGCTTCGAGAAGAAGGCGCATGCGTGTCGACGTCCATCTGGGCCTTCCTGCGACAGGACGCCTCCCAATGCGTAGCCTGAGCAATCCGTCTCCAAAAAGGTCGGGAGGCTCGGGTCCCACTGCTTGAGCACCGGTGACTCGCAAAATCGTCGCTTCAGCTCCTGAAACGCCTCGTTCTCCGCTCGTCCCCAATGAAAGGCAGTTCCTTTCTTAAGCAGGGCATCCAGAGACTGCGTGATCTTGGCATAGTCGGGGATGAAGATCCGGTAATAGTTGGCGAAGCCCAGAAAGCTTCTGACACCCTTCACCGTGGTCGGGGCCTCCCATTCGCGGATGGCGCGCTGCTTTTCGGGGTCGCAGGCGATTCCTTTCCTGCGTTGACGATGAACCCAAGGTATTTGACCTCTTGTACCGAAAACTCGCACTTCGCTGGGTCTAGGTGCAGCCCAGCGTCGGCGAGTGCTTGGAGAACTCGTCGCACCTTAGCCTCATGATCCGCCTTCGAACCGCTCGAGTAGATCAGTACATCATCCAGGTACGCTGTGACAAAGTCGTCCAGCCATTCGCGCAATACACTGTTCATGTATCGTTGGAATGATGCCGGGGCGCCGCTCAGGCCGAAAGGGCACACGAGCCACTCGTAGAGCCCAAACCTCGTGCGAAATGCAGTCTTTCCTCATGTCCCGGAGCCATGCGGATCTTATGGAAAGCGGCCACCACGTCCAACTTGGTGAACCACTTAGCCTTGGCCAGATTCTGCAGGGTCTCCGCGATGAGGGGCAGTGGGTATCGGTCGCGCTTGGTGATTGCATTCAGCGCTCGGTAGTCGCAACAAAATCGCAGCCCTCCATTCGGCTTCCGCACGAACAGCACCGGCGCGGCAGCCGCTGAGCTACTCGCTCGGATGAATCCTCTGTCCAGCAGGTCTTTCAGGGTCTTTCGCAAGACCAACAGCTCTTCTCGTGACATGTTGTAGAGTGGGCCCCACGGAAGGGTGGCTCGTTGCCGTTCTTGTCAGGCTGCAGGTTGACTTCATGATCCACACCCGGTCGATGTGGCGGCAGCTTCATTGCCTCTCCTGGTGAGAATAGGTCGCGGAATTCTTTCAGCACTTCTGCCGGGACCTTCTCGCTCGGATCGACTGGCGGCTTCGGCTGAAGCGCCTCTCTATATCCGACAAACTGATTGCATGAATCGAGATCGCGTTGCACTTCTTGCGTCTCTTTGCGCGTCGACACTCCGCCGTGAATACGGCTGCCGACACGAGTCTTGCGCTTCGAATCGCGCGTATCTTGGCGGGCTCTTCCTGCCCAATGAGGCGTATCGTCACACCTGCCCTCCCATGGTACATTCGCTGCTTGGCAGCATCGTACACGACGTGATTTCTCTCCATCCAAGGCCGGCCGAGGAACATGTCCTGGCCCAGGCTTGGGATCACGTATGCAAAGACACGTTCGTCAAATCCAGCTGTCTCGACCACAACAGCCACGACCCTGGGGATATGACACTCTTCGCTGACTCTGAGAATCCCCCAATTTCTCGTGGTTTCGAGTCGACGAAGGGTATCCGCAGCTTCCGAACAAGGGCTTCGTCGATCACGGCATAGCAGTCACATCCACAGTCGACAAGGGCGCGTATTCGATAGCCTCGGTTTACCCGCGCGTTGACTAATACAGTCCGACTATTCATTCGTGGCTTGAACGCTTCCCAGTCCCGGATGTCTGCCTTTGCAGGCCCCGGCGCCCGCTTTCGCCCCGGGGCTAGTCTTTCCCCGCCGACTCGTCCTCACTGGATGCTGCGGTTGATTCCGAATCATCTGCGGCATCGGGCTTCTTCATGCGCGCAGCTTTAGGTCGCTGTTGCTTCCTTCGCCAGGAAAGACCACCTGGGCTGGGCAGTCCACGATAAGATGATCCGTCCGACCACAGCGATAGCAGCGGCGCTCATCCTTCGGCTTCTTATCGACATGTCGACGACCCTTCGACTCGTGGCCAATACGGTTGATGTCCGTCATCTTAACATCTCCGTCGGGGTCCTCCGGTTCCTCCTTGGGTCGTTGCCTTGGTAGCTGTTGAGGCGTCCGCTCAGTCGACGTCGGCTGCCTACCGGGTTTCAGTCTCTCCAATCTGCCCGCAATTTCCTGAACTCTCGCAAGCCATCCCTGGTAGTCGTCGGTACGGCTGTGACCAAACTCTCTTGGAGGCGTGCATTTATTGCGTTCTCTAGAAATACGATCTTTGCACTGTCCGGCCAGTCTGCTCCCCGGCTTCAGCTAATGCCTGTTCGAATCGGGAAGGAAGGACGCGAGAGGTTGGTCTCGCGCTGCCGCATAGTTCTCAGCGTGGCAGCAGCGCGGGATTGGATGTTGCTGTCCTGGTAGGTTCGGTCGAGGTATCGCATGAACTCTTGGGGTCGTAGCTACCCCAGGGCCTCCGCGGCGTAAAGGTAGCGACCACTTGCTGTGGTCGCTCGTCCAAACATGAGTTGATGAGGTACCAAAGTTCGCGATTTCCACTGTAGTAGTGTGCATCAAGGTCCAGCTTGTCTCGCATCTGCCTGGCCCAGGAGGAGTAGCTCTTCCGTGAGCCGTCATACTTGGGTGGGTTGGGCAACGGTTTCCGCATTCCAGTACCGCAGGTTTTGGGAGGGCGTGCCCAAGCCAGGCGTGCTCTCGCCCAATCCTCGTGCCACTGGCGGCGATTGCAAGTCGGCGCTCTGCGGCTGCGCTCGCCCGAGTTGCTCCATCAGCAAGGAAAGTTGGTCCTGTAGAGCTTGCGGTATTTAGAAGGAGCTCTAGATATGTGAAAGGCTGGCCCGGAGTTTATTCAACAAGCAGGTGCCTAGATGTTGTCTATCTAGAGCTAAGGAGGAAAAGAAGCTGAACTCGAGGCGTAGCCTCGAGTGCGAGCTTATATTGCCCTTCTCGGAATGTTCTCGCAGCTTCTGGGTCCGCGGAGCGGGGCCGGTGTTGCCACCGGAGCACGACCCACCGGACCCGGTACAACCGGGTCCACCAGCCGGGCACAGCCCGTGACACCTGGGATAACATCTACATTACGTTTGGAAAGGGAGACACCCTGCTGGCCAAGAGCCCTTCGGGAGATGAGGTGGACGAGAAAGACGTTGACCTTGAGAAGGCTTATGAATCACCCAATGTTCGCGTCTCGGACGTCAAGTCCTTCAAGCTTTGGCTCGACATTGGCTCGGACGGATACAAGCCAGACTGGTGGAAGCTCAAAGGTATCGTATAACATACATACCCATCAACCCTTTCTCCGCTGAACAACCCTGTTCATTGGGTGGTGAAAGCTCCAGTCATGCTAACCGTCCGCGTTCACTACGTTGCAGGTGTCACTTTGGTTGGAACCTGCGCTGGCTCAGGCAGATTGGCCCAAGTTACCAATTTTGAGGACGTCTACAAGTGGTTTGAGCGTTTTGAAGACTCGGAGTCGTACAACGGGGACATCAAGATCGAAGACTGGCACTGGCAGACGGAGGACGCGCAGACGGAGACACTGGCGGTACAACCCCCTGGACGGCCAGACGCCTGCTCTCATTTCAAGTCGCTCGAGGTTGAGTTGAAGCTGGGCAATGGCATCGCCCAGGGAACGTGGGACGACGTCGAGCTCTGCCTCGACAACCGCCCAGAGTGTATCGCTCTCGCTACCCAGCCTTCGAGTGGATTTGATGGGACGACGGTTGTCGACTTGCAGAAGGTCTTTGGATCAAAGACGATCCCGGCGCCAGGGTTCCGCAATATCAAGGTCTACACCCAGACCGGCAAGGAAATCAAGGACTCATACTCGGACTGGTGGGTGTACGATGGTACGTTATCTTCAATACTTTGGTCCCTACCTGCACCTGGCAGTGAGCCATTACTAACCGTCGTACCCGTCGTTGCCAGGCATCACATTCAGGGGACGATGCGCTGGCTCGCCCAGAGTGGTCGAGGCCACCAAGTTTTCAACCAGGGATGACTGGGTCAGGCGCAAGGTTAACGAGCACCGGACTGAGATTGCATCCGGCGAGTTGGCTGCCAATGAGTGGCGTTGGCAGCAGAAGGACTAGAATCAGCGTGTCAAGTATGTTGATACTGCTCCTTCGCCCGGATGCCGGCTACTAGGCCATGTCCAGTCTTCAGTTTAGCAACCAAGCAACGAGTCGAAGCTACTGAACGTTTCCATGTTCTGGTCTCTGCGGCGTGCCCAACATCATCTGCCACCCAGGGAGTTGACTGGTACGAGTTAAATGAACCTCAACTGAATAATAGTTTCAAAGTAGCTCAGTATAATATATTTAGTCCTAATTTTAGGTTTAAAACTATAAAGCCAGTAGTCAAATTGTATTTTCTAATGGTGATACAGTAGAATATAACCATCTAACACTTTAGAGCACTTTAAATACGTCAAGTCAATGCGCGAGAGTAGCTTTGTTAGCTATAGCATGCAAGCTCTGGCATAATTCCTGGAATTTTAATGACTGAGCCCAAACACATGCTATATTACGTGGCGAACAGTACAGTCCCGCCGGGTCGAAGAAGTCCCAGCAAGGTTCGCGACATTTCACAAATAGTTAGGTAGTTACATAGTCTGCACCAGATCGATATCGTATTTTCCTTATGTGTGTGTTCGTCCGAATGGAGTGCCAGAAGCGCGACATGCTACTGCCGGCACATGTTGGAGGAGGACAGCATTCTTTCATAGTCACCTCCACCCCTAGCCGGCTAATATAATGCATGAAGTAACCTTCCGCTCCTTTCCCCAATCCCTTCCATCAGCTAGGGATAACGTTACGACTATTAACTTAATTACTTAAGGGGCGACGCGTACGGACAGTAATACTGCGCAGGACCGCAGACGTAAACGTAATTTCTGTTGCGCTAAAAGAGATGCTCTCGATGTAGTTTAAATCGGCTTGCGACCTAGGGGCTGTCTATCTATGACAAGTCAATTTGACTGGCATGGAACAGGGTATGTTAAGGTTCACCACCAATATACCAGCTGCTATGTCATATAGCTTCACTAAGAAGCCGGGTTGATGGTTCGGAAATAGTTACCACCTGTGAAGCTGGTAAAATACCGCTACACCAGGCAAAATAGGGGCACCCCATTAGAGGTGTTATGAACGTGTATTATAAGTCCTTTCTCTGCTCTGACACCACCTTTACGACTTGCCTACCACTTTATCTATCTCCTCTAACGAATGGTGAGGGGCGTCTAACGCGCCAGGTCGGGAAACAAAACCGCGGCTGCTCTTCCCACCATTTGTCTACTGCTGGAACGGCCGTGTTTTGTTACCCCACTTGCGCGCCAACCGCTCAGGCTACTTGGCCAACTAGAATTGGGAATACTGCGGCGCATGAGGTAGAGAGTGCCTATATAGTTTTGCTCGTTCATTTTTCAACACTTCAAAACTGAGTACTAAAAAAATCCGTGCTGGAGTCTAGATTCTGTATCCCGATGCTAGTTTCAAAAAAGCGGAAGATGGATTCGCAAAGTCTTGTTTCGCTGGCAACGTCAAAATGTCAGGTGCTTTAGAGACGCTACTGGGGCCCTCCACTTGTTCAAAACTTCAAACATTGCGTCGATGTAATTCTTGTACGCTTTTGTGGTCGGGCCCCGCTGGACAGAACCCTTGCTGGCACGTAGGAACGGCATATTGGGGTCTGAAACCGCAACTAGTTGCCGTTCGATGCGACCGTGTGTGGGAATTGTCTGGTTGACCTTCTCAAGCAAGGGCCATCTGCATAGGGCGCCGACGTAGCCATGGCTGAACCACTTGGTGGAACGGCTCTGCATCCTATAGGTGGGAGCAGGCTGTCGTCTGAAAAAATGATAGCTGGATTTCTGTGCTATTGCGCGGTGAGATGAACAGGGTTTGACAGTCAGCCCTGATGCAGCCTAGCATGATGATAGCATAACGAACGTCGCTCGAGTCGATATAGGCGAGTGTGGGGAACGTGTCCTAGGGTGGCCGGTGTCATGGACATGGACGCTGCGAAATGGGCCGCCGCAACCAAGCCCAAGATTGACGGCATGATCTCGATGTCTTTGTCCTGTTTAGCTCCATGGCCGGATTCTTCGGCTACTTTGGCCAAGCCAACTACTCATCGGCAAGTGCTTTCCTCGATGCCTTTGTGCAATACCGCCAGTTACTTGGCCAGGTGGCTTCAGTCATCGACATCGGCCCCATCGAGGACGTGGGCTTTATGGCTCGCACGTCGAAAACGCTTAGCAACAACTACTCACATTCCAAACTGGTAACCCAGTAGGACTTTATTGATATTGTCCAGCCGGCCGTGGCCCCGGAATCCGACCACGGTACGTCTGCCGGCCACTTCTTTAACCCACGACAGATTTTGAACGTTCCATGGTCCGTCTTACCCATGGTAGACCCGGAGAACTCGTCCCTGTGGAAGCGGGATCCACGCATGGCCATCTACCGCAACATTGACAAGCCGTCGGCTCCTGGAGGCGACAACGATCCCTTGGATCCTAGCCAGGCATTTATTAGCTCGCTGCGAGTTGATTCGGAAAGGCTCAATGACGGAGCATCGTCCGAGCTGCTGGCTCGCGCAATTGCATTACGCCTCTCTAATTTCCTGATGAAGGACAAGCTTCCCGATATTTCGCAGACTTTAATGGTCATGGGAGTCGACTCAGTTGTTGCCATCGAGCTTAGAAGTTGGTGGAAGCAAGCTCTTAGCGTCGAAGTGTCAGTATTGGGGCTGATGCATGGCGACAGCATTCAGGCCCTCGGAGAACTAGCCACTGATCTCCTGAAGAAGAAGTACAAGCTTATCAAATAGACACAAACGCAAGGGGGTTTAAAAGTCAAACCAGTACCCTCACCTGTTCCATAGGAGAAGGGGCGCTGAAAGTCCAGGTGCCAGGCAAGGTGTTATACGCCCAAGGACATTGACTGTCACGCATCCAAGGGTCTGAGTGGCGATCATCCCGGACCGAAGTGGGGATTGCGATGCGTGGCAGGAGCTGTATAAGGACTAGGGGACGACTACAACCTTCTCGAGGGGTTCTTCGGAGATCAACGTTTGAATCATTGGCCCCCACGCGGGATGAAACAAACACGACATACGCTGAACGAATGCTTATAAGAATACGCAAAGCACTCTCTAAGGATATCTGAATATCTTTAAAAAAATATCAAGCGGCAATAATATTAGTGCTTCTTATAAGTATTGCTAGTTATATAGACCTTGGTTGATAGAGGTCGTATAGACTGCGATAACCTCTCTAAAAGAAAGGGGGTCGACTAATATAACCTTATATATATATATATCATATGCTTAGACCATTAAGATCTCGTTATTAAATACCTAGCCGGAAATATATATCTGGAACGTCATGTGACTTTCTGCGTATCTTATATGTTGACTGTCGCATTTAGCGCCTCTGGTGGCGTCCCTGTGGCCCTCGGCTGAGATCCAAATTGTAGAGGTTTATTAGATCTGAACTGTAGAAGTCACGGTATTGGTAAACATGTAGGGACTCGAGAGATCAGGGGCCATGGAAAATTACCTAACTTTCCCCCAGAAGCCCACATCTCGATCAGTTTTAAACATACATACATACATACATATATATATATAGTACATAGTACATGGATTATATATCTTTAGGAGCCTTATTAGGCTTATCTATCTGATCCTTATATATTGCCATATTAGACTTGTTATATAACGACCATTGTGACAAGTGGAAAGAGGGCATAAGGGCTGGTACATTTATAGTGCGTATATTAAATGCTTGACAGAAGAAACATGGGGTTTACCGACCTTCAATATCAAGGTTTTACAGGCCATTCTTCTGGGTGTACTGAGCCGAATCACAAGCCGACGCAGCTGCTGCACCGAGCAGCGGCAGTCCAAGCCATGTCGGTGAACTACGTTGTCAGTGGACGGTACTCGCGTCTTGAGCAGACTTGCAAATAGATAAATCATAATCAAATCAAATCAAATCAAATCAAATTTATCCAAATCAAATCAAATCAAATTGCCCCTGCGCTGAATCAAATCAAATCAAATCGCAACATCCAAATTTATTTGGATATCTGATTATTTGATACGCCCCACAATGGCGACCTGGGCCAATAATTTTTGGGAGCCAGCCCTGGCCCAGAGCGGTCGCTTATTAAGGGATTTCCCGGTGATCTGCCGGATCGGATGATTCGCCGGATTTTGGTTCCCTTGCATTCCGGTGAAGATTTGAGTGAAACTCCACGAAAATAATATGAAACAATCTCACATTAAAGCAGAAGCAAGAAAGATGCCTAGCAATTCCATTCAATCTACTTCGCAGTCATCAAGCCACCGTGGCCGCTTCCTGTGGCGTCCCGATCGCGCAAGTCCCCGCATTGCGACTACCATCTCCTGGTCGCGCTCGACAGCCAATGATGGCTTTTGGGACGTGAGGAAGTGGTCAATGCCGGCTTTGGATCTTTACGCAACTTAATGTTTGGCGATTTTGAGTGTTCCGGAGCTGTCGTCGGTTCTGGTGGAGCCGAAATGGCGACGACAATCTCGTCTCGAACGCCCGGACTCTTCTCGCGAGTCTGTGGAGCAACAGAGGTCCGGATCCCATTTCCGACATTTTTTCTGGTTCTTTCGCTTGAGCTCTTTCCGTATCTGCCTGTTTTTCTCCCGCTCTTGTTGTCTGGCTTCCTTTGCCTGACGTCTTTGCTCAGTTTTGCCTCCCGCTGCCTTCTCTTCTCCAGAGCGAGAACTTTGAGGTTTGCCGCCTTTGCTGTCGCTCAAACCTTTGTCGTTCTTTCTCCAAGGCCTCTTCTTGCTTCTGAGTCTCCATGGCTGCTTTCTTCAAGCGCGCTTGGGCCACTTTTGCAGGGCTAAATACCTGCGCCGAGTTAGGATCTACACGATCGAAAAGGTAATCCTTCAGAGCTTTACCGCGCATTCTGCGCTGCTTTTCGTGAAAGATAGTCTCCCGAAGTCCCTGATTCTCATATCGAAGCAATTCGTTCTGAGATTGGAGACTTTCGAGAGTACTTTGAGCTTCCGACTGTCTCGGCTAGCGTTTTTGAGGATCCATCGACTACCTTGTCGACAAGTCGGCGCAAATCCCGAGCAGTGGGCTGCTGCAGGGCGAGCGAGTCAACGGAGCTGTCGCCAGACTCAGACTCATCTTCTGTTTTCTCCGCGATCTGCGACAAAACGACTTCAGGGTCAAATGGGAGGAGTCCGGTCCGTTTCCAACCACTTGCGATGTTCTCCGCCGAGAAAGATGACCCGAATGCGTTCCAAAATAACGACCAGAACTCGCGTTTCGATAGCCCGATGAGTCCCTGTGTCTTTGCAGTCCACTGGATGAGCTGGTTGGTGTATGCGGTCGAAAGAGGGCCAAAAAGGGACACATCAAGGGGCTGCAGCCTGTGCGTGGAATGCGGCGGAAACACGGCAACGATTATCCGATGCTGGTCACACCACTCCAGGAAGTCCATATTGACATGACTAGAGTGTCCGTCGGTAATCAGGAGGCGGTAATCCCGGCCGTTTCGCGCCTTTTCTTTCGTGAACCGGTCGAAAACACCAATGAGCCATTCCTTTCCAAGTTCATGGTTCGTCCAACCCGTTTCTGAGGTTGTGAAAAACGCCGCTTGGTGCTCCGGATCAAACTCCGTGAGCCAGGAGTCCTGAACTTGCCCTGGCTTGCCTTGGTAGATGAGAAACGGGGGTAGCGCGGTCAGGTCTTGACAGACACATGCCAGGAACGTGATCCATGATCTGTTGCCATCCTGCGCAGCACCGATCAATTTTCCTTGCTTCTTGGCACGAACAGAGAATACTCTCTTGGTACGATTGATGACGCCGAGAGAAAGCCCTTTTCGTCCACATTATACGTGTTGCAAGGCAGGATGTCGTATTTCTCGATTTTCTCGCCAATCTTGTACGATCAGCAATGAAGGGATGGACTTGGGCACCTACTTACAAGCTCATAGTAGGCTCTGTATCTAGAAGCATTGTCTGCTCTCTTTCTTGCGATATCAAAACCGTCGAACCAAGTGCAACCGAGCTCATCGCTGTTACGTCGGACGAAGCTATACGGCCAGTCCTTTCCGACCTCAATTTTGGCGATATCCTGGGCAAAACTTTTGATCATCGGCAGCGTAGGCGGAATCCCACGTGATGAAAGCTTGCGAATATACGCAACAAGATCCCTTTCTTGCTGTTTTGAGAGACGTGACTTATACAAACTGTCGGCATCCCGTCTTGACCTCTGTTTGCCTTGGTGTCGCCGTCGCAGGGTAGTCTCGTCGCAATTGAACTGACGCGCAGTCTTGGCATAGTTAACAGTGTCACACAGCTTCAGAAACTCAAGCGCTTCATCAATCGGGGCCATGGTGGTGGAGAAATTCAGGATTGAAGTGGAGACGTGAACTGGCGGTGAATCCGGCGAATCGCCCGATCCGGCAGATCACCGGAAATCCCTTACTGGCAGTTGCTTTTCCAGGCCGTGTCACTAAGCTTTCTTTTTGCGTTTTACCTGACACGTTTGATCGTGAAATATATCTTTGGGTGCGTCTGCCATATTACTGGGGGAAATATTTGTAGCCGGTGGCCAAAATGGGACAGCTCTGCACTTGACTGCAATGGCGCATACAGCAGAAGGCGAGGCGCTGTCAGCCGCCCTTTCTAGTGTCCCGTCCACCAGTTTTAGCGCTCCCGAGAGCTCCCCCGACCTTGACACATCACCTTCGATCGACTACGTTGGATATGAAGGCATCGATTGGAATCGCCTCTCGGGTTTCTCCATACGCAAGTATAGAAAAAGAGCGCGGACGGGATGGGTATGGGAGCATGGGTTCGATATCGAGAAAACCGATTCCGGTCATCGGTTTTGGCTTTGCAAGGCCTGCCACGGGAAGAAGGCTACAATTACCCATATGTACGATGCTGCATCCACAAGTCAAGCGAACAGTCACATGGAAGAAATTCACCACATCAACAAAGGCGGGCCAATGCTACCACAGAGGAAGAAGCAACGCACTCTTTTCGACGTGGTTGACCTAGACTCCAACCGACCGAAGGATCAGGCTCTGATGAATGCCTTCATCTCGTCCTTTGAACCGCTTCGCTTTCAACATCTCTTGATACGCTGGGTGGCATGCGACAACATACCATTCCACAAACTGGAGAGTCCGTACTTTCGCGACCTTATGGCTTACGCGAACAGCGCAATTGCGGATTCGGGCAGTATTCCCACTCATAGCACAATACGCGACTGGATTGTGCGCTCCTTCAATTGTCACAAAGGTGTCGTGACGGAATTGCTTCGTCGGTCGCTCAGCCGCATCAACGTCTCCTTTGATGCTTGGTCCTCCCGAAAATTCACATCTCTGCTCGGCCTTACCGTACACTTTATTGATGACGAAGGAAGTTCCGTACGTTTCTCCTCGGCTTGCCACGGATTGAAGGTCGCCACTGTGGAGAAAACCTGGCCGACCGTGTCAGCGAGATAATCCACGAGTATGGGTTCGAGGATCGCGTTGGATATTTTGTCACAGACAATGCGGAGAGCAACGACACGTGCCTTGAAGACTTGGGCGCTGAGTTGGGGTTCAACAAGCAGCATCGTCGGCTCCGTTGCTGCGGCCACATCATCAACCTCGTCGCCCGATCCATCCTTTTCGGCACGGACGCCGACGCGTTCGAAGAGGATTGCCAAGCCAACAAAGAGATCCAAGATGAGGTCAGACTCTGGAGATCAAGGGCCCCATCGGCAAGTTGCACAATATCGTTCACTGGGTGGAAAGGTCTGGGCAGCGCATTGAAAGGCTCCACATGCTCCAATCCATCGAGAACACCGCCCTGGGCCTCGAAGACAAAACAACCTACGATGTGGTCATGGACAACGCTACTCGCTGGAACTCGTCCGAAGCGATGATGGAGCGGGGCTACATGCTTCGCAATGCACTCGATTCGCTGGTCCAAGCGGAAGTGACAGAGTGGAATCAATATGTGGCGAGAAGGACACAGCACGGGGCAAAGCCGATGCCGAAGAAGTGCCGCAAGAAGCCTACAATTGTGGACGACCAGATGGTCACTGAGGACTGGTCCGTTATTGCAGAGTATTTGGCGATCCTGAAACCATTGAAGATCGCGACAAAGCGCCTAGAGGGCCAGCCACGACAAGGCAAATTCGGCGCGATTTGGGAAGTTTTGCTCACAATGGAGTGGCTTCTGAAGCACCTAGAAGAGGCAAAGCTACAGCACGAACGGGACGAGGAACCGTACCTGCGAATCGGCTGCAATCTCGGCTGGATGAAGCTGGATCAATACTACGCCCTTACGGAGGATAGCCCTGCGTACCTCGCGAGCCTCGTCCTCCATCCCGCGTTTCGCTGGTCCACCGTCGAGTCGCAGTGGTCCGATCATCCGGACTGGTTGGCCAGAGGAAGGGCGGCTGTGCAAGAGCTATGGGAGGAGTACCGAACCTCGCGGTCGAGCAAGATACGATACCCGAGGAGCCCACAGCTGCAAGGAAGACAACGGACCTAGATGACTTCATGACCTCAATTAGGAAACTTGGCGCCCAACCTGCGCCTCACCGTCCTCCACGCGTGACGAATACGCAGAATGGGTGGCCAGTACCGATCCGGGCGATTGTCTTGTGGACAATCCCATCCAGTACTGGCTTCTCCGCAGACGCCAGTATCCACGCTTGTCGCGAATGGCAATCGACCTCTTTTCTATTCCGGCAATGTCTTCAGAGCCGGAGAGAATATTTAGCCTTGCCGGACAGATGGTCACAGCTCAGAGAGGCCGCCTCAAAGCGGACCTTATCGGGGCGGCTCAGTGTATTTCGTCGTGGGAAAAAAGTGGAGTTATCCAGATATCCAAATGAGATCCAAATCGACTCAAATCAAATCAAATCAAATCAGATCCATGATTTTGCCATCCAAATCAAATCAAATTGGACCCCGGATTTGATTTGATTTATCTATTTGCAAGTCTGGTCTTGAGAGACTATCATGACTGGAAGGCTCAGTGTCGCCAAGTAATCCTGTGCTTCACCACACTGAACGCAAAGTTTCATCAGAAAGGCTTGCTCTGAGGCCAGGGATAGAGGCGCCTGCCACCTGCACTCGCTAATGAGTCGAGAGGGGCCTCTGTGCAAGGCAGAAAGATGGCCAATGCAAGGGACTGGTGGCCAGACGACGGTTGAACTGGGCAAATTCATGTCAGAATGCAGATAGTGAATCTGAAGCAAGACAAGATGTCGCCCCTCGTGCTCAGATATGACTGCCGAGGTTGCCTTGTCGGGCTGCTTCTCAGCCTTGGCTCATCGCATCGTGTTGGTCAGGCTGCGTTCTCCCACCCCGCTACCGCTGCGAGTCACAGGGCATCCTGGGCATCGCGTGGGGAATTCCGTGAAGGTGAAGGAGGAGGAGGAGGAGGAGGAGGAGGAGGACGGGCTGTGTCACATTTGACGCCAGCTGCACCGCGCGCAAAGCCAGCCATCTGCAGTGAGACATGGCTAGGCGGGAAACGACGACGAGTTTCGCCCCAGCCGAGACCGGAAAGCCAGCTGCCAAAGGCGACCAATGCCGCGAAAGGTCTGGCGAAAGAGACGGCGCGTGCTCTTCACGTTGGTGCGCTACCGACGTAGCCAATCTCGTCGTTTCGCCGAGTCGCACACGAGGAGGGCTTGGTGGTTGACGCACGTCGACAGGCGAGACATGGAGGCTGGTCGAGGCCGAATGAGGTCGCTCTCGGGGCCGTGACCAGGTCACGTGCAAGGTAGATGATTTAGTGGCCCGTTAATTGCCCAAAGGTAATATTCACTATTAATTTTATTCATATCTAGCTTCATCGATGGGGCGCCCTGTGTTGCTCGGAGAAGTTTAAAACAAAGGTTGTCGAATTATACTTTATCGGGGACAATAGCAAATGCCCTTCTCATTGTCTGCTTGTTAATCTCTCGCCGGCTCGAATTTCCAAGGTTGGAAGCCGCATCGAGCTGGCCAGTCGGCAAGGACAAGCAGAGGGGCAATGGTGAGTCAATCAGATCTGGAGATTCGCTTGGGCCACTGGAATCTTTGCGACCGAGACTGGTAGCACTCTTGGCTCCTTGGCATCCAACGGTTGCTGAGTACCATCTATCCCCCTTGCTTTGGGCGGCATCCCTTCCCTGACGATGCCGAAGACAGACAAGAAACGTTTCCGTGCATCTGCCCATGCTTTCCCCGGTGAGACTTTTATTTCCCGCTGTCGAAGATGAACAGAGAGATGCATGATAACGCCGGTCTTGGCTACGTCTCGCTCCCGCGTCATCGTCTTGGAGGCGGTCGGTTGGAAGGCCGGAATGGGGCCACCGTAATAACTACTCGTCGGCTACGTACCGACAGCTTAGTGGCGTATGCATGCCTGCGAGGCGTCGCAAGCGTGACGAGAGTACGAGGAGAGTGCGAGGAGAGTACGAGGTACTTGAGTATCGGGGCGGCGGAGAATCACGGCATGACATGCCCGAACCGAGCTCTTTTCCTTTCTTCCAATGCCTGTCCGAGCGGGGCTTCGTATAACCACCTAATTCGCCTGAGGCTACGTTGCCAAGCCCACCCACGGGGAAACAAACGCCCCCACAGCCCGTGCTTTCTCCCGACGACCTGTACACTGTTAGCGCCCCCTCGCCTCGGCACGTAGGCTGCGTTTGGGCGCAGCCAGCCGCAGCGCTGGCTTCAAAGACATTTTCTACAGGCGTCTTACTTTTCGTACCTACACACGGACTGGAGGACGGGAACGACGTGCATCGGTCTTGGCCAGCACGGTACGTACATGCCTCCCCAGCCCCTCAGTTCTCATAAAACGCTGAGCATCCCTCCCATCGACCTGCAGTCGCATGTGCAGTGGCCAAGGCTTGTTGTCCTCGAATCTCCTTGCTTTCCTCCATGGCCAGCGATTGACTTTTGCGGCTGGCCCTCGCTCGCGGAGTCTATTATTATTAATATTTCTTCCTCTTCCGCCAGCACCGTCCTTCCAACCCCCCAGTCGCCAAGAGAGACGCTCCCTCCTCCAGCCATGCGCGGCATTTTTGAAAAGGACCCCGGCCGCGCCTCGGCCAAGTTCAACTACATGTTGTCGCCCAGGGTCTTCCAGAGGCGCTCCGTCGTCTTGCTCGCCGTCCTTGCCGTCTTCGGCTTCGGCTTGCTCATCTCGTCTGCTCGGCTGAGGGAGCGCTGCGAGGAAAGCGGCTACTGCGGCTTCGCCCAACTGTCTCCCAGCCTTGCCGCTCTTGGCGACCCCTATCGAGACCATGACCAAAACAACAGCATGCCCGCTCACGCCGGCAAGCCCGCCGCGGCCAACCCCGAGCCGAGTGCCGGTTCCGAGTGCGCCAGCTTTCCCGACACGTCCAATGTCTTGCTCGTCATGAAGACGGGGGCGTCGGAGGCCTTTGGCAAGATCCCCAACCAGCTCATGACCAACCTCAAGTGCCTCCCCGAATTTTACCTCTTCGGCGACATGGCGCAAAAGGTGGCGGGCTACACCATCCACGACAGCCTCGACACCGTGTTGCCCGAGGTCACGCGCAACAACGAGGATTTCGACCTCTACTTTCGCCAGAAGACCTGTCCCGTTGACCAAGGCTCCTGCAACAAACACCACGACGTTGGCAGACAGGCCTGGAAGCTCGACAAGTACAAAAACATCCACATGGCCGAGAAGACGTACGCCATGCGGCCCGACTACGACTGGTACCTGTTTGTCGATGCCGACACCTACGTCGTCTGGCCGACGCTCCTCAAGTGGTTGGAGCAGCTTGACCCGGACGAGCCGCACTACATAGGCAGTGTCGCATATGTCGGCTACGTCCCCTTTGCACACGGCGGGAGCGGTTACCTGGTTTCGCAGGCGACCATGAGCAAGTTGTTCAAGGGGCAAGACAAGGTGGCAAATCGATGGGACCAGAGAGTGACGCGCGAGTGCTGCGGCGATTTTGTCTTTGCGCTGGCGCTGAAGAACGAGACCGACACCGACGTCAGGAACGCGGTAAGTCACGGCAGCCGGTGCACGGAGCAGAATCCATGCTAACTCTGCTGCAGTGGCCGACCATTAACGGTGAGAAGCCACATACGTTGCCGTACGCAAAAAAAGAATGGTGCCAGCCCATAGTCACCATGCATCACGCCGGCGCCGAGGAGGTGTCGGAACTTTACGCATTCGAGAAGGAGCGAGACTTCTCGTACCCGATGCGCATCAAGGACCTCTACCACCGTTTCGTCAAGGACCAACTGATGGCCAGACGAGACGACTGGGACAACCTGAGCGACAACGTCTTTTACCTCAACAGCTCGGCGTACGAGTACCTGGACTGGGAGAAAAAAAAGGCGAAGACGGAGAACCTCTCTGCGCTTGAGATGCTCGCACACGAGAGCTTCGATGATTGCCGCAGGGCTTGCCACAGCTTGCCAGAGTGCCTGCAGTTTCGCTTCTACCATGGCATCTGCGCCATTAGCCACACCATCAAGCACGGCCACCCGACGAAGCAGGAACCGTATCAGCATTGGCGGTTTATGTCCGGATGGAACGTCAAGAGAATAGAAGAATGGGTCGAGGAGCACGACGACTGCGGCGAGGTTGAATTTCCCATCGAGGACAGCTGGCTGAGCCTGTGATTCGGGAGCAAGATTCGATGTGCAAGTTCCGAGACTGAGTCACCCAGCCCGCGACGATGCAGGAGAACCGAGCGAAACTTTCTGGACAGTTGGTCATGTCAAGCGAGCCTCGGTCCGGACACTCGCATTGTCGTTGACGGCTGGAAACCCAGTTACTTGTCAAGGGTTCTGGAGCGAGACTCTCGACGACGGCCCGTTCCTATGTTTGTCTGGCTGCGATACGCGGGCAGGGCGGGTCTCTGATGAGGATTGAGGACGGCTGGAAGAAGCAGGCCTCGATGCCGCCAGGGCCTCTCGCGAAAGTAGGAAGCGGCTGTGCGAGTAGGACAAACAGCTTGCTGACGCAGAGCAGGCTGCTCTCTGGCGTGGCGTGTAGGATAGTAGAGCGAGGCGGGCAACCGTGGGTCTTTTGGGTAAGATATGGCACGGCAACCTGGCTTTTGTTGTTAGGCATAGCAAGTGGATGTTTATTTGGGCACAAAGCGCATGGCTCACTGCTAGGGCAGACACAGCAACTGGGGCAAACAAATAAAGTTGCATTAGGCATGAGCATCATTCTGTTTCTGCGGACACATGGCCAGAAAAGTGATGGCGTAGCACCGACGGCGAGGCAATCAAAAGTCATCTAGGCTTGGAGATGAGACGCTGCAAGATCCAGGGGCCAGGACCGCGAGTGCTTTCACAAGTAGCATCGGCCGACTCCTTTACGGTATTAGCCATGTTGGTCTTGGCTTGGTTGGTAAATGACGAGGTCGCTGAGTGCTTTGGAACATGATTCATGACATTGGGCCCGGAGCATTTCCTCTCTCGCTCTCGCTGGTTTTCGGTAGCCTAAAGAAGGTCGCGCGAGGCGATTGTGTAAAGGACGGCCGGGCTGCATCCGCAAGAGGGCGGACGAGAGGCCCACAAGGGGGGTGGCGGTGGTTCAAGCGCTGTACGGGGGCTGTACTGTACTGTATTCTGCTTGCAGGAGCCATGGTTCCTGGCTCTGCGTGCCGGCGGACTATGGACGACGCTTGACTCTGACGATGCGTGCCAAGTAAGGCCAACAAATAATAAATTCCTCGTTGAAATTTCTCTCTCGTCTCGGAAAATGCGAGCCATGCCGATGCCAGTCACAATGCCCCGTTATTGTGCCGAGAGAGAGAGAGGGGTGGGGTGGGTGCGGGAAAAAGGGAGACGTGATGATGGATGCAAAAAGTGGGAAAAGGAGGCGAGATGGGCTCATTGATGAGCCCAGTTTGCAATGCTGCGTCGTGACGTAGGTAGGTACGTAGTAGGTAGGCACTATGCTCTGTATAATATATACTGTAATTACCTACTCCGTACCTACCTATATATAAGGTATATATATATGTACCTACCTATGTACGTGCAGCCTCATCCGTCTCCCATGCTGATGCTGGCATTCAAGGCTCTGGGGACTGGGAGAGAGAGAGCACGTCTGACGGCACAGGAGCTAGCGCCCGCTTGCCGGAGCCGAACGACCTAGCCCCTCTGCTGGCATTTCTCCACTCGGCACTTGTCATCAGCAGTCGGTCGAGGGCAGGATGCACGAGGAAAAAGGACAGAGTTCCATTTGCCTAGCCTTACGGTGCGACCCTGATAAATGAGGACGGCATCCACCCTACTTTAATGGTACGTTTGTATATACAGCACATTGAACGATGGATTCGTATACCACTTGGTTGGTCTTCTGCCTGTCTCGTGCGCAGTGGCCGAGGGCTACTAGCGGAGAAAATGCCAGATGGCGGTTGGACGGAGAAGCCCTAGAGCATGAGCCTGCCCCGGGGTAATGACCGCCCGGAGTCATGGCACCTCGGGGTGCCTACTTGAGATACTGCACAGCCCACTGTACCTCGACCCTGCCTCGAGGAACGCTCGTTCATCACGGATTGGGTGTTCAAATCAAACACCAGGCCCCGTGCATTGCATTGACGCTGCTGTCGCACCGAAACACTCGCGGCTGTGTCGTACCGTGTACAGTACACGTACAGTACGAGGATCATAAAGCAGACGACGGAGAAATCACCTCGCGAGTATCATCGTTGCTGTAATCTTGCGGCTGCCCCGCTGCTTTCCACCTTCCACCTTCCACCTTCCACCTTCCACCTTCCACCTTCCACCTTCCACCGCTCTTCTCCCACCGCACTGTACTTGTAGGAACGTACCCTGGGTAATTCCTTGGTTAAGTTCACGCCCGACAGACGCCTCTCATCGTCCACGGTCGGCGTCGGCGTGTACTGTACAGTACCTCGGGGACAGAGCCTGGTACCTGGACCAAATGTATCCCCGTACTACCTTAACGGAACAGATGCCCGACGAGCGTCGCAGCAGAGCCCAGATTGCAGTACCTGACAGACAGCCGCCGGCTTCCCACGAATTACGAGTACAGCTAATAAGTGTGTACAGATGTATGTATGTACTCCGTATATGCCCCCCTGCACTCACGCCCCTCCCCTCTGCCCCTTGGGATGGATCCGCCCGAAAAGGGAGACGACTGGGAAGCTGGCTAGGTACCTAACCTACTACTACCTACCTACCTACATGTCCGTACCCTTACCTCTCTGCAGCACCGACGTACCTACTGTACTGTAGTACTGTAGTGTCAGGCACGGCACTGTGCCTCCCAGACGGGTTCCCTAGCAAGTACATTACCCAGTACTTGCCTCAACTGCCGCGCTCGCCTTCTCTCTTCCTCGCAATCCCTCTTCGCCTCGCCTCGCCTCGCCTCGCCTCGCCTCGCCTCGCTTCCGCCGACCGTCTCCCGCCCGCCTCTCCTCCTCCCCAGCCTATACCGTATCGACAGCCCCGGCAGACGACGGAGAAAACAGACTTTGTTGCCTCATCAGTACCCGACCATTCCCCCTCTCTCTTTGAGCCAGCAGCAACAGACACTGCACACAGCACAGTCCACCGCCATCACAACCCCGGCACCGCCATCTCCTCAACATGACAATGACTGACGCCGAGCTCGATCGCGACTGGCAGCCCAATGGCCGCCGCCCCCAGTCGTACGTGCCCGCCGCATCCGCCGGTCTCCCGAGCTGTTTGTCTGCACGCACTGACCTTTGCTCGCCGCTCCCCACAGGACCATTGCCCGCTCCTTTTCCCAAGAGCTCGGTGACATTTTCCGCATCGAAGACTCCCTGACCGATTTGGACAACAAAGTTGACCAAAGGTTCGTCTCCAAGATGCGACACTGCACGACTGCCTGTTTTCCGCTGCTGACCGGTCTCCTCAACCCCCTTCCGCCAATGCAGAAGACAAAACGTTGGTAAAAACACCCAAGAGCTTGCCGACATTGAAGCTCGCATCCGCGAGATGGAGGACCGTCTCCGCCGCAGCCAGCAATCCCGCCCTGCTATCCAGACGGGCGCCTCTTCCTCCACCTCCCAGAAACGGACCGATGCCACCAAGCCCTCAAAGGATAACAGCAAGCCGTGGTCACGGCCTGGCACCGCCCGTCCCAGCCAGCCGGCCCCCAGCTCTGGTCGCATGCCCCCAACTCCCGGGGCCAGCGAAGGTGAATACTATGCCGTCACACGCGCTGATTTGGACCCCGGCCTTGGCTGACTTGGCTTGTCCTCCGGATCCTAGACGGTAATGGCGAATAATCAAGCAATTCCGTTGATTACCTGCGCCCTGCGCACCCAGCCGAACTTGGAATAGGGGCTGCCCACCGAGAAATGGCTCCCCTTCCACCCTGTGAGATCTATTGAGCGGTTCTGTCTTTGGTGATTCCCCTCTTTTTTAATATTCTCTTTTGCATGCATGGGCAGGGAGACCAGAGATTCTTGCATACCGCCGTTTCCTCTCCGCCTCGGTCGCTCGCTTCAGGTTACGTTCTCTGGAGTTTGTCGGGCACAAAGGACTTGTTTCCCTCCAACGCGGGCAACGTCAACGCGGACCAGCCATTAGTGGTATCGGCTACTTGTTGCATCTATCGGCGAATCTGGTCGCTTGACCGAGCCCGTTGGTATTCAACTTTACCCATCCTGCGCGTAATGAGAAGCGGCAACCCTTCAACTCCTCGATCAGGATGAACATGATTGGTAGACGGCGAATGCGGGTGCTTGGTTTGTGGGACACGGTAGAAGCAGTCGCGTGGACCTGCGGCCACAGGGCGGGCGTGCTGCGAGTCGGTGGCGTGTTAATTGTATATATCATTTCTAGGATGATGGCAATGGCTCATACTCTTCTTGCTGAAGCCTCGGCACTCCTCTGTCTTTTGACGTCGTTTCGGCTCGGTCTCTTTCTTGTGTCCATGCCTACCCCCTTTCGTCAGGTTGGTTCCGACGTCAACAAACGGTGCCCAATACACGCAATGCCACGTCTTCTGTTGACTTGGATCCTGGACTACGCGACATGCAAACACACGCCTTCAAGACGACGAGAGTGCGGTTCACACGACAGGGTCATCTGTGCTTGCTTCGGCCATTGGCGCTCCCATTTCCGCGTGAGTTGCAACAAGATTAATGTTTCTCCTGCTATCTGGCGCTCTCATGACACATGTCATGTTCTCGTCAAGAAACCTCTTCGTTCCTCCTCGGCATCAATCATCATACAGTTTCTTGTTGGCGAAGCCGATGCGGCCCTTTTCCATGTCAAAGGCCACGAACAGGGCCTTGAGCATGGAATCGCCCAGGATGGTCACGTTGCCCAGTTGCCCCGAGCTCTGCATGCCTCCCCAGCACATGGAAGGGTCCTGCCCGGTCGGTCCATAGTTGAGATAGCGACCGGGGATGGTCAGGATGTGCTCGGTGCCGGGGAGCTTGAACATTATGTCGGGCAGCCTGTCTCCGATTGCGCACGGGAAGCGGTACGAGGCGTGGGCTATCGGCGCGGTTTGCACGCCGGGAACTTCGCTCCAGTACCTGCTCGCCAGCATCTCGGGAAGGAACATGAGCGAGGTGCCGGTGTCGACGACGGCCTCGAACTTGTGATACAACCAGACACTATGGTTGCCGGTCCACGAGGTGAGTTCCAGGTCGACGGTCCAGTGCGGGTTGGCGGGGTCGCTTTGGAGCCAGGTGATGTTGTCAGAGGCCAGGCTCTCATCAATGTGCCCAAAGTCGAAGCGGCTCGACGCGTTGGCGCGCAAATCGACGGTGAAGACGGGCGACTTGAGCTGACGCTTGAGTTGTGAGAGAAAGGTGGGCTCGGGAGGAATGATGCTGTTGTTGAGCTGCTTGGCCAGGCCCATGAGACCACTGAAGCCCGTCTCCATCTCAAACGCGTCTGAAAGCATGGCTGCCGACTCGATCAAGGCGTCCTTGACCTCGAGGTCGCCAATGCGAAGCGTGTCACGATAGACGATCCCAATTGCGCTACTCAAGTCGGCTACAAGACGGCGTCAACACACGAAAGCGCACGAGGTCAGAGGAAGGCTGCTCACCGTATAGGATGTTCCACGCGGCCTTGTCGACCTGGCGTGCCGTTGTCGATGCACTGGGGCTGTAGCGCGCAGGCCACGGGCCGTGTCGGTTGACGCGATATCTCGTGTCCGTGGACTGAACCCAGCTGCGCCCCGGGTCAGCGCTGGTTGACGACAAGTATGTGTTCAAGGGGCATCGAGACGACTTACACGTCCGAGGACCCAGTGTCCAACGCCAGCTTGACCTTTTGCGGCGGGGTGCCGATTTCGACCTCGGCCAGGTAGGCCATGTCCTTGGCCATGGGCTGGACTTTGACTTGGCTTTCTGCGAAGAGGTTAGCCGCAAAGGCGGTTGAAAGAGGCGAGTGTATGCGGCCTCAAGGACTCACCATCCTTGGCGAGAGCAAACATCTGCGCCGTCTCCTCGGGAACGCCATTCCCCCACTTGCGGTGGGCAGCAGCCCAATCGTTGATGAAGTCGCGCTTGTCGTTGGGCTTGGCCACTTGCAAGGCAAAGCTGCCGGCAGGGCCCTCGAAGGGGGCGGCGAGGACGGCCGATGATGCCGCCAGGAGGACGAAAAGAAGGCTCAGAGCCTCCATGGCTCTCTCGATGGGCCGGGGAAACGACGGACTGGGTGCGGTGGAAAAGAGTGAAGAGGGGGAAAGAAGGACGAGGGAAAAGAACGAAAGGGCGAGGCAAAGAGAGAATGGCTTGCCCGCCTTGTCCTGGACGGTCGACCTTTTTCTTGTCGCGACGCTGCAGGAGGAAAAGAGAGAGAGGGAAGAGAATACAGAAGGCAGACTGAAGAAAGGTTGGGAAAACGGCGACGTCAGGTGATCGGCAGGCTGGGATGAATGAGCGAGCCCCGTCAGTGAATCATGGCAGGAAGCAGAAACTGCCTTGGCCAGCAGCTGGGCAAGGAGGAAACGAGCCGAAGACAACACCTGTCAAACGGCCCAAACGAGCCGACAGATAAAACAAGGACAGCAATCCCTTAAATACAAGGTAAACAGAGAGTGAAGCGTCAAAAAGGCCCCTCCGTGGCCCCGGGTGTTGTGCCTCGGCCTCGTCCCCCATGACTGGAGGGGGGGGGTTGAGGGGGTCGTCCAGGAAAGGAAGCCCCAGAAAACAACCAGACCGCACCGCGCACTCGTCTGCTGCCTCGACTCGTCCTCACAATGGCACAGATCCGAGGCTTCCCTGTGCGACGGGCCCAGGCTATTTCCGACTTCTTTGTCTTTCCCCCGCGCGCGCGCAGCACAAAGGCCCCAGGACGGGTGCCCGCATCGGTGTCGGCGCCTGGACGCGGCCTCGAGTCCCGGCGCATGTCGACCTGCTCACGAGACCTTCGTTTGGTCCAGCACTTGGTCCTCCGCGGCATAGCAAGGCGCCTGCGTTTCGATGGCCATAGCTAGCTGGATGGATGGATGGATGGATGGATGGATGAATGAATGAATGAGCGGACGGGTGGAGAGACGCGCGCCGGACAGACAGGATGCGCCAAGACAGGGGCGGTGACGAGACCCTTTGATGGCTCCTCCTGCGGTCGAGCCGTCGTTTTCCTTGCGCAACGTTCGGCTGTTCCAACCGAGCGTCCACCATGCGAGCAAGAATGGCGGCTGTGCAGCCAACCCGGCACTGGCCCAACCGAGCTCTGGCGCTGTCGTGGCCTCGAGGCTCTTCATCTCAAATGGTCGATAGTCAGCTTACAGTACACATGATCGATCCCTTTGTATTCTCTATATCCCAGCACGCATAGCACCAATCACAAAACAGCGCTATAGCTCGTCATGCACTTTCTTGTCGCCACCCTTCTTCTCCTTGGCCGCCTCCATCTTCTTGATCTCCTCCATCACCCGCTCCAGCTCCTCGTCCGACACTTTGCCGTCCCCGACCTTGACCGTCTTGTTTGCGTCGGCGGCGCTCTTCGTCTTGGACTTCTTCTTGCTCGCGCTCTTGCTTGCCTTCTTGGCCTTGCTCTCGAAGCTCTTCATGCCCTTGACCGCGAGCTCCATGCCGGCCTTGTCGAGCTTCTGTCGCTTCTCGGCGAGGTCCTTGGAAAGGAGGACTGGCTCCGCCGTCAACGGGAGGGCCTCTTGGCGTGCCTCGAGCTCACTCAGCCACTTCGACGTAGACTTGTAGAGCGCCTCGATCCCGTCAACCTCTTCCTTCTTGTAGAGAGGCTGCACGGGCTCTGGCGTCTCCTGTGCCTTGTCTGCCTTGCTCTTGGTCTGCGAGGTGCTGTCCTGGTCTTCCAGGCCATCAAACTCGCTGCTTGGCGACTCCGAGGGGGCGCTCGACGTGGTAGATGAGCCGGCGGAGCTGGCCACCGACGCCGAGGCCTGCCATTTTTCGAATTCGGATATCTGGTCGCGCAGACTGCCGATGAAGTGCGACGTCTGGTTCAGCAACGTCTTGAGCGACGACACCAGCTCCGGTCGCTTTTCGGCCTCGTCGATCCTTGTCTGCACAGGCGCGACAAGATCCTGCAAAACCTTGAGCTTTGCCTTGAGCTCCTCTTTGGTGGCCTCGGCACCGCCTTCGTATAGCCACTCGCTGATCTCGCTCGCCTTTTCAGACAGCTTGGAGCGTTCCTTCTCTGTCGACCGGGAGATGAACGATTCTGCCTCGACCAAGTCTCGTGCCTTGTATGTGAAGCCCTCCAACTGGTTGAGGGCTTCCTCTCTTACAATCCTTGCCTTGTCCGAAGCCGCAAACGACTTGAGTCTGTCCTTGACCTTGATCAACTCGGCCTTGGTCAGCGAGGGCAGCCCGGCGTTCTCTAGAACGACTTGCACGGGTATCGAAACCGTCTCCTTTTTCTTAGCCTCGGGTTTGGCCTCGGCCTCGGCTTCTTCCGTCTTCTTCTCCGCCTCCGACGGCGCCGGGGACTTGGCCGCGTCTGTCGACGATGACGAGGAGGAGGCAGTAGACTTGGCTTCATCCTTGAGAGTTTCCTCCGAGCCTTCGGACGCCTTGGGCTCCTTGTTCTCGTCCACATCCTTTAGGGGCTGCTGTTCCTTCTTGCCAAATCCAAACAAATTCTTGACCCCGTCGACGAAACCTTCCTTCTCGGGCACCTCAGCTTTGCACTCCACGTTCGCCTTGGCGACCTGGACTTCTCCGTATCCGGAGCTCAGCTCAAACGCGACCTTGAACGCCAGATCCGTCTCTTCACATGTCGGATATCGATCCTTCATGGCCGCCACGGTAGCAGTCAAGTTCTTCGTAGCCATCGTCTTGATCTCCCTATCTTCTGATCCGACTTGCTGGTAGAAGGTAATGGGAAAGTCGTTTTGCTCCGCAAAAGTCATCTCCTTGGCGGGTCCTCCCATGGGCGAATTGGCGGTCCACAACCGCTGACGCAGCTGCTTCCCGTGGCTGGCCGTCCATTTCAGGCCAGCCTCATACATGGGGCCCTCTGAGATTCTGATTTCCTTGACACGGAAGCTTGGGCTGAGCTCGGCGGCACGGAAGCCAGCTCCGAACACGGCAGCCTCGTCGGCGTTGACGTTGGATCGAATCTTGTCCTGGGAGCCAACTGCTTTCTCGAGCGCCTTTTGAACGAACGGGGTTCGGGTCGCGCCGCCGTGGAGAATGATAGACGTCAGACTGTCGAAATCGATTGCGGACATCTCAATGGCGTCTTTGATGACCTTGCCGATTCGCTCGGCGTGCGCTGCGGCCATCGTCTCAAAGTCAGTGCGTGTAAGCTTGTACTTGAAGTCGACATCCTCGTACAGGCCCTCAAAGCTGGCGTGCGTATTCTGGTTGGCGCTCAGGACATGTCGAACTCGCTCAGCCTCTTTGGCGAGCTTCGCCATTGCCCGGCCGTGTGATTTAACGGCGGCGGCGGTGATGGAAGTCGCCGTTGCGCTCGGAGACGCGATGAATTGAGAGATCATGTCATCCATGATGAGATAGTTGAGATCATCACCGCCGAGGCTTCTGTCCCAGCCACTGCCAAGGACCTGCACTTCCTGGAACGTTTTGTTGAACTTGCCCACGTCCTTGACCGTGCGACCCTGGAAACGCATGACGGTGGCGCTGGCCGAACCGGCTCCCATGTCAAAAACCAAGTGATACTCGGGCTTCGCGCCTTCGTTGATGTTGGGGAACTGCCTGCTCGTGGCGTAGTTCAAGCCGACGGCAAGGCCGTCACTGATGAGAGCGAGAACTTTGAGGCCAGCCAGCTCGGCAGCGGCTTGTATGGCCCGCTTCTCTTCGGTTGTGTAGAAGGCAGGTACTGTCAAGACAATGGACCGAACAGAGGCGCCGTTGCCCGCCGCAGATTCGGCGTTCTTCTGGATGCTCTGCAGCTCCATGGCCAGCAGCTCCTCGACCATCCAGGCATCCTCACCAGGCGGAAACGTACTGCTCTTGAACGCAGCTGTTCCGCGGCTTCCGTGCGACTTGAGCTGCAAGGCAGGGTGCCGAGAAGCGTACTCGCGAGCGACGGCGTCGTCGATGGGGAGGCCCAGAAGAGTCTTCAAGTTGGGGTAAACCTCACCGGGGAACCTCGGCGCAAGCGCCATGGCATCCGCTCCATAGAATCTCTCCGGGAAGCTGCCCTCCTTGGGTCCAGCCTGTAGCGGCTTGAAGGCGACGGCCGACGTCTCTTTGCGCCGCGAGTCCTTGGTCAGGACGATGTCGAGGGGGATGCCGGGCTTCACTAGCGCGGCCTTTATGAATTCGGTTCCCAAGTCGACGCCCAAGACGGCCCCCGCGGCGCAGACGCTGGACGAGAGGAAGAAGATGGCTCCGAGGAGCAGCATCAAGGGTGGTGGCGTTTGCGAGACAGCCATTGTGGCGGAGGAGGAAGGAGGACGGGCTCGTGTGCCCTCTCAGCGGCGCATCGAAGTTCGAGGCAAGCTACTTGGTGAACGATTGCAGAAAAGACAGACGATTGCAGGACGACTCGGGCGACAGGAAATGTTACTGCAAGTCCGTAGACGGTGTGAAAAGGAGAGGTGCGAGCGGTAGGTTGGACTGCGCGCTTGCCGACCCAAACAAAGTAGCTGGAAAGGCTGATGTGGCCTCAATGGCGGCAAGTGATGTCTCGTTTCGCCAGAATTCGAAGAGGACAACTTGCAGCGATCGCCCATTGTGACGTCTCCCCTTACCCTGACCAGAGCTAACTGGCTGAGGTAAGGCACATATGGGGCGCCGGCACGATAAGGCAGGGCGATAAGGTCTCGGCGGGGCGCGCCGCGCGAGGCCGCACCGGTCAAGCATGCGACAAGTACGTACCTTCTGTGCAATCAAGGTACCTAGGTACATAGGTACCTAGGTACCTTAGGTTAGGTAGTGAGGTGAGAGTATTTTGATGAACCCAAAATTGAACACTCTCAAAATGCTACTCATCGGCTTGACATGCATGCAGAGCACCCCATTTGCGCGTCGTGGATTCATTTCCTGTTCATGACTACATAGGCACTTTTAGTACATCCCTCCCCGTGTCTTTCGCATGCCCCCAACATGATGCATCAGAGCCCGAGGCTGTCTTTCGACATGGACAAGAAAAGCTCGGAAAGACCAATGCAATGCTCAATGTTCCCTCAAATCAGCCCCGCCGATCTGGCCAAAACCCTGGTGAACGCCTCCATGACATGATGTACAGTCGCTTTCGACATGCTTGGTGAGGAAAGGGGGGCCTCGACCAAGTGCTCTACGGTTCTTCGGTGCGGCGAGCGCCTCGCGACGCCATTCCGCCGTTGCCACGCCCGCGCCCGCGACCTCGACCGTCCCCACGGCCCCGGCCCCGCCACTCGCCCCGGCCTCGCCCGCGCGGAGGTCCTCCCTCACGCTCCTGGCGGCCTCGGTTGCGCTGAACCTGATGAAACCCGTCATTGGGGTCGGCAGCCGCAGGAGCCTATTCGGCGTGGTTAGCGATGTGCGCATGCGACAGTGTAGCAGGCTAATAGGCGAAGGGAGGGGATGCTGGATATGGATATGAATCTCACCTCCATGGATGGGTCGGGCTGCTCGTCGGCCCAGGAGTGCGTGTTGGGGGCAGGTGTCGCGTTCAGTCCAGGATCCGTCACATTGGGATCCCGCGGGTCCTTCAGCTCTTCCCATCCCTGCGAGATGGACGTGCCATTCTCGCAATCCCAGTGACTCTCGGCGACCGCGTTGGCAGCGTCGTCAGAGACACTGGCATTTGTGATGCCGTTGGCCGAGGGCTCTGCAGCCTGTCCGTTGACAAGAGCACTGTCTCCTGCGTCAAGCTCCGTGGCGGCAGCGTTGACCATCGTGGGGTCAGATGCTAGCTCCTTTGCGGGCTCCGACTCGGCAGGCGGGGCGGTCTCGGGGTAGAAAGGAGTCTTGTATTCTCGGGCGAGCGTCTTGACATTCGAGTCTGCTTCAGGTTAGCCATAGTTCTTGAACCCAAGGCGAGAGTCGAAAGAGAGAGGGAACGGACAGGTGGTCTGCAGCTGATCTCCCGGCACGCTAAGAATCTGCTCCTCGGATCCCTCGATCAACTTGAGCATGGACGCGACGGCAGTTTCGTCCCCGGCATAGATTGCGAGCAAAACGCCCTCGATGGCCTGGCTTTCGTCGGACTCGGGGTCCTTGGCTTCCTCGCGACGATAGGCAGCAAGTCGGAGGAACTGGGAGAGGACGAGAAGGTGTTCCTGCTGTGACTTCTTGAACTCTTGCTTGGCGTCGCCGACAGCGTCGGCCTTGGCCTTGTCAAGCGACTTCTCCCACTCGGCCTTGTCCGACTTGGCTCGGGAGCGATACTGCTCGTGGACCTTTTGGTACTGAACGAGCTGCTCTTCCATCTGCGTGAGCTGGGCTTGCAGAGCTGGCTTCTTCATGACCTGGGCTTTCTGATCGGCGTTGATGATTTTCTCAGCGACCAGCTCGTCGAGGGACTTGCCAGCGTGCTGGCTCAGGAGCGAGTCGGTCTTGGAGACATTGGTCTGTGGCGCCACAAGTTAGCGTTTCGGGCGGATGAATGGCTGCGGCTCAGGGGAGCAACGACTCACGATCTTCTTGTTGACATTTCGGATATTCCTGGTGATGCGGTCAGCTCGGCTCTTTTGAGATGAGGACGCGTTTTCGGCGTCGAGGGAACACACTTTTGCAGCTCCTTGATGTACGGAGACTCGAAGCCGTCTTCCTGGGAATCGACGGCCGCATCGGCAACGCCCGAGGCAGTGCTGGGGGCAGGAGAATGGTTGCGGTGGGCGACCTTGGCAGCCTTCTTCTTGGAGGACTTGGGTGCGGCGTGAGCAGTAGATGCAGCCATGACAACGTTTATGCAGGCAGCGAAGGGGTGGTGGCAGACGACAGAAGCTGCCCGGGATCGTGGAAAGAGGCTGATGTATAGTGCGGGCGAGGTGTCGAGGTAGGATGCTCAAAGGCGTTGAGAGGAGGAGAGGAAGCGTTGCACTTGGGCGGGTGGCAGAATTAGGAGTTGGTCTTGTTTTAGGTAGATGTGGTGTTGATTGCGGGAGGTGGAAAGCTTGTCGGCATCAGCGTGCAACGGGTCTGGGGGAGGGGAGAGAGGCACTGGCAGCCTGATTTTTTCACCCTCCTTGGAGCCTGATGGGGGCACCCCCCACCTCCACTGAGCTCCGAATTCCTAGGGCAACGCTTCTAGAACCCGGCAGAACCTCAGCAAACGGCTCGTCTTGGCTCGCTTTCAAGTGCCGGACCAGGCTGCTCGACGATCCTTATTGGCCCTCCAAGGAAATCTTCTGTTTTTGGCCATTGCTTGGTCCCAGCGACTCCTTGCGCGATGCAGCTGGCGGCAGCCACCGACGCCTACTGCTCCATGTACTCCCCGCATGTGAAGCCTCCTCCACCTGCCTCGCCCGACCGGACCTGGCTCGCAGGCTCGGGCAGTTGCATACATATACATAAGGTATATATATACATACATACATGCATATACCTTAGTTCTCCCATGGCACCGTGCGGACAAGGCAGATACGTACATGCACGCGTTTCATACTGCCAAGGGGTGGTTTGCGCGTGCAGAGTGGACCGTTTGGAGGCTTGGTCGTGAGACTGTCGATCGTTTACATGGTTGTCTTTGCGCGCGCGCACAAAGCCCTCGTTTGGCGCGGCAGGGGGAATTCAGGTCAGCCCTTGAACTTGGCCAGAGCATCCTGCTCGAGCCGATTAGTCTGCGACGCTCCAGAATTGCACTCGGGGCAGCGGGAGAGCTCACTCTGGCGGCCTTCCTCACGCCTCTGGCAGTCAAGCCCCTCTCGCCATCCTGCTTGGAGTGAATCGCAGCCTCTTTGACCAGCCTGCAGAATCCGGTCAGTTTCCACTCCCCGCGGCGGACGACACGACCTAGGGCTCGCACTTGTCCATGAACAAAACGTAGTCGAGGAAGATCTGTGGGCGGTCAGCGGCGCCTTCATGCCCACAATGTCACGTCTCAGGGTGGCTCGTACGGTGACGTCGGCGTTTTTCTTGATGTTGAGGCCCGAGTGCGCCTTGACAATCTTCTTGACCGTAGTCTTGGGGTAGGGGCTCTTGCCGAGAGCCATCTGCGCCGCTGTCGTGGATATCGAGTTGAGCCTTGTTTACTCCAAAGCCGCGGTTCTTTCGGTCGAACAGCAAAATTTGGCCCAAAGGGGCTACTGCACGGCCTGCGGAGTAGGTACTGTACAGTACCTGGACGCGGTATCACCAGGCACTGACGAGGGACGTGGTACAGCTTGCAAGGGCGGATAGACCCGTTTGCGGGGGTCCAATCGGTGAAATCAAGCACTTTTATCCCAGCCGTCACCAAAGCCCGCCCCAAAGCCCGTGCTGGCAGTGCAAGATGGTCATCTCAAGAGCCAATGAAGCACTTTGACTCATCTCTTCTTCTCACATGGATGTACTGTACGTACACGACGTACAGTACTGGGAACCGAAATAACTCCTTCCGTGCAAGATACAACGTGCAAAGACCAATGGTCATTGGAAGCTGCGTCATACAGTCCCAAGCACTGTCTTCCACCGCCATTCTGCGCGCCATACACACTGTATGCCGCCACGTAGCTAAAGTACCAAGTACCTATGTACCTCTACAGTGGGGGGCGCTACCATCGCAAGTTTGCCTGCTCCGTAGGCCACAACAAGCTTCCCGCGACATCGCCCACGCCGCCTCGCCTCATCCACGCCGCCGGCATGGCGTCCATTATGCAGCGCCGTATGGTGAGTCGCTTCTGCGCTTCATCCGCCCGCCTACCTACAGGGAATCGCCCCCGTGACTAATGCTTCGACCCCTAGCTGTCCAAGGAGGACGAGGACGCCAACCAAGAGGTCCAGGTGCGTCGAGAAGACCAGGACAAGATCAACAAGTTTAGCCGGCTGCACCAGCGCGAACTCGCGTTAGAGGAAGAGCTCAAGCTTAACACAGTACGCAGCCCGTTTCACGTCCACCCGTTCCCCGACTTTTGCTGACCCTCGGCGCTTGCAGAAGGAAAAGGAGGAACTGGACGACTTATCGATGGAACTGGAATTGGCCGACGAAGACGAAAAGATCCAGTACGTACAACCCGTCACTCACATACTACGCGATTTGGATCATCAATACTAATGCGCCCCAAGGTACAAGATCGGCGACGCCTTCTTCCACGTCTCGCTCGAGCAGGCGCAGGAGATGCTCGAGGCCGCCACCACCAAAATCGGCGAGCAAAGGTCCGAGCTCGAGGACAAGCTCGAGTCGGTCCACGACGAAAAGAGGCAGCTCAAAATAGAGCTTTACGCCAGATTTGGAAAGCAGATCAATCTCGAGACTTGATACCCGCCCTGTAAGCGTGGGAGGAATTGGGCTTCAAGGATGCCCTTCTGTTCGGACGGTGCCGTATACTTGTTCAGATATACCCCGTTTCTGCAAACGCACATTCACACCGCGACTACACTTCTATACGGCGCCCTTGAGTCTCGCTCTGGGTTTACCGATCAAGGGCCGAGGGGAGGACATCGAGAGGCGGCGCCAGAGTCCAGCGAGTAATGTATGCGACTCTGCCGCAGCCAGTAGGCTTTCTCCTCACCTAGATATTGATTCCTATGGTGGCCAATGCTAAACGCTATCCCTTTCTCGTACGCGGAACGCCGACACTTGATCACCCAACTGCTACCATAACCTGGAGTAACTCCAGCGAGACTGACGAGCAACCTGCCCACCCCGAACATGAATTCTGCGCCGTCACGCCCCCGCGATCCACCGGCCTACTTGGGTGTGGGTGCTTGCGGAGGGAAAAGAATCTCTCTCCGTCTCTCAGCAGCCAAGACCTTGACCCCTTGCTGGCGCCAATCGTGTCCGGCCTTCCTCAAGCTTGGCCCGGGCTGGACTGGGCTGCTTCATCACAGCTACTTCAGTGCGGCGGCGCATGCTGATGTTGGCGGCACGGTCGGTGCGGACTAAGACAGCATTAAAAGAAACACTATGGAGTCGAAACTAAGTCATAAATGCCTCAAGGGAAACCGTACTTACAACAAAGAAGAATGCAAGTAATTTACGTGCCAACCCCGTCTTCCCGTGACTCTCCAACGGGGATGACCCGCAACTCGGCATTAACTCTCAGCCCTCGACATTCCTTTGCCCCCCGTCACTCCATTGCGCCGCGGCGCTTTGATGTAAGCGGCGCAAGAGTCGGCGAGGAAAAGGGCGTCACCAACAATGTCGTAATTGTACTCCCAGTGACAGGTTTGTGGCTCAAAAGTATCAGTGAAGAACCAAGATCTCTTCCGAATTTCGCCTCTGTGTCCCATCATGAAGTACCAGCGAGCCACCAGTTATGAGAGTCTGGTTCGTCAAACGACATGCTGGGATTGAAGTTCTCCGCCTCCGGCTGTTGTGCCCCTCCGTCGACTTCCATCGGCGTAGGGCAGCCCCGGTGCCGTGATGAAAAGACTCACAATCGTCCAGTGCGCGTGTAATAGTATCAGCTGTGGCGTCCAACTGAAAACGACTCAACGGGGACGAAGTTGCCGGCTGGATTTCCTCACCAGCGTGAGAGCCCGGCACATTGTAATTGCTGGCCAAGGGCTCAATCTTTGCTGTGGGTTGCCCTGCCTCTCCTTGACTGCTGGGTTGGCTCATCGAGTGAGACGTTGAGCCTTCGGCCGCTGAAACTGTGTACTGCCCTTGGTCGAGACGCTGTCTCAGGTGCTGCGAGGCCATCGACTGTGGATTCTTGATCGTTTCTGTACCAGGTTTCGTTTCGTCTAGCACCCGTGGCACTTCGTTGTACGAAATGAACCTTCTACCATGAATCGGATCGTCTTGGCCTGCAGGGCTTGTGATGTCATGCCTCAACGTTTTTTTGGAGGGCAGAAGCCTGCCAATTCCGATCCTCATGGCCTTCTCTAGCCGTTTTGGCAAAGGAAATGGTTCATACTCACTCGGTTCCCTTCGCGCATCTCTCTCGCCCACACACTGACTCTTCCCTTTGTCCAAGGATGCAACTGACAAGGGAAGCTTTTGGGGTACCGAAAAGTCCTCGTGACAGGCCATCTGAACTCTGTTGTCTCGCCTGTGGGAAGGGTACTTGGCCCAAGTCTCTGGTGGCATGATCTGGCAACGAGAACCAGCCGTGCCGGATCCTGTCCCGATGACTGTCAAACTATCAGAAGGCGCTCGCTGTTTGTCCATTCTCCAGCGTTGAACAACGAGCGGGGGTAGATTCGGAGACTCGTCAGACGGCACCCAAGCGGCTGCTGCCTTGAGTGCATCCGGAGGTGAAAGACAAGGCGGTTTGCTGTCACTCCATGACCCTGTATCGGTGACGCTCAGGGCCGTATTTGGCGAAATCTTGCCGATCTGATTTGACCTGGGGAAAGCACCGGGGATTCTGCGTTCATCGCGGTTTGCGCCACTCTGCGGCCTTGGATTCACCTCGGGGGACAAAGACATCGAGGACCGCCTGTTGTCCATGGAGCTCAGAGCTTCAGAGCCAGCCCGGGACAGGCGGGAGATGGAGTTGTGAAGTTTCGTCGCCAAGGATGTTTTTGCCGGAGCCTGCGTTGTCGACCTCGTAAACTCTTCTCGGAACCGGCTGTGCAACGGTATATCCACCTGCTTTCGAGAAAGAACATGGCCAAATCTCTGTTCAATGGTTTGAAGCTCGGCTTCTCGCTGTTGGAAGCTCTTTGTCTCCGAGTGAACGGTGGAATTGCTTTCAGATCCTACTTGAGATGTGTGCCTGTGACTCATGGCCGCAGTGGTCTCACGCCGGGCACTCAAAGTATCTTCTTCTTCGGCCGTCGCGTACGAGCTTTGTCCCTCTGAATGGCCAAAATCCTGCAGCGTGGTGAGTTTTCCATGCCCTGGCAGATTAGCGTTTGGCTACCGAGCCACATGATGAGAGGTTCCGACTTACAGTGGATTGGTGACAGCTCAAGACTCTCAATGTCTTGAGGGCTGAGACTGAAGTTGTTGTTTGTGGAGCCATCTGGGCTTGGTTGGAAGCTCGGCAAAGCGGAAGGATAGTATGATGAAACGTTGTCCAAGGGCTGTTTCACAGCCGAACCTGAGCCATGGTCCGCCGGCGGAAGGTTTGAAGAATCCATGTCGATGCTGAGATCCTCACTTGCCGAAACATGAAGGTTAGAGCTGGTGACATCTCCACATTGACAAGGGCACTGCGACGGCGAGAAGTTGCCGTGACCCTCGTCCCAGGGCGGTGACTCAGGGGGGCTGGTTCCTCGAGGCGCGTTTGGTATATCAATGACCCTATCAATTCCGTTGAAGTCGTCCAGGGGCGGAGATAGCCTCTCACAATCATCCGCCCTGTCCGACTCGGCATCACCGAGACGGATTAAGGAGCAGTCTCTTGATCGCATGCCTTGTGCCATGAGCCAGACACCTAGGGCCGACTGATCATCCCAGGCATGCGACCCTCGGCGGATGTCGAATTCGTTGTCGATACCAAGCACTCTGTCCAACCGCGCTGTGTTCAAAGAGCAGGCAGCCAATCTCGCAGGGGACACGTCGCGTGCCGTCGATGGACGCAAGGGCTCACCAGCAGGCGCCATGCAAGATTCCTCTGCAGCATGGTTGCGAGGAAAACATCGAAGGGTGCTTGTAAGGTTCGCCTGCCGTAGCTCGGAGACGTCGGAGTGGCTGCTTCGACACTGACTGGACTGGTACGAGTCTTGCTGCTGGCCCGAAACTCGGTTGTCAGGCGCGATGATGGTGTCATCGACGGTGAACTCGATTGTATCTCGGGGCCCAATGCCAGACTGGCCAAGCTGGATGAGTGGAGAGAGATAGCGGGTGCTTCTATGGGAACTCTCACTCCCCTCATCGTTGCTCTTGTCCTTGTCCAGCTCGTCCTGGATTCGTTGCTGGCGGAAGCGCCTCAGTTCTGCGCGTCGAGCCAGCTCCTCCTCGCTGTGACCGGCAGCCAGTCGGGACTGGCGCCTCACTTCGTTGTCCTGTGGCATGTGTCGAATCAGCTTGCTTCGCACGACCTCGAGAGTGCCCGTTGATCGCTTGGCGGACTGGCTCGTATCGTCGTGGCTGTCAGAGTCATTGTCGGCAACCAACTGACAGAGCTCGACGGGACCCTCGCAAGGCGACACTTGAGCGCTGGCTGGCACGTCGTTGGGTTGGGCCGCGGGATGCTTTGTCTTCCTGGCGCTCCAGTCGAAGCGGGACTCGGCCAAGCCAGCTGGGCTGGAAACGGGGAGCGACGAGGCGGCCTTGTTATCTTGGCCGCTGACCAGCCTTCCCCTGCGTCGAGAGCTGCAGCAGCAGAAAGCTTGCATGGTTTCGGGGAGCTGGGTGAGCCAGGCTGTGGCCATGTGGTTCGATTGTCGTACTGGTACAGCGCCGAGAGGGCATGAAGATGCTCGCAATCGGTTGGGTTGAGTGAACCAAGGAGGGGGGGTTGCTCGAGGCAAGGACGGCTGGGCCTTGGGGGGCTGCGCAAAGCGTCTGTAGTGGCCAGGAGCGACTGACCCGCGTCCCTCGAGCTGCCTGAACGAAGGAAGCCGGAACAATTAAGGAGCAGTGAAAGGCGCACCTGCCTTCTGTCCCTGCTTGTGCGTAAATGCCCTCATGAGACGAGCATCAGACCACGTTGCTCAGGTGCCATGGATTTACCCAACTACTCACCCGACGACGATGACCGTCTTTCTTTGAAAATCTCACCAATGGACGCTTCGGTCTGAGCATCCAATGCGCCGGTTCCCTCGTGAATCGAAGCAATTGATGGGTGCTGCAGGAACAGGCGGGCAATCACTATCCGCTGCCTTTCTCCACCCGGCAAGTTCCTGGAGTAGTTGGCCATCAAAGTGCCCAACTCACTGTCCGTCGACTCAATATCAAGACTGCTTTTGGGGACAAGCGGCCGGCCGGCCGAGGTTGTTTTCTGGAGGTCCTAAGGGGCATGGGGAACTTGGATTCAGGGTCATGTTTCGACTCAAAAGGGCTTTGTGTCTGACAACTAGCAGATTGATCTTAGAACAACTCTGCCCGGAGAATCATCACTCAACTCTAGGTGTTCAAATACGAGTCACAGAGCAAGTCCGGGTTGACTTGCAGAGGCTGACGCATAGCCCGAGTCGTTGACTTTTTGTGGACGTTGATGTGGACGGATCCAAGGCCCAGTGTATGTATGGAAGCCCAACCTCACCAAAGAAGAAACAACACGCAATCTCACTTTGAGAAAGCAAGAGACGATCGAGGAGAAACTGTCTTTATGAAAATGCATTATGAGGACTGTAATGGCGCCTGCCATTGTCTGCTAGTCTCCAGCTCGACCAGATGACGATGCTGTCGACTCTGGGTCTGCAACGTCCTCAACCGTGAGAGAATCTGAGATTCAATCATTTGACTGTTGTACTCCTAGACTGGGCTTGGACCACTCAAGTGTTGCAGCATCCAAAACTTCCAAAATTTGACACGGAAATGAAGCGTAGGAACCATTTATCAACCTCTATCCTACCTAATACTTCAATGCGCATTTAAATACGTAACACAGCGAGGCTAAACCAGAGGTGTATTAGACGCCAAGTTAATGACAGATACAGTACACAGGTCCAAATCGCGGCCCGTCTCCCGCCGAATGGCACCGTTACCCGCCACGCAGACGGCAGCTACACGGTGGGTTCTCCCGGGCATCGGAGGACGGTTCGAAACTGCAGCACCCTTTATCCAGGCGTGTGCCGGCGGCACGAAATTCCCCCACGACGAAAGCAACCTCCGAAAAGTTTTACCACCCTCGGTGATTGGCGAAATTCTTGAGGGAAACAATCAGTTCCTGTCCTGCTTGCCAAGTCAGTAACGGCAAGCAGGGCACACGGGGAGGGATCTTCCCAATCCACCACGCCGATCTCTTCCATCATAACGTTGTCGTCACTAAAATATATGACGTGCTGGGTGTGATCGACTGGGAATGTTTCTATACAGAAACCTAGGGAGGGTTGACGCTCTCTTCTCCTTGAGCACGGTGCCTCGCCTTCTAAATCGGGAGGTGGGCGGATGAGGAAGCCTATAACAATGGTGCGGACGCTAAGTGGGATAGGGATGCTCGCGCAGACTACAGACTTTCCCAGATGCTCCCTCGCTAGCAGGGATGCTTGCGACCTGGCTGCCAAGATGGGCTTATATGGCCGGGCGTCATTAACGTGACGTAAGATAATATCACAAGTTCAAGCATAGCTCCAATCTCCACAAGTCAACGTTGGCGCCCAATGTCTATAAAGAAGATCCGAAGCCATTGCGAAGCATGTAAGAGACAAACCCGATCATACATCACACCTGGAGCAAGCTCCTCCAATTGTCTCAACTACTGCTAAAGCCGCAGCATAAACTATCAGGCGCTCTCACCTACAGCTGCGTTGGCGTGTGCGTATGGGCTGGCGCGCAGCGCACACAAAGCCGGAGCTCGAAAACGTCACTAGAAATACCGCTTGACCAGGCAAAAGTGGAACTCTCCAACAGCTGTCCCCATTGGTGCGGATTATAGCTAATTCCCTGGTCTGCTCTGTCTGTATGTTGAACTGTCGGCGGCGGAACAATTGGGCAGGACAACTGTCCTGGGCCAGGCAACACGTTGAGAGGCGGCTGCTTCGGTTCAACTTGACTTTTCTTGCCTTGCAACCACAGCTGGGCTCGATATATACGGCCCAGCTTCCTGTGCTAAGAATTCGCCGAAGAAAAGCTCACCATGACCGGAGCCCCGCATCGGATCAGGTCGGGGACATGGCCTCCGGTCCCAGCAGAAGAGAAGAAGCGGGCAACATGTCGCCGACTGGGAGTTCTCCTAGAGGACGGACGCCGTGCCAACGAAAACTCAACAACATTGGGGTGGCTCGTGCTCTTGGCAGCGTTGGTTGTCGACCAGCAAAAGGCATTTACCGGGTACGAGTACGAGGAGGTGTGCCTACAGTATGAGACGCACGGAGTTGGAGATCTGCCTCTTCCCGTCCTTGTCTTGCTTGCTGTAACTTCTACAGAGGTACTTAGTCATCTAATGCCGCAAATGGAGATGCGACGGCAGTTCCACTCACACGGATTGTCGACTGGCTCTGGCGGAGGACATGACGATGGCGCAATCTGGCAAACAAGACACGAAAGACCGCGAGGGGACGTTGGCGAGACTTTTTCTTCTGCCCGCCCCCTTGTGCCTCCTTCTCAATCATGCATGGACCTTGACATACGGTGCACTGTACTGTACACAGAAAACATCTGGCATTGAAACCTTGTCAGGAGGGCTCCGTTTGAATGCGACAGTGTTACAGTCAGTACGCTCATGTTGAAGCAGCAATCACCTCATCCCGCCTGTCCAGGTACTCTCTACGTTGTGGGCTATCTCAACGCCTAGCCAAATCGCCGACCCTTGGCGCAATAGCCCCTGCTTGGGCTTCTCCCCGGCCCGATACGGCCCCGGGTAGACGGTACTTGAGCCGTCTCGTTGAGGCTGGATTGCTTGGCGGGATCTGGCTGGTCGGAGCGGGGCAATACTACCTACTACTAGTACGCAAGGCACCTCGGTACTGCTCAGCATGAGCGAGGTACCTTACAGTACGCTGCACAGCAACCCCTCCCCCGCTTTTCGGGGCCAATTTCTTTGGGCTGCCAGACCACCATCACCTTATCTGCCTCCTCGTCTCGCATTCAGGGTTTTTCTTCCTTTCTCCTCTCCTCCTCACTTTCTTCTCCCCCTCCTTCTCTCTCTCCGTCCTTCTCCAGATCGTCTCTTCTCTATAAGCAAGGCCCATCTTCCCATCGCTCGGCCGACCGTTCAACATCGACACTCCATTGCAGGTTCGACATCCATCACTCCCCCTCCCATCGCCCCTCTCGTGCTAAAGCCGAGCTCCCGCAGAGTCTTCACAACAGCCAGCCTCGAGAGTCCTCGACTCTCTCCTCCGCCAACATGGTCCAATCCGCAGTCCTCGGTTTCCCTCGCATGGGAGCCAACCGTGAGCTCAAGAAGGCCACGGAGGCTTGTAAGCTGCCCGTCCCCTACGTCGGTCGCCACGTCAGCTAATTCACGTAGATTGGGGTGGCAAGCTGTCTCAGGCCGACCTCCTGAGTGAGGCCAAGCGTCTTCGTCTCGCCCACTGGAAGATCCAGAAGGATGCCGGCGTCGACGTGATCCCCAGCAACGACTTTGCCCTCTACGATCAGGTCCTGTGCCACATCCAGGACTTCGGCGTAAGTTGACCCGAATCACGCCGCTTGTCCTGTCAAGAGACTGACCGGAGATACAACAGGCTGTTCCCGAACGGTACACCAGGGATGGCCTTGGTGTCGTTGACCAATATTTTGCCATGGGCCGTGGCCACCAGAAGGAGGGCGTTGATGTTCCCAGCCTGGAGATGGTCAAGTGGTTCGACTCAAACTACCACTATGTCAAGCCTACTTTCCAGGACAACCAGACCTTCAAGCTGGTTGACAGCCCCAAGGCCCTCGTCGAGTTCAAAGAGGCCAAGGAGGCTGGCATCTCCACGCGCCCCGTCCTTGTCGGTCCCGTGAGCTTCCTCCATCTCGGCAAGGCCGACCGCGATCAGTCTGTCGACCCCATCGATTTGCTAGAGAAGCTCCTTCCCGTCTACGAGCAGCTTCTAGCCAAGCTCAAGGAGGCCGGTGCCGACACCGTCCAGATTGACGAGCCCGTCCTCGTCTTTGACCTCCCTGCCAAGACAAAGGCGGCCTTCAAGCCCGCCTACGAGAAGTTTGCCAGCCTCGGCGGCAAGATTCCCAAGCTTTTCTTCACCACCTATTTCGGCGACATTGTTCACAACCTGGATCTCCTTCCCAAGGACGTGTATGGGGTCCACATTGACCTTGTCCGCAACCCTGAGCAGCTCCAGACCGTTATTGGCGCTCTTGGGCCCAAGACTATTCTGTCGGCCGGTGTTGTCGACGGCCGCAATATCTGGAAGACCAACATGAAGTCTGCCATTGAGATTGTCGAGTCGGCCGTCCAGAAGCTTGGCAAGGACCGCGTCGTCGTCGCCACCTCAAGCTCTCTCCTCCACACCCCTCACACCTTGGCCAGCGAGAAGAAGCTGGACGCTGAGATAGCGGACTGGTTCTCCTTTGCCTGCGAAAAGGCCGTCGAGATTGCCCTCATTGCCAAGGCCGTTACCGAGGGCCCTGCCGCCGTCCGCCAACAGCTTGAGGCCAATGCCAAGTCCATGCAGTCCCGAGCCACATCGACCCGAACCAACGATCCCAAGGTCAAGGAACGTCAGTCCAAGGTCACCGAGCAGGATCACAAGCGCAAGTCGGAATTCACGACTCGCATCACTGCCCAGCAGAAGAAGCTCAACCTTCCTCTGTTCCCGACAACCACCATTGGCTCGTTCCCTCAGACCAAGGAAATCCGCGCTCAGCGAAACAAGCTCTCCAAGAGCGAAATCACCACCGAGGAATACGACAAATTCATAGAGCAGGAGATTCGGGACAACGTCAAGATTCAGGAGGAGCTTGGCCTCGACGTCTTTGTCCACGGCGAGCCCGAGCGCAACGACATGGTTCAGTACTTTGGCGAGCGTCTGGATGGCTATACCTTCACCACCCACGCTTGGGTGCAGAGCTACGGTTCGCGCTGCGTGCGACCCCCTATCATCGTCGGCGACATCTCTCGTCCCGCTCCCATGACCGTCAAGGAGTCCAAGTACGCCGTGTCGGTTTCCAAGAAGCCCATGAAGGGCATGCTGACGGGTCCTGTCACCTGCCTGCGGTGGTCTTTCCCCCGCGACGATGTTCACCAGTCCGTCCAGGCTCAGCAGCTGGCCCTGGCTCTGCGAGACGAGGTCGTCGACCTCGAGAAGGCCGGCGTCGATGTCATCCAGGTCGACGAGCCCGCGCTTCGCGAGGGCCTGCCCCTTCGCTCCGGAAAGGAGCGCGACGCCTACCTGGACTGGGCCGTCAAGGCGTTCAAGCTGTCCACCTCGGGTGTTGAGGACTCGACCCAGATCCACTCTCACTTCTGCTACTCCGAATTCCAGGACTTTTTCCATGCCATTGCCGCCCTTGACGCCGATGTCTTGTCGATTGAGAACAGCAAGTCTGACGCCAAGCTCCTTCGCGTCTTTGTCGACTCGGCGTACCCTCGCCATATTGGTCCTGGCGTGTACGATATCCACTCCCCCCGCGTCCCCAGCCAGGAAGAGATCAAGCACCGCATCGAGGAGATGCTGCGCTACCTCAAGCCTGAGCAGCTGTGGATCGACCCTGATTGCGGCCTCAAGACCCGCCAGTGGAAGGAAACAAAGGAGGCTCTGACTAACATGGTCAACGCCGCCAAGGAGTTCCGCGCCAAGTACACCAAATAAGCAGCTACGAAACCGCGTGAGTTGGTGTGTCTGTTTGTTGTCTGACAGCATTAATTTTTTTTGAGAATTTGACGAGCAAATGGTTTTTCAGCCGGCTACGATTTCAACATCGGCGTTTACGGGTGGGGGTGATGACGAGACGTGTTCGACACGTCGGAAAAGTTGATGAAAGCGATGGCAAGAAGATGAAACGGAAAGTGGTCTAGCCAGCATTCAACATATGTGTACCTATGCTCCTCAGATGGGAGTACAGCTTTGCAAAGTTTGACGAGATACAAATAAATCTTGAAGAGGTCTATTCACCATGGCGGCGTCTGAAGCAGAAAAGGGGCCTTATCTATTCGTGTTGACCTTGGTACTCTCGTAGAGCATGAGCATGTTGCACTTGGAGCCAATGTGTGAGGACAAAGGGTGGGGTCGGCATGGCGGTTATCGCTGTCACGTGCCCCCGCGTCCGTCAAGTCATGTCACTCGCGTCTCGGCAAGCCTCTGCCGCCCGGGCTCACATATCCCCAGTGACCTCCTCGCCATTTTCTCTCCCAAAATGCCGCCGATCGTGATCGCCGACTCAGATGATGACATTGACGAGCGAGGGTACTCGCCGCCTCCCAAACCTAACCAGGCCACTGCAAGTAGCGACGCGCACACGCGGTCATCGGATCGCGTCAGCCATTCAACAGTCTCAACGGACCCGGCCTTTTTTCAGAGCGTCTTTAACGAGCAGATCGAGGCCGCCGCGCGTGAGTCCCGGCAGATTAGCGCGGTACAGGGCGGAAGTGCAAGCTCAGATGCGCGTTCCTCGGCTGTTGCTAAGCCGGCTCGAGAGTTGGCCGCTTCATCACGGACGTCTGACTCGGATCCGGTACGCCGCCGAGTCTCAGATAAGAAGAGCGCGACTAGATATTCTCCATCACCGACTTCTCGGAGACACGACATGCCCACCAAGGCGACGGCAAAGGACATGTGGGATGTGCCCAGTAGCCCGGAGAGCAAGGCCGTGTCAGGCCCCTCAAAAATGAAGGGTAGCCGGACCAAGGGGGTTGCGACAGTTAAGATCACGCGAGGATTGAGAAAAAACTTGGAGAGGCTTGGGTACGAGAGCGAGGATGAGGCCAAAGCCGACGAGAGCGCAGATCACGGCAGCGATGACATTACTCCAGCGAGAGAGCGAAAAAGGAGGCGATTGGATTTGTCAAGAGGCTGCTGGGACACGTCCCCCCCAGGATCGACGACAAGCTCCCCCAAAAACAAAAGAGCAATGGACGACACAACGGCGGATGGTTACGTGCCCACATTACCAGTCAACAGCGAGTCGTCGTTTCTCGTTGCCCCAAAGCCGCTATCTGCGAGCCAGAAAGTCGAGTACCAGAGCGTTGACCTGGTGCAGAGCATTTCCTCTTTGCGTCAGCCAGAAGTTCCGTATCACAAGATGTGCTCCAGCGGAACGGCGACGAACATCAACACGCCACGGAGCGACATGGCGTCTTCGCACGACGTTGGCATCATGGCACCAACGCCAGAGAGCGAGAGGATTGGTAACATGCGGCGGACTCGGCCACCGCCTCGACGACGGAGGAGCTCGTCCCCGGACGTGATAGCCGTCACAAGTGACGGCCGAGATAAGGAGCTTGCTGAGAAGCCGCAGTTGGAAACAGCTTCCGTCGGTGACGCGGCACCAGATGGACATGTTCTGGATGCGGAGTTTGCGGAGCAGCAAGCCGACGATGACTCGGACTTTGATGTCGCTCCCGAGCCCGTGAAGAGTAAAAGACAGAGGGGGCGCCCGAAGAAGAACGCGATGAATGAGAACACCAAAAAGAGCAGCGCGACGGCAGTGGTCGATGCAGGCACGGGGTTGACGGATATACCCAAGAAGAGGCGTGGAAGACCGAAAAAGGCGAAGCAGCCGACGGAGGCAGAGCAAAAGCGGCCAGGCCACAGTGCATCTGAGACGGCAGCTTCGGCTAGTGTTGAAGAGCCTAGCGATGTGGACGCGGCGCAGGGGCTACCGGAGGAGGACAAGACAGGCCCAGAGGAGACGGATCAAGCGTTCGGCGCAGGCGCGCCCAAGGAAGAGGCGACGGGCAGCTCGAATGGGCCCAACGCTACGGAAGAGAGAGGGGAGGCGAATGAGGTGGACAGAGGAACGGTCGAGGAGGCAAGGGACAAGAGCAAGATGAAGGGATCGTCGTGGCTTGAGTCGGCCGGCAAGCCCGTGTACCGGGTCGGGCTGAGCAAGAGATTGCGGATAGCGCCACTGCTGAAGAGTCTTCCGAAATGAGGACGCAAGAGATGGCCACCAAAGTCTCAATGGTTCTTGATGGGCGAACCAGGATCCTGTTGCTCGAAACCAGCAAAGCCCCCACTGAGAAAACATCGTCTCTCTCTTTTACCTCGTCCCTAGCGCCTTCTTGCGCCGCCATCGCCTCACCCTCTCCCGATGGGCGGATAGAGGCCGCCTTCTCTCCCCTGCTCGCTGCCATGTCGTTGCTGGACTTGGCTCGGCAAACGGAGGGCGCAGAACGGAGCTTCGGACCAGATCGACACTGCTTGACAGTGTCGATGCCACGACCGGTGTAAGCCCTTTCTGCTGCCGTCCATGCATGGTCAGCCGGGGAAGCAGCATGTACCAGCCCTTCATCATCCACCCCATGGGCCCCCGGTCGCGGATGACGGCTTGACGCGAAAATGATATTCACAGCCCTGCTGTCCCAGATACATTCGATGGCTGTCGAGGGCTCTATGGCAATCTTCGACTCGTGCTCACCTATGTTCACCGGTCCCTTGAAAGTCCAGGACATGGTCAAATCAATCCCGGCCGATGATGATGCCAGCAAGCCCTGAACCTCGGCACCTTCGCCTCCATCAACTGGGCCCCTCTTCTAGCTCAGGCCGTCGCCTGGGTACTTCCACTCGTCCCTTTCTCACGGGCTGGCGGGCTTCGCTCTAGGGGGGGAGGCGAGGATCGTGGACATTGACAAGGACTGGCAAAAGGCGCGCGACATGATCAAGGCACAGGTGGAGCGACATCTCTCCGAGGCATGAAGTGAGGAGTGCTGATGGGGACAACCGGTCACATGGCGTCGGCGATTCATCCCATGAGAAGAAGCATAAGGTCCAAGGCTACACGGGGAGAAGCCTGGTTCCGCTTACCGGAACCCTGCTTAGTTGGAATCGCTCGAGTAAACGTAGGCACACGAAGCAGCGAAGATGGGAGAGCAGCGAGCCACGTCTCCCGCAATCTGTGCATCACCACGCAATACCGGATGGCGCCTCCAGTCGCCACGAAGACTGTTTATACCATTTGCTATGAACTCTGTCGAGCGCAACCGGAGGCTTCCTTCTGCCAGGATGCACAAATACGCTGCTCTACAGGCACCCTGTCCACAAGGGCCATCTCCGGTGGTGCGCGTCAGGTGGTTCAATCTTTCCCCCGTCGGCAAGCGAATAAGTGTTTCCCGGCCCGATGAAGCTCGGGATTCGGGGGAAAATAAATGTAACAAAGGAGCCCAACGCCCAACTCGTCGTGATGCATTTGACCAAGTCGTACCAGGTACGGGCCAAAGAAAAGGTACAGTGTTAGAAGAGTAAATTCGGAAAAGAGGACTCACGAGCCAGACGCGACCCGTTGTCGTCTCCGGTCGCAGCCGCGGCTGCAGAAAATGTTGTGTCACACGTCGGCCTTGTCGTCTTCCTTGATGCGCTTCTTGATGAATTCGAAGGAGGAGAAGAAGATGGCGTTGACGACGCAGGAGCGGCTCATAGACACGCCCAGGCCGCGATACATGTGGCCCTTGAAGAACTCAATCTTGGGCGCTGGCTCGACCTTTTCGCCTCTCGAGCGGAGCAGCGAGTTCCTCTGGTAGATGCTCTTGGCTGAATCGATGGGATCTGTAACTTTGTCAGTCGCGACCACAAGACTCGAGCGATGACACTGGCGGCACTCACATATCATGGCCCACGACACGAGGCCGCACAGTCCACCAGCAGCAACGACGGCGAGCTTGTTACTGTTGGGGCTGTCGCCGGCAAAAGTTGTCCCAAGCTGCTTACCGCTTTCGTACACCATGAAGTAGATGGCCGTCCCCAAGGTGTCGCGCACTGTGGCATGGTCAGCAAATGCACCGAGGCGTTGGGATGAAGGAAGAGACGTACGGAGATGCAATTGGAAGCCCGTGTAGAGTCCAAAGGTTCCCCGATGCTTGATGATGTTGGCCATTGTTCTCAAAGTCCCCTTATTCTGGTAGCTCGTCGCCACGGCGCGGCTCTTCTGGCAGCTGCCCGCCCGTTCTGCGAGCAGAACCGACACCTGCGCGCTGAGCTTGGTCAGCTCAAAGGGGCAGGCAAGAAAGGTGATGACGGATCCCGCCGTGGCACCAGCTGCGCCAAAGCAGGCTATCGAGTAGAGATTCGGATATGTCCCGGGGCGGTTGACGTGCCGCAGGATATCGTATCCAAGGTTCCTCTTGACCCAGCCGGAGTAGACATGTTTTGCTCGCTGATAGATGGAGAATGAGACGGTGCGGACAAGTGTGATGCTGGCCATGGGCGCAGTGACGCCTAAAGGAAGAAGCTCAAAGTCAGCGGGCGGAAGACGCGAAGAGGGGCCAATTGGCCAGAGGGGGGGGCTAGTGAATGACGCAATGGCGGGCAGAGTGCAGCGAGAGGGAACTTTGAATGCGATGAGGGATCGAGACGGGCCAAACTCACCACGAAAGAAGCCGCCGAGCTTCTCTGTACGGTATGTGTGCTTGACGCAATCGAGGAAACCGCGGTACTGGTAGGTCTGCATACGAGTCTTGACGCTGTCGAGGGGGAAGGCGGCGAGCGTGGAGAAGACGCTCGAGGAGCTGGCGGCTATCTCGGTGCGGTAACGCCAAACCAACGAGTCGGTCTTGTTTCTTGCTGCTCCGGTCTGGGGAGGCATGACTGCTGACGCGTCGAGGCGGCCTGGAACATCTTGGTGACCACTTGTGGCCTCAGCAGTCATGCTCGATGGCGAGGGGGGAGGGCGAGGGCGGCCACGACGCGTTCAGACGGCGGTCCCGAGCGAGACCTGGGCCTGGGGCGCGGGCGCAGCACGACCAGTCGCCAGGAGCCTCTGGTCCATCAAGAGGCCCTTGTCAGATGGGGAGGATGCCGGGCCCAAGCTCCCTTGTCAGGCCCCGGGATCGAAGTCGGCGGCGACGGCGGGGTGGGGGACCGGGGAGAGGGATTGTAGAAGAGCTGAGATTTGGAATGATGGGCTTTTCTTTCTGGTGCGACGGCCTGGCGGGGTGGTGTTGAGAGTGAGGCGGAAGCGGGAGATGGCAAGGAGGAAAAGGGAAAAGAGGCGAAACGTGCGGAGTCGAGAGAGACGAGCGGCGAGGTGGAGTGGGATCGTCGAGATCAGAGGTTGCTGACGAGGTGCCGGGAGATGGTGGCAGCAGCTGGGCGGATTGATGATGAAGCTCCTACAACAGCGGCAGCTGGCATCGTTGGAGGAGGCACTCCATGGCGGACCGTTGACGGCCAAACCAGAGACAGCGCGAGAGAAGCCGAGCCGAGCATGGACGACTCGCGGGACAAGCACCCACCGCGCAGCACGGACCCTGGGGTTGTTGGAGCTACCAGAGACGCCCTGTACAGGTACATGCGAGCGCATTGCAGTCCAGGTTCTGTTCCTACGAATAGTACGGCAAAGGCCATGTTCTCCAAGTCTCGGGCGTGACTGGGCAAAGTACCGCTACCCCGGCTGGGCCCCTGCAGCAATTGGGAAGAGGGGCCCCCGCCCGCCGCCGTGATTGGAGGCGACTCCCCCGCTAATCGGTGGCAACCTCGACCTCTGGGTGCTGTACTTTACGTAAGCCTGCGCATATCTCGAGGCCCCTCATCACACCTCCATCACAACTCACACCCATCCATCCGGGCATCGCATTGCCAGAGATACTTTTTACCTAAAAAGCGCTCATCCAGCGGCACGCGGGCGTACAGTAGGGCTCGGCAAATAGGTACATCCACTACAGGTGCCGTGCATTGCGATTCCTTCGTCTCCGCCGGGTCGGCACTTTTGCTGCGCCTCCGTGCGACCACATCTGCCAGCCATCACATGCCGGACCATCAACTACGCATGTATATACTGTACAGACTACTGGCTTCTGTAGACCAGCAGCCTCTTCCGTCTGCATGAGACACCACGACGTACTGTACGTCTTTGGCAGCACCATGTCCTTGCCATGACGCCGCGGTACTCGGGCCTACAGTACTGTGCACCTTGGCCCCAACACGACAAAGCCGTTCAAACCTGTCCACCATTAATCCATTCACGCAAAGTCAATTTCAGACTCCGCATCGCAGCGACCAACGCAAGCCCCCAACCGCACATGCCAAGCCAGGACGCCCTTTGCGACCGGCACTGCCCCGCGCCCTTCACACTCAATGGGCCTCTATGACGAATCGTAATCGTTTCGGGGCCGACAGGAAGAGCGTATTTGGAGCTTTGCTTTTCTTTGGCCCAAACTGACGCGCTACCTAGCAAGACTGCCGAGCAAACAGAGTGTCCGTGCATTCGGGGTGAGCGCGCTTCAACGTTGAGCCCCTCACCTCCGTCCAGCACGAGCTTCCCTCTGGTCAACTGCCCCAGCAGTGCTCGGAATTGCCTCTGCACGACTCGTGTTCCTTGACTGTAACTTGTCTCCCAGATCTCGTCTGGATTCCTTTCAAGCCCTGCTGCTCTCAGTCTGCGTTGCCCGTGCTCCCCTCAACGCCGTGCAGAGTAGCCAGCCGCTCCTCCTCCTTCTTGACGCGGACAGCCTCCGTCTCGTTTCTCAGTTTTTCGAGGTTCCACACATCGTCGTCGTCGTCGTCGGCGTCCGAATCGTCCACGTCGCGCCACTTGCCGCTCTCGAACAGCGCGCGGCCAGTGTTCTCCTTGGCCCTGCGAGCCTGCTCCTCGGCAGCCTTCTTGTCCAAGCGTTCCTTTTTCCACTTGGCAAACGTCTCTGGAGTGACGGGCGTCAAATCCCCGGTGAGCTTGTGCCGCTCGGATTCTAGGAAGTCTTCCAAAGTCAACGTCTTGAGCGGAGACTTGTCCATAAGAGCCTTCTCCGCCGCTCTCTGCTCCTTCGTCTTCAAGACAAATCTGCACGTCCTTTTAGCTTTCCAACCCGATCCGCAAGTCGAGAATTCCGTGAAACTTACCCTGGCGGCAGAGCATGTTTGTACATGCATTTGTCCCCTCCGTTGGGGCAGACCCAGAACCAGCCGTATTTTCCATCCTCGATGGCCGAGGTGAAGAACTTGCAGACCTTCTCTGTCGACGTCCGTTGGTTGCCCTTCTTGGATAAGACCACCTGGCGTAGCTGTTCTTCGTCCCAGTCGGCCGACGTCTCCTGCTTCTTTTTTTCCTTCTCTTCCTCTTCCTCAGTCCTCGTGTCAGAGTACAGGTTCCTTTTCTCCGTTTTGCGTTCGATGGACAGGTCGTGCGAGAATTTGCACCTCTTGCCCTTCTCGCAGTCGCCCTTTTTATAGAAGATGCAGACGACCGTCTTGGGGTCCACGCCAAAGGGCACTTTTTGAATCTGAGCCGGCCGGTTCAGGAGAGCCGCAGCCTCCCTCTTGGCGTCCTCTGCCGCCTTCTTCTCCTTTTCTCGCGCGGCCTTTTCTGCCGCCTTTCGCTTCTCCTCTGCGCTGCCGCCGGATTTTAGATTTGATGTCATTTGAGCAATGTGCTTCTGAGCAGCTGCTCCCTTTTTATTCTTCATGCCGAACGTGCGGTCCTCGACGAGTTTGGCGGCAGTTGGCTTCTTGCCGCCCCCGCCTTTCTCGTTCTTGGGAGCCATGGCGGGCGGCTCGTGGGGGAAGTCGTCGAGAGGAAATGGAATCCAAGACTGGCCACACTCCCGGGGGTATTGAGAGTCTCTTCTAATATCTTTCGTGGTCCTGCGGCAGCGAGGTTTTGGTGGCCCGGAGGCGGTCGTCGGTGTTGCGTGAAACTGCAGAGTCACAAATTTCGAGACGACCCGTCACCTCGCGCTTGACGACTTGTCCTGGTCCTGGTTGGTGGATGAGGTCACCTTGGTCACGTGCCTGGCCCTCCTTGCTCCGTCAAGTCCGCCGGGAAGGCCGAAGCTGCGCCACAACCAGCTCCATTCATATTACATAAGCAAATAAACGGCCTGCGGTGCTGTGCCACAGAGACGTGGCGCGGTGACAGCTCAATGCGGCGCCGCGGAATCTCCAGCTGGCCTTGTCAAGTCTCGACATCTTCCACGCACCTCAAGGGGAAGCTTGCACAGCACAACATTCCGCCAACACAAGCCGTACGTTGGAATCGAATTGAGAATTTCACAAATCCGCGAAGCTAACGAATATATACTCAGCGGCCGCGCTGCTAGCGAATTCCTGGCCAAACCCCAGTCGAACCGGCCAGCACGTCGCAACGATGATATCCGACCGAGACCTTTTCAGCATCGCCATCTTCCTGGGCGGGGCATCCATGATGCTCATCATTCTCTATCATTTCCTAGAAGCCAGCGCACCGCTGGCTTCGAACAAAGCGCAATGATCAGAGGCATCTCGGACAGGCTCTAGGAACCACGCCAACAGTCACCCTTCGCATAGGGTACTAGGCAAGGGCAACATGGACTGCACTCGCAGCAGCCGAGGGGTGAGGGTATTTTTCATTCACGGGCTTATGGGCGCAATGGCAAGTTCTCTTGAGTTTAGGCAACGGGCCATGGTCTGCCTGCCTAGGCTTCTTTGATGTTTTTTTCTCCCGGTCACGTTTGTATTCCGCTGTGGAAAGGGGATAAGGTTGCTGTCTGACAGCCCAAGAAGGAACTCAGTCGTCGAAAATTACGTTGATACTGCTCGATCAAAACAAAACAAAAATGCGAAGCGCCTAGTTCCCCGTGCAGTCTCGATACGGTTTGCTCGAGGAGGACACTCCGCGGCGCCGAAGCCTTTCTAGGACGTGCAAAAGTTGGGTTCAGCTGAACGAATGCAGAAGCGTCCATGGCTTCGAAGCGAGGGTTGTTGTTTTGCGACAGATGTTGCGTCGCTCGCTGAACAAAGACGGGACTGGCAACGTGTACTGCCAATGTGCACTGCCAATGTGTACTGTGAAGGCGGCGGCAGTTTGTGCGGGCGTCAAGCAGATGCAGTGTTGGCGTGTGTGCCACTCAATGTCAGGCACCAGGCGCTTATTAAGCACGCTGGGCATTTCGCCTACGTGGTTCCAAGGCTGTTTAGATGCCCCGCCTGGCAGCTGCCTGCTAATTGACTAGGTACCTATGTATCTTAGGTGCCCACTGGGAGTCATAACTAATCCCCCTTGTTTTTCCCTCAGCCACTCCCTCTTTCTTCCTCTTCTCTCTCTCCAACCACTTGGTTCATGAAGCATCACTCACTCCGCCGGTTTTGATCCTCCTCACTCACCGACAAACACTCGCCTGCCTTGACTGCGCTTTGTCTCTGCACGCAAGATTCTTTCGGTCCCTTCTTTACTTTTGACCTAAGCGTCAGAATCCGACGCGACGCTTTCAGCCCTTGACGCCTACGGTCGCGGGCAACGCTTTGTTTTCGCATTCAGCAGACCTTGACCACTCCGTCTTTGTTGTCGCGCCCTGACCGACACGTCGCGCGACTCACTCTCCGCAATTCATTTCGTTTAACTACCCTCATCGGCCCAGCCAGTCTGTGCCGCTTTCCTGGACAACCAGCTCTTTCCACACCTGTCAACGACCAGTCACGCATTCCATCATGTCTGGCAAGCTCGATAAGCCTCTCGACGAGATCGTCTCGGCCCAGCGCAACTCTGCCGGGCGCCGTCGCTCGCAGCGACGCTCTACTGGCGGCCGACCTGCCGCTGCGCCTCCCGTCGGAGGCGTCCAGAAGCCCACCAGGGCCACTCGTGGCGCCGCGGCAAAACCCGCCCCGTCCAGGGGCTCCTCTGTCATCGGCGAAAGCAAGGTCATTGTCAGCAACCTGGTGAGTACAATCTGCAAGACCTTTTCAAATTCCATCGTCGCTAACAGTCTGTCACAGCCCAAGGACGTGTCGGAGCAGCAAATCAAGGTATGTTTCGATTGAGGCGCTGTGTCCTCCCGACTTTATTCGGCCTATTTTCCTCGCCGCGCTCCATTTTCTGTCGACGTCGCGTCTTCCTGTTGGACATGGAGAGGGTGCCTCCGAGCTCCAGCTGTGGATATGCCCTTCGTCTCCTTCCTGGTACCCGTGCAGCTTGGGCGGGCTGCACTGGAAGTTGAGAACAGTCCTGTCTCGCACAACGTTCCGCAGATGCCTGGTCAGCATATTGCAGCGAGCCGCGTTGACTCCAATCGGACTGCGGCAATATCACTTCTGTCCACGCCGGATCGAGCGAGCATAGCAGCGGGTACATGCAGCAAAGTTCTGGAGCGCGGAAACGCCAAAGCAGTCGCTTTTGGGCCTCCGCGAGTGCCCGGGGAGGGCCTCAAGGCTCCAGTGTCGCACAAGCGGTCCATGCTGGGTTTGGCGCAATCGCCGTACACGCAGCGCCTGAACGCTGTCGCAGTGTCGAGTGGCCTTCTCGGGCGGGCCACTCATTCATGAACAAGTCTGGTTGCGGTCTGACTGCAGGGGACTGGGCCGTTGCCGCATTTGCTCATCACTAGGACTTGCCGTGGCTCGCTGCTTTGCTCGCTCGGCCTTATTTTTTTCCATTCTGGTTGTACGAAGACGAAGCCCCCATTTTTTGGAACGACGCCCGACGATGGTCGACAACAGACTCGGCAGTGTTTATTCAACTCGTCGCTTTCGGTTCACTAACTCCTCCTGCCATAGGAATACTTTGTCCAGGCGGTTGGACCCATCAAGAGGGTCGATCTTGTTTACGGCCCGAACTCGGTCAGCCGAGGCATCGCAAATGTCACTTTCCACAAGCCCGACGGTGCCAGCAGGGCTTTCCAGAAGCTCAACGGTCTTCTGGTCGACAACCGACCCATCAAGGTGAATATCCAGGTCCGATTCGAGAGCGGCAGTATAACGAGGTGGCTAACGCAAACCAGATCGAAATCGTCGTTGGTGCGGCTCAAGCCGACAGGGTCATTCCGCAGGTGAAGACGCTGGCGGAGCGTACCACGTAAGTCCCGGCGGCCCCCTCTGGCAGTCCAAAACTAATGCAATTGCAGTCAACCCAAGGCCCAGCCCAAGTCTGCTGCCACCAGCAAGCAGGGCGGCGCCTCGAACCACGGTGCCGCCAGCAAGGGAGCCGCCAACAAGAAACGTCGCGGCAAGAGCGCTCGCCCTACCAAGAAGACGGCCGAGGAACTCGACTCGGAGATGGCCGACTACTTCGTCAGCAGCGCCAGCAACGAGAACGTCGCCAGCGGTGCCGCTGCGCCGACCAACGGCGATGCCGCCATGGAGGACGAGATTATGGTAGGTTACTGAATGCCAGCAATTTGCGGCAGTGTCCTGGCTGACACTTGAGCCTACAAAGTAATGAGCGACGATTAGGGTAGGGAAATCCAGGACAGGAGAATCAAATGAAGTCTTTTTTGAGGTTAACCACTCAAACTCCAAGAACTATCGCTATTCGCGAGGCACACTGCAGGGCGGTTAGCCTCGACTGCTTCATCAGAATGTCTATTCCGGGAAATGGGAGTTGGGTCTTGGGAAGTTTGCGGAGCATTATTATCACTGGGGTCAGCCTCTACAGCCAAGTCGTCTGCCCTGGGGCAGTGCTCAGAGGAGAGAGGCGTGGGACGTTCTGTACAACAAGCGAAATACACTCAATACCCAAATCCGAGGCGTGTTGTCTGTACCATGTCTATTGAACGCCCGTGACGGCTTAGAGCCAATCAGCGTGCGTCCTGAGCTGATGCCGGTGCAGAGTTGTAGTCGACTGGCCAGATGTACGTGGTTCGGGCTGAAGACGAGGCCTGCGGTGAGGGACTTGAGTGAAGGCGGCGGCCCTACTTGGTAGATATCGTCGCTCCATATGGGCGGAGTCCCGTCAGGACTTCCGTCGGCGAAACGACCACGGCGCAGTTGCGCGAGCCGTTTCCAAGCGAGCCATGTCTTCGGACCCTGTATCCCAAGCTTCTCAAACGGAGGAAGAAGAGGGACGAGGTTGGGAGTCGGCGGAGCATGCTCGCCCCAGCTCAAAGCGGGACGGGAACAAGAGTGAACGGGGGGGGACGAAGCACAGGCCAGAAGAGACGAGCGCGTTGCCGAGGCGGCAGTCAAAGGCTCGTCTTCTTGTCTGCGGGTCAAGCAAGCGCGTGCGCGTGTCGCTGCGCAGCGGTGCGTGCAGCTGGGACCAACGACATGTTCCGGGAGGCAAATGGGGGGGTTGGCCGGATAGTATTCATTCATCGACGGGGGATAGCACAAAGAGGCAGCAAAAGCACCGAGGATAACGCGAGCTTGGGCAGCGATCGAGCGAGTCTGTGCGGCCGGGTTCGACCATGGCAGCGGAGGCGACCGGAATGGATCGGGGCTTGCTTCGTAATAAGGACCGTAGAACAGGTGGTGAGGATTTGGGTGTTGCATGATCCCGCATCACGACTCCCATGAGGAGCGTACCGTGCAGGCCAGGATATGCTCACCGCGCCCCGTATCGCGGAATCGAGTGGCACCATGTTGCACGTCACCTTGACACCTCGATTTCGACAAACTCTTTTCAACATGGCAGTAAAGGGGGGCGCAGTCTCAGGCACATCTCTCGACAAAGTCACGGGATGAAGGGCATCGAGGCGACAACACGGGGCGCCAGGTACACCAGTAAGACGTGGTCTGGTTCGCGGAATATCTTTGCTCGTCGACGATAGAGTAAACAGTACCCTATTTGTGCAGCCACGCATCCAACTCGTTCATGGACGAGTGGCAGTTACGTTGCAGATGGCTTCCTAAGCCTTCTGTGCCTCCTGATCCGCGTTCTTGTCCTCAAGCGCGGGCAACTCGTCATCTTCATCATCGTCAGCCTCGGCGTCGGCGCCGTCCATGCCGCCCATATCGGGCATGCCACCTGCGGCAAGCTTGGAGAAGTCGATGCCACCGAAATCATCTGCAGGTCAAACAAGTCAGTATCTTTGCCATCGTCCATCACCAGCTCGTTGTAAAGTTGAGCTATAGCAGGGGGGAGGGGAGCATACTGCCGTCCATGCCGGGCATACCCATGCCAGGCATGCCACCTATACCAAGTCAGCCATGGTCGTCTACATGCAAGGATTCGACCCCAAAGTGCACGGTGATGGAGGCTGTCACATACCCATGCCGGCGCCACCACCGAATTGCGAAAAGTCCTCCTCGGGAACCTCGTTCTGCTCGTCCTCGTCGGCCCACTTGTCGAAGTTTGTCTTGAGAAAGTGAGGCTTCTTGGAGTCCTTGAGAAGTCTAGGCCAGTACTCCTCCTTGAGCTCCTTCTTCTGCAGCTTTATCTCGATGTTCTTCGAGGTGTGATTGATTTTGCTCTCGGCGGGATCGATTTCGGCGTAGAACTCGAGCTCGACATGGAACTTGCGCTTAAGAGTTGTCGAGGTGCCAGTAAAGCTGAGGCTCGTTGGCTTGAGATCGAGCTTGGAGTCCTTCTCGGGGACATCGGGGACGGAGAGAGTCAAGTAGATGAAGTTCTTTGAGGGGTCTGAGACGGAAGATCGCTGGGCCCAGAGAACTGCGTGTCGAATGTGTCAGCCAAGCAGGGCCCTTGAAGCCGCGGGACGACTCGATTTATTCAATGCAGTGTGAGGCGCACGAGTCGCCGCGGACGACGAGGAGTGACGAACCCTCGGGAGGTGCCGGGCTTGCTTCAGAAGTTGCCATATTTGCAGTCGTTTGGTGCCCACGGCAGCGGCACGAGAGAAAGGGTGCGGGGGGAGAGATGAAGAGCTTCGCAAGGCCTGCTCGTCAGCGAATCTGGAAATGGATTGTGCGCAACGGACAGGCTGCAGGTTGAAGAGACGGCAAGGGCAATGGCAGAGTCGAGGAGCACATACAAATGGTCAAGAGTAAGTTGAGGAGGATGAGAGCGAGGCTGTCTCCAAAAAAAAAATAAGAGGGCAGGCAGCAACAGGTTGGGGAGGCAGTACGTACAAGGTGTACTCCGTAGAAAGCGCCGGAAGGCAAAAGATTGAACTGTGGGCGCCACCAAAGTATCAGTAGACAAAGACCCCTGCAGCTTCTTGCTGGTGGTGGAAGGCCGTGGATGGCGGGAGATGATGGCCTGGGGATCCGATAGCACGAGACCTGTGTGTCTGCCTTGGACTGTGTGTCTGGTTGCTGTACCTCTCTAGCATTGAGCTCCCCGCGGTACGACAGTGGCTGCACTGGCTTGCAGGTAGAGGTACCGAGGTATTCCAGGCAATGGCAGAACTGACTGTATTTCTTAGTAAAAATTCCTATTCGTATTGAAGACCAATGTCAGTCGGCTCTGTGTCACTACTGCACCGTGAGCCAGAGTGTGCGTGTTCTTCTCATGGTCGGTACACGCACAGGGAGTACTCAGCAGATACCCGAATGAACCGGGAGGCCCCCCACCCGCAAAGTCACTGCAAAGTCACCGAAAAGTTACCCGGCGCCGTCGTCCACCAGCCACGACCCCAGCCACGGTCGCAGCCTCGGGTGCGCCACAGCCATCCGCAGCCTCACCCAACGTCACTCCACCAGGCCGATGCCTCTTCGCCCTCCGGCATTGCTACCCATCGCCTCGGATCGGCCGCCGCCACCTCCTTCTCGGCGCCCACATACGCGCCTGCCCACCCCGCCAGCCTCCTCATCGGTGTCCGTGCCGGCACCGACGACAGCATGGAGACCATCAAGTCGCTCTTCTCCAAGCCAGACCCCCAAGCACAGGTCGGACCTTGACTCCGATGCACTCTCTACGCCGACGGCTGACACGGGCGAGCAAGACAGGTCCGCAAATGCAATGCCATCATCCGCTCCAACATCCGCAAGCTCGACCGCGACATCGTCACGGTCCGGCAGGTCGAGGCCAAGACCAAGAACCTCATCGTCCAGGCCGACAAGCGCTCCCAGCGAGACCCCACCCGCGCCAAGCAGGCGCAGAAGGAGGTGCGCGACTTTGCCCGCGAGCTCGTCCGCGCGCGGCGCACCTCGTCGCGCCTCGTCACCTCCAAGGCACAGCTCAATTCGGTGCAGATGCAGGTCAATGAGGCCTTTGCCGTCCGCAAGATTGAGGGCTCCATCAGGGCCAGCGTCGGTATCATGAAGGACGTCAACAGCCTCATCCGCCTTCCGGAGCTATCGGGCACCATGCGCGAGCTGAGTGTCGAGCTGATGAAGGCGGGCATCATAGAGGAGATGGTCGAGGACACGCTGCCCGAGGACGGCGACATGCTGCTGGAGGATGACGAGGCCGAGGGCGAGGTCGACAAGGTTCTCGGCGAGATCCTCAAAGACAGGAAAGAGCCGAGCCTGCCAGCGGCGCCCGTGCCCGAGCCCCAGAAGCCGCTGGCTGCCGCGGAAGAGGATGAGGAAGAGGAGGAAGACGCCGAGGCCATGATGGATCAGATGAGAGACCGGCTGGATGCGCTACGAAGCTAGAAGGGGTTACCGTGTTTTGTGCCTTCTTTTTCAGAACGGCGGCCTTTTCTTGTCTTTGGCAAAGGCGTTGTAGGCGTTTGGGACTTGTTTGGGTATTGCGCACCGTGACGAGATGCGTTCCTGTCGCTGACAGCGGGTTCTTGGGGTTTTGGGGTCAGCGGGGACCCCGTTTTGCCCTTTCTGTTCATCGGGCTGCGAATCGAACATGTCGACCCGAACTACATGGTGTTATCCAAGCGTTTGATACACAAACTATCACTCGCGCAGGTCAAGGGGCGGCGCTTTCAGAATTGCTACTCTCCTCTGCAGCTAGTATAGGGTAGTCAGGGTTATCACGGTCCATGACAAAGGCAACGGCTTACAGTCGTCTCGGCGGAGTAAATGGCGCGATCGGACCTGTCAGGCAACATGATCAAGAACAGCAGCCTTGTTGTCACATGGCGGATCTCCTGGACCTTGCCACTAGTCAAATGTTTGTGGTCGATCAGTATCCGTCTACAACGCGGGAGCGCAGTCACGACACGAGAAACCCGGGAACAAAGACTGGCAGCGACAGGTTGAGGCGTGTTCAAGGCAGTCAGACTTTGCATGCGTCAGAATGCGATACGAAGGGGAGCTTCACGATACGAGATGGCTCGCCGGAGCGGCATCAACAGCCATGCAGCCATGCAAAGCATCATGACCGAAGCGAGAGACCAAAGGACCCAGCCGATTGAAACAACAAAAGGAAAACGAAACGAAACGGCCGCGGAACGCGCTCCTACCTCTCCCTCCCACTCGAAAAGAGAGGAATCGAGACGAGAGAGGATGCGTTGGGGGCGGCGGCGTCTGTGCCCGGCATACCGTGTCTCGGACGCGGTTCCCCGGCGAACGAACAGGGGGCCCGTTTACACTACGTTGTATCGTAGAGTGACAGCTACCCGAGACAAGGCAAGGAATGGCCCATCGGTGTCGGGGGGATGGCGGACCGAAACGAAGAGAAGAGAAAAGGAAAGGTCGAAGAAGAAGACGACGTCGTCGACACCGCCGCCTGCAGGCACTGAAACCGCGACAAACACGCCCCTGGGCCCCCCCTGGCTGCGCCCGACATTTCGTCAATCTCGTGTAGGCAAAGGTTATCGCCAGGGGACGGGGATCGGGCATCGAGGCGAGAGGGGACGAGGGAGCAGCAGCCGGGGGATTAATCACTTATGTACTGTACAGTACAGTGCACATGTATATCAAGCCCTCGTATTTTACAGGCTATACGGGTATATATATATAAATACGAAGCATGTGCGAGGATACATGGCCTCGTACGAAGTGTAGGTGCGACCTGCAGCAGGCGAGCATCCGTGTTCCCCGACGGACAAGCATTTTCTACCGCAGATGCGTTACAAGGGGGAAGGCGAGGGGGAGGAGGGGAGGGAGGGGGAGGAGGCCATGAACCTTGGAAAAGCACGAGGCAAAAGTCTTGACATTAAAAAGGGTCTACCGTCTGTGGCTGCGGAAAACGAGGCCCGCAGTTCCGGAGGGTGCGGCGGCAGGGGAAGCAAGAGGGAATGTCACATCGGTAACGGCGTGGCGGCGACGGGCCGGGGCTGCACGACTCTGTAGTCGAAGCCTTCGCCTTGCAATGTCCGTACGGGTCCATCGTCGGCCGACCTGATTGGCGGCGGGACGAGGGAGAGGGCACCGTCGGTGTGCAGCAGAAGACCATCGGTGTCAATGTGGCGGGCGGGCCGTGGGAGACGGGGCCGGCAAGGGGGGAAACATTGGGCTTCGATCGGGGGATCTCGTATGAAAGAGAGAGAGGGATCCCGGGAGAGAGAGAAGTAGAGGGGGGAAAAGGGGGTGAGCGGAGAGGGCGAGGAGCCACGGCTCGGCAATACGGCAATGTGCTCTCTTTGATCTTCGAGGCCTGCGCAAGAGTCGGCAAGAGTCGTCTTGACCGAGCCACGAGGCGAGAAGGAGCCTGCCGCGGTGGCCAAGGGCGGCCGAGCTGTATTATGCACCGCGATGTGGGAAGACCCTTGGCAAAGCTCGCCGTCTCTCCTCTGCCCATCAACGGGGCCACTACGCATGCGCGTCTACTTTACCGCACTTAACCTGTGGTCAATGCGTTCCCCCGTGCGTCCATGCCGAGAGGAGGATGGCGCCTCGGTCAACGGGGGACACGGAATGCTGGCTCGGCGCCCGGGGGGGGATCAGTAATTAACTGGACGAGAGATTTGGCACACCCTCTACACTGTCCTTCGCATCACCATCCAACTACTACCAGTCCGTCGAGCGCTGCTGTGCAGCTCACACGTACAGTGCCAGCAGGGAAACAGAACTGATGCGCATCTTCTCTCTCTCTCTCTCTCTCTCTCTCTCTCTCTCCGTGCCCCCGACCAGGGGAACCCGGTCTGGACAAATGCAGGACGCGGAACGTCTCCAGCAGCGTGCAGCATCTTGATCGAGGTGGCAGCAACGTGGATAAAGACTGCCAAGGGGAGAAGCTTGAACGGGGGCGAGGCGGCCAGTCAGAAGATGCGACGCGGCCGTCATGGACGCAAGGGACTGCCATGTCGTCGACTCTTGACCCTGCCTACATACTGTACAGTACAACGTGCGCACGTACGCACGCACATATATTATTATACGGCGGCCATGTTGGGTATGTACGGCACAAGCAACGGGCATCGCGGCCGTCATCCCCGGCCTCCCCTGGCCTCGTCTCTCGGTCCCCCTTTCTTCCTTTGTAGGATACCGATCTGCGAGCCGCCGACACGTCGCATCAATCAGATCAGGGTCGTCGTTGGTTGATTGCATTCCATAACATGGGTATGAGGTGACGAGGCAACGAGGAGAGGGGCTTTGCGCTGCGCCCGTCGAGATTGGAAACCGTCTTCAAGGGTCTCTCGCGAATACATGCAGGGAGAGGCTCCTCGGCAACGAATTCCACGCGCACCTCGACTAAACGCCGTTGTCCGGGAGCGGCGGACACGGCGAGCCGAATCGGCCCGAGGGCTCCAGTGCGTTGGAGCTTGGAGCTTGGAGCTTTGCCTCGGGAACGGCGTTAGCACCACGTCTCAGTCGCCTTCTCCTCGGCCGAGAGCCACCGAGCCAGCCAACGGCGGCGGCGGCGGAAGAAGACCCGGCCGATGGGATGGAGATTAGTCGCTCCAACGTGGGAGCGAGGCGGCGGCGGGCGAAAACGGCCTTTGTGCTCGATGCGATGACGGGCGTCATGGAAAAGCGAGGAGGCCAGAGGGAGGCTGTAGCGCCTGTGGCTGCCTATCGGGGCTACCTGGCGGGGCTGCCTATCGTGGCTTAGCGTCGGGGGAAAGAGCATCGAGATTTCTTGTGGAATTCCTCCATCTTTCATATTTTCGCAGTAGTGTACGGAGTACGGGAGTAACTACCTCGAGGTACGCACGCCTTGACCCACAAGGCAGGGTTGCTCTCGTACTCCCCAGTACCCCCTTACCCCCCCCCCACGCCTCCGCCTTGTCGTACCGGCCCGCCCCCGGTGTGGAGATGGGAGCTCCCGCCCTATGCCGGAAGCTTAGAGCCTTCAGGCCGCGTTGGGCTGTCGTGGAAGAGACGCCAAGGATCAACGAGGGCCTCCAGCCCGGTGGCCTGTAGGCATCCATCCGGAGGAAGATAGGATTCGGAAAGCACGGTGACAGGGTACCTTTGACAAGAAAACCACGGCATGCGTCCATCCGCGCTGAAAGCGTGGCCGAGCACCTGTAGGTGGGTGGCAGCGCGTGTGCTGCCAGACGAGAGTGTGTGTGGCTGCGCGTGTCAGCGATGCAGCCCGCCCGGCCGGTTTCCCTTGGCAGACTGGCGGTCAACGTGACGGCGATGGTGACCGAGAGGGAGAGCCGCCTGGCTTATTACTACTCTGTAGGGGGAGGGAGGGGGAGGGAGAGAGAGAGGGAGAGAGAGAGGGAGAGCAAACCACAGCCACAGCTCCGATGACGCTGACCGACATGTGGCACCGGCCAGCTGCATCGCCTCGGGTTTCTGGCCCCCCCCCCTCAGCATCATCTTTTTTTGGCCCTTGGTCCAAGCCAGCCAGCCAGGGGTATGACTGATGTCAAGTCGGATCCATCTCGGTACGCAAATGCCATCATGCGGCAAGAGAAGAAAGCCTGCTTGGGCGCAAGCACAGGCCGGAGCGCGTCGGCCAAGGCCCGTCGATGACGACAGCGTGCCATCCGTGGTTGGTGGGTGAATCAGCATCAGAGTCCAATCTCGCGTCCCTTTTCCAGGGCTGCGGACGGTTCCAGCTGCCTCGGGCACCCGTCCCCAAGTACTGTACTTGCCCACGAGCCCGTCCCTCGGCGCTGTAGCGCGCCGAAATCAGACGGGACCAAGACGTTTGGCGCGCTGCCCAGGAGCTATCCTTGGGGCTTCGCTCCCTCGTGGCGGCCTGGGTTCCGGACGGGGTAGGCATGTACAGTACAGTACAGCCGCATCTGTGTGTAGACGAAGCGAGCATCGACACGCCCCCTCCCTTTCCGCCCTCTTTGCGCAATACCAGGCCAGATGAAACTTGGACCTGACTCATACATACAGCATCTCTCGACGGTGGTGTGGGGGGACACAAACAAGATATCGATATTGATGGTTCTCTCGTCGTATCTCTGCACGCCTCCAACCAAGTCCATGCCCGAAATCTTGCCCTGCATATCCCGTTGGCACCCATTCGTCCGGGAGAGAGGGTATCACCAACCCTCCATTTCACGCCTCGTCTTCCTTGACCGCCTGGAACGGCGTCCCGGGCCCGCCGCCGCCGCCGATGACGGGATGCAAGTCGGTGATAATGCCGTGGCAGCCAAGAGGGAGGGAGACACCCCCCCCCCCACCCTTCCTCACCACCTTCCGGTCCTCGAGACGCAGGCAGCCGCAATTTACGGTAGAAGACGGGTAAGAGGCGAGGTGCGCATGGGCGATCTTATTCAGCACAGGCAGGCTGCTGATGGGGGATTGGAAGGACGCGAGCAAAGCAGCTTTCGGCGATTCCTTATTGCTCGCTTGCGGCGTCAGCAAATGCCACCATGCACGCGAGACCGAGTCGGACAAGGGACTCGACTCGACTCGCTGCCCCGGAATCCCTCTGCACTGCCCGTCAGCCATTTGCCGCATGTTCGGATCACCGCTCTCCCTCCAACCGAGCCTTGTCCAAGGCGAGCGAGGAGCACGTAATGGCGGCCTACCACAGCCGCCGACGCCAGGTGGCATAGCTTAGTCGTGGAGAATCCGAGAGTGTCCGATGGCCTCGATGCCAGCCAGGAATGGCACCGGCGCCGTCAGCAGTCAGAGCCTGCCCACACACAACGCGTATGCCACACGCATGGCGGCGGTTGGACGCGCTCACACCCCGTGTCTCTCCGCTCAGTGGTTTGTTTCCCCCCCGCACACTCTTCATCCCCACGGAAGACGGGGGGGGGCGTGTTGCGGTTGTCGTGGATGGCGACAAACCCGAGCGAATGGAGAGTCAGTCAACAAGACTGCGCCGTCTCATTCGGCCGGCTCTGCTCATCGCCGAAAAATGTCTGCTCGCTCGGGGACCCAGAAAAGGGGCAAGCTGGGTGTGGTAGTGGCATCGGTGCAGGCGTAAAGAAGGAAGCAGAAATGATTTGTCCGTTTCTTTCACACCACGATCTCCTTGACAAAGGCCGAGGTACGTACCTCGTGGAGTTGACCGGCCGAAGCCGGTGCCTGTTTCTCCACCCCCACACGTCAAACTCCACAGACGGACCGCTGCGGAGGCAACAAAAACAAGCCCTAAGCTCACGATGGCGTCGACAACTCGCCGTGCCTCATATCATATCATACCAGTACGTAATGGGGGGGGAGGGGGGGAACAAGAAGAAAGGGAAAGAAAGAATTCAGGATGAAATCAGAAAAGAAAGTCGCGGCCAACGGTTGGCAGACAAGGCCTCAAACCCGTCCCTCTCCAAACACAAGGACCCGGTGCGCCGGGTACGTGCGCCCGCAGGCCAGTTTACGAGCATCGAGAATAATTGCCACGTTTGCTTTTCCCTGTCTTGCATCTCATCTCATCCCCAGGCCGGTGGGCAGCCCCGGCCCGGAAGTCAGGGGTGGCCAGCCGCGACGAAGTGCGCGGCAACGGGACGAGCCCGGGGCTCCATGTGTCCTAGCCGTATCAGTCCTCTCTGCCTGGCTGCGGCTCGGGACATGGTTGTCGCCTTCCCCTAGGGCCGCCTTTTTGCTCGTATTGCTTTACCGGTCTGCTGGGCTCTCACGTCCCGGCATCCACCCCCTGGCCGTTCCAGCTTTGCGGGTTCAGAAGCAAAGAAAAAGACGTGGGCGAGCGCGCGCACGGCAGAAGAAAGTAACGAGATAAGTTAAGCTGTCCCCTTTACTCGGTACATGAGCCACGCATGGACTGTATGTGCTGTGTAGGCCGCCGTCAATGCTCGACTCCGTCTAGTACGGCACGTTGCCGCGGGCGGGCCGGCTCTTGTTACATGGCACCGCGAAAAGCTTTGACAGCTGCAAATAGCACTCACCCACCCCCTGGCGACGTGTTGGTCTATGCGACGCGGAGCAAACAAGAAAGGGAAAAGGAAAAAGGCGAACAAAGCTCGCTCACAATCCGGCTGGTTGGGCGGCCCGAGCTGTGGCCCCGGGGTAGCTCGGCCTAATGAAGGAGGGGGAGCAGCAAAAAGGAAAGACGGAGAGGACAGGAAAAACAAGAAACAGCCCCCGTAGAGTCAACGGCCAGCTACAGTAGCTTGGCTCCGGCAACAACAAACTTGGTCCCCCCGTGGGGAGAAACGTGTATGGCGACCAATCATGGCCGGTGCTGGGGCGAGGCGGTCAGAACACCGCCATTCCTGCCGTGGGGGACGCCTGCGCTCGCCATCTACGGAGGACGAGCGAGTGTCCTGTGGCTTTCCTCGCGGGGGCGGAAGAGAAGAGGAGGGAAGAGGAGGGAAGAGGAGGGAGGGGAGGGGCGTTAGTGTTTGTCGGCCATTCATCTGGGAGCCTGGCTGCATTCCCAGCACAGTCACGATGGGGTTGTGAGAATGGACGAGACACGGCCGTGTTTGGTGATTGAATGAAAACGCTCGTTCCATCAAACAGGCACCGACCGCACAGCGAGGACCTACTGTACACTTCCTTGGGCGGGCAGGTCGTAGGCTTGTAAGTAATTAGGTAGGTACCTTGGCCCGCTGCTACTCCTTGCCTGGCGGGGCAAAGTACGGATAGTACCTACTTACTTACTATACTGGACCTCGCGACGAGGCCAAGTTCACTACGTACTGCAGTACTACTATAGTACTACAGTACGGCGCCCGTGCTGGGGGCTCCAGGCGAGGTACCCGGGCGTCAGTACGGGCGCGCGCCGCCAGCAATGTACCGGCCCGCCACAGCAGCAGCGGTCGATGAAGACGGGAGGCGCGGAACCGCAGCCCCGGGCCCACCCCCTTGCACCCCCCCCTTGTCTCGTCTCAGGTTCTATCAAACCCGGATGCATGCGCTGGGGACCCTGTCCTGGTCCCCCGTTCCGCACACGCCCCTCCCCGGCCCAAGTCGGTCAGCCAAGATGATTCACACATGTGCCGCCCCAGACGGCGCGATGCTCGGCTTGTTGGCATTCACCCCGTCGCTATATATCCTTCTTTGTTGCCCTCCCTCCCCCATGTGCTCGCCCTGAGACCTGCCTACTATACCACTCTCGTTGCACGTCGCCATCCTTTATCAACAGCACCGTCTCTCCTCCTCCTCCTCCCCCTTGCCTCAACTTGCATCCCATATCGGCTGTCGATAGAGAGAGCCTTGTGCAGCTCAAGACGATTCCACTCTCCTCCTCTCGCGCCGCCATTCGACGGACCCACGAGCAACCATCACCATCCGACGCCGTCACGTCCGCATCCATCGTGAACACACGGCCAAGACCCGCCCGGCCCGTCGCTTAGGCGCTGCTCACCTCTTCCTGGTGCTTGCTTGCCTCGAGTCCACACTGCCGTGGGCTGCTCGCGCCGCCACAAACCCCGACAACTCCTCCCAGACCACCTCATCCACCACCATGTACGGCTCACACGGGTCGTATAGCTCCTTGAGCACCATGTCGGCGCCCCTGGACTTTACCTCGACCAACATCCGCACCCACGATGCCAGCTGCGCCTTTCCCTCTTGGCCGCGCCGCTCGTCCCTGTCGGACTCGGAGCACGAGGAGCCCCATGCCACCTCGTTCCTCTCCGACGACGACCTCTTCCTGTCCGACCCCTTCGATGACGATGCCCGAAGCGTCTCCAGCGCAAGCAGCGCCTCGTCGCCCTTTGCCGTCGCCTCGCCGCCTCGCCTCTCCGACGAGGAGGTGATGAGGATGGAGCGCGACCGCGCGGCCATGCAGCGCGAGATTCTGCGCCAGGTCAAGCAGGACAAGGAGAGACGGCGCCAGACGGTCCTGCGGGCGCGTCGCGGCAGCGCCAAGAAGAGTCCCAAGCCCACCAAGCCCGCCTGCCTGACCACCATCAATGAGACCAGCGAGTGAGCCGCTGCTGCTCTCGCGGGCGCGACAGGCCCCAAGCCACTCGGCTCGGGTGTCGCACCGGGCCGCCCTGTTAGACCTTCCACCGGCGACATTCTCTACACTTAATCTTTTATTGGAACGACGGCTGCACCGATAACACGCACTCCCACCCTCCCCAGATCTCGCCGTCGCCCCCACACCACATGCACGCCGACGTTGCGGCGCTGCGAGGATGGAATCCAGCGGATAAGGCCCCAGCATGTGCGATGCAGCCCGACTGGGATGGCCCGACATGTCCGACCCGAGGCGACCAGACACGAGTGCCAACCATGCCGAGCTGGCCTTGTCCAGCTTTGGCCTAGGAGAGCATGCCGAGGCCGTCCCGGCGCCACATCGCACATGGCGCGCCACGCAGCGCCGGCAGCTGACAGCTTGTGCGAGTTCGACGCAGACGCCTGTGACTGGCGCGGCGCAGGCGTCTTGGTCAGCCTGCCCTGGGACTCCCTCCGGCATCTCTTCGCCCTCAGCCATCATATGCGTCTTTGTCCAGCACATGCCGCGAGCTCCCTTGACACACCGTCGCGTTTCTTGCACGTGTCGTCGACCGAGGCCGGCCCTAAGCTTGCAGATCCGACACTGGTGGTTACGCATCGTTGCCCACCTCGCTCTCCTCTCGGCCTTTGTTCCCCCTCATCCGCCAACTCCCGGTCGCGTGTCAGCATCCCGACACATGGCGTCTGGTCTAATCTTTTTTATTATCCCGTCTTACATTTTTCTTTTAATTATTATTTCTCTTTTGTGGCCGGCCCCCCTTCACGTGTTATACCCGGAGCGGCATTCTCATATACACATGTTAGCTTGCGTCCTTCTTCTCGGCGCCATTTGCCGCCTTTATTTCCTTTTCTGTTTGTTTCTTTCCATCTGGAATTGCCATGAGCGACAGCGTTGTCAGTATTGTCATTATGTGTTTTTTCTCAGTTCAGCGATTCGGCAACAGAGAAAAGGCATTGGGTTAGACGGATCGGGGCTCTGCCAGCTGAGCAGCAGCCGAAGCATAGCGTGGGATTTGGGTTCCCTGCGCCATGTCCTCTAGATGATGTCGCCATCATCACCATATCACGGACTGGGAGCGCGCGATTAGTTTAGCCTTGTTTCTTTTTCATCGTCTCCTTTATAGCCTGCCCATTTTCTTGCGCAAGATACCCCCTTTTGCTTTTCGCCCAGCTAGATAGAGGAATACACACTCGTCTCGTCTTTTCCTCCACACAGACGAAGCAGACACTGCTCCCTCTTCTCTCGCCCGTGCCATGTCTGGTTGTTGGGCCGCCATGGTAGCCCGCGTCTCGAGGCGACGTTAGCGCACTCTGCTCGTTGATTGCAGGACCCAGGGCGCCCTCTGCCCGCCCAACAGGCGGTTTCCGGGGCAGTCTCCGGGGCACATGTCCAAGCATCTTCAGGGGGGGATGGACGGCTGCCTTGGCCCAACAGCACCGTAACTTACTCGAATCCCCATTCCGGAAAAAGGGCGCATGCCCTGCCATTGTGCCGTGTACCGTAGCCCCCAACGGCACTGCGACATGGCGACGCCCCGAGGCACGCACGCCCTCTCCCCAGCGTTGGCGGCGCGTAACAAGAGGCACCTAATTATAGCTGGATAGGTGGGTAATTAATTAAATGCCAACCCATTTTCCACGGCACCAAGGCGGGACTCGGACTTGCTCCCGTTGCTGTATACAACACGTCGAGGAACCATGTACGGATATGCACATGCACCCGGCGCGGGCAGTGGCAAACACGACCTGGCCATGAGCCTCCGTCTACCTACCTACAGTACACATACATACATATATGTATGCACCAACAGTGTACTGTAAAGACTAGGTAGGTAAGTTCCGAACCACCACAGCCGGCTCATCGGCAGTGGGACCGCCCCCAGCAGCATCTACCGGCACGGCGCCATGTGCGTATGAAGCCCACCAACGATTAACCACCCCGGGCCTCCCTACACGCGGCGGGGGAGAGGAGAGAAAGAGGCTGTTATTGTTGTTGGCAATGGCCCTGCGCTGCGCAGCCAACAGACGAGGTGCAAAAAGTCCTCAAACGAGCAGCGGTGGGAGGGCGCGTTGGGGCACCCGGTTGCTCCCCGGATCCCGTATACTGCAAGCACCGACCAACGCGCGCGGCTTGTGTGCCGATGCCGGCGCCGACGGGCGGTCCGGTGCAGACGAAACGCAGCTTGGCACGTCCGGGCATGTAACTTGTGTGTACAAACAATGGACCGTCATCTGTTGGGTGCGGCCGACGACGATGATGGACGAAGGCGGGGCACCGGCGAGGCGATGGCTTCTTCGCTTTATTGTAGCTGGATCGTGCATGGGCGCACGGCAGGCATACCAATAATGCTGGTAAATTGCCATCAAGGCATGCATACTTGGACCGCATAATACGGTACGCAGCTTGCTGGAGGCGGCGGCATCGTAATGAAATGGCCATGACTTGTCAACGGCCAAGGTTGGACGACAGCACCGTCCACGCTTTCAAGCCTTTGCAGTACACTGAGCTGCCATCCAACCCCCCGAGTCTTTGCCTTGACAGCATCCTCCTCTCTTTCCCCTAGAGGACTGCACTGCATCGCCTGTACATGTCGTATCTCCTCACCGGGGCCTGCAAACATCTAGACTTGGCGCCCCAGAGTGTTCCGATATCCATGGCGCCGTGAGCAATCCATTGTACGTGCACCACGCACGAACACGCCGACAAACACACTTGGTGCCGGATACGCGCCTTCGCCATTCACACATACTCACTGGCGACAGCAAAGAGCCGTCAATTCGTCCGTTCCCTCCATCGACAAGGATGCCCTATGGCCCACGGCTTTTCACTCTGCACTTATCCGTGTTTCCCTCCCCCGGGGCCCGAGACCATGACAGCGTGCAAGAGAATGCAAGCTCCTTGGGGCGACGGCTTTGCAGCAAACCGGCCAAGGACGGCAAGCAAAGCATGCAAACGAGATTGGAGCAAACACCCCAGTCGTTGCGCATCCGGTGTGATGGGAGCCGAGGGGGGCTTGCATGCCGAGTTGTACCTCGAGTTTTACGGTATCCCGTCGAGGCGGGGAAAGCGGTAAGGGATGCAGGCGTCGGGCCGGCTTCTTGGCCCTTGGCCGGCTTCCAACACTCGTCTTCGCTTTGGCCACCCGCTGTGACAGCGGCGCCGTGGGCACCGGGACCTTGGGCAAGAGGCAGCCGAGAGCGGAGAGAAGCTTGGCTCACGTCAAGCACTCCGGCTTCTTCGTCCTTCCGCCAGGTGATCGTTTTGCAAAGACCAGCCGTGTTGATTCGGCTACCTCGTCTCTTCACCACGCTGGCCATCGTCCTTCCACGAGTAACGAATCTCCCCGGACCGGGAGGGCAATCGCTTCGATGCGGAGACTGGGACCAGCCGTCATCACGAGACTGGCGAGTCGACCGAGGTTGAAGGTGTAGCCGACGTGCAACGTTTCTCGACTTCTCGACTTCAGGTGCCAAATGTGCCAGTGCAAACACCTGAAGTTGCGTCGGATCACAGCAGCTGTGTGGCTTGCCAGAGTAAGCATCGGGATACGATCGATCCCCACCAAAGGACACATGTTAGCATTGCAGGCTTCATCCCGACTCCGGTTTGGAGCTCCCCTGCCCGTCAAGACCTCTGACGCAGTTCTGACAAGAGGTGAAGTCTTGGAGATTTTCCGTAGTATCAGGGTTCCCCTACCGCAGGTCCCCAAGGTTAATCCCTGATGAGCCGGTGGCTCCGCTGTGACTGCCGCACCAGCCCTGCCGACTGTCCCTTGGCCAACCTGAGAAAATACATAACGCCGGGCCCACGAGCCGACGCTCGAAGATGACGAGCTTCGCGAGTCGGCTAGGGATGCACATAGACGTGATGCCTTTAAGGACTATATGATCGTAGGGCATCCGCCTAGCCTGCCTGCTCATGTGCTCGGCGGCTGCTGGGCCAAGCAATCGCGTAACATGCGGCTTCAGAGCCAGCTGGATAGGACGCGCCGCTTGAGTGATTCTCTGCCGCCGCTCGCTATTGCCCGTCTCACGGCGGCTGAGTAATATATAGTTCGTCCGAGGCTACAACTGAAGCCGAGTGACGACCGCTGCCCCTTGGGACATGTCGCGTTGCACCACTGCGGCATCGCTACTCGAGCAGCAACGTGCCCTCTCCCATTTCTTCCCCGTCTCAAGCCGTGAGACAGGCCGTGGAATGCACCTGGGTTAAAGTGTGAGGATGCAGTGCACCGTATATTGCCGTGCACGCATCCCGTACGACTCCTTCAACATGGAAGAACGGGTGCTCAGCAGGTTTTCCTCCAGGCTCTGCGGGGCTGCGAGCGGGACAAACAGCCGGCTCATAGGCTTCTGCGGGTACAACGATGAGACATCTCATCAAGTTGGTCCTAGAATGCAGCGCGTCGACGCGGTTGCTACCGGCGGATTCAAGGGCCAGGAGCGTTGGGCCAATCGAGCAGTTTCCCGACTGTCATACCAAGACATTAACAGGCAGCGAGAATGGAGCGTATGACGAGCACCGGCTGTTCTCAAGAGGCTTGCGCCGCTACCTGAGAAGGGCCATGTGGGAGAAAACTTTGACTTGCCGTGCGCCTGCCCACGGGAGAGATGCAGTCTGCCAGGAACCGGGTTGAAACGGCCGAAAAGGTTGCACAGCAGGAGGCCGCGGGGCAGAGCGGCCTCGACACCCGCATGTTGCTGCCACATGTGGCACGTCTGCGGAGATGGTGCTTCGTCTGAACAACTCCTGTCGCCGTGCTGGAAGGGGCCCGCCCAGCCATCTGATGTTTGTCAAATCCACGACGACGGGTCTCTCTCGTCACTTGGTAGCAGCGCTGGTCTTGGCGCATCGTCCTGCCGATCCATGCCCACACTCTTGGTCCGGAGTGGACAAGCTTGGGTGGTTCTCAAGTCATGTGTGGAGTGGCGGGATACGAGGCGAGGTCGGTAGGAACCATGATCTTCTCAATCGGGGGAAGAGGTCGGCTCAAAGGCCATTGGCTGAGAAGACGACTGCCAGATGCTCGTGGGAACGGGTACGGGGATGGAGAGAAGGCCAGACTGGGCGAAAACAAGCTGTTGAGCGTAGCAGTTGGTTTATCGCATGCATACATACGCATGCGCAGCAAGCGTGGCGGCCAAGGGCCATTGAGGGGCTGCGAGCGCAGGGCCAAACACGTACGTGCGCATAACCAAGGGCGGATGCACGAGGTAAAGTGCTCGCATACGCTGATTGCCCCCAAGCCCCAGATCTGGCGGTTGCCGTGGGATTCTGTTGGCCGTGATGTTGATTGACTGCGGGACGGGCCAGGCGATCCAGGGAGGGCGGAGCCGATCCGTGGCAGCGTCCGTGTCGACGAGGCCATTTAGGTGAGGCAGGGAGGAGGGTAGCGGCAAGAGGGACGAGGGATGTATGTACATGTGCGTGAGTGAGTGCATGTAAAATTCTCTCTCTACATACTTGCATAGCAGCAGGACAGATGCAGTATTCTTCATCGGTCATGCAGGCGTCGGCGCTTGCTGCGAGCGCAGCCAAAGGACAACGTTGAGCAAGAATCGCCGCCCGATACTGCTGATGCGCCGGCTGGAATCGTCTCCTCGTCTCTCTCCCCCTTGTGTCTGCCCAGGCGCCCGGGGCTTTCGACATTCGACATTCGACATTGGACTGTGGAGGAGCATTTTGGAGTGAGAGTGAGGAAAAAGAAACCATTGGAGGGAGATGGATGACTGTACTGTACAGCACGATGGTCGAGGCAGGAAGTTGTCGAGCCCTTGCCTCGAGCCCCGGTGCAGGGGCCCCCTTGTCGCCAGGCGTGATCTGGCCGCTGATTGGCCGGCTCCTTGCGCGCACTTGCATGGTGGACCGCCAATCACCAGCAAGCGCAGACGTCGGCGCTACGACGCCGCATTCCATTGAACGTCGCCCGCCCCTGCCCCGCTTTCGACCGCAGCCCCAGCTGCCTCCAAATCCGCCTCCAACCCAACCTCTAAATCTCACAACGTGCTCTTTTCGTCTGGTCCTCTGAGCTGCTACCGCCGCCTGTCGTCCCAATTCGACGCTAGCTCGGTCGATGAGCGGAGACGCAGAGACACGGAGAGACACAGATCGGGGAGGGAGAAGGGGGCGAGCCGAAGTCTCTGTCGGGAAATCAATCCGTCGAAAACAGTCCCTGTCAGGTACGAGCAAAAGGGTCCGCTCCAGTCTTGCAACGCAGACAGCAATGGTCTGCGGTGTTACCATGCAGACGCAACCCCGCAGCGAGCTGATTTGCTCCTCCTGTTCTCCTCTCTTCTTTTCGACTCCGTCATGGGCTCTTCCCCCCCCCCCCTTCCATGTGAGGCGCGAGGCCGGTGGCCGGCAAGGCGAGGCGAGGCGACGCAATGGAGACGATGGGGGGAGACTGGAATGAAAGCAAAACAGCTTGAAATGAGCGTCTAATGGCAGAGCCGCTGACGCCGGGCTTGATAGGTAGTCGTCGTCTCTTGCCGCGCACTAACACTGTTCACGCGGGCACGGCTAAGCATGGGAGTGAGAGGGCATCAAAGAGCAAAGGAAAAACGCCCCCCCCTCCGTCTTGCAGGCTGGCGCACACGCGACTGCGGCCCATTGGCGACCCGGTCGACGAGCGATACATGGCCCTCTACCCTGGTTTGGGCCATGCATGCACACATGTGGCATTCGACTCTTGGGCTCCGCATCCGCCCCCCAACTCGTCGTGTCGTTCTCTAATTTTACCTGGGTCGCCGGCCCTCATCCACTGACAGGCCAGCCCTTGGCCTCTTTGGCGCCCTGCTGCGACTATCTCGCTCTCGTCCATGGGTTGGATCCGTCACACCACCTCCGTCCGTCGACAGCACTTGTTTCCCCCCTGTCTCTCGCCCCCCTCTTGAGCGCTGCCTTTACATGCGTCCATGTATGAAAAGCCATGTATATGTTTGTCTCTCTCCCGGCATCGTCTTCTTCTTCTTGCCCTCGCCTCGCCCCTGTCTACATCCACGGCTCGACTGCTCTCGCACACGAAATCCGCCTGTGTAACCCCCAACCTCGACGGCGCCCCAACGGTCGCGAAACAAGCGCCAACCCCGGTCCACAGTCTCCTCATCGGGCCATCACAGACACGCAGTACTCTTCTTCCGTATTGGCGCAAAAGCACCTTGGCTCCCGCGCCAATCCTCTCCGTTCGCCCCGTCACCTCACCGCACGTTGCAACCGAGACATACATCCAGTCCTCGTTTGCTCTCGACTCTCCAACCCATGCTTCACATCATCTGAGCATTCTGTCCCCTCTGAGCCCTCTGCCACCGCTTCCTGTCCTCGGCAACCATTGTCTCTTCCGTCTTTCTCGCAGTCTCTCCCGCACGGCCGCAGTTGCTCTCTCGCGGGCCTCTATCGCGCTGCGTGTAATGATATAGGTCCTCAAGAGCGTCGACTGCCGCTCAGTTTCGGGGGTTTGCGCGATAATTACGTCCCGGAAAGATAGGTTCGGCTACGTCGACGTGACCGTGGTACGGTTCGACTGCCGTTCCACGGGGATTTACAGCCCTCGCACATCCCCGGAGGGCCCCAGCGGGGAGGCCTGGGCCCAAGTGTCGTCTGCCTGCGGGCTTCCGGGAGAGTCAAAGCCAGTAGCATCGACGGCCAACTAGATATCAAGCCCGTCATGTCCGCCTCGTCTAGGAATTGCGCAGCGCAGAGCTCCGCGAGATCCTCAACCGCCAGAGGCACGCAAATCCAGGAAGTCACTACGATGCCCTCCGTCCAGGACCTCAGGTTCTTCGACCCCTGTGCCGCCACGGCCTCCATGTTTCTCTACGCTCAGGGACGCTCCGTCATGTGCTGCCACCATGACACTCTCACCGTCGAGCGGAGGTTCGCCAGGCACACCGAAGAGGTCCAACTACTGGCCGTGGACAACCACAGCGAGGTGGGTGGAGGCCGCCTCGTTGTCAGCTACGACGCCGGCCAGACGGCCATCGTATGGGACTTGATGACAGGGGACGAAGTGGCTCGGTTCACTTCATATGACCATCTCACGGTGGCCGCGTGGATGCGTAATGGAAATGTAGCGTTCGGTAAGCCGCATGCATCGTCTCCGCGGGGCGAACGGGGGGCAATTCTTTTCTTCTCGCGTGTCACTAACATCCCGCCTGCTAGGTAACACCCAAGGGAGCATTATCCTCTTTGAGCCCACCACCTCTGAGCACATCTCGTCGAGAACAATCGACCAGATTGCCGTCACAGCGCTGGCTCCTTCTGCGGATTGCCGAACCTTTGCCATCGGGTAGGTTACGGAGAGAATGATCCAAGTGCGTCTCGTCCCTGTTAACTTCTCCAGGTATCAAAACGGCTCTTTGTTGATTGCGACTCTCCAACCCCGCTTCACCATTTTGCACAATTTAACAACGTCAAGAGGTCCGTCCCCCATTGTCACCCTGTCTTGGCATGCGTCCTCGTCGCGGCAAAAATCAGACATGCTGGCCGTGCAGACCCACGACGGCGACCTGCGCGTCTGGAGCGTGGCCAAGTCGTACAGCGCCGACGACCCTGCCAAAGTCGTCCGGATACTCCGGCGCAGAGAAAATTTCGTTGCCGGGCCCAATTGGATGGGCTGGTCAAAGAATGGACGCATCATTCAGTTTTCGGACTCGTACGTCGATCCCGAGGCACCAGGCCTACGCGCGCGCTTAGCTGCAGGCGCAGCTGTATCACTAACCTGCCCATAGGGAGACGCTTTCGTGGGATGTACGGACCAAGCACGTCACCTTCGATTCCATCCCGACGCTTGAGCACGTCAAGGGCATTGCTGTGTACGGGCCCGGTGCCACCCTGTTTACTCTGGGACCTCAATGTACGGTCCACCAGTTTGACCTCAACTCGCCTTCCATCATGGTCAACAGTGTCCAGCACTCAGTCGCCCCCCTGCCGCCGTCGCCACCAAACTCCATCGAAGAGCCGGGGGCAAAGCCGCCCGTCCCCGTCACAACCGTTCACACGTCGGAGTCGGATGGTAGCTCAGTTCCTGTGGAAGTGGGCATCTCGGAAAGCGATGACGACCATCTGTCGCCGTTCGCCCGTCTGGCTAAACAGCAAGCCCCAGACTCGGGGACGGAGCAGTCGTATGAGTCCGCCAGTCCGGTGTCGAGCCGGAGCGGATTGTCCTCACTGTCCAGGTCATCTGCGGGTTCCCGGACGCCAGGACGCCACAACGGCTCGATCAAGTCGCAAGGAATGTCCGACAACACCTACATCTCGGCAGGAACGTCGTTGAAGTCGTCGACCGTCGGTAGACGAGAGCCAGATAACTACTCCATGGGCTATTCGCTCGGAACGACGAGCGCATCGTCCGTGTCTTCTTCCCGCCACAGGCACAGACCGTCAAGGCTGCGACACGAGGTTCCGCGCAGCCCCGACGACAACAAGGTCCATGACCTGTTCAAGTTTACGCGTACGCGGCTCAGCGACATTCCCTACAGACATCCAATTATATCAGACAACTCTCGTCTCACAAACGACGACCTTCGCCGGCAGATGCTGAGCACCATATTCGGCTGGCAACACGAAGTCAATGATCTGATTCGGGATGAGATGACCAGGTACCCTGCGGGATCCGCCAGTCGCATCTTGCTCGCGAAATGGCTGGGCGATATGGACGCAGACTTCATGGCCGGCAGCTCCGAGAACATGACGTCGTCTGACTGGATGCTCTTGGCCTTGAGCGGGATTGGCGGCCATCAGTCTCAGCACAAACTGGGGCGTGCCTATGTCCAGAGGCTGCTAGAGAGTGGCGACATACACGTCGCCGTGACCATCATGCTCGGCATGGGCGACCACAACGACGCCATCGAGGTCTACATCTCGCATAAGCGCTACATGGAGGCACTCATTCTGACGTGTGTCGCGTTCCCCGGCGTGTGGGAACGGCAGGTTGCCATTGTCAGGAAATGGGGCGAATGGGCCGTGCAACATGGCCAGCAGCAACTGGCCATTCGTTGCTTCGCATGCACCGACCAGGAGTCGACAGAGCCATGGACATCGCCTTCGGCTGCTCAGCTCAACTTCCAAAGCATCACGCCAAGTATCCCCGAGGTGCTGAGTCCGCCTCTCTCACCGCCTGGTACCCAGCGCGGTCCGCAACGAAGCATCGCAAAGAGCTCGGCACTAAAGCTCATCACTTCCTTCGGGGACCAGACCCAGAAATCTAGGTTCTACTCGCAGGGCGACGGCGGGCAGACCCCCATAGCGGCCGGCGTGACGCCCATTGCAGACTCGGCCATCTCGCCGGGGGGCTCATACGAAGCCGCCACGGCCTTCCTTCGCCCGTCGAGCAACAGCAGGTTCAATACGCCCACTTCTGCTCGGGCGGGCGGCTCAAGCCTTGGCCGAAGCCGACTGCCTTCGATCGGGGAGATCCCATCGGATCTGAATCGCGCTGCGCTCCAAGCTGCGGAGCAAGTCGCCAACCCCGTAGAACCGAAAGAGGGTCGTCATGGTCATGCACGCATGGCCTCCGCTGAGCAAGGCGACCTTGCTGCAGGAATGTCTCTGCAGCGTGCGGCCTCAGCAAGCCCGATGATGATGCGAGATCGCTTCAAGCGCGCCGCGACAGCGCATGAGGGCGAGTGGCCGCCGTCACCCGACCGAGACATCTTGGCTAAGATGCAAGAGGCCAGATCCAACAGCCGCAATGGCTCACGGGATCGCATCCCTCACGGCGTTAACCTCCACGTGCAAACGGAACAGATATGCCCGGCAGAGGTGACATCGCCAGAGCAATCGGTTTCCTCTTCCACGCGATTTCACTGGCCGACTCGGCGCCGTGGACCAGGCTCGATTGCTAGCTCCATCACATCCAACTCAAGCGCAAGCCGCAGTCTGCGAGCCAACCCTCGGCATCGCGAGGATTACATTCATAGCCTGGACGTGGCGCAGAGCTATCACTCGAAGAGGAACAAGAGCAGGCACGGTAGCAAGGAGAGAAGTCGTGAGTCCTCCCGTGGGCGTCATGGCAGCCGCGAGAGAAAAACGAAACCAAGGGAGTCGTCGGATGAGCGCGGCCGCACCGCAGCCCGTTCCTGGACCAAACCCAAGAGGTCTCCCACGTCCCCCATTCCCATGTCTCCCGAAGATCTCGCCAATTTGAGCACTGCCAAGAACAGCGAAGTTCCCGAGCCACTTACCGTCAGGAAGTCAGGCGCTCAAGCGCTTAACGCGACCAGTCGGACATCCAGCCGTGGAAGCAACCATAAAAGTCTCGAGGAGCGACCTCGGCCCCCGGCACTGGACATCCGCGGCAGAACAGCTTGCCGCGAGACTAGCCACCAGCGATCACCCTCGTCCCCGCTGCCGCTATCCGCGGGCACTCTTCATTACCAAGGATCCGAAGACGAGGAGGACTTTAAGAGGGCCATGCAGGCTCGGGAAGACTTCCGAGCAAGGCACGGCCGTAGTTCCAGCCGCGGTCTCAACTCGCCGGCCGCGGCCGAGCGGGAGCGTTCCAAAAGCCGTCGTCGAGAGGTGGCCGAGTTACTCGACAGCCATCCGCCTCTGCCTTTGGTTTCCCAGGGGCGAGCCGCATCAACAGAGCACGCCGGCGACCTGCGCCAGATGAAGGACGAGCGCCAGCGGAAGAAGGAACAAGCTGCCCGCGAGCTTGAGGAACGTCGAAAGTCCCTGGCCAAGAGACCACAAGCCCCTCAGATCCCGCACCCTAGCGAGATCAGCTCTCCCTTGACGCGGGTTGGCGTTGAGGCTGCCGATGTCCAGCCTTGCAACGATGACGTGCCACCGAGGAGCGCGACCGAACCGCCCAAGACTACGTATGCCAGGAGTGGCCCGCCGATTGGACTGCCAGCTACTCCCAAGGCAATGCGACTCATCATGGAGTCGGAAAACAGCGGTAGAGCCAGCAGAGACATGGCAGAAGTTCCGCCGATTCCGCTTACGTTTGCCCAAAGACACTCGCCCAACACGTCTCCTGACAAGGAGAAGGGTGCAGGGCTACTGGCTCTGCTCCCCTCGACAGTGTACCAGCCTCCGGGACGCCCGGCGATCCCGCGAAGCATGTCGGCGCCCATTCCCGACGAATCTCATCGTCCTCGAAGCACGAGAAAAACCAGCTACGGCGATGCTCGGGGCATCGATGAAGTGATGAGCGGTCAGAGACGACGTTCGCATGAGGAGCCGGTGCCGCCTCCGCCACCTCCGCCGCCGGCTGCGCCAGTGCTGAAGGAGCTGCAACACTTGGCCGTTCCTCCGCCACCCCCTCCTGCGCCCTTGGCGCATGCACAGCGACAGCACAATCAGGGCGCGGTTGGCTCTGGCATGATCGAGATTGTTATGGACGATGACGACAACGCCCCCGTTGCAGCAGCTCCCAACGATGGCATGGTGCCCGTGATTGCACTACCGGCGCCTCCACCGAGAGGCCACCGCCGGGGCCGCAGCAGCGGGGACGGCAGCCTGTCGGGACGCCTATCCAAAGCTACGGAGCGTCTCCGGTCGGCCAGCCGAGGCCATAAAGATTCGGGCAGAAGCGCCATCAGATCGCCGCCGATTGAGACTTGTCATCTCAATAGCCCCATGTCTGCAGTTCAGTTGCGATATCCCATTACTGGGATGCCACCGCCTGCCAAGTATGACACAGACTTGATGCGGTCTCCCATCGAGCCCAAAGGAAATCATGCATCCACTGGGCTTCACCACAGCGAGATGATTTGATGCGGCTTAACTCCCCTCTTGCCATGGCCAGGGCATTCCACGGCAGGTTTCCTGTGTCGTCGACAAGCTCACTTTTGATTGAATTCTCTGCCTGGCGGCCAAGTTGGCTGCTCCTCCCCGAAACCTAGCTACTCGCCTTTTCTACAGGGAGGGCGATACTGGGCCGGCAGCGTTTGTAATGAAGAAACGACTGAATCAAGTCTGCGAGCTCCCCTTTCCGCCTTTCCTTTTGACTCTGAGGCAAGTGTAACTTGGCCAACGAGAGCAGTTTCAGTTTCCTTTTCTCTTCTTCTTATTGACCTCGGCATTTTTGGCCTCGCATTGAAGGTTCTGCACTCACCCACGGCCATGAGAGAGCAACATTATATCAGGTGTCCTGGTGAACACCAGATGCATGGATGCGCGCATACGAAAATCGAGTCTCATTTTTTCTGGATCACCTCATGGCACGGCTTTCCTTGCTTTACACGACTTATGACGATGCATGGTCGGCGGATGAGAGACGAAGAGAATAGCCAAGACGCGACAAGTCAGTCTGCTTGGACTATATGTCAAGACAGGCCAAGGGCGCTGAGATTGGCTCGCTGCGAGGCGTGAGATGGAAATGCCCTAGACAATGCTGCCCCACGGCACCCTGTTTGAGAGGAAGCGACGGTCTTATGGACAAGAGTAGTAGCAGCTGTGATTGATTGGAGACATCAAGTATATAATTTGGCTTGCAGATGCACACAGACATGCAGATAGGTACACGATGAACAGACTATGAATACGCAATGCCCTTGTAGGGGTGGACCTTTGAATTGTAAACAGTGCAAGCATCCGCAGTGGGCATGGTGGTGAGGTGGCGATGGCTTCATCTTCAAGTTCGGCGCTTGAGCCCAATGGCGTTGGTTCTGCCAAGTCTAGGATACAAAGATGCCCTTTGAAGAATTACAGGAAAGACAAACACACTTTGAAAAAGAAGCCGGGAAAAAAAAAAGGGGGACAAAGGAGCAAAAAATAAAGCGTCGTACAACTCAATCTCGCCCTTCTAACCCAAACCCCTCACGGTCGTAATCCTGTTCGCCACGCGACGGGGGAGGTGTCTCTGCAGAGTGAGGCCTCCCTCAAGATTCTCCTCCAGTGCTTAGGGTTGCTGGGCAAATCGCGAGTTGCCTGCGCGAGCCTGCAACCACCGCGGCGTTCGAACAGGGCGCCAGGCGAGGGGGATCTAACGGGGATGGGTGATAGAGGGTAAGCGAGAAGCTGCGAGCGACTCCGCCGTTGGACCATTACAGTCGGAAGATGTGGGCCTTATTTGTAGCTATAGAGTCTGGGCTTTGCAGAGGGGGGCGGCCCGGAGAAATCCACTCCCGGCGCTGCCTCCACAAGCTGCCTCCACATGCTGCGAGCTCCAGCTGGCGGGCTGCCCACCAGCAAGCATCGAGGGCGGCGACTCGAAGCTCGACGGGCCGGCCTGCGCCTTGATTGCGGAAAGACGTGGATGCTTGGTCTGCAACACGGGTCCCCAAACAAGCGAGAGACTGCGCTGCCATGGCGTCTTGAATCCGCCCAAAGACCGTCGAACCAACCGTCTTCCTTGGCCATGATCACCACGGCCCCCCGCCTCCAGGTCCGCCGCCCATCCCCCACGGCCGCCGAGTTCACCGTCACGACGCTGCCCCCGTCCACGCTGGCCCTCCGCCTCCTGCGCGCGCTGCTGCTGCTGCTGCGCGTCTGCCTCGCCATCGCCACGCTGCTCGCCCTGCGCGCCCGCTGGGCCGTCTGCCCGCTCGCCGCGCCGCCGCCCGCCGTGCCGCTCCCCCGCCCGCCCGCCCTCGTCTCCGCGCAGGGCCTGTGGTTCGCCCTCGACGCCTGGCACCGCTCGCCGCCCGGCGCCGCCGTCGCCCGCGCCGCCGCCCGCGTGCCCCTGCCGCTGCTCCTGGCCGCCGCCGCCGCCGCGCTGTGGCTCGTCGGCCGCCGCGTGCACGCCCGCGAGTCGCTGCTGGTGCTGCGGGGCCTCGGCGTCCAGACGTCCGGCTCGCCGGCCTCCTACTTTGCCGCCGCGTCGACGCGCTTCATCCCCACCGAGAAGATCCAGGACATCTTTGTCAACGAGGCCTTTCGCGGCTTCGAGGTCCGCTACTACCTCGTCGTCGTCGTCGAGGGCGAGGACGATGTCGTTGTCGTCTTTCCGGGTCTGCTGCCCCCGAGGAGGATTGTCGAGACGGTGTGGAGGGGCGCCCGCGAGTGTCTGTACGAGGGACGCGTCGAAGACAAGGCATAGAAGACTTGACGCTTGTCGCTGTGCTGTTTGGCGCGATGCATGATACCCCCCGTTTCCATATAGTTTGAGAGCGCCCTGTCACTGCTGGGCAAATGGAGATTCGCCATTCTTACGCTTTGTCTATCCAACAAGAATTTTCCAGCGTTTTTCTCAATCACAAAACCGCGCAGCTATCCCTCTGCCGCCTTTTGCTCGTCTTTCCATCTGCCTATGCCCCTCTGCGTCCGCATGTCGGCGGCGCCCGCATACCCCTTGCGCTTGGCATATTTCTCATTCTGCTCCTCTACGGACTGCGCGAAATCCTTCGACTTCATCACCTGGGTATATCTGCCGGCGAGCCGCCCGCTGTCGGCGCCTTGGAATATCCGGACGCTGGCACTCGCCTTGCCGTTTCCCTGGCTCGACCGGCCGGCTTGGTCGCTGCCTGGCCGCAGTGCCCCCTGCTGGGAGACTTGCCGCAGCAGCTGGTTAGCCAGCAGCTCGTCCATCTTGTGCCCGCGCCAGACCTGCCACAGGCCATCCACGAGGCCATACTGGCCGAACTTGTTGGATGTGCATTCGTCTCCAACATACACCCACTCGAGCGCGTCTTTGAGCCGCGTCGTCGACTCCGGTGCCGGCTCCGTTGCCGGCTCCCCCGCCAGGGCACCGCCAGGGAAGACGCAGTCCCAGAGCACGAGCGGGACCTCGTTGGCCATGGCGTACCCTGGCTTGCGCGGATTCTTGCTCACGTCGAGCAGCTCCGAGACGAGGGTCGGGGCTTCGAGTCCTTGTCCCACGAGGAAGAGAATGGCGACCATGTGTCGGATTTGATGCCACAAAAAGGCCGAGCCCCTGACGTGAAAGTAGTACACCTTGGGATGTGGCCCGCCGTTGACGCCGGATGCCGCGAATTTGGCATCTTCAAGGTACGGCAGGGCTGAGTGGACGTCCTCAACCTCGACAATGTCCGACTCGAAGATGTACCGAGTAAAGTCGGTGATTTGCTTCGAGGGATCGAGCTTGCAAAGGTTGCGAAAGTCGTGTTCGCCCTCGAACCGCTTGGCCGCGTCGCGCATGGCCTCAATGTCCAGCCACCCCGTCTTGACGCTGCTGCCGCTGCCGCCGTTGCTCATGGACGAGGGAAGCAAAGGCCCCGGCGCAAAGGCCGGCTGGGTGAAAAGGTACCGGTACTGGCGCTCGCGGCACGAGAAGCGGGCGGAGAAGCCGGGCGGCGGCGAGGGGCACCATGCCAAGATGCGGATGTCGCTGGGAAGGATGCGGTTGAGGATCCGCGGGTAGCACAGTTCATCCGCAACATGGTCAAAGGGCTTCGTCTCCGCCTCCTCCTCCTCCTCGGCGGCATCCTCCTCTTTCTCGGCGGCATCCTGCTCGGTGGACGACGGCCCACCTTGATGCCGCTTTACCCGCTTCGTCGGCAGGGGCCTGCTGCTGCGAACCCTGAGCCCGATGACCTGGCCAAAGGCGCTGACTCCGCGGTCTGTCCGCCCGCACTTGGAGTAGTCGCAGCACTCGAACTGGACCACTCTTTCGTCCTCGGGGAAGATGAGGTGGGCCTTGGTCAGGGCGTTCCACAGCTCCTCCTCGATGGACGGCTGGTTGCTCATGGCCGAGTACTCGAACCCGCCGTAGTTCTTCCCCAGGTACGCCAGCTTCAGGGCGATGTAGCGCGACGAGTATCGCGAAGGGTCCATCGGGCGCTCCCCTTTTGGCGGCTTCTTGTTGGTGCGGGGAGCCGGAGCCGCGCCGGCCTCTGGGTCGAGCGCGGCATTCTCTACCTCTGCCTGCTGCGTCGCCGGGCGCCTCTTCAGCTCCTCCTCCAGGTCCCTGAGTCTTTGGATGAGGCCCGTCTTAGTCCAGTTATTGTAGTCGACGTCGCCCGCCATGCTGGCGTAGACTGCCTTGCGCCGCCGCCGCGGAACAGCCGTGGAGGACGAGAACAGGCCAAGGGGTGGCTGAGCCTGGGGTCTGCAGGCTCTGGGAATGGTTCCAACGGAGACACGGCGGACAAGAGTTGGGCGGCAAGGACGCATGTAAGTTTGAACGTTTTGATGCTCTACCAATCAGGCCTTGTTCGATCCGCGACGTCTTTTGGCTCAAGCAAAAAGCAGGCCAACAATGGAGAAATGTGGCTGAGCATTCGATGCGCTGTGGCGCACAAGTACATAGACATGGACCCGCCAGCGCCTAGTCACGGCTTCTTCTCATCTTCCCTACATCCAACCTTCCTCTCCGCCGTTTCGCGGCTGGCGCACTGAAGCAGCACGCAATGGAGCTCGAAAGCGTCAAGCTGCTACTCGTGGGGGATGAGAACTGCGGCAAGACAACCTTTCTATCGTTTGTGGGATCCTGCCGCCAGAGCCTCTCCCTCTCTATTCATCTTGACTGACATTGGTGCCCAGGCGACTCAGTGCAGGCGAGCACATGAATCCAATCCCGCTCCTCCGCGACATTGACCAGCCCTTCATTTTCAATGTCAACCAGGGCACCAAGAGTCATCGCCTAGAATTCCACGACACCTCAAGCCCCGAAAACTGGCGGCTACTGGACCCCGACGTTATCGTCATGTGCTTTGACATCAGCCAGCGCCTGAGTCTCATCAACATGAAACGATATGTGAGTCTTGCCCCGACGCTCCCCCGCACGCCCTGCTGCTAATGATGAACCCCAGTGGATCGACGAGGTGAAGCGGGCTTTTCCGCGCATCGACGGGCTGCCCATTGTGATGCTCGGCCTGAAGCGTGATCTCAGGTCCGAGACGGATCCCAACGGCATCATTTACCCGCAGGAGGCGTACCAACTGGCGCAAACGCTGCGGGTGGATCGCTACGTCGAGTGCTCCGCGGTGACGGGAGAGCTCGTCAAGCCGGCGTTCGAGGACATTTGCAAGACGGCCACCAAGGTGAAGACGGCGGCCGGAGGACAGAGCGAGGGCGGCTGTATCGTGCTCTGAACCGCCGTCACCAAACATACGGCGGCGGGATGCCTCGGCCCATCTCTGTGGTTGCCGACTCAGGCCGTTGCGGCGTCATTCATACTGGCGTCGGCGGCATCGTCAGCTTGCTGAGCCCCGTCGGATTCAAACTGGCCGAGGACTTGGGCAATGACGTCGACGATTTCCTGCTGCTGCTCCTCGGTGAAGCGCTCAGCCATGTCCTCGACGACGGTGTTGAGGGCGACGACGTCGGCAGGGCGAAGGTTGAGGATCATGACGACCTCGCCCTTGGATAGTTCGTAGGGGCGTAGGCCCTCGAGGAGGTGCGAGATGCATTCTGGGCTATAGGTGGACGGGTCCTGGCTCAGGGGATTGGGTCGAGTGCGCAGGTACCCTAGCAACTACCGAGGACTGCTCGTCAGCTCTGTCGGGGCGGATGGACTGGTGGGCGGCTACCTCTCGGACTACCGTTTCCAGATTGGGCGGCCCGCGGCGCTTCCCTTGCTTGTAGCGCTGGCGCTGCTCGGTGAGGTGCTGATAGACCTCGTAGTTTGTGAGGACAGCCGACTGAGACTCGACAATCTTCATGGCTGGTTCTCACGGGCCGATGAGGCGCCTTGCTGGGAAGTGGACACGGATGGTGAGCTTCCACTATCTGAGTGCAAGGAGGAAGAGCGCAGTCGGTCGGCGTCGCGAGCTTTTCATGAGAGCCTATTGCGGGAGTCACTGATGGTTAGTATTACTGCCTAGGCAGGCCAACAGGTCTGACGGAGAGAGAAAGGGTATTCTTAATTGGCACAGTGTATCTGGCCGGGGGATCTGAGGTGATTTTTTCCCCCTCGTCCCGAGAGACATTAGCTGCCAGGTACAGTAGGAAGTACACCTTAGTGGTGCATAAGGTAGGTAGGTACCTTATTCATGTAGTGAAAGAAAAAAGAGGCATGGCGTGCTGCGAGGCTTGGCAGGGCCAATCAGCGTCGAGGTATTGAGGGGCCTTACAGTACGAAGTACAGTGAGCGCGCTGTGGCTGTTACAGCGCATGCTGCTTGATGCATGCACTCGCTGCTGACGACATACTAGTAGAGTTAGCCGCCCTACCCCGCCATGCCGACGCGCTTGTGGTCCGCTAAACTTTGCACTGTACTTTACTTTGCCTGGTGAGTCCATCGAGTCAGAGGCTCCCTAAAAAAATCAAACCACTTCCCCCCTTCGTCTGTCATCGCTTTGCCTCGGTTTCCCGCTCTTCGTTCCGTCTCGGGCCCGTCCGTCACCATGCTGATTCTTTAACATCCCTTCTTCCCCCTCCCATCGTCGCCTTGACCCGAGGCCGCCCGCCATTGTTCGCTGACCAAAGCCAAGTCGGCTTCATCTCCCCACTATTCTCAACGGGTCTGGCGGGGGAAGGGCAGAAGACTGAAAAAACTCTCCTGTACATCTCAAAGCGCCTCTTTCCTCCTCCAAGCCAAGGCCAAGGCTGCCCACGGGTCTCCGAATCCAAGACGACGCGTCGCCATGGTCCGCAACATTGTCCTGCTCGGCGGCAACTCGCACCCGCATCTGACGGAGAGCGTCTGCAACATCCTCTGCATCCCGCCCGGCGACCGCATCCTCGGCAAGTTCTCGGGCGGCGAGAGCCGTTGCGAGATCAAGGACTCGGTTCGCGGCAAAGATGTCTACATCATCCAGTCCGGCTCCGGCTGCGTCAATGACAACCTCATTGACCTGTGTATCATGATCTCGGCCTGCAAGACGGGCTCGGCAAAGCGCGTCACCGCCGTCATCCCCCTCTTCCCCTACTCGCGACAGCCCGACTGGCCCTACAACAAGACGGGCGCCCCGCTGTCCAAGTCCTCCGACGCCCATTTCGCAAAGGACTACACCTTTGAGAGCGTGCCGGCCACGCCTCGCCCCGGCGTCCCCCGCACCAACGGCCTCGGCATCGCAAACGGCGCCCACAGCCTTGCCGAGAAGCTGTCCAAGAGCGTCATCGCCGAGGACGCCCCGGCCGAGTCCAGCTTGCCCAAGCGTTCTGACACCCTCTCCAGCGTCGGCTCCAACGGCCGCCCCGCCTCCTCGCTCACAAACTTCACCACGCACGACTACGAGAACCCCAGCAGCATCTCCGCCTTTCAGCCCAAGCCCGGCTACAAGCAATGGGTTGCGCAGGCCGGCACCCTCATCGCCGATCTCCTCACCTGCGCCGGCGCCGACCACATCATCACCATGGACCTCCACGACCCCCAGTACCAGGGCTTTTTCGACGTCCCCGTCGACAACCTCTACGGCAAGCCCCTGCTGCAAAATTACATCATGAAGCACATTCCCGACTACAAGGAGGCTGTCGTCGTCTCTCCCGACGCCGGCGGCGCCAAGCGAGCCACGGCCATTGCCGACGACCTTGACATTGAGTTTGCTCTCATCCACAAGGTAGTGCGCTTTAACGTTCTGTCGGAACACTGCTCACTTCATTCTAGGAACGCCGTCCCATCAAGTTTACCGAACAGCGCAACGCCAGCATGATGCTCGTTGGCGACATTGCCGACCGCGTCTGCATCCTCGTTGACGATCTTGCGGATACCGCAAACACCATCACTCGCGCCGCCAAGCTGCTCAAGCGCGAGGGCGCAACTCGTGTCTACGCCCTCCTTACCCACGGCATCTTCAGCGGAGATGCCATCCCGCGCCTCAACGCCTCGGCCATTGACAAGATCATTGTCACCAACTCGGTCCCCCAGGAAGAGCACCGCCGCCTGTGCCCCAAATTGGAGGTTCTGGATATAGCCCCCGTCTTTGCCGAGGCCATCCGCCGCGTCCACCACGGCGAGTCCATCAGCAGGCTTTTCCAGCACGGCTAAGGTGGCACGCGGTGGTTGGGTGATTCGGGCCCTGCTTGGTCGCCAGCCCGGTTCCGATTAGATGGTAGTCGTTTTTCGATTGAAGACGAACGGGAGCTTCTAGACATCTCCGGTGGCATTTTTGTCTCTCATTTCTTCCCCTCTTTTTGTTGTCTGCCTGACGTTCCTCTTCTGCTTGGACATCCGTCTGAGCTTGCCCAACAGGCAAGAGACAACAAGCTGCAGCAACTGCTACAGGAAACAATGATTTTGTGGAGTTTTGCACGGCGGAGCTTTGTCGATTTTGGCCCGGCCTTGGGTATGTTTTGCATCTGCATCTGACTTCTGAACGCTTATTGCTGCGGGCCTGAGAAGGACTGCTTGAGTAGAGATGTTATTAGGGAAAACAAGAAAAAGGAGGAGAGCCGGCCGGCCGGATAGGATATCTGGTGGCGAGTGTCCGCAGCCAACCGAGCTGTTTTCGTCGTTTTTTCGTTCACTCTTCCTCTGACCCTCGCAATTCTTCTCTCTCTTGCCGCCTATATGCAGCCCATGACATGATATTCCGCCTCGGAGTAGCAGGCTTTGTATCTTGGCAATCTAGAGGGAGTAATTGGACCGTAGAACCTGAACATTGGATAGAGCGTCCGGATTCTGGCTCGTGTACTATAAAATCAGGGAAAAGGAAACAGACGCGCATAGGTGCTGGCTGGCTGCGGCAAAGACTGCCCTCGGCGTCGCCGATTTGACGCTCGGATTGACGGAGGAAAGGGGCATGCTATGGATGCCCATTAATCTCTGATCTATTTGATACAAAGTACGAATACATGGTGATTTCTTTTTGGCCCCTTATGCCTGCTTTGCTTCCCTTCCTACGCATACCCTTTTCATCTTCCCCTCGCGTTCGTACGACATGAATCGTTCGGCCACGACCTCATGGCAATTCATCTGGTCCAGTCAGACAGCTCGTGCTCCCCGTGACGGTTTAACAAGAAGAGGGTGCCAAATAGTACAAAATAAAGCTTGTCGTCGTCTCTCACTAGTGCGCCGTGCTCGTCGCAACACACTTTCTCGCTTCATCTGACCCTCCTTCAGCCGTATTCACTCCCAGCTCATGGCGGCAATTTGCTCGAGATCCACGGGAACTTTCCAGCCGTGCGCGGTGGCCGCCCGCTTATACGCCGCGGCGGCCTCGGCCATGCCATAGTCGGCGTTGCGCATCGACTCGCGGTCGTCGAGCCGGGCAGGCGGGTCGAGCTCGCACAGGCCCAGGCGCACCTGGAGCAGCACCTTCTCCATGGTAAGCGCCGGGGACCAACCCGAGTTGGTGAGGAGCTCGGAGCAGATGGCGCCGCCCGCGGTGACGTGACCGCCGCCGCCGCGGGCAAAGGACAGCAGCCGGGGTCGCACGACGCGCACAAAGGGCGGGGACAGGGGGAAGCCGGCGCCGAAGCGCACCTCGAGCACGATGCTGGCGCGGCCCAGGCGCGCCATGTCTTGAGCCAGCGGCAGGGCGGCGTCGAAGCTGTGGAGCTCGACGATCCAGTGGAACAGGTTGTCCATCTTGTCCATGTTGATGTACCAGCCCAGGTTGTGGACCGGGCTCTGCGATTGCGTCTTGTGCAGGTCCTTGACTTCCCTGGTCAATGCGTGCAGGGCGTGGGGGGACGAGCCGGCCCACGAGGGGGGCGGCAGCTTCGGCAGGGAGTCGTGGTCAAGCGCCCCGGGGCGGAATTCCGATGCGCTCTTGTGCCCATGGCGATCATCGGTCGCTGAGCCACCATTGTCCAAAGCTGCGCCATTTGCCGCAGGGAAACCGTCATCGGGTGACTTGCTAAAGGCCGACATTTGAGGTCGCTCGAAACCCTGAGGTCCTCCTTCTGATTCATCGTCAGGGATATTCAGGAGCTCGAGATCATCTCCTTCGACGTCGTCATCCGTAGCCTCATCAGCCTCTTCACTCTTCTTAGGTTCCTCGCTCGACCCCACTTTGGCCGACGTGAGCAGGCCAGCACGTCGGCAGACCGGGATTGCCGCTAGCGGAACCTCAAAAAGCTCATCATGCGATCCGAGTAGTCTAGCCATGGGGTCCTGCGGGACGTAGCCCTCCGAGACCTTGTTTCGCCGACCCGGGAACGGCTCCTTGAGCGCCTTGGGCGTTGGCTGCACCTCGACGTACAGATATCGGCACTGGATCCATTGGATCTGGTTAACAACGTAGTGCGGGGACTTGGAGACAAACTGGTCCGGTCGGTTGACAATCTCGCAGAGACTGAGAGCTCGTGAAGGCCGCAACTGAGAGTTGTGCCAACAGGTCGACTATTCGAAGCAGAGTTAGCACCCAAAAAGAATCCTGTGTGCAATAAAGCACCTACCATAGCAAAGCTGGCAGAATCAATATCGGGTTTCGAGATGATCCCGGCGTAACCGCTACTGACAGCCATGTGACGGCTCATGTAGACGCCGTTGCCGTATGACCGTCCGTTTGCGATTGTTTCGAAGTCGAGACCCGTGCGAATAATGCTATGCCAGTTTCCGAGAGAGCTGCCGTGCCACGCAAAGAGGCTCGGGAACTCTTGCTTCTTCCCTTTGCTGTCAACAGTATGCTTGTCGAGTTCTTGAGAAAATTGGTGCTCCTTGTCCGGCGAGCCCTGGGCAAATCGAAATTGCAAGTACTTAGCCACCGGTTCGTCACCACGCGTTGTCTCCCATGCTGGCTTTTTTCCTGTGGACGGCGCTTTCTTCGGGTCAGTAACTGGCTGATCCTGAACAATGTGCGATCTGTTTGAGGCCAGAATCCATTCCAAGAGCACGAGAGAAGACCGGCTCGTCCGGGTCCACGAAGACAACTGCCTACCGGGTCCGTTCAGCAGATATGCTCTCATGTCCAGAACTGGGGGAATGCATGACAAGATCAAAGTCAGTAGCGCATTCCGTTGCCGGCCGGAAAATCGGTCAAGGTCATGGACAAATGGAAAGATGAAGGCTTTTGTCCAGCCAGTCTCGGGCCCAGTGCCGTTTTGTTGCAGCTGTGGCAAGTTTGGCCAGATATCGCCGGTCGGCTCAGAGAACTTGCACATGATCTCGAGAATACACTCGTGCTGCGTCACTTTTGTGACCAGGCACAAATGGCCACTCACCGCTAGAGTATTGTTAGAATCGTGAGCACCTGCGCAAGGCCAGTGTGTCCATCAACCAAGTAAAGCAGAAAATGACACCCTTACTTGACTTGGTTGAAGGATCCGTTTACTCGACTTGGTTTACTCGAAGAAATGGCTGTGCTTTACTTGGTTGGTTGACATTACTTGACTCCGGGAGCCGATTTGCTTGAGTGATCTCTATATCTTGTCCGCCTGTGACCTTGGGACGAGGGGAAAAAAAGTGCTCCTCGAGCATGACTACGATAGCATGCCAGATCGAAGTAGGTGCTTTTGGCATTCGATAGCTGCCACGGTGTTGGAGCTGAGGCGATTCCGCTCATCCGTGATGACCTTTTTGGTCTGAGAGAAAACCCGCTCACATTCAGCACTCATTGCTGGACAAGTGAACAAGTCGAAAGCCATTTGCGACAGAACTGGGTAGTCTGCCGCATGACAGATCCACCATTGCAAGGGATCTTCGACTTCCGAATCAGCCTTGTTATTCCTAGCCATAAACTCGTCGAGCTCAGAAGTTAGTCTCGCTCTTTTCCTCCTTCCCTTGCCGGACGCCGCAAGCTCAGCCAGCATCTGTCGGCGTTTGCGAGCTTCCTGGAGTGGGTCAAGGGCGACGAGATCATCGCCAGCCTTATCAGCGACGACTTCTCCTAGGGCCAGCGACGAAGCCTCCTCATGGTCCGCAGCGTCCGCTTCCATGTATGCGTCTTCGTATTCTGCGAAAACTTCTTGAACCACGCTCTTTGCCTCACTGATCCACTGCTTGTTGTGACTCCACTCAAGTTCGAAGTAAGCAAACTTATTCGCCGGATGCAATGCGACAGCGCACCGATAAGCTGGGGTGGCATCGGTAAGGCCGAAGTACTCTTCTAGCTTGATGCGAGCAGCATCGATTGCGTGGGAATAATACGTTGAAACCACGTCGGGATGGTCATCGGCAAATCTTCCGGCCTCTTGGAGCTTTTGAAGAGGACATCGAATGATTCAATTGTTTCATGAAGGAGCCATGTGATCCTTCCAGGCCAGCTTTGTTGGCTCGGCCCTCCATGCGTTTTGTCAGATCTTTGAAAGGCTTCAAGATGTCGAGAAAATGGTGCAAGTCAATCCAATCTTGTGGGGTTAGTACGTCTTGCGAAATGTCGTACCCTACGCCACCGTAGCAATAGTTGAGGAAGAACAGATCAATCGCATGACGGAGCTTGACCGCCCTCTGAATCATTGCATATGCAGAGTTCCAGCGGATTCCGCCGTCGACCAGGACTCTAGTGTAGAGCAGTTCAATGCTGCCTTCCTCGTAAGCCTGCAAAATATACCGTTTCAGCTGCTCCCGCCTTTGGTCACTTCTGTTTACCCAAACACAGAAATTGTGAAGTTTACCGACGAAGCTATGCTTTCTCCAGATTTCAAAACGCTCCACTTCAGACGCGCCGCAAAGCTGTTTCTCCAACTTGCCGACACCCTACCCAAAGAGAAGGGCTTTGACGATTAGGTTGAGCATATGGCCGACGCAGCGCAGGCGACTCTGAGGCTTGATGACAGGATAGCGCTTCGCCAGCTCTCGAATGCAAGTGTCGTTACTACTTGCGTTGTCCATCATGAAGAAACCAACGTTCTGACCGATCTCGTATGACCCCATGACCGCTGCAAGGACTTTGGCGATATTCTCGCCAGTGTGGGGGCCCTTCAAAACTGGCAAATCCAGCAAAGCCGTTTGCAGCTTGTATGCAGCGTCTAGAAAGTGAGAAACTATAGCCAAATAGTTGGTACCTTCTTCAGATGTCCAAGCATCTGTCGAGACGTGGATCTTGCTTTTGGACAGGCGGAGCTGTTCTTTCAGCCAGGCGCGCCTGCCGTTGTCACCGAACCATTTTCGCTGACCCAACTGCTCAGCGCTGACGGGCTTTTCGGCAAAACTTTGTCGATGTCTTCCAGGCACAATGCAAATATTTCATTTGTTCGTCGGTGAGTCGCTTGGCGGAAAGTCAAATCAAGATCAATGACCCAGTCGGCAAAATGACTTCGAAACTGGAGGTCATTGAACACCATGCGTCGGCTCCCCAAGTACGACGCGGCCTTGGTGGCTCCTTGAGAGATGCTGAAGGGGTCGGACCCTGCCACTTTGTAACCGAACTCGGCAAGTTTGTGGTGGTGCCTAAGGTGATAGATGATGCTCGTCGTACTCTCGCTGGCAAAGAGCGCTGTGTCGTGACGTCCGCTTACATGGCAATATTTGCAGAGCCAGTACTTGTTGTCGCCGTCTGTCGTGAGTTGCGCACCGTGTTTGTAGATTATCGATGGTTGCGCCTTCGAGTTCATTGCGCGCTTGTGAGGCTGACGATATCGTATGGTGGCCAACGGTTTTCTGTCGTAACGAATCTTCTCCCAAGATATAGGGAAAACGCATTGCGATGCCTTTGGCAAGTCCCTTTCATGGGAGATGCTTGGCTCGTCGGGGACCGACTGGGAAGGCGTCTTGGGAGGCGTGACGTGCCCGAGATGATTGCAAGGATCGAAAGCTGAGTGAGAGGGCATTGCTGGCTTCCTCAGCGTTGAACAGTTTCTGCAGGATGTTGATGAATCAGGCACGAAGAAAGTAACTGTAATCACCAAGCTCAATCGGCGAGAGGAAAGGGGTTCGTCCACTTTCATGACATGGGTATCACGAAATTGCCTGAAATCAACGCTAGTCAGGTACCGGTAACTCGGAGTAAACCCGAGTAATGCAGAAAGCTTTACTTTTGCTTGGTCGGAGAGATCGTTACTCGTGATTGACTGTTATGTAATCAACCAACTTCAAGCAACCAAGTCAAGTTACTTGATTGATGGACACACTGCGCAAGGCTTGGTGACGGTCGTCTGGGGGGAGAAGGGGAAGAAGAACTCACTCCTGACATCCGATGTGAATAGAGCAACAAAATCACCAGATTTGATGGCCTGGTGTGCCTCGCTGTGGTCCGGTCGGATGCGAATCGTGTTGTCCTTGAGTTGAACCTGGGCGGCGATGCTTTTGGCTGGCTCCTGGAAGTCGGGTACCTTGAGCGGGAGGCCTGTCGGGAACTCGCGAAGCCGATCATTCCAGACAGCGGAATAGAAGAAGGAAATGAGAAGATCGACGACGTGCGGGCTGTTGATGATTTCGTGCTCGACGCTCGGGCCAAAGCCCAGAGAGAGATACTGGTACAGACACAGAGGCTTGGCGCAGACGTACGGCTTCAGCGAGCCAGGTCCGTGGTCGAGTTTCCCGTAGCAGACCATGCAGAACTCGGTGCAACGCACAAACTGCCGAAGCGCAACTTGCATGGCAACCAAAGGAATGCTGAAGTGCTCCTCACAGTCGACTGCGAAGTCTTTACCCAGAAGGGTGGGAGCCCGCGGGCCAATGATTGCTTCATCTGCACGATCGCCCCGGCTTGTGGGATCCCGAAAGGCAGAGCCCTGCTCCATTGCTTGCATCGCCTCTTGTGCCGCGGTCCAAGAAAGCCCATGGCCTCTGCGGAGAGCGATCAATCTGTGAAGACACTGATTCAGCAGGCGATTGATGGAGGCGGACATGCAAGTCGGCAGGAAGCCGGAGGAGTCGAAGATGCAGTTGTCGGTCTCGCCCGGGTTACTTTCCGTGTATCGACTTCCAACGATGGGGCAAACTGAGTCCATGGACGGCTTGGCAGCTGCGCATTTGCCAAATCGAAAACGGACAAGCTCCTGTTCGGCAGAGAGCTCGAGATACTGAGACAGGGAAGGCAATCCTCGGCCCACGCGGACAAGAAGAATTAAATGTTCGTTTACCTTGAGGTCCCACGCCTCCAGAGTGTCGTCGGGAAGCCCGAGCTGCGAGACTCGGATGGAGAGCGAGACGGCTTCGGGCATCCGCGCTGGCACGGCCGGGAAAAGGCCAAGACATAGTCCCGCTGACTGAGTCTCTTGTAGAGACTTCTTCAGCATTTCGATGCGGTGGCGGTCAACGAGAGTGCCAAAGGGATCCGCAGGCGTCATTTGAATGTCGGCCTCATCATCAAGCTCGTCGTCCATGTTTGTGTCCGAAAAGAAATCGTCGTCAATATCGAGGCCATCAAAGCCCTCTGACTCGGAGCTTTGGGCGCCAGACTCCATTTTGGTGGCGAGCCTGTTGGAGACGAGCAAAACAATGTCGCCAACGGTGCTGTTGCGAGGGATCCGAGCAGAAAGAGCTTGGAGGAAGTCGGCAAGTTTTGTCGTTTGAAGGCTGTCTGAGGAGGTCAAGACCATGAACTTTGCATCGGTCAGATAGTCGGCGACATCTGGATCCCGGTAAGCTTACTGTTGATAAAGGCGAGGGTCGACGACGGGAACTGACCATGAATGACGAATTCCACGTCGACGGGGCTCTCCAGATCCGGGTGGGCAAAGGTGAATGCGATGCTATCGTTCAATTCGCCCTTGCGGATGTTGGAGACGTTGTCGAACTGGGCCCTTTTGGCGAGGGCCAGGTCGTGGTAAAACCTCTTGAGGCTCATGTCGGCTGAATAGAGCGCCACAAGGGCGCGCGACGGGCGTGCCACGGAAGGATTCTGGGCCGGACTCTGCCGCCTCAAGCTCACGAACTCGAAGAGGAGATGGGAAACATGAGAAAACTATGCACATGGGCAGGGTATGTTTGGGAGAAGGCGTCACGAGGCGGACAAGTGCAGGAGATGAGCAGGGGACAGCCAGGTGTTGTGGCTGGCTTGTGTCTGTCGGTTGGCAGACAGCCTGACGGTTGACAGCTGGCGACGTGATTGGAGGACAGGTGGCAACGACTGCCTGAATGCCTGGCGGCAGGACTTGTTCAGTCCATGACGGCATTGCGATGGATTACCGCTGGTGACGGCGCCACGGGCTTGACCGGCGGTCCCGCCGCGGGTTTTGGTCGTGGCAATTGATGATGCACGTGTCGTAGAGGCGACGACCAGCTCGATGGCCAGGCCGGGCGACTTGGGGATGGCATTTGGGAGGGAAGTGCCCCTGGACGATCAGACCGAAGACGAGGAGGCTTCTCAAGGGCGCGTCCTATCCACCCAATTAGGATTATGTAGAGGTTTTGGCTGGATGCACGCGACACGTACAGGTGAAGAGGATGCCGAGGACGTTTGGCATGCATCTTTTCCGCTCCAAGGGTACCTCCTACACATGCCTCTCTTCCAACTCGCATTTGATACTGCTGTCCGAGAGCTTCCCGAGGGAAGAAGAGTCGCTGAAGGAGTGGGTGCTGAGGCAAGGTACTGTAGTTACTGTCGACGAAGGGTTTATTAGTGGGTTGGCGGGGTCTTTCCACTTTGGGACAAGTCTCCGCTGCATCAGCCCGCCCGCCGCTTGAGCCAAAAAGACGAAGAAAGGGGCTCAAACCCCTCGTCCACCCAATCCAATCCTCCACTCAGCCACACCCACCAAAGGGGGGGGGGGGCCAGGATTGGCAAAAAAAGATATCCTGTGCTCCCGGGGAGGCTCGAACTCACGACCTTTGGATTACTCAGGCGTTAAAACGCTTGATCATAGAAATATGAGACCAACGCTCTGGCCAACTGAGCTACGGAAGCAGACTGGATTCACTCTCAGGTTAAGAAATAGCCAATTATTGTGGTATATGATTGAATTACATGAGGAAGAGCTAGTCCTCCTGGGGCTTGGGCAAAGCTGGGCTCACGCCGAGGCGAGGAATCAAGAGCACTGAGCAGCTAAGTATACGGGCTTCAAACATGCGAGCAATTTTAGGCCAAGCGCGGCATTCGTGCGCGACAATGCCAGACAGGCATGTCCGACGAGGCGCGCATAATACCAAGACGCCATCACGGGACTGGGGCGTAGTGACCTATAGGGGCGCCAGGCCCCGCACGAAGTCGGGGTCGAGAATCATTCCAGGGGTTCAGGCCCGAGTGCCGGAGGGAGCGGCGAGACAAGACGGCCGTGTTGATTGGCTTTGCAGTATCCCGCTTGGGGGGGTCGCTAATCTCGCGGGAGGCATGGCGCCAGCATGGTACCTGGACTCGCCTGACAGCTCTGACCAAACGGCTGGGTCCCCCGGAGTACGTTACCTCGCTCAAATTGACTGGCATTGGCCGAGGTGGTGACTTTTCCTCCCTCGGCCTCAGACTCCCACCTCCCATATCTTGCACTCCCGTCCGCATTCCCCTCCCTCATGTGGTGCTCCTCTGCCAACACACGCACTCCTCGTCCCGGTCAAAGGCTGGACGAGCGGGCAATTGGAGACTGTCCATGATGCCCGTTTCTTGCCCTTCTCCATCGCCAACATGCCCAAGCAACACACTCTCTTCGGACGCCCGATTCCGCGCTTCACCGCCCGCCGCCTGGCCTCGCTGCTGCTCTGTCTCTCCCTGCTCGCCATCACCCTCATCGCCCTCGTCACCGGCGCCGTCCTGTCGTCTCCGGCCAGAGTCGCCTACCACAGCAACATCGCCGCCCCGCGCAGCAGCGACGCCCGTTCCCAGACAGTCCTGACTCCCTTCCGCCCGCTCTCCCATCGCCCTCCTCGCCAAAACGACGACGAATACGCCGGCGCCTCGTGGTGGGCCGACTGGAAATGGCTCTCGGTGCCCTTTTCCAGCTCCCTTACCTTCGACAACGACCGGGCCCTGCTTCCCCCGCTCACCCCGCGCCAGCCCATCTATTGCTACTACGATGCTGCCGCCAACAAGCCCCTTGAGGAGAAGCATGCCGAGAGCGAGCTGCTCTTGACCTGGCGCCGCGCCTGGTGGGCCAGAGGCTTCCGGCCCCTCATATTGAGCCCCGCAGAGGCCATGCAGCATCCTAGCTACGCCCGGCTGAAGCGGCTCGACATGGAGCCGGCCGTCAGAAAGGATCTCACGAGGTGGCTTGCCTGGCACACAGTGGGTGGAGGCATTCTGGCGCATTACACTCTGCTACCGACTGCCACAGACGATAATCCAGCGCTGTCGTCGCTCCGCCGCGGCGAGTTTCCGTACCTCACGCGTTGGAAGGACTTGGGCGATGCTCTCCTTGTTGGCCAAGAAGACGACGTCGGTGCCGTCATAGAGCACGCCATACAGCCTGCCAAGTTGAGGATGCTCGAGACCGGCATGACGGATCTGCCGGGCGGCCTCATCGAGATCGACAAGACCCCTGCTCCATTAGCATCTTACACGCAAAGTGTCGTGGGAAAAAAGTACCCCAAAGTCGCCCTTGACTTCAAGAAAGGCCGCGCTCGAGGTCTCCGCAGCTTGAACAAGCTCATCACGACCCATCTCCACATCTTCTGGCAGAACCGGTTCCCCGAAGGCATCGAGGTCCTCAAGCCCCACCCGGAACACACGACCGCAATGATTAGACGCGCCGTCAAGCTCGCCCTGCAGCTCGCCTCCTGCTCCGAAAGCCCCATGCCGTCGACATGCCCGCCAAACCATCCCCGCTGTGCGCCGTGCGTTGCCACGGCCCCAATGCGGGTGTCGACCCCCGCGAGGTACCGCAACTCGAGAAAGGTCTTTAGCATCGGCACAGTGCCGCATCCTTGGACATTCGCACTGCTCGACAACCTGCAAGAGTCATTCAACATCTCGTGGATCCGTCGCGAGTCGGCGCGCGATCCTTGGCTCACGGCCGTTACCCAAGCCCTCCTCGGCGCAGGCGCTTCGGGGAATCGGCGCGTCATGTCCCTGAAGGAGGCCATTGCCGGCGAGCACGCTACCTCACGCTCTCTCTGGCTGGTGGCGGAGAATGAGATGCCGGTCGACATCAGTTGGTATTTTGGCTTCGCCGTTCCCGAGCATGGCATGGATCAGGGGAAATCTGAAAGTCCTGTTCCAGCAGTTCGGCTCATGAGGAAGAAGGCAAAAGCACACCAACCTGGCAACGGCCCGGTGGCGTCAAAGGGAGACCTTGCCCTAGAGGCGCCTCTGCTGGAGCGAGCGAGGCATGTGGTGGCGCAGACCAAGGCAACCGAGGAGACCCGGATGCGCGCCTCGCTAGAGGCCTGGAACATGGCCGACACCGAGACGTGGAAGTTTGTGCGGGCGTTTCAGGCTCGGAATGCCAAGGAAAAAGACAAGTGGGAGATGGAGGAGGCCAAATTTGGCAGCGGCGCAGGAACGGAAAAGTTTGGCCAAAGGAGGGGCGACGGCGTTGCCGAGAAGACGAGAGGCGCCTAGAGCATTGACGTGGTTTACTCTGTACTGGTTTGAATAGGAGGCGTTTGTGGTTCTTGAGCGGTCCGTTTATCATGTTCATCTTCAGCCTCACCTGTTACGTTGTGTTTTCTCTGCGGGGTGGCGCGCGGGTGTTGCTGTCGGATGTTATCTCGGAGTGTTTGGGTGCATGGAGCAGACAAGGAGTCTGCCACTGTGGCAGAGGCTGGAGAGATGTTGATACCTTGTAATGTTTGAAAGAAGATGGCCTGCTTACTACGATGCCTGTGCAGAGGGGGGGATCCCGGTGAACGCGAGCTTCCCATTCTTGAACTTGGGCCCTCGCTGAACCTAACCAGTTTCCTTGACAAGCCCGGCGGCCGGGGTTTCCCAACAACACACGTGTCAGCTGAGAGGAGAGTTTGGTCCGATGCAGGACGACTCGAAAATGAGGTGTCGACTGTGGAACCGGGGAGTTGGCCGCCGACTCTCGGTAGATAGTCGGTGCAGTCATAGACCCGAGCCCGAATTAAGCATGAACAATGCCCGTACAAACCAACATTTTGCTCACGTCGGCCCCTGCTATTGGCTCGTTGGACGATTCCTCGCCACGTGGGCTTGCAGGACGGGCCAGCACAGCTGGACATTCAGACGAGGATTCGTAGGTAGAATGAGGAGAAATGATGACTGTTTTGAAAATCACGCCCGCTGCTGAGTGGCTAGCTCGCAGCTCTTGGGACCCCGGGTAGGCGGCAAGCCAAGGATCCTATGCTTATGGCCCCGGATGGCGGTGAGCCATGGTCTGCGTGCCTTTCATGTCCTCTATGAGCAGGATTCCTGGTGGAGAGCACAAGCCCGTCAACCGCCAAGCACCAGGCTCCCAGGCTCGAGTTCACCCTTCGAGGAAAACACCAAGCATCATGGTGATGTTTACCGCCAGCTCAGCTGAGCCTTGGGTTGCTAATAAAAGCACTGGCCGGGCTGACGGTATTGCTTCTGGCCCACGAGGCTAAGAGATAGCTTCCGCATAGGGCATGCACTTCGGCCCATGAAGCTCTTGCAAGAGACTACAGGGTGAGTCCAAATATAGAGTCGAACTCGTGATGCAAGACAGAAGCCCGATGGAAAGAAATCCCTCAGGGCTGCCAGCTTCGATGACCGCGGGGAAAAGACTCGCTCGACTGCTTGTCTCTACCCGTCAAAGCACAGCGCTTTAAGTTTGACCACCAAAGGTCACGCCGCCTTGCGCTTTCCATGCCCTTTTTCTCGTCAATAAGTGGCGCGATAAGGGGTTGATTTGCAGCATCAATCCGGGCTGGACTCTTCACTCTACTCGTACTGTAAAAGTCATGCACTCATCGCTCAAGCCTTGCTTGCTTCCCTCTCCCCTTTCCCATTTCTCTTTCCTTGCCTCTCTCGACCCCCCCTGCCCCCCTGCCTCGGCTCTCGATCTGGAGTCTCGAGACGCTTGGCTCCCCAACCCCCTCCGCGGCTGAAGCGCACCGCCGGCTCGTCGGGCATCTATTTTAAGCCCGGGGACGGCTGCTCGCTTGCAGGGGGGTTCGAGGCCGCAGGTGTTGATACAGGCGCAGCACTAACTAACATTGGGTGCTTACTCCCCTTGCCACGGCAAATTTTCTAGCCAGGGGGGGCCATGTCTAGAAAAAGCAATATTTGCCTGAACCATGTCGTTCTATTGGGCAGAGCTCAACCGAGCATGTGGTAGTTAAAAGGCCAAGGCCGACCTTCCCCGCCCTGTCCCCTGTAAGCCGACCATGGCCCCGCATATCGAATTCCTCCCAGTCGGCTTGGCTTTGGAGTAATGGTTGCCTCTACCGGTATACCCAAGGCGACCACGGCCACTTTGACTCTTGTAATTTTGATAATTCGAACAAAATACACTCATAGCCACCACTGATCCCTGACGCCTGAAACACGCATGACCAGCTCTAACTGATTTTTCAAAAACCCCGTGATACGCTTTCCGATGGTGCTGCTTGGATAGAAAGCTACAAGAAAGTCAATTGGTCGGCTTGACGACCGTACGACGCAAAGCGTGGGGGGGGAGGTCGGCTTACAGGGGGAAGGGGGAGGGGAGAGGTCGACTTGTTCATGCTCTCTGAGCTCAGAGCTGAGCTCCCCAAGCGTTGACTAGCAGCGAATGGCCACTTGTTGATGTGGTCTGCCCGGCCAGGTCGTTGAATCCCACAGACGCAAGGCGCTGGAGCCGGACCCAACCGACTCCGAGGCAATCAGCCGCGCAAAAAGGAAAAAGTGAGCGCTTGAGCCACAGGCCCGTCTCGTTCCCTCCTCCTCCGTCCAACCAACAACCCCTGTCTGCCCATGTAGGCGTGCGGCGGCGGGCTTGTAACAGCTCGAGGCTCAAGTTGCACCTTCTTCGTCTCTTTCCCTCCTTGTCTGTCCAATCAACCCCTGTCTGGCCATGGAGGCATGCGGCAGCGGGCTCGCGGCTCAAGTTGCGTCTGTTGAGGTGCATCGTCGTCGTACAGCCCCTGAATGCAGCCCATTTTCTGTCAAGCAACGGTCCAAGCTCTCGGAACCAAGTCCATTTCGAGGCCATAACTACGGAGTAGCTGCCACATCAATCCAAGGTTCGGTTGGCAAACATGAGCAGTGATTGTGTGCATGCCGTTCGCCAGCCCTATCTGGCTGGGCCCGTCTAAGCTCGGCACGGTAAGGCGCCTCATATCAATCCATGGGCATGAGATGATAGTAGGGGTCTCGGAGTGGCACATCCTACCATCGCCGACTGGAGACCCAGACAGCTGTCCTGGCCAAAAGAAAGGAGTCGCATATGGATATTTCCTAGCGGCTCTCGCCATGTACGATTCAGCAAGTGAGCAAAAGAAAGCGTCGAGCTGCCAAGGCCCATGTTGGGTGCATTTCCACTCGCTGTCCGCCTAATAGTCTCTCTTTTGGTACCTTGTTGACCTTGTGTCTGACTTGACCTCGTTTTCGCTTTTCTTGGAGATGCCACCGGATCCTCGGAGCGCGGATAGGCGCGCTCTAGACCCAAGCTGAAGCTCGTGTTTGTCCAGCCCAACACAAGCATACAGCTTCACCACGATGCACGCAGCCGCGCCCAGGGGCCCTTGAACGGGCCCATGACCCCTGCCGCCGACCAGCCGTAAGGCCTCGACCTAGAATCGACGCCGAGATGATTCCCTCGGTGGCTCTCTCGAGTTCAACCTTGCTCCAGCTCCGGGCCATGGGGAATCTTCTATATAAGCCCAGCTCGTCGTCCCCTCGAAGCATCTCTTTCTCCCATCCTCATCAGCCACCGATTCCTTCTCCCACCTACCTTCTACTTTCAGCCCTCAACAACGGCACCTCGCGGCTGCTCCCATCGCTCTCTCTCATCCACCCTTTTACATAGCCCAACACTCGCCCGCCATGCTTCTCAAGCATTTCCTCCTCACTGCCCTCTTCTCCCTCGGCTCCGTCACAGCCAACCCTGAGGCCAACCCCGACAACGTCGAGGTCGATGCCCGGGACGTCGAGGTCGAGGCCAGGGGCTTCGACAGTGACTTTGACTCGCGCTCCGACATCCGCCGCCCCAACTGCGGCCGGGATGCCTTGTGGGACCAGTGGAAGAAGCAGTGCCTCTGCAACAAGCGCGACCAAAAGTACGACCAGCACAGCAAGAAGTGCTACTGCCCCGACGGCAAGAGCTGGAACGGGCGCCGGTGCGAGTACTCTTGCGGCCGTGACGCCTCCTGGAACGAGAGGTCCAACAAGTGCGTCTGCCACAAGCAGGGCATGAAGTTTGACTCGTTCAGCAAGAAGTGCGACTGTTCCGGTGGCCGGGTGTGGAACGGTCGCAAGTGCGAGTACAGCTGCGGCCGCGATGCCTCTTGGAACGACAGGTCCAACAAGTGCGTCTGCCACAAGCATGGCATGAAGTTTGACGTGGACAACAAGAAGTGCTACTGCACCGGCGGCCAGGTCTGGAACGGCCGCAAGTGCGAGTACAGCTGTGGCCGCGACGCTTCCTGGAACCACAGGTCTAACAAGTGCGTCTGCCACAAGCATGGCATGAAGTTTGACGTGGAAAACAAGAAGTGCTACTGCACCGGCGGCCAGGTCTGGAACGGCCACGAATGCAAGCATGACTGCGGCAAGGATGCCCTCTTCCACCACAAGTTCGGCAAGTGTGTCTGCCACAACCATAACCTCGACTACAACCGCCACAACAAGCGCTGCGAGTGCCCCCAGGGCAAGTCGGTTGACCGTCATACCGGCAAGTGCTACCGCAAGTAATTGCGGGAGCCGGCCACGACCGTCACAGACTCGCCACGCCAGAGCCCAGGATCCGCCTCAAGCTGCCTGGGGATACGAAAAGCGAATAGCGATATCACATGAATCTGGAAGAGCGTAGCATACATACTCTTTGGCGGATGCTGCTGCTGGAGGTGGCAATATTGGGTGCTTGATTCTTGTTTTCTACTTCTAGATTCTTCGAGCTCGACTTGAAATAAACTCAGACTCTCGGCCAGCTGGTCGAGAGTGAAAGCCTGTTGCCTCTCTTGGTGATGTTTTCGTCATCACACTGCACTCTGTGGATGGTAGTTGCTCATGATGATGCAGTTGCTTGCGCTGTTCCCACGTTGCAACTTGCAAGCAATTTGAAAGCGCTGGTCAGGACTCAGGACTCAGGGGGGGTAGACGCTGCTGCACCGTGACAGAGAAGCAAACAGTTTTGCAGACTTATAGTGCAACGGTGCATCCATGAGCAACCAAGTGGCATGTTGGAGTTGCTGATGCCACGATGCTTCAAGCGGGAGGCTTCATGTGCACCGAAGGAAACTGCAACCAGCTTCCAGAGTACAGACTATACAGAGTAACTTACAGGCAGGCACGCTAATGTAGTCTGTACGCGCACTCGCACAGTGAATGTCCCACGTGCTCAGTCAGCTGACTGGAGCGCCAACCTCGACCGCCTCCTTTTTGCACCTCACTGGTTTGTTCAGCACACTTCTAGCAATTCGCTTTGCTTCGCCAACATCTCACTTCATAGATGTAAACCAACTTGAGAGCCTGCCTTGCGCAGTCTGCCAAGATACCCTGTGGCCTGTGCCAAGTTGCCTTGGCAACCCGACAGTTCCAGTTCCACCACGGGGCGCATTCGAACCACGAGCGATGGTGCTGATCAAGTCCCTGGCCGAGAGCAGTGCGCGCGAAGGGGCCAGCTTCCACGGGTGAGACCTGTGAGGTCTGCTCAGGCGACTGTGTATTGTGTGTGTGCGTGTGTGTGCGCGTGTGCGCGTGTTAGACTTAGAGTCATTCAGACCCTTTGCAGGGCATCCAGGGCCCGAGGTCTACCGACAGCCCTGTTGCAGCGATTGCCTGCGGTATTTGGCTCCCGTTATAGCGATGGTCCCCTGAGGCCGGCAATCATGAGCACCAGCTGCCTGCCAGCTGCCCGTCTGGTAAAGCAGGTGCCTAGTAGGTACTTGGCTACCTGTCAAGCAAGGCCTTCCTGATACAGGCAGGGCCCTCAGGGGAATTTGCTCTTGCTGCACCCTGAGCTGCCTTCCTTCTTCCGTCCAATAAACATCGCACGCCCTCTTTCTCTCCTCTGCGTGCTTTCCTCTTCGTCCCTCGTCGCCGTCCCTCGCCTCATCGACAGCTTTCCATCGCCACGAACCAATCCACGGACCCGGACCAACCCAGCTCGCTACGCCTTCCTCGGCATCCTCCTCCAGCATCATCTCGACGTCACGACACCGCCCTCGCATATCTTTGCTGCACACAGCCAGGTCAAGCGAAGCGCCCTTGACGGGCTGGGCTTCCCCGTCCAGGTCCGCTTGCTCCCTCCCGCCTCCTTGCCCTCGCCATCGCCTGCCTTGGTCCTTGACCTCCGGCTGCGGCTCAAGACTTCGTCCGGCGCCTTGCCCTCTCCCTGATCTCACCAGACTCATCCTCTGCTTCTGCACGCTTTTGGTCTCCTCGTCCCACACTGCTCCCGCTGCGGCTCCTTTGGCCAACCATCGAACCAGTCAGTCGCCCTACTCGTCCTCTTCGCCACCCACTGTCTCCCATCTTTCCCATTGGAAGCCTCATCGGGGCTTGATATGAATACAGGTCGCTGATTGCTCTCTCTCGCCACTGCTAGGTTAGTCGCTCTTTTTCCTTCTTTTATTCCCGCCCCTCTCTCTTGGACGGATAGATGCTGTCGTGCACCACATCTGCTCCCCTGCCAAGTCTCCCGGCTATCAATTCCGGCGCCGCCTCGTTCTCGCTGTCACGGCTGGTTGCCCTTCTTCGCATTCGACCCGACCCGTTCCGCCACTCTTCACTCTACCCGGCGTCGCAGTCTGCCGTCAAAGCGTTCCTAATGGTCACAACGTGACGTGCATGGAACAGCTTTTCCTCCAAGCTTTGCCCCTTGGCGCTGCACGACTATCAACAGCCTTGCAATCGACGGCGGCTTGCCGACACCACTGTCTGCGGTATTCACGTCCTCGTCGTTCTCTCCCTCATCCCTCACCCCCTTGTTCTTCTTCTGGCACACTCGGTAGGAAGAGTCGGGTTCCAATGGTCATGACCAGATCGAGGCGGGCAAAGCGGATTCTCCGCTGCCTGTCTGCCGCGCAGTACGAGGACCACGTCCTGAGCTGCTCGGCCATTCCACTTATCAGATATAATTTGCTGCACAACTACCATCGCTGTGTCCAGGTCTCAGTTGAGCTGGGCAGCTCTTCGGATCGATTTCCTCTCTCATTCTCCTTCGACGCCATGCCCAAGTTCCTTCAATCACAACTGGAGGCGCAGAAAATCGCTGACGGGAGCAGACTCTGGCCACAGGTCCTGCCACTCCTGACTTTCGTTCAAGCTCACCTCCGGAGATTCGACAAGTCACGCGGATTCCCCACCTTGTTCGTCTGGCACTCCCGGGAGAACCATCGTTCCTACTTCCTCTTTGCATTTGTCGAGATCAAGATGGCGTCCAAGATGTACACCGCCCGTGAGCTCCTTCGCTTGAGAAAGGTCTCTGCTGGCCAGGAGCTTTACGACCGTCTTTGGGAAAAGCTCCGCAACGACAGCGGTCTTGGTGCGTTCCTTGCCAATCCCCTCGCCCTGCCTTCACGGCGCAGAAAGAGTCTAACGGTGCGAACAGGCGAGGTTTTTCGAATGCCATCCGGAGGAGCCCTCCCTTTGATCAGAGAGGAGGACGCGGAAGTCTCTGCCCCGCCAGATACCGCTCCGGCCAAGAGTGTTGTTGCTCGCCAGCTTGATGGCACCGACTCTGAATGGAAATATCGCGGCCGCACGGACTCCGAAGAGGACGCCGTTCACCCCATCTGCAGCCCGGCCGGCATCGTCGCCCAAAGAGACGAGGGCTTTCAGAGGTTTTACAAGGCCGTCGTGTCTCCGACCCATGTGCGTGTCACTGCTGGCGGGCGCATTGTCCCCAACACCCGGGGCCCCTCGTCGCCAACGGCGAAATGGTCCAAGGACAAGGCCACGGGCGACGGGGCGTTTTCGGGCAGAGGTGTCGGCCGCGACCAGCCTGAGCATGGCCCGTTCCCTATTCCTCAGGCTCCTTTCGGTGCGTTCTCGCCCATGATCCCTGGCTTTGTCCCTGGCATGGCGGCTGCACAAGCTCCTTTCCAGATGATGCCCTGGCACATGGGGGTCAATATGGGTGGTGCCTTTGGCATGGTTCATCCGCATATGGCTACCATGGCGGGATCTGTCTCCGGGTCCACAACCCCGGCAGCCTCTCTGAAGAGCGAAAAGCAGAGCGAATCTGCCAACTCAGAGAATGCCAACTCGGTCCGCGTTTCGCCCCCGGAGCAGTTTGATCACAGCCGACCGTTTTTCTACAATGGTCAGTGGATGATGCCCCCCGGTGCTGCCATGTTTCCGGTTGGTATGCCTTCTATTGCCGGCTTTCCTGTTCCTATGGGTGGCCAAATGATGCACCCCAGATATGGCATGCATCCCATGATGCACCTTCATACCATGAAGTCTGATCCGTCGCTGTATCCTCAAGCCGCCGCCTCGCCTAGCGCCCCGGCCTTTGCCGGACCTTCAAATCCCCCGGTGTCCTCTATTCGCCAGAGCGAAATCACCAAGAGGCAGCTGGAAAATCTGCGAAGCCATCTCAGATTTCTCGAGGATCAGCTCCAGTACAACAAGCACCAGATTGATGAGAAACTAGTTGAGCAGCAAACCCAAGTGCTTCGCCACCAAATTCAGCTGTTTGGGAGGAACCTCGAGGCGCAGCAAACCCTTGAAGAAGGCCACTTGGTCAAGGGTGAGAAGGACGAGGAATCAAGCGGCTCAACGTCTTCGGCCGCCAATGACGCTAGACCAGGACACGATACCCAGAGCGTGTCCAGCTCGCAGGATGACACGTCTCAGGCTCCTGCGGCCGAGAGGCAGAGGAGCAAGGATCGCATCCCTTCCCAGCTTCCAGGTGGTCCAAACCCTTCCAAGCCTATGCCCCTGAAGAGTGCCCTTAAGAAGCCTCGCCCTTCCGAACCCATCAAGAAGGCGTCTTCTATTCCGGTCAGTGCAGCGTTGGCCCCTCCGTTCCAGCCCCGAGGAGACGGCGCGATGTCGGCCTCTGGAACTACTGACTCCTTGCGCTCGGCTGCGTCTCTTGCCAGCGCCGAGACTTCCTGCCGAAGCGCAGTCACCAGGAACGATGCTGGAAAGCCCTATCTCGTTGGAACGCTTCCTCGCGGCTTCAGTCCCACTGCAGCAGGCGTCGACTACACGTATGACCGTGATTTGACCGAGGATGAGCTGCGCGCGCGCCACATGTACTGGGGCAACGCACCGCGCAACCTCCAAAAGGGGTATCCCAAGTTCGACGGCAAGGACTTTTACCCTCCGTCGCCCGTCAAGGGAGGCTCGTCCGAGTCTGAAGCCACGTCGAGCCCCAGCACGCAACGCCGTCGAATTCCAAGCGGAAACATCCAAGCAGACTACGGCCTCGCCACGGCCGAAAGCGACCCATTTGCGTCATTTGACCTGTGCAATCAGAGACCTCCCCGAAACAACCTCACCCAATCGGAAAACTTGCCGAGACTCGAGTCGCCCATGACCCCGACACCCGCTGCAGCAAAGCAGAGTCCCAGAAAGAGCACATCTCAGGCCGGGGGCAGTTACGAGGACTTCCGCAAGGCCCTTGCCGAGAATGGGCGATTTTCAGGCGGCCGCAATGACAAGTCATCTTCAGAGTCGGGCGATGATTCAAACATTCTGTTCAAGGGCCGTCGGAATGTACCGCAAAAGTACGGCTCCCAAGACGCTTTCTCGCGTCCGGCACGGTCAACTGACGTTTGCAGGAGCAAGAACTCGAATGAAATTTGGCAGAGCATGTTGAAGAAGGGCAAATCGAGCAGCGCTGCAGTCCCAGGAACAGTCTCATCCATGACAGCACAGGGAGTGTTGCCCAACTACGCCGGCCATGCCACGGCGTCACTCACTCCTGCCTTTGCCAACACCTCCATCTCCCCAAAGGCCTCGTCGTACAAGCCAGGGGACTCTGGCGACGTTGGGTCCACGGGCCAGGAGGAGGAGAAAAAGGTTGAGAACCGCCCACCGGCCGGCGGCAACGTGAAGGGTCCGTTGCGTCGTGCCGGTTACTGAGGGCTGACGGTGGCGACGTGGTTTCCCAACGATTTGACTGGACATGCCACGGCCACAAGCTGGGACCACGCCACAGAAAAGCTCTAGCGAGAGCATGCATTATTGCTGTCATACTTACGACTTATATGAGTATCGCAGGACGGTTTGCTGGCCTTGTGTATAAGTTTTACGTTTCACTTTGTTACGACGTCTCAGCGGCTGTCTGGGCACACGCCATATCCCTGCTGTCGTTCGCATATGGCTCGGGTTTGGGATTGATGCGAGAGTGCCCATCTGCATCTGGGCGGACACCAGTGCGTTAGAGTGTGGGCTGTGTCAAGGTGTAATGAGCTGATGGCCTTGCGGCATCACCGGGGCAGCCATTTCCGTGGTGGATGGCGAAGTGTGCGCGCAAGCTTGTTTGGCCCCCGATTTGCAAAGTAGCTACTTTAATATGAAGGCGCAGACGGACCAAGGAACAGAAGTAATGCAAACTAACTTTTAATAATAGTCGTCTCTCCGTGGGAGCACGGTTTCCTTCGCAGCTGGCTCCAAATTGGAATGTGCCTCACCATCAAATTTCCATTGTCATTATTCTCCGTGGAAATCTTCGGGCGAGAGTAAGGGAACTGGTGATAACTAAAGTGTTCGCCCTACTGATTCTCTCTTCGCCAGTCGAATACCTCGAAAACCATGGATCTGAGTGGTAGACGCGGAGATATGCTGGCGCAACATTGAATTCAAGTCCCACTACATGCCATGGTAGCTGTCACGGCTCTACGGGTCTACGGCGTGCGCAAGTGCCCAGGGACGGACGTGTCCGTCGACAGGCTTGCGCCTACAGGTGATGGCGCGGCATGCAGAGACCTCCGGTGACAAGGAGGACTCATGAAGCACCACAACGCACGAGTGTCCCGGCAAGGGGTAGAACTGACTTCGGGAAACGCCTCCCATGGAGCATTTCACACAAAAATGTGAAATGGCCATTGAGAACCATGGAAATTCTCAATTCATCTACCCCGTCATATGCCTGAGCCGCATTGCACGAGGGTATCGTAGATAGAACGCCGGAGTATGAATGCCCATTTCCCTGCTTTTTCCCCACGGAAAAGAAAAATTCGTCGCCTGGTGTCAGTGCCTCGTGTTAGAGGGCATTTGACAGCAGCGGCGGGCCCCGTCTTTTTGCTCCCGGACTCGTCTCATGTGGCGGTTGTGTTTGGGGGGTGGCTGCGCGGTTTTGACTTAGGCGGTGACCTTGTTCTTGGCGCGCAGCTCGCGGCCGACCTTGGAGCGGGCCAGGATATCCTCGCGGTCCTTGTCGAGCTTGAGCTTGGTGATGACGACGTTGGAGGGGTGGAGGCCCAGGGGCACGCTCTGGCCTGAGGCCTTGTCGCGGGTGACGCGCTCGACGTGGATGACGTATTTGAGGCGGTAGACGGAGGTGACCTTGCCTTCGCGGCCCTTGTTGGAGCCGCGGACAATTGTGACCTCGTCGTCTTTGCGGATGGGGATGCTGCGGACCTGTGGGGTGTCAGCGTCTCAGGCCTGGCGTTGGCAATTGCAGAGTCGTTCAAACGTACGTTGTACTTCTCACGCAGCTCCTTGCTGAGGGGAGCGCTCATGTTGACGCGGCGCTGGCTCGAGGGGGCATTGAAGTAGGCCGCGCGGCTCTTGCGCCGGGACGACGCGACGGCTGGAGACAGTCAGAGTTAGTGAGGAGCTCTTACATCTTTTCCCTGATCCCCTTTTCTTGGGGTCGGGGAAAGTCTCGTGGGTTCGGAGGCGCCGCATCGGGGTATACTCACTGTTGCTAACCTTGGCCATGTTGATGGGGATGGGGGAGGTTGTTTGTCGTCGTCGTCGGCGTTGGGCTGGTGAGGGGAGGACGGTGGCCGGTTGGAGTGAGAGAGATTTCGCCGGGGGAAAAGTCGTTGTGGGTGAAATTTAGGCGAGAGCAGTGGATAGCACGTGACTCGGTTACCCTACAAGTTCTGGCAGACGGCCAGGGAGGCTGCTGACTCAGCATCGCTGGCCTTTAAATATCGAGCTCCCTCCCCGTTCGTAACGGTGCGCCCCGCCAAATCGGGAAGCGTTTACTCCGTAGTTAGAAGTTGTCCCTCCGGAGCACGGAGTGATGGGTATTAAGGTATGCCATGTTTCATTCGTCTTCAACAAGAAGCTGCCTTCATGGACAAAATTGTTGGCCCAGTCAGCAGGCGTAGCACAGGCGGCGAATCACCCACTGGGCGCCCTCAACCGTCCGTACGCAAGGCTTGGGAGAGACTGTCGGTCCACGCGCTGAACCGGCCGACGTCTTCAGATGGGACGATATCTACTATTGCGTCCCCTGCCTTTCCATGCTACTTCAGCGGAGTTTACGTACCGCTTCCATACAAAAGTCCAGACCAAAAGTTGGGAAGGGGAGGGTATTGTACAGAGTCCGACAGGTTGGAGGTCATGTCAATCATATCATAGCCGGCGCCTTGAATCTACCATTGTTGTCGTATCTCGCTTCTGTTACTCGGTCAGCAAGAGGTACGACCAGGCCTCGACGCGTACAGTGACGGACGTACTGAAGAATGTGTAGTTGAGCGTGACCGTTTCCACGCCCTTCATGTTTAAATCATTGAGCAGATCCGGGTCGAGGTAGAAGAAGACGGGCATGTCGACCGTCTCGCCAGCGTTGAGCCGCTGCTCCTCGAAGCAGAAGCACTGGATCTTGCTGAAATAGGGCGCGCACTGCGCGGGCGTCACGCTGTACGTTGCCACGCCGATGATGTCCTTGCTGCCCCTGTTCTCGGCCGTGTAAAACGCGAGGGCCGTTTCGCCCGGGAGGACGCGCACCTCGCGCTGCTGCGGGACGAATTTCCACGGCAGCTCGTCCGAGACGGAGGCGTTGAACGTGACGCGAATGCGGTTGGCCGACGTGACGGGGACTAGACGGCTCGCCAGGTCGCCCTCGTAGGAACCGCCGTGGGCGCGGACGGGTTGGCCGCCCCAGCCTGTGGTTTGGCAAATCTGGTGCCGATCAGTCCAATGCGTGCGAGACGGGCACCCACTCCGCACGATGAGAGGGGGGAGCTGAGAAAGCGACGCACCATCTTGTACATGGGCACCGAGCCGTACGACAAGGCCACAGTTCCCAGGATCAAGCTCAGGGTGTAGTATCTGGACAAAGACGCATCAGCGCGCACTCCAGCACCAGCAAGGGGTCAGACGAGTCGATCCCACGCACGCCACCGTCTGGTTCTTCCTGCTATAATGCGCCCTTATCTGCTCCATCGAAGGCGCGCGGGCCTGCTGCGGCCCTGGCCTCTGCGAAGTCGAGCTCGACGATTGCCTGCGCAAGCCGTGGACAGTGGGGCTCTGTCGAGGCCGAGGGCGGGCATATTGGCAGAGGAGGCACGCCCATCGCGATGGGCTGTGCCGTGTCGAGCTCTGCGCGATCCGCGGGGTCGTGTTCATAGCTTAGAAGGTTAGGGGCGAGACGTTGCTGAAGCGAAGAAGCTCATGCCTCTGGGTGTTTTACTGAGGTAGTTAAGGCGATGTTCGCGGCGGGACAAGCTTGACGTATATAGTAATACCAAATCACCTACCCTGTAGTCAATACTTTGCTTATTTGGCTCCCCGACAACAACCCTTCCCTGCATTTTTACTTTCTTGGCACGCAAGTGTTAAGGAAGTAGCCTATCCATACAGCTTTTCGCTTAACAGTGCTCTTGAAAATTCCGCAACAGCGCCGCGCAAAGCGCCGGCAGCGGCCATGGCACCAGCCTCAGGTTCGCGCGCCGCTCCTGTGCTGTCGACATACAATCGCCACCTGATCTAGCAGCCCGTGCATCTCAGCACCTACTGTCCTCTCCGGCGGAGGCTCGCCCAAATGTCTCAACCCTGGCGGCTCAGCAGCTCCCTCGACCGACGTCTCCCAGCGACACGCCCAACGCTGCCGTCGCGGAAGGAACGCAGCCGGAAATAATCCCGAATGGCCCTGGTTCGACCGGGTCCACGGAAAATGCACCTGTCTCCATCATCGAAGCGGCTACAAAGATCGCTCGCGACCAAACGGCAGCCCATGATGCCAAGCTGGCAGTCTTTCGGGCCTTTAGCGAATCATTCGAACAGACAGCCAAACAATTCACGTCCGGCTCCCACAATAGCATCGCAAAGCAAGTTGCCACCAAGTTTCTGAACCTCTGGACTCAATCGCTCGCCGACCTTGAGGAACCACCGAAACCTACGTACAGCAGCGTTCTCGCATCCGGCAAAACGACACAAGGACAGCTGGCCATTACGGCCTCCGCCCCACCACAGCGAAAACAGCAAACCACCACTCGTCTCAAGGACGACCGCCCGTGGTCCCACCAAGGAAGACCTGCGTGTCTTTGTCCGACTTGACGCCGATGCTCCGGCCCGAAACCATGAAAGATACGCTATCCGGGCCCACATCGCCGCTAGAGTCGGCATCGACCTACGCCGCATCCCGGCAGCCTTCCCGGTAAACACGGGTTGGGCCATCCTGGCATCGGATGTGGCCACGCGCGAACTACTCGTGCAGCGACAGGCGGATTGGGCCGTAGATCTGGACGCGACGGCCGTAGAGATTAGCCAGAAATGGCATTCGTATGCCGTAGCCGATTGCCCCGTAGGCTCACGGACCTACGCAGCGTTGAGATCAACTTCGATGAGGCGGTCAAAGAAGAAATTGCCTGCCAAACCGGACTGAAGCCCATCAGCATACGGACCTCGCGACACGACTCGGGCGATATGCCTACCAAGACCCTTATTGTATCCTTCCTGGAACCCACGCAGAGACCCTGGCGACTGTTCGGCGCCAGCCGGTTCGCCCGCTATATCGACAAGCCCAGCATTCCTAGCCAATGTGACAAGTGCTGGGATTTCCACGCTCGACACAGCTGCGATCGAACGGCGCGCTGCAGGCGTTGTGGCAAAACCGGCCATCGTAGCCAAGAATGCACCGCCCTCGAGCAGTGTGCAAACTGCCTTGGACCCCATTGCGCGGATGACCCCAAATGCCCTGCCCGCCCCAAGCGCGTTCACGGCATGGTCCGGCGCCTGACGAAGGAGGAGAAGAGCCTGGTACGGCAGATGGGAGTTCAGCTCTCGCAGCAGAAGCGGCAGACTCAAAGGCCAGAGTGTCCGACCAGTCTGATCAGAGCCCTGGCAGGCCGCAGATACTTTCCTTGGAGTCAACGGCGCCGCGGGCAGCTGGAGGAGATGGAAGCTCCGACATGGGCGCCATTTACGAGCCAGCCGCGCCGTCAACCCCATGCATCGTTGTGGCCACAACGCCGCCGCATGTAAGGGACGGCGACCAGTTCCTCCCTGTCGTCCCATCGAAGAAACGACGCACTAGTCCTGTGACGCTACCCTAATGCCTCGCTGTTTTCCACGCAATCGAAGCGATAGGAGGATCTTGCGAATCTTCCAAGCCAACGTAGGCAAGATTCCGCCGGCACACGATTGTGCCCTTGCGTTGGCCGACTCGGAACAATACGACATTATTTTGTTGCAGGAGCCATGGACAGGACTGAAAGATGGCCGATGCCTCACTAAGACGCATCAGGCCTACGACACCTTCTCACCCGTCAACGACTGGGACGGCCGCGACACTCGCCCGAGAGTCATGACATACGTCCGGCGTTCCGCAGGTCTCGTCGCTGATCAAAAGAGACCTGCGGCGACTCGTGACATCCTTTGGCTCACCGTCAACGGCATAACAGTCGTCAACTTCTATCGGCAGCCGTACCACGACGGAGCCCTTGAAATCTTGCTTCAGTGGACCGTACCGGACAAGTGTCTTGTTGCTGGTGATTTCAATGCCAAACATCCCAGCTGGCAGGCCGGTCGACGAGAGGACCGCGGCGAAGAAATAGCGTTTTGGGCAATGGACAATCGACTCGGCTTACTGAATCCTGTCGATGTCCCGACCAACGCACACGGCAATACGGTTGATCTCGCCTTCTGCAACATACCTCTGGCCGACGCTGTTGTCGAGGATCATCTAGCAACCGGCTCCGATCATTTTACCCTTAGTATCACGCTGCCAGGACAAGTTCTGGCACCCCTTCCAATAGGAAAGATCCATCTCAACTCCGACGAGGAATTGAAGCGATTCATTGAATTAGTGGAGGCCGGTGCCGCCTTCATCCCGATCACCACGGCATCTCCTTCCGAGCTCGACAGCTTTGCGTCGGCGCTCGTGAACCTTCTTGGTTGTGCAGCCAGAGCTGCCGGTCGACCTGCCCGTAAGACTACGCATGGTGCGCGGTGGTGGACTGAAGAATGCGCAAAGGCGGCGGCCAATTACCGCGCGTGGAGGAGAGTTCACTCTCTCGGCTTCGACCGAGAAGTACAGCTAGCCAAGAGGAGCTCCATAGCGTGGTGCGCCGGGCCAAGCGCCTTTACTGGCGTAACTTGATTGACAGCTTCACCGATAGCGCCTCCGTCTTCAGGGCGGTCCGCTGGCTGAAGTCTCCAGGTCCGTTTCAAGCTCCTCCTGCAAATTGACGACCGAGTGTATGAGACGCAGCTGGAAAAGGCCACCGCCTTGCGACAAGCCACTCTGGAACGGCGCACGGCGAACGACGACATCCCAGATCCGTGGATCTCCGTGAACACAGATAGGACGATACCCTTCACCGACCGAGTCTCTCCGGAGGAGACCCGCGACGCCACGCTACGCACCGGGAATACGTCCCTGGTCCCGACAATATTACGGTGCGGATGCTCCGCGCTGTCTGGCATGCGATCGGAAGTCTCGTCCACCAGCTATATCAAGGCTGCCTCAGGATTGGCCACCATCCGAAGCCCTTCCGAGAAGCAGAAGTGGTCATGATTGCCAAGCCGGGGCGCAGGGATCTCTCTACCCCGCGCTTGGCGCCCCATCTCCTTTTGTCCTGTCTCGGCAAGGGCCTCGAGCGGCTCATCGCACGGCGTCAGCGTGGGCCTCGGTCCATTTCGGCGTACTACACCCACAACAAGCCGGCGCGCTCCGAAGAGATCGGCCGTGGATCTCGTTGCTGCCTTGATTCATGACATCGAGGAGGCATTTGCCTGCAAGCAGGTTGCAACATTGGTGACTTTGGACATTCAGGGCGCCTTCGACACAGTCCTCCGCAACAGATTGATCCTTCGCCTACGGGAGCAAGGGTGGCCACCGAACCTCGCGCGATGGGTCGGCTCGTTTATGCAAGACAGGTCGGCACGCATCCGCTATCAAGATATCGCAACGAATTCATCGCCTCTCCAGTGCGGGCTGCCACAGGGATCGCCAGTCTCGCCGATCCTCTTCCTACTGTATACGGAACCAATCTACCGCTTGGGCAGCTCAAAAGGGCGTTTCGGCTATGCGGACGACACTGCCATCCTTTGCGTCGGCGATAGCCTGGATGAGACGTCCGCCGAAGCATCTCATCATGTGCGTGAGCTTGTATCGTGGGGCGCCGCCAACGGATCTCCTTCGACCCTGAGAAGACAGAAGTGATGCACTTCTCTCGAACGACGCCCAAGACGGCGCCGCCAGTGCTCCATGGCGAATTTGAGAAACGGCCGGGCCGGGCGATGCGTTGGCTCGGCGTCTGGCTCGACAGCACTCTGTCTTTCAAGACTCATGTCGAGAAATGGACGGCCAAAGCGCAAGCAGTCGCCTTCCATCTCAGGAGACTGACAAACACCAGGCATGGTCCTCTACCGAGCGCTGTGCGACGAGCGGTCTGCGCTTGCGTCATTCCAGTGCTGCTCTACGCGGCGGAGGTCTGGTATCCTGGTTCTACGCGCCCGCGCTGGACCAAGCCGGGCAAGGAAGGACCGTCCAGGATCGGACACCTCGTAAAGAAGATGAGCAAGGCACTCTACACATCTCTTCGGGCTATCCTGCCAGTGTGGAGAACTACACCAACGAATGTTCTGCACCGGGAGGCAGGGATACCGCCGGTCCCTCTGCTGCTCGAGGCGCGCCGGACTGCATTTGCTGCGCGTCTCAAATCCCTGGACGAAGCTCATCCGCTCGTGAAGCGCACGTCGAGGCCAAAAGCCCTATACTGAATGAAATGATCAAGCTGAAGTACCAAAAGCAGCCAAAACCCTTCCGGACTAGGCTGCGGCGCTCCGACGAATTGCTACCAAGCTGCCCAAGGCCTGCCTTGCTGCAGCGCGGATTTGTCGAAGAGCAGACTGCGCCTCTGCAGAGTGCATCGAAAAATGAGACGGCGAAGAAATTTCGCGATTGGCTCCAGGCACTATCGCCCCGAACTCTGGTCGTCTATTCCGACGGGTCCCGTTCTACCGAAGGCCACGCCGGATATGGCTATGTTGTTCATCGGGACGGATCCACCGTCTTGCGCGACAAGGGCCGTCTCGGGCCCGCCGAGATTTTCGACGCTGAGGCGAAAGGTGCGTTGGAGGGGTTGAAGGCTGCGGTGAGCCTTCCAGAAACTGACCGCATCTTTGTCTGCCTCGACAACCTCGCGACCGCAACATGCTTACGGGGCACGCCGAGCGACTCCTCGCAAGAGGTCTTCCTTGAGTTTCAATCTTTGGCGCGAAAATACGGAGCTGTGGAGGTCCATTGGATCCCCGGCCATGCTGACATCCCAGGCAACGAGGAGGCTGATGCTCTGGCAAAGGCGGGAGCATCACTGCCAGAACCCGCTGATAACGTCCCGACGCTAGCGCACCTGCGAAAGATTGCCCGACAGCAGCCGGAAGAGGCTTTCAAGGCCTGGTGGGAAGCCTCTGCGCCGGAGCGATACAGAGACCTGAGGCTTAAAGCCACAACCAGCTGCCCGTCAGAATTGGCGCTCTCTCGGCCCCTGCTTCGTAACTTGCTTGCAGCAAGAACCCACCATGGGATTTTGCTGACTACCACGAAAGGTTTGGTCACGACAATGCGCGACTGACGTGCTCGTGCGGAAGACGAAAGAGCCAGCACACATCTTTTACTGCAGAAAGGTTGCGCCACGGCATCGTATGCGGCTTGCACCTTGGCCGGCTGCAGCCATCAACCGCGCAATCGGCAAGGACTTTGACAAATTCGTCAGGCTGGCGAAAGCGAGCTCCTTCTTCGGAGGATCTGCCCACGCCACTAGACGGTCATCATTCTCCTCTCTCACCCTACCTTTCCTCTCAATCCTTTCTGTTACCTGCTCCGATCTCGGCGGCGTCAAGGTCTCGCGACCATGCGATCGCCGAGGTCATCAAGGCTGCAAGGCCCCAGAAGCAAATTGGCTGATCTGACCACGGGACAGCTTTCTCTTCATGCCTGGACGTCCCGCTGACGGGCATCAGGTTTGTCATGAGCGCCGTTGAGCCGATGAAATGCTGGATAGTGGGTGAAGTGTACGATATGTAGCATGTAGACACCTGCTAGCTCAGCACGTCCTGTGCTCCCCTGCGGAGACCTGAGCGACCAAAAGTTGCTGGACGGAAAATACACTAAACTAAACTAAACTAAAGGCTCCCCGACAAGGGCACTCCATGGCCAATAAAGTACTCAACTTCAAAATAAATTTGTTACCCAAAAGTGCATATTTCTGTCAATATTCTCACCAACTACTTGATACACTTGATGACATCTTCCCTTGCAGCCATCAAGAAAGTGTCAAGGAAATATGCCCAACTCGACACAACCACACAAAAAGTCCGGGAAGTCACGCAAGTCGAGTAACGCGCATGCCCGTGCGTCATCAACTCGTAGCCTGCTCCCCTCAGATTCTTTTGGCTTTGACGCCGTTGGGCACTCGCCTGCCCTTCTGGTTACCACCCCCAGCCAGCCTCTCAAGAACCTGAATATACAAAACCTGGATGATCAAGATAAAGAGGCGTAATAGATGATCGGCAAGGCCCAATCTGGGTTTCCTGCCCCGACTGTATGTCGCGTCCCGGAACTCGAACGGTAACCTGGCACCCAGATGCTCTTGGGCCACGTGCAAGCCACTGCTAAATCCATCCTCGTGGAATCCGTACTTGGTCCATGCTCCGGCATAGCTAATGCCCCGTTTGTTCTGGATCTGATGCAGGAGTTTCTGCGCACGCACGGCTGCCGGCGTGTACAGGGGGTGTGAGTAAAAGTATCGGCCCTGCCTCGTGGCGGGACGCGGACGATGAAGGGGGTTCAACGTCACGAGGACATCACCGAAAGGCTCACGAGGAATGTTCTGCAGGATGTTCATGTTGTATGTCAGGGAGACTTGATCAACATTGGCCCTCGACAAGGACGACAGCGTGAGGTAGTTCCAGCTCGACCAAGCCTTTCGATTCCTCGGCATCAGAGTCAGATCAGAGTGCAGGACGGCTTCGTTTTGCGACGTCTCAAAGCAAGACAGAATCGACCGCTCTTGCTCCGTCGCCGACGGCTCGATGATGGACAGTGCTTGGTCTCCATGAGTAGCCAGAACGACGTGATCAAACACTTCCGTTCTGCCGTGTTCAAGGTGCAGCAAGACACTGCCGTCATCGTCATTCGTGACATGGCTCACGGGCGTGTTAAGGAACAGGTGATTCGGGGGAAACCCTCGCATGACGGCGTCAATGTACGATTTCGACCCATTCTTGAGAGTTAGCCACTGTGGCCGTGCAGCAACTGTGGACAGGAGGTGGTGGTTCCATCTGTGCAACCTTGTCAGCGAGCGATACGCTCATCAAGGGCACGGCGTGCTTACAGGAAGCGGACCAGCGTCACGACGGGAAACTGCAGAGAGCACTTGTCCGGACTCGTGCTCCACACGGCAGCGGTCATGGGAATCAGATAATCGTCTCGGAAAGCATCCGAGTAGCCCTCGCGATCCAGGTACTGTCCGATTGTCTCGGATTCGCCGGAGGACTCGCCTTCGTCGCGCATGAGCAGGTCGAGCGCGAACTGGTTGAAGCGCAAAATGTCAAAGACCATCCTCCACATGCGCGGCGAAAAGAGATTGCGTTTCTGGCAAAACAGGGCCCCCAAGCTGGTGCCAGCCCATTCAAAGCGGCCCTGGTCCCGGGAGACACCAAAAGTCATCTCTGTCGGCTCCGTCTGGACATTGACCTTGTCGAGGAAGCTGATGAAGTTGGCTGCGAGACGATGAGCTTCAAGCTGCGCCAAACGAAACGCGCGGAAAGGGTCGCCTCACGATAGGTAGCCGTATTCAAAACGATGAAGCCGGTGTCAACGCAAGTTGTAAACTTTCCGGCCTTCCACTCCACCGTGTTTGTGTGGCCGCCGAGTCGATCGGCCGCCTCGTAGAGGTAGACGTCATGGTGAGTCCTGTTCAAGGCCCAGAGAGCGGCGATGCCGGTGCAGCCGCTGCCGACGATGGCGACCTTTTTCCTGGTGAAGTGTTCCACCGGTCGGCCCATTGGCGTGGTGGATTGAAGCGGCAAGATGAGAAGTGGTGACGCTGGACAAGAGGATGTTGATCGTAAGCAGGAGGAGTATTGACGCTCAGCAAGAGAGCGGACGCCGCGAGAGAAGGGGGGGGGGCCAGGCGAGAAAAGTGGTGGGCAGAAGAAACGAAGGCTTTCACATGGCGAAGAAAGCTGGAACGTCATTCGAAGCAAGCACACACGGGAGTTAAGCGGAGGCGATGGACGGCAGACATGGGGGGCGGGAAGCTGCCCCGAGAGTGTGGGTGAGGTCGCCGCCCTCAGCCAGGTACCACCATGTTAGGGTACTACCTACAAGGTAGGTACTACTGATGGTGATCACTGTATGGGGGGAGATCTTCAGGCTCCGTCTACAGCAGACGGCACGATCCCTAATTAGCGGTAGCCCGATGCGATTGATGCCCTGTCGAAACCGGTACGTTGAGACACCACTCAGGTGCTGCGTGCTGAGAGGTAACTACCCGGGTACTTTCTTTGCCTTCAACCAAAGACGGACTCGCTACTAATTAGCACCTTGCCCATTGCCATGCTTCCCAAGCCGCCGCTGATGCATGCGAGAGCGCGTGCTGTGGCGCTGCCACGACATGCTGAAGCGTGGCGGGTAGCACAAGCATCAAGATTGCCTTGGTTGGTGACGGGCCCCCGTTTGCAGCCGAAAGGGACCAGGGGTGAAAACCCAAGACATGTGGGATCCACCCTGCTGCGACTTGGCCGCACACATCTCGCCCGTCGTGTCCTCAACAAAGACGAAGAAAGGAGGCTTCCTTCCACATGCCATGATAGGATAGGTACGGCGTGTTGTCCAGGGCCCGTCGATGCTTGCCTTGATCTGAGCTCGTCGACTCGCAGGGCCACGTCAGGTCCAGCTCACGAGCAGCAAGCTCTTCTGAAACGTCAGGCCCCCCATTATGAGGCCACAAACAGGCGGCGACGAGAGCATGCTACTGCAGACAACACACAGCGGCATGTCGAGCACTCAACGGGATCGGTTGACGGTGGTACGAGTCACCAATTCTTAAAAGCGCCGTGCGGGACGAATCCCACGCTGCTCTGCCCGGCTAATTTCAACCCCACGCCATTGACGGATTGTCGAGACGTCGAGTCGGTTTTCTTCATCTTCCGGGGGATTCAACTTTCTTGAAGGAGAAGGAAAAGGAGAAATGCATTTTTCTCGGCTCTGCGTAGATATGGTCTCCGCCGGTGCACGGGCCACTCTGTCTCTCATGTGGGGACAACTGTCACGTGCATTATTCCGCGGCCGTCGCCCCTGTGACATGCTGGTGCTTGCGTACATCACTCCGACTCCGCCTGGTAGACTGACCAAGACAACCAACCCGACGCTGCAGACGAGCAACCACTACGCGCCAGCTATTGCGCTCCTTCTGCCGAAGCTCCGCCATCTGTTCTCCCTCTCCCCTTCGACAGCTGCGCGACTGAACGAGCCCGCTTGTTCTTGACGAGACGTTGTTTGGGACCCCACACAACATGGCGAATCCCCTCGACACGGACGCCGGCTCCGAGCTGTTCGGCTCCTACGAAGCGGAGCTCAAGCTCGTCCAAGCCGACCTGTCGCAGAAGCTGGACCAGATCCCCGAACTCTCGGGCGAACCCCGCAAGACCGCCATCAGCCAGGCGGAGCGCGCCCTCGAAGAGGCGGATGAGCTGGTATGCCTCTCGTCGGCCTGGTCCAGAGGCTTCTGCTGACGTCTCCTCTTCTACATCCAGCTTGGACAGATGCGTCTTGAGAAACAAAACATACCCACGTCTTCACGGGCCAAAGTGAACCAGCGCTTCCGTAACTATGAAGCCGACGTCGACGCCAACCGACGAAAGCTCACCTCGCTCTCCTCTGATCGCTCTGCCCTGTTCGGATCGCGATATCGGGACGAACCGGCCGGCGCGTCCGATGCCTCTCTCGAGCAGAGGCAACAGCTGCTCTCTGGCACGGACCGACTTGACCGGAGCACGCAGCGACTAAAGGCCAGCCAGGCGCTTGCGCATGAGACAGAGTCCATCGGCGCGGACACTCTGGCGAATCTGCACGGACAGCGCGAGATGATTCAACACACGCACGATCGGCTTCTGAACAGCGAGGGCTATGTTGACCGGAGCGTCAAGACGTTGAGGGGGATGGCGCGTAGGTAATGTGGAACCTTGAACCGCCAACCCGGAGCGCCTGACTGACGGACCTGCTCGCAGGATGGCTACGAACCGGATAATCACCATTTCAATCATCACCATCCTCGTGCTTCTGATTGTCGCCGTCGTCATCAGCAAGTTCAGGTGAACGTTTGTCCTCATATTCGGAGTTTTGGTCGTGGTTCGGCGTCTTTTTGCGGTTCCTCCTTCACTTGCCAATTTGATTCTTATCCTGGGCCGGGACTATCTTGTCCTCGCCCGTTTTCGATGAGAGGGCCATCACGATATCTCTTTCGAGCCGGAGACGGAGATTATTCTTGGCTGTATAGAAGGGCACCGGCGAACGGGTTTCACAATGTGCTTGCGTCTCTGGGTTGATGGAGCTAGACCTCCGCCCCGCTCATCTGGTTGTTTTGCTCTTGAATCAGTATGCAACGAGAGTGTCGATGAATATGTTACTAGTGCCCAGGGCCTACTGGGGATCTTGGCAAATGCCATTCAAGTTGGCGGCTGGCCATGGTTAACGGTAGGTAGTGAACTCTACAATGCTCCCCGGAGTACAAGCACAAGCAACAACGTATACTCTGTAGTGGAATAGAAGTCAAACTCTGTCGCAGCGAATCATCGTGTTCCAGACCTGATGTCGATCGATACTCGATGGCCCGCTGAAAGCACCGAATTTAAGCAGTGGGACTCTGACCTGCAGGCAATTCAGTTTGACCCTGGCAAACTTGGAAGCGAACCAGCGGCCTCAATGGCCACGCGTGGCGTCGCGGAATAACCGAGGTATTCCCGACCCGCGAGCCAGGAGCTGCGAAAAGCTCCGCCATGGCTCCGCAAAAGCTCCCTCCAGCCTCCTTGACCCAACCTCGCAAATCTTTCCTTTGCAAAAACTATCTCTCCTCCACCTACCATCAAGCACACACCAATCGCACACCGATAATTGCTTACAAGACGAGCATCCCCCAACTTTGTGCCCCGTGCGTTTGAGCTTCCAAAGGGTTTGTCGGCCTCCATAGCGCCCTCCTCAGAGCCTGCTGCGTGCTCAACGTGGCATCTTGGCCCAGATGTCCGATTTTCTGGGGTATGTCGAGCATCCCGTACGGCCCCGTCTGCCTGGGGCCATTGTACTGACGATTCGACAGGTCACGTATATCACTTATATCCAAGAGCGATATTCGGTTCGTTGCCTTCTCCCCCTCCTTAAACCAGAAATCCTACTCCGAGTCTCGCGCTGACGCCCAAACTAGCTACGTTGGCACCCTTCACGAGATCAATTCAGACGAGTCCACGGTCTCGCTGGAAAATGTCCGTTCTTTCGGCACCGAGGGTCGTCGAGGCAGGCCCGAGGACGAGGTTGCTCCGTCTGACCAGGTCTACGAGTACATTGTCTTCCGCGGTAGCGATGTGAAGGATCTTCGCATCGAGGAGCATCCCAGCGTCAAGGAGAACAAGCCCCCTCCTGCCATGCCCGATGACCCTGCCATTGTTGGAGTAAGTCACCATGCCCTTTTCTCTCTCCTGCAAGTCTTCACAATGATGAAATATTCCGGATGTAAAAATTGTCATGTCGGAAAGCGCAAAAAACAATGTCGAAACTTCCGTTGCCTTCCTTCTGATACCGAAGACTTGTCTTTGCTTGAGAGTGCCTATAATAATACCCTCGGCGAATGTAAGCTGACGAGATTGACAAGGCTCGAGCCCGTGGTGGCGCCCCAAACCAACCCGGCCCCCCAGCGGCTGGGAATTTCCAGCATCCATATCCTCCGAATAACTTCTACGGCGGACCGCCGCCTCCAGGATCCTGGGGTCGGGGGGGCGGTCCAGGCCCCATGCCTGGTCCTGGAGCCGGTTTTGGCATGTCATACCCCCCGCCGCCACACTGGTTTCCTCCCGGCCAAGGCTTCCCACCTGGAGGCCCTGGCCCGTGGAACAACCATCCTCCTCCGGGCGCGGGCCTTCCTCCTGGCCCTGAACCCCAGGGCCAGCGCCAAGGCCCCCCTTTGGTCCCCGCGCAAGATCCGAAGGCCGGAAATGTCGGACCCGGCTCAGACCGACCCAAGGCGGCGACCACTCCTGCAGCAGAGCCCAAGGCTCAGGCTGCGGCTGCCCACCCACCAACTAATGCGCCTAGCCCGCCCATCGAATCCAAGCCGTCAGTCGAGGAAGTCAAGGCTGCAGCCTCGACTTTGGGCACCAATGGATCTCTCCCCGGTGCTACGAGCCAGTCCAAGGCAGCTCCAGTCGCTCAGCGGAACAATAGAGTTACGCCTGTCATGCCGCTTTCTGGACCAGCCGGCAAGCCCTTCACGCTTCCCACGGCTGGAATGCCGGGTCAGGCCAACGTCAAGGCCACGGTGACGGCGGCACCGAGTAGCGTCGAAGATGCCACAAATGCGGCACGTGCCGCGGTCGCAGCTGCGATGGCGCAACTGGGCAACAGTGGCGGTAATGCGATGGACAACCTGACAAACAAGGTCAACGAGATGAGGGTTAACGCTAGCAGAGGTGCTCCAGCTGGCCGTGGTCGCGGTCGCGGAGGTCGGCCCGGGGGCCAGAAGGTCGAAGTACCCGATTCGGACTTTGACTTCGCCCAGTCCAACGCCAAGTTCAACCGGGAGGAAATCGCCAAGGAAGCTATTGCAGGATCTCCTGTGACGGAGCAACCAAACGAGCTCGCCGCACAGGCAGCCGAAGTCGAAGCATCCAACGGTAACCCAGCTGTCGCGTACAACAAATCCAAGTCCTTTTTCGACAATATTTCTAGCGAGGCCAAGGACAGGGCCGAAAACGGCGGCCACAAGCCTGGCGGCCGAGAATGGCGCGGCGAAGAGCAGCGGAAGAACATGGAGACGTTTGGGCAGGGCAGCGTCGACGGCGGGTACCGAAACTATCGCGGGCGCGGGCGAGGTAACCGTGGCCGCGGATACGGGCGAGGTCCCCGCGGGGGCAATCGTCCGCAGTTTCAACCTGCCGCGGCCGACCAATGAAGTCAAGCGGACTTGACGAACGACCTGGGTGATTGGAGACAGCTGCGACGCCTAGCCGCAGGACGGCTTTCATCCTCGCGACCTCGATGATTCCAGTCGTTGAAGGGTTGACCGAGAGCCGAGCATTTGGGCACCGGAACAACATTCGCCAGTCTCACAAATATTTTCCCTACAACCTTTTGAGATGTAACAACAATTTTGCCTCTCGAGCCTTTGATCACTTTTTGCATCTGCTCGGCAGGTGTGAGGACGAGGACACGCCACGGTTCTATTGTGCTTTCCAGCGAAACATGGAGGTGTCAGCCTCGATGAGCCACGGAGTCGGATCAGAAACGCCTGGAGTTTGGATTAGCGAAGCTGGAAAAGGCTGGCTTTACGTGAATTATGAGGACTCGGACGGCAGGCTCGTTCTGGTGCCGAGGGGACATCCTTGAGCGGTTTGACCGATAGTGTGCAGAGGGAGAGGTGGCGGGCTTTGCGTGTAACTGAACCAGCGACTGAAAAAACGAAGACGTGGGAAATGTGCTTGCCGCTAGCATTGCGCGACTGCGTCACGACTCTACCTATAAACAAACTGATATGACCGGTCTGCAAAATAAGCAGAGGGTGTGAGGTGTGGTGCTAGATGAGCAGAGGTGATGCGTGATTGTGTAGACCCTGACGCTGCAACCAGGAGCAGCTTCATCTTCGGTATCTTGTTTCGGCAAAAGTCGTCCAAAGGGAATGGATGGATAAGTTTTGCAGGTACTTTGTACCCTGACTCTTTCTTCGGACGCTGCCCCACCGAGGAAAACGTCATCCCCTAGGGAGCAAATCAAGCCCCAGGCTCGGCAGTGACTCGCATTGTTTCTACTCTTTGCTAACTCGAGGTGCTTTGCCCGACGCTTCCTACGCAATCGAGACTCTCGTTCCAGCAGACCATCATCGCCTTTGAAATTCCAACCCGCGCATCCTCTCCGGAGGGTTGTGCCGCCGCCGCACGTAAGCACCACACAGGCCAACAAGATGTCCAGCCGGCAACTGCGCAAGCTTCAACAACAGCGAGAGCTGGAAAAGGCCACCGAATCCGCGGCCCGCGAGTCGGAGGAGAGCGAGGATGCCGAGGAACTCGTCGCCTCACCGAAACCTCGGCCAAACCTCTTCGCCGCTCTGGTGGGCGAGGATGAGGCCGACGGCGACGGCGACGGCGACGGCAAGGACGACGACGAGGACGACACAGTCAATGACCAAGGCGGCCGAGACGTGAGCCAGGTTCCACCCCCGGCGAGCAGCAACAAGAGCAAGAAGAGGAGACAACAAAAGAAGAAAAAGAAGGCAAAGGTCCCCGCGGGCGGCGCTGACCAGGGCGGCGAGGACGAGGACGAGATTGACAAGGCCATGAAAGAATTGAAGGTTGATTCGCGAAACAACGACTCATCTTCAACTCACAACGCACACAACGGGTCCAGGTCACGGATGAATGAGCTCCTGAGCATCAACACTCATCATCTTCGGGTCGTCAACGAGATGAGGAGCCTTTTCGGCCGCGATGTGATGGAGTCGGCCAACGCCGAGGAACAACAGGAGGGTGGCCGGCGCAGGCGAGCGCCTGTCCAGAGACAGGTCGACCTGGAGACATTTTTGCGAGAACCACCGGGGGCAGCGAAGTTAGCCGACGTCTCGTTGCGGCGTAACGTCTTCGTTCAAGGCCGGGACCATTGGCCACGGCAGTCTGCCGGTGGCCTGACCATGAAGGAAGTGGAAAAGGCCCCCGACGGATCGTGGACGGAATACGCATACGTTCACGACAAGGAGTATGACAGCGTGCAGGTCTTGTTCTTTGCCTGCGTACAGACGGGAGATCCCATGCGAATGGTGCATCTGCTCAAGCGAGTCCGTGAGTGTAGCCGAGAAACATACACGACGCATGCAAGCTAACGCGCGGAAGCGTACCACGCATCCACCTTGCTACAGGTTAGCAGCGTGGCCAAGCAGGATCAAAACATGGCCTTGTCGGCCGAACTGTGCGAGAGGGCGCTGTTTACGTTTGGGAGAGTAACGACGTCATCGTTCCGGCAGAGCATGGAGCAGGGCCGGGCCCGTCTGGACTTTCGCAGACCCGAAAACCGCCAGTTTTGGCTGGCAGGATACCACTACCTGAAAAGTCTTGTCCGAAAGGGGACATATCGGACGGCCCTGGAGTGGGCCAAGCTTCTTTATGCCCTGGATCCCAAGGATCCCTACGCAATGCGGCATTACATCCATTTCCTGGCCATCAGGGCGCGCGAGTCACGGTGGCTCATCGATTTCATGGACGAAATTGATAGCTTTTGTGATGACAGAGACTTGATCTATCTTCGGCAGAGCCTGGTCCTGGCCAGACTGCAGACGGGCGACGTCGAGGGCGCTCGTGGCCATCTCACGCATGGAATCCAACGGCTGCCGTGGTTGTACTGTTGCATGTTTCAAGAGCTCAATCTCGACGCCCCGCAGTCCGTTTGGGGCGTCAGCTCGGACCCGGACTCGAGATCGTTCTGGGTCAGGCTATACCTGTATCAGACCAAAGAGCTGTGGGACAATGCCCAGGCGACAGCCCTGCTGCAGGATGTAGCAAGGGGCCTGGGCCGAGTCGACGTGGCAGCGCTGCCAAACGACGATGCTCCGGCCGACCTCGGGGCTACCAGGTTGGCCTATCTCGAAGGCCAGACATCCCTGCTAGCCGTGGCACCCAGGGCTCTCTTGGACAGTCAGCCCAACTACGACTTCGACCCTCTGCCGCCGCCGGAGCCAGAAAACATCTTTACGGGAGAGGGCACGCGGTTGCCGTGGAGCGACGGGCAACATCAGAGTCAGGGGCAAAGTGCGGAGCTGCTGGCCCAAATGCGCAACCTGATGGCAGGGCAAGGAGGGCCCGCACCACCCGGCGCCCTCTTTCATGACGACGACAATGACGACGACGAAATCAGAGCGCTCAGGCAGGCCGACGACGAGGAGCTGCAGAGGGACCTGGAAGCGCACGTTGGACTGGCAGACGGACCGGGGTTGCTGGGCATGGTGATGCAGGCACTCGGTATCGGCCGAGACGGAGCCAGGAGGCCCAGCGACGACGTCGCCGACGCCGATGCCGATGACGGCAACGGGCTGCCAGGAGCATGGCCGGCAGAGGATGAAGAAGGGGCGAGAGATGGCCTCTGACGCGAGGTGTCAGTATTTGAAATTAAGGAAGGGCGGGATGACGGGATTGGCTTGAGTGGTGGTGAAGTGTCCGTGTTTTGTTGCAATATGAAGACGAATCAAGGTTGGAAGGCCTCGAAGCCAAGCCGGGCGATGATTCGGGAGAGGCGAGTGTCCGACATGAGGCAGAATGTGTGGGGTTGCAAGTGGGATCGGGGCATGACTTGAGTGTTGCTATGCCTCGTGATACACAGCCAAGCATACATACTGTAGGGAGTTGCCAGCAAAGCACGGAGAGGATGGCATGCTAGAGCCGATTAGGAAGCCAGCCGTGAGCCTGGCGTCGGCATTGCAGGGCCCGGACGGGACCGAGCGACCCTGTCTGGATGTATGGGCAGCCGACCGGGGCCTTTATTGTCTCTTCTGGAAGCCAAGTACCGAGCGGCCTGAGTCATGAGGAAGCATTTCTTGTATTTTACCACGGGTAATTGCGAAGCCGCCCGGGGGCATACGAGATTCGAGAATACGTGCCGAATCATGAATGGGCTCGGCTCGGCTCGCGGAAGGATCACGGGGGGCAGCGAGGGTCGCCTTATTTGCTGTTACCGTTTACAGCGCGAGAGGAGAGCAGTGCAGTGACAATGAGCTGGGAGGGCGATGAGGAGGAAAAATTTGCCCCGAGGCGGGCTGGGTAATCAAAAGGGCTGAAACCTTGCGGCTAGGTTTAATGTGGTGATGCGGGGAGGGAGTCGCAGAAGAGGGCTGACCGATGCCCAAAGGGGATAACAGGCGCCCGGTGCTTCCACAGCGAAACGCGGCCGGAGGGTTGATCCGGCGCCGGGGAGCCCAAGGAGGCTGGAAGGCTGCACGCGTGGCGGTGGGCGGAGGAGCGAGCGAGACAAAAGACGAGGAAAAGTGGAGACGGACGGAGAGAGAGAAGAACCTTAACGAGTCAAGCATGGGGCTTAAAGGTCGACACAGTAGGTACCTAAGTAGGTTAGTACCTACCTAGGCAGGGAAGGTCGTGTGTGTGGTGTACTGTACTGTACTGTACTCCGTATGGATAGGTACAGTACGTGCCTAGGTAGGTACTTACTAACCCTGTACAGCAGGTGTTTAAGTACCTACCTGAGTCTGGGTACCTACACTACACTGTCAGGTACCTATCTATCTGAGACCTAGTACCTACCTTGGGTACCTTAACCTACCTTACCTGCCGCTTTGCGCAGAGGCCCTCAGCCCTGGGCCCTGTACGGGCCACTCAGGGACGGCAGCAGCCCTGTGGGCGCGGCACGGGCGTCGCCCAATAAAACGAACAGTGGAGCCCCCAAAAAATATCCCACTGGGGGCCAGCAACACCAGAACTCTCGGCCGCCGATCGCCTGCTAACTGTACGTCTCCCGCCGGAGCGACGGACGAGCGACGGAGGAAATCATTTATACCAAGATTGCGCGAAGCATGCAAGTACCTGCGTTATCTGCATACCTAGACGCCTAGGCATATCCGCACATTTCATCCCTTCCCTTGCTCGTCTTTGCTTGGCACCCACGCACACGCCCGCCTTTTCGCCTCAAGCACCCGCCATCCAATGCCGGCTCTTCCCACCGCCCCGCCTATACCTGACCTTATACTCTAACGAGAGCCAACTGTTTGTTTCGTTGGACTGGCGAGATCCGGCCGGGCAGGTACAGCAGGAACAGAAAGAACAGCCAGGGCTGTCATGGGCGACGTCGCGTTTTCTCGAATTTGATTCTTTTTTATTCCACCCTCGGTGTCCCGCTGCCTCTTGTCCTGCTTTGGTCCGTCCTCGTCACGCTGTCTCTCTCTATCTCTGTCCTTCGCTCTCCTCCTCTTTCTCTCCTTTCATCTCTCTCTCTCTCTTTCTCTCTCTCTCTCTCTCTCTCTTCATCTCCCTCCCTTGCCTTGACAAAGATCCCCCCTCGTCATCGACCATGGCCGCCAAGCCAAGGATGCAGATATAACCCTGTCGACAGCCCAGAGCAAGCACTCTGCCCTCGTCTCTCCCGCTCCCGCACGGCCGGTCGCGGCTCCGAACCCACTGACTCGACCTGACTCGGCGCCCTGGATCCCCTGTCGTCCGCCGTCCGCCCATTGTTCGAATCTGCCGCGTAACAATGACCTGCGAACCTCCTGCGCCCCTGCGATTCCCATCTTCCTCCCAGTGTCAGGGCCGCCGCTGCTTGGCTTTCCCGCCGCCTCGACGCCGCGCGAGGAGCACCACCGACTGAAGCAGGGGACTAATCACCTTGCCATGCACGCCTTTCCACCGCCCCCGTTGCCGCAACCGCCGCCGCCGCCACCAACCGAGTCGGCGGCTGCCCGTCCGCTGTCCTCGGCCGCCAGTCTACGTGGCGAGGGCCCCTTGGACGGCAACCCGTCTCCGACCCGCCAGCTCTCGCCTCCCCCCGGTCCCCATCCCCATCCCCATCATCACCACCACCAGCAGTCCCAGCCCACGTCGCTCGGACTGCCATCGCCACATCCCTCGCAGCAACTGCAGCTACACCAGGCCCGCAGCGTCAAGCGGCCCCGGCCCGTCAAGTCGTGTACGGAGTGCCGCAAGCGCAAGCTCAGGTGCGATCGCATACTACCTTGTTCGCAGTGCCAAAAATCAACCCGGGCATGCAAATATGCTGCAGACCAGGACTCGGCAAACCTCTCGGATGGCTCCGACGTCGACACCTCCGAGCCGAACCGGCCCCCTAAGCGCGGCTGTCCCTCGGCATCCTCGGGCGCTGCCGGCTTTGCCAACAACGACGCTGCCCACACGCCGGCCAAAAATGGAGAGTCTCCGAGCCTGCCCCTTCTAGAGGAGCTGTCGCTGCGGATGGAACGTCTCGAGAAGCAGGTTCGCGTGCGCAGCCCCGGCACCGACTATAGCGGCGGACGGGCCATTGCTGCCTCTCCCAGCACCACCAGGGGGCTGACGGTCAAGCGCGAAGCTCAAGGCACACGTTTCTTTGGCCAAAACAGCACTCGCGTCTTGCTGAACCTGGTGAGCATATTCCCGCCGTCTCCGTCGACCAAGGCATCCATGCTGACCCTTCCCCCGAGTTCGACGATGCCAAGGCTTTGATATCCCACCAGCGCAACGCGGCCAGCAACTCGGAGCTCTTCTTCAACCTCCAGGCTCTGCACCGGACCTTGCAGGATAACCTGCACAATGCCATGACCCCCATCACCGTCTTTGTTGACTCCATGATGCCAGTCCACAAGCGAATGACGGATATTTTGCCCAAGAAGCCGGTTTGCGACCGCCTCATTGCCTCCTATTTCAATACTTCCGAGAACATATACCGCATCGTCCACGTGCCCACCTTCTATGAGCAGTACGAGCTCTACTGGGAAGGCAAGCTGCAGTCGGAGTCGTTCCTCCCCCAGCTGCTGTCGGTGCTCTCCATCTCATCTCGGTTCGAAACCAAGTCCAAGGGCTTGGGCCATGAGCGTGTGGAAGGCGTACACATCCCGACGGCTTATGCCCTCGTACGCATTTGGCTCGACGGCCTCAAGGGAAAGCAGCTCGTGGAGATGACAACTCTGCAGGTGGAGCTGTTGCTGCTGTACGCACAGCGGATGATCACTCCCCGAGCCGAGGACTCGTGGACACAGCTGGGCTTCGTCGTTCGGCTGGCCATGACCATGGGCCTGCATCGGGACCCGTCCGAGTTTGAGCCCCGCATCAGCGTCTTTCTCGGCGAGCTCCGGAGGAGGCTGTGGTTCACCATTGTCGACATGGACCTTCACATGTCTCTGGCCTGCAATCTACCTTGTCTGGTCCGAGAAGGAGACTTTTCTTGCCGGCCGCCTCGGAACCTCAATGATTCGGAGCTGTTCCTGGGCATGCAGGAACTGCCGCCGACGAAGCCGATTGACCAGGTGACGGACAATCAAATGCAAGTGTACGCCGCCATGACTCTGGGGGTGCGGATGCGGGTGGCGCCGCTCATCAACCGCATCGACACGATGCGTGACTATCAAGAGGTGGTCGAGGTCGGGGCCAAGCTGGAGCGGTTCCTCGACGACATCAACTACGTCTTCCCCCGCCACGGCATCGTCAACGACTCGCAAAAGAGCAAGCAGTGGAGATGCCGCGTCGTCCTCGACATGCACGTCCGGCGTCCGCTGCTGGCCCTGTACCGGCCCCTGGCCATGGGAGTGGCGGACGTCCCCCCCCAGATATCCCGGGCGTACTTGAAATCCTCCATGGTCATCCTCAAGTACCTCGACGAACTCGACCCCCACCTTGCGCACTTCCAGGAGATTGCCGAGATGTATCACCAGATCCTCAAGCGAGACATCATCCAGGCGGCCCTGAGCGTGTGCTTCTACATCCAGTGTGCCGTCCGCCCCAATTCGGAGGGCCTGGTGCTGGGCCAGCAAGCGCTGCGGGTGTCGCCGGACAGTTCGGACGATTATCCGTCGTACAAGGCGGAAGACCTGATGCTATGGTCGCCGGCGCGGCTCATCGAGACGGTGCAAAAGACGCTGGACCTGCTGATTGCCAACATCAGCGGGAGCGACATCAAGGACATTATCTGCATTGCCTTGGTGCTGGAGACGGTCAAGTCCCCGGAGCCTAGGCCGCAGGACATCACGCGCGAGCTGTATGGCGTTCTGGACGCCTGCCTGAGGGCGTCGAACCTGACGCGGGACAAGATCCACGCGCGCGTTGACGGCTATTCGTCGGGAAACTACGGCCAGGGTCGGTCGCCGTACGGATACTCGGGGCACGGTGGCGGCTCAAATAGCTCGGCGGGCATGAGAGCGTCTGGAACCATTAGCGACTTTGGAGGATGGATCATGTGGGAAGGGTGGGACTGAGAAGCCTACATGTAGCCTGCGTCGGCTGCCGCCATGCGCGGCGTCTCTTTGCAGACGCTTCGTTGACTCTTATTCTAGAGTTGGATATATCGATTATCGGCCGTGCGCGCCAGGAACCATGTGGGCCGGGCTGAGTATCTCGTCTCCTGTTGCCATTTGGCCGATAAAAGGGCAAAAGTTTGACCGGTAATGCGGCGTACGGAGAATCCAAGGAGCCTTGGGAGGTGACTGGAAAGAAAAGAAGGGGTGTTTATTTTGGGCGGATGTGGTGAGGCGCATAGGGGACGGAGTGAGTGAGTGAGCGAGTGAGTGCGTTGAGTATCTAGCGGGATATCAATGCTGGTAGTGAAAACCAAGGCAAGCCGCTGCCATCTGCAAACCTCCGTGCCGTCTCTTGATCTTTGTCGGATGCTCGTTTCGTCCTTTCCTCTGCTTTGAAAAGGATAGAGTACCCGAGATGTGACGAATCAATCAATTCACAAGGACGGGCGACTTGCCATCCCACTGGCTGGACTCGGCGGCGGTGACGAGCCATCCGGCGACGCTGCTCCGCGTTATCGTGGGATTCCAGCCACAGCCCGAGCCGTCGTCGGGCAACGCCTTGACGTGGCGGGCGACGCCGTCGACGAGCCTCGCGGGGCGGGCCAAGACAAAGGGGCGGCCGCTGCGGCGGACGAGCAGGTCCATGTCGTCGTGGTCGCGCAGGGTGAGGCGCATGGTGCTATAGCGGAAGAGGAGGCGCGTGGGCCAGGCCATTGCGTGCCAGGAGGCGCCGACGCCGAGGCTCGAGTTGACGACGATTTTGGGCTGCTGCCGCCGGTGGGACGGGGAGACGCGGTCCAGGGCGGCGAGGAGGACGCGGGCGGTGCGGGCGAGGAGGTCCGGGGGCGAGTCCGGGGCGAGAGGGGAGAAGGGGTTCTCCGAGGTGCGGCGCGGGTTGAGGGCGGTGATGATGGCGGCGGGGGGGAGGGGGGTGCGGAGGGCGGCCTCGACGTTGGGCTGCGCGGTGGGCGAACCTGTGGACCGAAGGAAGGGTTGGGGTTGTTAGTCGACTGCATTGCCCACTGTGGTCTTGTTCTCGAGACGAACCTTGGAGGACGGTGAGGCGAGGGTGGGCGCGCAGAGAGGCGTGGTCGCGGACGAGGGCGGTGACGCTGTGGCCGTTTTGCAGGGCGGCGTCGATGGCGAGGCGGCCGTTGCGCCCGCTGCCGCCCGAGACGTAGATGTGCATGTCTCTCTTGTGCCTTGGAGCAGCGAGGGCGAGGGTGTTGGAGTACGCTCGTCAAACCACTGAGCTGAATCTGAGGAGAGTCCGGGATTGGTGGGGGGGCAAGTAAGTTGCTTGGCCTGTGAGGTGGACAAGAGGACTCTTTTATAGTCCATGGTTTGCTCCCTCGCTCTCGAGTAAATTCGCACCCGCAAACCAAGGAAATGGGCATTTGTCATTTCCGCAGATATAAACCCTCCTTTGCCGGGCCACGGAGCCACAGGCCCCCCGCCGTCCGCCGGACTTTGCTTGGTGGACAAATCCCGGAGCCGGGAGGGGGGCCGGGGCGGGACCAGCGCCTCCTCGGCCGAGAAGACGTCGAAAGCGGAGCCGCGACGACTCGGCCGGAAATTTGGGGTGGGGAAGGTGGGGAAACATGGAAGGCGGGGGGGGAGGCCGCAAAGACCAGCGAGGCAAAAAGCCCGACTTCCCTCTCTCTCGCTCTAGGCGGGCGAGCCGGGTCGGAGTTTTTTTTGCGTGCCCGGATGGGGGATGACTGCGCGTGCGTGGGCTTAGTAAGACCTGGACAGATGCAACCTCGGTGAGCGAGCCTCGGCACCTGTGGTTTTATTCTCCGTCTTCCCCGCATGCTGTCAGGGCCGTTGCACAACCCTCTATTAACGAATCGATGGACTGACGGGCTGGGAACTCGTCGCTTTTCTATTTCCTTCTCCTTCTTCCACTCCTTCTTCCTCTTCCTCTTCTCTCTGGCTGCAAAGGGGCATCGTCGCACACGAGTACTTGTCCTCGTGTCACCACCACTAACCAACGCAGGGCATAACCGGAGCCCGATCCTCCCCCCTCGTTCATTAAGCGACGACGACAGCACCCGCCATGGCCAAGCCAAAGTCGCCCGTCTACGTGCTGGGCGTCGGCATGACAAAGTTCATCAAGCCCCGCGGCACCGTCGACTACACCGAGCTGGGCTTCGAGGCCGGCGTCAAGGCCCTGCTCGACGCCCGCATCACCTACGACGACGTCGACCAGGCCGTCGCCTGCTACTGCTACGGCGACAGCACCTGCGGCCAGCGCGTGCTGTACCAGTTCGGCATGACCAAGATCCCCGTCTACAACGTCAACAACAACTGCGCCACCGGCAGCACCGGCCTGGCCATGGCGCGCTCCCTCGTCGCCGCCGGCGCCGCCGACTGCGTCATGGTCGTCGGCTTCGAGAAGATGATGCGCGGCAGCCTGCAGAGCCACTACAACGACCGCGAGAACCCGACGGGCACCACCGTCGCCATGATGGCCGAGACGCGCGGCATTGAGACGGCCCCCGGCGCCGCCCAGATGTTTGGCAACGCCGGCCGCGAGTACATGGAGCGCCACGGCGCCGTGCCCGACGACTTTGCCGAGATTGCGCGCATCAACCACGCCCACTCGCCCAACAACCCCTACTCGCAGTTCCAGCACGTCTACTCGCTCGACGAGATCAAGGACGCGCCCACCATCTTCGCGCCCCTCACCAAGCTGCAGTGCTGCCCGACGTCCGACGGCGGCGCCGCCGCCATCCTCGTCTCCCAGGCCTTCCTCGACGCCCGCCCGCACCTGCGCGCCCAGGCCGTCGAGATCGCCGGCCAGTGCCTCGCCACCGACGCGCCCAGCCTCTTCTCCCGCAGCGCCATCGACCTCATGGGCTACGAGATGACGCAGCACGCCGTCGGCGTCGCCATGGCCGAGGCCGGCATCGCCCCGCCCGACGTCCAGGTCGTCGAGCTGCACGACTGCTTCAGCGCAAACCAGATGGTCGCCATCGATGCCCTCGGCCTCTGCGAAAAGGGCAAGGCCCACGAGCTCGTCCGCCGCGGCGACATCACCTACGGCGGCCGCTACCTCGTCAACCCCTCGGGCGGCCTCATCTCAAAAGGCCACCCGCTCGGCGCCACCGGCATCGCCCAGTGTGCCGAGCTCGTCTGGCACCTGCGCGGCTGGGCCAACAACCGCGCCGTCCCCCGCACCCGCCACTGCCTGCAGCACAACCTCGGCCTCGGCGGCGCCGTTGTCGTCACCGTCTACCGTCGCGCAGACGGCCAAGAGGCCCCCGTCGTCGACTCCGAGACCGTCGGCCGCCAGAACGGCCTCGGCTACAACCCTGCCGTCGAGGCAAAAGGCTTCACCGCCAGCCAGGCTAACTCGGTCCGCAGCCAGCGGGCTCCCAGCGATTGGGCGTTGCAGGACACGCTGGAAAAGGTCCAGGCCAAGTTTTGAGCTTGACGTACATACAATGGCAAAGATGGGCAGAGCCGAAGACTCGGGCCGAGTCTGGCCGACGACACTGCCGACTTTGTCTGCTTCACGGTTCCGCCCGTGCTATTTCTGTTTATGCTGTAAACGTAAGGATATTGTATGTATGCGCGTACATGTCCATCGATTGTTTCCATAGCAAAACCGCAGCTGCATGTACGCATTGAACCTGCAGCGGCAGAGGGGAAAAAGGAGCTTGTCATGTCATGACATGCCGGTCGAAATTTCCGCTGGGCCATATCTTTGTCGTGTTCCACAGCTCGACTGGCAGCCTTGTCAGGCAAACTGTGCATATAAAACGGAGAGGCCCTACCGGATAGGGGGCTCGTGGCTCGTCACCTTGTTGACCTCGCAAACACTCGGCAGTGCGCGCACATCATCATCACCATGACAAGCTCGTGTGTCGCGCTTACCCCCATCCCCAGGCTTCTGCCCGGGATGCGGTACTGGACATGGACCGATGTTCTGCCCGACGCGAACTCGCCGGCCATGTAACTCTATCACCGTGGACAGGCCCCCAAAGGGCTCTTTGGAGGCTCTTTGTGGGGTTTCTGAATTCTACTGATGGAATATCCTGATCACGGCCGACGATGAGGTCATGCAGGCGACCCGGACGACGCATATGCAAGGGTAATTGGGTGTGTATGTACGGAGCATGCATTTAGCCGATACGGACCCTGCTAGAAGGAACCGACGACGCCACTGGGAAGGAACTCCACGTTATCAATCAGGATGATTCAGCAAAAGAAGGCAACGAGGCTGACGAGGTGGGGATGACAAATGGACAAAGCAAGGGCACCGCGGGGTTCGGATACAAAGTACCGACTACCAGTGCGTGATTGAGCATGTTTCAACGAGGCTCTGTGAACCGAGAATAATAAGACAAAGCGCCTGACATTCTTGTTTTTAGTTGTTGGTTTGGCCAGATTGCACCGCTGCGTCACTGTCATACCTTGCTGTCCGTCACTGCGCTGGACCCTGTCGGCGACGCACGTCCGCCCAAGTCTCATCATATAAACTGCCTCATTCCCCTCACCCAGCGCTCTCTCTCTCCGCATCCATCACCGGAATCCATCGTCTCGCACCCCGACAAGCCAACACACACCTCGTATTCATCCACCACCACCGATCACCAAGCAAACCGACACCATGGCTGAGACGCACACGTACGACTTCAGCATCACCATGACCTGCGGCGGCTGCTCCGGCGCCGTGGACCGCGTCCTCAAGAAGCTCGACGGTTAGTCTCATCCTTGTCTAGACGCAGCAGTCTCCCTTTCCCCGCCCAGGTGCTGTTCCTGAGCTGACTGTCTTCATAGGCGTCGAAAGCTACGACGTCTCGCTCGAGAACCAGACGGCCCATGTCGTCACCTCGTTGCCGTACGAGACGGTGCTGGAGAAGATTGTCAAGACGGGCAAGAAGGTCAACTCGGCCAAGGCCGACGGCGTGGAGAAATCGGTCCAAGTCCCCGCCGCAGCATGATCAGCGCTCGACGAGGACTACGATGATGCTCGAAAGCCAAGGGGCAACCTATTCTGGAGGACGGCGGAGCGTGAATCTCGTGGGTATTGGGCTGGCTGGGACACGGAACCTCTGACGCACGCCGTATTCTTCCCATGTGTGCCGTCGGGACGAGATGGCGGGGAGGAGCCTATATATCCTTGATTTTGGGGCAAAGAGGGGACGCAGTGCGATATCCGGGCCGGGCAAAGGGAGGAATCCGTAGCTCATGGCTGCCCCGGTCCGACGGCTGAATAGACGAGGCTTGATTCCTTGGACGGTGCAAGTGACGGACAAGAAACAGATGCCGATCCATGGCCAAGCAACCAACATGTCTGGGCACTCGACGGCCTCCCGGCAGGCAGTGGAGGCATCAAGTGCGGGGGAAAGAAACAAAGAAACAAAGGGCGTCGTCCGGGCAAGGCCGCGGCACCGATCAGCTACCCCTCTCTTCTTCCTCTTCCTCCGTCCTCCTTCGGCCCCGACGGCGGCGGAGCCAACACCGAACCATTGGATGCAGGGCACATGCACGCCTCCTCAACCGCCCGGCCCCGCTGGCCCGTTTTCGCTTCCTCTTCGCCGAGCCCACGTGTCCAGTATCCGCTGATTCCGTCGATGCGTCATGCCGTCTGATCTGACCTGGTTCCGACCCGCGCGCTGCATTCTGGCGTGTGGCATGATTGCATCCATCATCAATGTGGCGTGGCTTTATCGTGGCCTGATAACCGAGGCCTGGTGGGCCTCGACCAGGCCTCGGCTCCTCTTCGTTCTTGGCCCGGCTTGCTTCATGAAGCTTCCCATCCCCCCCCCTCCCATCCCTTGTCTCCTCATTTCCTGTCGACACACTCACTGGCTGTATCGTACGTCATTGTACGACTCTTCTGCACCTCTTTCCGGTGGTCAGGTCCTCCGTTTCCTCTCTCCAGCATCCATAAACGTCCCATCTCCCCCTCCGCCGTCCTTGACAAGCCTTGCCTACACAACCCCGTTTCCCATTCTTCGGACTCTCTTATTTGCCAGATAATTGCCCGTCTGGTCTCTGCCGTCTTCGTTGTACACCTATACGCATTCCTCCCCCACGGGCTTGCATCAACCGTAGACTCATACAAGGCAACTCATAACACGCCGAGTGCCGTCAACTCGAACCCCGAGACCGCCTCCTGAACACAATGGCGTCGCCCGAGATCCCCAAGGAGCAATGGGCCCAGGTGTTGGAAAAGACGGGCGGCCGTACGCCTTCCCCTTCCCCCTTTCCCGGCATGTTGCCGCCACGCATCGTGCCACCAGTCATCTGACGTTGAGACGGGGGAACTCGTCGCCGGACAGCCGTCGAATACAAGAAGATCCCCGTCCCCAAGCCCGGCCCTGATGAGGTCCTCATCAACGTCAAGTATTCGGGCGTCTGCCACACCGACCTGCACGCCTTGCTCGGCGACTGGCCCATCCCCACAAAGCTGCCCCTGGTCGGCGGCCACGAGGGGGCCGGCGTCGTCGTGGCCCGCGGCGACCTCGTCAAAGACGTCGACATTGGCGACCACGCCGGCATCAAGTGGCTCAACGGCAGCTGTCTCAACTGTTCCTTCTGTCACCAGGCCGACGAGCCGCTCTGCCGCAAGGCCCTCTTATCTGGCTACACCGTCGACGGCTCCTTCCAGCAGTATGCCATCGCAAAGGCCGCCCACGTTGCTCGCATCCCCAAGGAGTGCGACCTCGAGGCCGTCGCCCCCATCCTGTGCGCCGGCATCACCGTGTACAAGGGCCTCAAAGAGTCCGGCGCCCGCCCCGGCCAGACCGTCGCCATTGTCGGTGCCGGCGGAGGCCTGGGCAGTCTGGCGATCCAGTACGCCAAAGCAATGGGCCTCGATGTCATCGCCGTCGATGGCGGCGACGAGAAGAAGAGCCACTGCCTCAAGCTCGGCGCAAACACCTTTATCGACTTCCAGACCACCGTCGACATCAACGCCGACGTCAAGGCCGCCAGCCCGGACGGCCTGGGCCCTCAAGCCGTGCTCCTCGTGGCCGCCCAGGAGACGCCTTTCCAGCAGGCCACCCAGTACGTGCGCCCGCACGGCACCATTGTCTGCATGGGCATGCCCGCCCATGCCAAGATCAGCGCGCCAGTCTTCGAGACCGTCGTGCGCATGATCTCCATCAAGGGAAGTTATGTTGGCAACCGCGCCGACACCGCTGAGGCGCTCGAGTTCTTCCGTAAAGGTGTCATCAAAGCCCCTTACAAGACGGTTGGCCTGAGTAAGCTCCAAGATGTCTACCATATGATGCAAGACGGCAAGATTGCCGGACGTTACGTCGTTGATACCAGCAAGTGAGCCAATGACTCTTGATCTCGGTCATGGCCATGGTGATGTGTTGTTGGGTTTCCTGGCGTTGGTCACTACGGTTGCCAGTGGGCGGCGAAAGATGTTTCTGCGTGTTGCGTTGCACCATGACAACTATTTCTTGGTTAATTGGGTTTGTCAAACGTGGGTTCATTCATGCTGTGTAAAGTTGGCCAGTTGCAGCTGAGCGATACATGCTATTTATTGTGACGAGTCAGCGCCCAACAAGCAACCACATGGAGCTGGTGCCTCTCAACTTGTCAAACTGTGCATTGTATTCTTGTAGGCCCCTTCGCCAGACAAGGAGCAGGGCAATTCATCATGTCGACTCGGCTGCCAGTGGCTTCCCGCAGGCTGGCCCCCTGATATGGCGAGTCGAGCTTTTCTCGGTTATCATGGTCTCTAGCTTGTCCTCAACCCTACTTACACACGGTCCAGCCTCGCCTGAATCTCGCTATCCGCTCGTCCGCTAGCTGTGACAGGTAGGGGGCATATGAGCTCAGGCCTTGACCGCAAAGACTCTACGGAGATCGATTGTTTCCCGCATCCCTCGCTGAAATTATTCCCATCTCTATGAACCGCCGGGTCCACCCAGCAATGCAAACCTCCGCACGATGCTCGGGCCGTACTCTTGATACTGCGTACGTGTTAGCCGCTTCAGCCCCTGCAACAAGCATGCACGCCTGTCTTCTTACCTCCGCCTTGGTGTGGCAGTAAGAGCGGAATTCCGGAGTCTGGCCGAGCAGACTGCCGCCGAACCAGGGGCCATGGCGCTGCCTCTTGTGTGTGATGACTTGGACCTCCAGCCCGCCGCTTCGGGCACCGCCGCTGCGCACCTCGCTTGCCCGGATCCGAGCGTCCACCAGTTGCTTGATGTCTCTCTGTAAACGCCTGCCAAAGTCCTTGTAGAGCGTGCTTCCACCGGAGAGGACAATGTTCTTGTACAGGCCTCGCCGAACATCGATCGGTGACTGTTGGATGACGCCATCGACGACAATGGGCAGTGGCGTCAGGAAGTCGGAGCTGTAAATCTCGGGATTGAAGAATATCTCGGGGGCCAGGAATCGTTCGTAGCCGACGTCAACATTGACTTGGCGGCCGCCGGGGTGGGTGACGAGGTGCTTTGCGAAGCGTTCGCGATCGCGGTCGTACTTGGCGAATTCCTTGACAATGTCTGGGCAGACATAGCAGTACTCTTCCTTGATTTCCTGCGCCGTCTTGAGCGACGAGTCGGGCTCGCCACGGTCTCGTAGAAGAGACTGGACAAAGTAGGTGATGTCACGGCCTGCGATCGGTATCGACTTGATCGAGGATCCGATGACGTATCCTTCCGCAACGGGTATGACGTGGGTGACCCCGTCGCCAGAGTCGATCACGGTTCCCGTCAGGGACCGATCTGTGACCTTGGAGGATGTCCACGACGCCGCCAGGGCCAGCACAGCCTGCACCGCGATGTACATGCCGGCGCAGTTGAAGGACTCGAAGAAGATTTCGGCCGTGTTTTCTCGGTTTTCCGGAGGGTTCAGGGGCTAGTCATGTAAGTATACGTCGCTTCAAAGGACGGAGTGGTCGTTGGGGCGCTTACAGGTTCGGTCAGGAGGAAATAATGGTCTTCGGGCTCGACTCTGAGGTACTTGAAGATGGAGTTTGACCAAAATCGCTCCATGTGGTCCTACATAGCGTCAGCGGGCCGAGACTAGGTAAACAAAGCTGGTAATCTTGCCTACCCAGTTTTCTATTTGGCCGTGACGAATAGGGTAGTGAAGACCGTATCCTAGGTTCATCAGCTCCAAGGTTCGACGGGGTTTTGACAGGCAAAGCCGACGAACCAGGTCCCGCGGCAGCGCCCAAGGCAGCGTCACCAATGTAAAAGTCCAGGTCTTCGGTGCCTCTCTTGGAGCTCAAGTGACTGCTGCCGGGCCCAGCACCTCCGGTGAGAAACGAAGGCTTGTTCGCGACGGATGGTCGGCCGGAGCCGGAGCCGCCGCCGCCGCCGGCAGCAGGACCTTTGGTCGCGATGGCAGTCGGGAAGACGAAGGACGGCGAGTCATTTCCGGCGAAGCCTGTGAAGCATGTCGTCAACCAGACGCGGCGTACGCGACAGCGGCGCTCAGCGTACCTAGTTTGGAGAACCCCGTGCCGCTGGTGATGGCTGGTCAGCTTCCGTCGTGGTGCGTGCGACGTCGTCGACGGGCGATGCGGGGTTGGGAGTGACGGTCAAGGTGGGAAGAGCTCGCTTACTTGTCCATGACAACGGCAGGAGTTTGGTTCGCCATGGCGGGCGGCGATGGGGGGCTGCAAGAGGCTGGGGCAAGGCGGGCGACGACGAGGGCTGGCTGATGCGCGATTGAGGCCGTCGAGCAATGCTCGCTGGCTGGATTGAAGGAGGCACCGGGTACTATGTATGTAGGTAGGTAATTACGGAGGTCGTCACTTGTAAAGTGGGGTGTGTTAATTACGATACAGCGATAAAAGATTGGCCTGCTGCTAGGTACTGCACGCTGTACTGTTACAGTGGTGCAGCTAATTATTGCGGGCTGCTTAGCGGTCGGGGCCTTACGCGTCTCCCCGGCAGTCGGCGTGTGCACCTATCGGGGCACTCGATGTTCCTGCCGGCCGTCACCTGGCCAAGAAAGGCGACTACTTCGCCAGTTAATGAATGGTCCTGCGAATAGGGAGAAATAGCTACTCGCATTCATCGTTACGTGCCGTGCTTCACCAGACGCCGACGACTGCGAATCAGTCGCTCGAGAGACCCTCGAGGCATGGTCGTCTCTGACAAGCACCATCTGCCCTGGGGCTGGCATTTCCGTCTAATCGCTGGCATATCCGCTCGCCCTGTCTCGACATCCAGGCACCTGCCTCCAAGGACGTCGGCTCGGTTCTGGCTCGCAACTGCTCTCTCGCCTGCTGCAGCCCCTGCTGGCGCTCGACACCCAGGGTAGGCTGTGCTGTTGCTGATGCGTGTCGAGGTCGAGGCGTTGCACAAGATCCTCGTCTCCTTTGGGTCCTTGGGACTCTCCGTACTCCTAAAGCAAACCCGTTTTTGCCGCATCTTTCCCGCTCAGCATCCTTAATCCCATGGACCGCAACTATCCATGCTCATGATTCCCGTTAAGCATGGGATCCTGCAGCCACGATGCCGGTTCAATAATGGCCCAGAACCAGTACGGCACCGACGGCGCTCTCGATCGAGTGCTTCGCCTCGGCCAGAAGCAAAAGTCGACCCCCGCCATCTTCATCCACGCCGGTGCCGGCTTTCACAGCCACCAGAACGAGCGTGTCCATCTCAAGGCCTGTGTCTCGTACGTTTGCCCTCGTTCCCCATGGGTCACTCCCCGGCTGACGGCATGCCCATCAGGGCGGCTGAAATGGGCATGCGATTTCTCAAGGCCGGCGCCACCGCTACCGAGGCCGTCGAAGCCGCTCTCCGGATCCTCGAGGACAAGGAAATCACAAACGCCGGCTTTGGTTCCAACCTGTCCATTGACGGCACAGTCGAGTGCGATGCCACCATTGTCGACCACCTCGGCCGCAGCGGCGCGTGTGGAGCCGTTCCCAGTTGGCTTTCCCGGACCCCTTTCAACCAAGGCGGGAGTGCTAACCAGACATGCAACAGATATCCGAAATCCCATCTCTCTTGCAAAGCTCATCCTCGACACCAGCAACATGCCACTGAGCCTTCGCCGCGTACCCCCAAATGCCCTCGTCGGAGACGGCGCCAGAGCTTTTGCCGAGGAACACGGCATGCCGACCTTTGCAAACGAGTATCTTGTCTCCAAGAACTCTCACGATCGTTTCTTCCGCTGGCAAGAGGACCTGATGCGCGCCGAGGGTCGGATCAAGGACACCAAGCTCAGCCCTGTTCCGGTCCCGAAAGCAATGGCCTGTGTTCCCTGTCAATATGACACGGCAGCGGCCTTGGATCCCCACAGGCGTTTTCCTCGTGAACATACAGCCGCGATACTGGCCGGCACGTGGAACGAAGGCCAGATCGATTCTCCGTATGCCGGCACGCCCCTTCCCGAATCCTCAAACTTGCCCGAGTCCGCAGTCTTCTCAGGCCATTCCCGTCCCCTAGGTTTGTCGTTGCCGCCGGCGTCGCGTTCTTCCTTGCAGATGCCAATGTCGCAGACGCCCCTGACTCCTTGCAAGTTTCCTGACACCAAGAAGGACGGAGTCTTGTCCGCCAAGCCCAAGGGCAACGAGAAATGCGCCGATGCCTTGTCGGCTCCAAGAAACAAAGTCGAAGAGGAGGGCTTGGATGACGATGAGGATTTTGAGCCACGTCACGATGGCTCAGCTACCCCTCAAAGCTACCCTGGCACCAGAGGCACCGCGTACTTTGACAACAACCTTGAACTCGATGCTTCTCGAGATCTTAAGCGATCGGACAGCGCAGCGACATCAAGTAGTGCCCTCGATGGCCGAACCGCCATGCGTGTCCACTTTCTGACTGTTGCCCAAGAGGACCTCGTCACGGACACTATCGGTGCCATAGCAATCGACGAGCGGGGCCAGATTGCTGCAGGGTCTTCATCGGGCGGCATCGGGATGAAACACCGTGGACGGCTCGGCCCAGCCGCCCTCGTGGGCATTGGCACCGCCGTCGTACCGTGCGCCGAGAAAGACGAAGAGGGAGTGACTGTTGCTGCCGTCACGAGCGGCACGGGAGAGCACATGGCGACCACGATGGCTTCCCAGAGGTGTGCCGAAAGGTTATACCAAGGAACTCGTCGCGGTCCGCGCGGTTTCGACGTTGAGGAATACGACGAGGATGCCATTATGGAATCGTTCGTCGCCGACGACTTCATGAACCACCCAGGAGTTCGGCATTGTCATTCGGCCGGAGCGATTGGCGTCATGGCGGTCAAGAAGTGCCGTGCTGGGTACTACTTTTACTTTGCGCACAACACGGACTCGTTCGCTCTCGCGTCCATGGGGGGCCTCGATAAGGAGCCTCACTGCACCATGTCTCGGCTTTCCGAGGGTTCTAAGATTGCCAGAGGTGGACGCAAGATCCAACTGGCCTGAGCTGTTGATGCCGAGTGTTCGTGGCTGCAGTTCCTAGCGCTTGAAGAGAGACGGGAATCGAGAGAAGATTGGGTGGTAAAGTCCCTTACTTGATCGATTTGTATCTCACGAGTAGCCTTACCTCGTTGCACGTAATCCACCTAAGTGTCCCCTTGGAAAACCGTTCCCCAGCATAGACGCGTCACGCAACGGTAATCCCGATTGGCAGCACAAGGTGAGAATCAAACGAGTTGGAAGTTTGGTATAAATGGGACTCTCTTCTTGCCTCGATGCTCTCGGCTGGTATCGTTGAGGCATTACATGATCCGATGCTGCCTCTTTTCCCTTATTCAAATCGATCCATCCAAACGCCGCTCCTCTCGTATGCCTTGTGCAGGGCACGGTCAGTCGAAGAGACCACGTACTATTTCATGTTCTCTGGACCACAAAAAGCACCTGCATCTAGCAACCATGCTAATATCGCAAACGCCATTCCTGTAAGCGACGAGAGGGGCTCGACTGCCAGTATAAAATCCCGGGCCAGACGCTGATGCAAGTCGGAGTGATGTGGCAGCAGGGATAAAACAAGGGGGGGGGGGGTCGAGGTCGTGGCGGCGTCCCTCCAGTCCTCAGGGACGAGGGGTTCCCGCCGCGCTGCCCGTCTCTTCCCTCCCGCTGCCGTTGACAATCCTCTTCTTCTTCTTCTTTTTGCGGGGCACGACGGCAGGCTTGGAACCGTAGTTACCCAGCGCCAGCTTGGTTCCGCACGTCAGGCACTCGGCATTGTCTGGAAGCTCGCAGAAGATGCTCAGGCAGATTGAGCAGACAAAGCCCGTGTCCACGACCTTGCCGTGGCAGAAGCAGGCGGCGCGAAAGTCGACGGTATCGTGCGTCGGGGTGATGAGCAATTTGCGGGCTTCGGTGTCGGCGACAAGGCCAAACATGAGATAGGTCAGCAAGCCCTGAGGGTTGGAGACGGCAAGGAAGGTGCCTTCAGTGTTGAAACAGGCCTGTTGAAGAAAAGTGGCGTCGCCTGCCAGGGCTAGGGTATCGATGGCGACCTGGGCATGAGCAGCGGCGAAGACGGCGTTCATGGTGGGGATGTACTGGGTGGGCTCCGAGTCGGAGACGGAAACGACGAGGATGCGCCCTTTCAAGGGTGGAGGAGCCGTTGTGTTGGGCTGGCCACTGCCAGCCATGCTGGAGGGCGTCGAGCCGAGAGCCTGGGAGGCCTTGTTGATGTGGCAGAGGGCCAGGGTGAGGGCGCCTGATAAGCGCGTCGTCGACTCGTCCATGTCGTCCTGTGTGGTCTCTCTCATGAGCTTCTGCATCGACGCCATGACGGTCGACTCGATGTGGGCGAACTGGGGAAACTTGTTGGCCGAAGACGGAGCATTCTCGGGCGGCGCGTCGCTCATGGACACGTCGCCAGAGGCATCGGGAGAGGCGACACGAGGTGGCGCGGGATAGAGCCAGACGGCGCGGTTGACGTGGGCGGCGATTACGGCGACTTGGTTGACGTTGCTAAAGGCCAGGTGGGCGTTGACGAAGACGAGGATGTTTGCGATGGCCTTTGAAAGCGGCAGTCGGTCGTCGAGAGCGGCCCAGGCGCGCGGGTTGGTGTCGATGACGACGGCGAGCAGGGATGGTGTCTCCTCGACCGTGGAGACTTGGTAGTGGTCGGAGACGTCGACGGCGTCCATGGCGGGCGGGCGGAGAGGCGGACGAGGTCGAAGACGAAGCTGTGGTTGCCTATGCCGGGGAAGAAGCTGGTGGGAGCTGATTCGTCATTGCAGCTGCAAGCCGGGTCGCCGTGGCCCTATGAAGCTTGAATATACCGTAGGAGAGCTTTGTATATATGAACGCGGCTTGAGGTCACGTCGAGGGCATGCTGAGAGCCAACCGCCTGCGCAGTGAGAGCATCAAAAGTTGGAGAAGATGGACAGAAGAGGCAACTGGAGAGGGAGGCGGAGACTCCATTTCCCCGAGAATAAAGGTGGGGTGGGGGAGCGACTTGAGCGGGTACTTGCAGAGCGCGCGACAGAACTGCTGCAGATGAAGTACCTTTTCCGTTAGCTGCATGTAACTCGACAGTGCACCGCGTCCTTGGACAAGTACCTCAGGTCGTCGCTTCACGGCGTTGGAACCTCGACGGCTTCTAAGAGTACCTTGCGATGGAGACTTGCCCGAGTATCTCTTGTTAAGGTTATTTAGATCATCTTGGGTGGCTTGTACCTCAATTCCATCCATCTTCATCCCCTCTTCGCCTCGCATCTTCCTTCACCATCAAGACACATTCGGCCTCTCTTCACCCCCCTCGTCATCCGCGCCCGCTGCTACATGCGTGCGCCATTGCTCCTCCCCTCCCCTCCCGGCTGCAGGCGACTCCGTCAACAGTCATGGCGACTACCATGGAAGAGACCCTGCAGGGTGACGGCCAAGCGTCGTCTCTTGAGGACCAGACCCTCCTCGTCTTTGCCCGCCTGATGGAAGGCGGCCAAGAGGACGAGGAGACGTGCCGAGAGCTCGACGAGCTGACCAAGCTGTTAAACGACGACGCAGAGGCCCAGCAGAGAGACAAGAACGGCCACCAGACCATCTGCAGCGTCATTGACGGAGACTGCGTCGATACCGTCTTGTGCTACCTGGACATGCGGCAGCCAGACATTGTCCGTGGCCATGCCACCCTCACCACCTCGGCATATCTCAAGGCTGCCGGCGACGATGGCTCCAAGAATCTCTCCGCCTTCTTCTTCGACCGCGTCAGGCGGGGCACTTACGACGACTACATTGTCGCATTTTGCGTTGCCTCGGCCATGTTTCCCATCGTGCCCGAGCTGACGGCCGAATTGTTTCTGAGCGAGGGCTTCCTTGGCTCTCTCGGCCGCCTTATGAGACGCGAGTGGAAGAGCCGCAAGGTGGAAACGGCGTGCCTCGAGATGCTCAGCGCAGCCTGCATGAACTCACTCTGCCGGGACGCTGTGCAGAAATACTGTGTCGAGTGGTTGGAGGAGGTGGTGGATCAGGATCCAATGGGCACCGGCAGCAGCCCTAGCCCCGAACCCAAGGTCCAGGGCGAGGGCGGCTCCATCTCAATGAGGCGACACTCGGAGCAAGTGCAACACTTGGCCGCCATCATCTTGGCAAAACTCAGGGTGAGCCATTCCCAGTTGCACTTCTACTTGGCCGGTACCCAGCGAGATGTGTCATTAACGGTCGACTGCTGACTTAGACTGAAGGCGGTCCCGGCCAAGCCGGCGGTGACTGACTCTGCCAAGTCCAGGATCGAGCCTGCAGTGACTAGCATCGAGGACTTATCTGCCTTGTTCACCAAGATCCTGCTGCGGGACGAGGACCAGGACAGACAGAATGCAATCGAGGGCCTCGCCTACTCCTCTCTACAGCCAAAAGTCAAGGATAATGTCGTTAGCAACCAGAAGCTGCTCAAGAAACTCGTCCAGACGCTCGCCGAGGCCCAGCCCAGGTCGCCTACCACCTATGGAGCCCTCAGCGTCTTTGTCAATCTGACGAGGTACCGACCGGTCCTCTCCGAGGAGGAGAAGAAGATGAGCCAGCTTAAGGCGTACGCCAATGCCGCAGGCAAGCTGGCCGGACCAGACCCGCTCGAGGAAGATGAGCAGGTAGCCAAGAGGTGCCAGGCTGTGTTCGAGGCCGGCCTTACTCCCGTCCTGGTCACGCATAGCAAGAACGGATCTCCCGCCTCGATGAGTCTCATTGTCTCCATTCTGCACTCCTTGTCCATGGACAAAAGCCTCCGAGGGCCATTGGCCCAACAGGGGGCGGTGAATCTACTACTTACGGCGTGGGCCATCATACCGGAGTCCGAGGAGGCTGTCCGTCGAACGTCTGGACAGGCCTTGGCGCGGATCCTGATCAGTACCAACCCGGCTCTCGTCTTCGGCGGCAACCGCTCTATCCCCGTCACTGCCGCGATCCGGCCGCTCGTATCCATTGTGCCCCCCGACCCGGCCGCCGAGAAGAGGGATTTGCTGCCAACCTTTGAGGCCCTCATGGCCTTGACCAACCTAGCATCGCTCGACGACGACGAAACGCGCCCCACGATTGTGCGGGTTGCCTGGCCGCACGTGGAGGAGCAGCTCCTGTCATCGAACCACCTCGTCTCCAAGGCGGCCGTCGAGCTGGTGTGCAATCTCATGCAAGCTCCCGAAGGCGTCGTTCTCTACGCCGACGGGAGCCCGCAGGCAAGCGCTCGACTGCACGTGCTGCTGGCACTCGCCGACGCCGAGGATGAAGGGACTCGGAGCGCAGCCGGGGGGGCGCTGGCGTCGCTCACAGGGTACGATTCGGTGGTCCGCGGTGTGGTGCGGCGAGAGCGCGGCGTGCGGGTTCTGCTCGGCATGTGCAACGATGCAGACGAGGGCCTACGGCACCGAGGCGTGGTCACTGTTTACAACATGGTTATGGCTGACGGGGAGACGGGAGAGCTTGCACGGAACAAGTTTAGAGATGAGGGCGGCGTGGAATCGCTCAAGGAGTGCCTGAAGCAGAGTCGGAGGCCAGAGGTGCTGCAGATTACGGTTGAGGCCTTGAAGGCGCTCCTGGAAGACGGCAACACGGCATAGGGATGATAAGGGGGGCGATCTGGAAGTGGAAGGAACGGGAATCTCAAGACTCCCACACCACAAGACACAAGACAATGGGACGACGGAAACAACACGGATTGGGGGGTATCTTTTGTGCATTGGTCCTATATCCTCAGACGCATTTCATAGCCCCGTCATGACTCTTTCTGTTCCCCGGCGCCATCTTGCTGGCCGTCGTGCCTGTTGAGGATGGCGACTCCCTCGACATGGCCCGTCTGGGGGAAGAAGTCGAAGCCGACGAGGCTCTCGAGGCGGTAGGTTGCGCCGCCGCCGTCGCCCCTGACAAGGACGCCGACGTCGCGGGCCTGGGTGTGGACGTTGCAGCTGACATAGAGGACGCGCTTCGGGCCAAAGGCGCTGAGCTGGGCGAGGAAGTCTGCGTCACAGCCCTTGCGCGGCGGGTCGAGGACGACGACAGTCTCGTCGGGCGGATAGGAGACGGCGCCGAACAGCTGGCGGGCGTCGGCGGCGATGAAGCGGCAGCGGTCGTCGCCGAGGCCGTTGAGGGCAGCGTTGCGGCGGGCCGAGGCGATGGAGTCGGCGGAGACGTCGATGCCGGTGGAGTGGCGGAAGACGGAGGCGAGGGCGACGGTGAAGAGGCCGGAGCCTGAGTAGGCGTCGATGAGGTAGCCGATGGCGGGCTCGCCGGGCCGGGCGGGCGGCAGGATGCGGTCCTTGACATAGGCGGTGAAGACGGGGAGGATGGAGTTGTTGTTCTGGAAAAAGGAGCCGGCGGGGTTGGTGAAGACGGCGTCTCCGATGTACTCGGTCGTGGTGGCCTTGGAGTCGGTCTCGCACGACTTGACGTCGACAAAGCCGTCGCCCTCGGACCGGACCGTGTGCGGCGGCAGGTCGTCCGGGCCGGGGGCCGCCTCGGAGGCGTCGGAGGGGTAGCGGCGGGTGTTCTCGCGCAGCAGGATGGTGGCGCCTCGTTGGTAGGAGCCAAATTCGCGCTGCATCCTCTGGCGCTCGCGCGTCATGCCGAGGCGGACGGCGTCTGTGCCGATGGGGCAGTCCTCGATGTCGATGACGGTGCGGCGGCCCTTGTGCATGAAGCCGACGTCGGGGCAGCTCTCGAAGGCGGGCCTGGGGAGGTTGCGGCGCTTGCGCGCGTGGTGCTGAGAGCCGGGGGGCCCGTCAAAGTGCGGCGTCAGCTTGGTGCGGTAGCCGTACTGCAAGGGGCTGGCGATGGTGTCGGCAATGGCAGGGACGAGGTGGGCGGGCAGGTTGGCAAAGTTGCGAAAGGCCTTTTCGACGACGCGCCTCTTATGGCGGAGCTGCTCGGGGTAGTCGAGCATCTGGAACTGGCAGCCGCCGCAGGAGCCAAAGTAGCGGCAGCGGACGCGGGCGTCGTCGCGCAGGGGTGAGGGCTTGACGACGGCGACGAGGTCTGCGGCCGTGTGGCGGTGCTCGTTGCGCAGGTGGCGGAAGACCTTGACGGTGGCGGCGTCGCCGGGGACGGTGAAGGGGACGACGTAGACCTGGCTGGAGCCGGGCTGCATGGCGAGGCCGTCGCCCGTCGACGAGAGCTCGACGACGTCGACGTCGATGTGGGAGCCCTCGGCGGGCAGGGGCGGCTCGACGGCGGCGGCGGCGGCATCATCGACGGCGGATTGCTGGGCCTGGCGGGCTCGCGACTCGAGCAGGGCGCGGATGTCGTGGCGCAGGACCTCTTCGGAGGAGCCCTCGGTGACGTTGCGCTCGCGCTTGGTCCTCTTCTGCTTCCAGCCGCGGCCGTCTCGCGAGGGGGCGTTGGGCCTCTTGGGGGCCCTGTGTGTTCCCGGGGCGGCGGCAGGGACGGCGGCAGGGACGGCGGCAGGGACGGCTGGGGGAGCGGCGGCGGCGGGAGCGGCGGCGGATTGTGTGGAGGCCATGGCTGTGCAGACCAGGCGGCGGCGAAGAGGAGCGACGGGACGTCGGGCGAGGGTCGAGGGGACGACGGCTGACAAGGACCTCCAGGCGGCGACCATGAGGGGAGTCAGCTTGCTTGCGCCTCGGTCCTTGAGAGTGGCCGCCGGTCCTCTCGTCACTGGGCCGTCTGAAAAGGGGCTGGTGCGGCGTCCAAGGCGAGGTCAAGAAATGTCGAAGCAGGATGGAAGCCTTCCATTTTTTCTGTCGTGCCGTGGGAAGATGCAGGTAAATCGGGCAGCCAATGGCAAGCAGGGCAAAGCTGTGGTGGGGCTACAGTGGGGTGGGAGGGAGGTAATCAGACGCGCTGTGATTGGCCCCAAGGGGCCCCAGGTGACGCTGCTCACGAGGCAGAAAGAGCCCCGGGTCACCCCTGCGTTTTAGTTGCAGCATGTGTTGTACACTGTGTACAGTATTTAATCCATCATTTGGGCTTCCTCTTTCTCCATCTGCCAACATGCAGCTTTTGCTCTTTGCCTCGCGGCCCTGGCTCTGGAGTATGATGCACCCGCCGCATGCGCAGATGCGCACATGACGCCCATCTCCTACACGCCGCCTCAGCGTGAGGCCTGCCTCGACCACGACCAACCAACTTCTGCCTCTGTGACTCGTATCGTCTAGCGCAGCCAAGGTCCGACTCCGAGGGGCCCCCGACTTTCTCTCCCTCGTTATCGCACAAGCTCCTAGGGAGGTGTGTTGGGAGGTGGTCGGGTTAGCTTGCGAGCTTATTATTAAAAAGGGCAGCGTGATCATGGATGGCCACGCAATTGCAGGCCCCAGGGGAATGCCGGTCGTGCCGGCCCGAGTTGGACCCTCTTGCGTGATTGTCCTCGCGCGAGCAGTCCCTGTCTCACCTTTCTCTCGCCATCTGTCGACCTCGTCTTGCTTCTCCCTTCCATCTGCTGTTGATTTATACCCCTTCATCTCTTCTTCTCTTCTCTAAAGATCCGCCATTTGAATATCCTCCCTTCCTCCCTCGATCTAGTGACGGCTTCTACGCTAGTAGGCCCCTGACGGCTCGAAACACTGGGCCAGAAACAAGGAGTGCGAGGCGATGAGTTAGGAGTGAGAGCTTCTAAGAGACGTGGAGTGCGTGAGTTTAGGAACTGTAAAAGAGACCGACAGGCTCGGCGACTTGCACCATGAGTGAGTCGACACATTCCGAGCTCGGCTCTCTCATCACGTCTTTTTTCCTAAGCTAAACCGTCCGGCCTCCCAGAATTGTCGACTCGACTGGTGGGCTCGCTCATTGCCGTCTTTCTCTGCCATGCCGTCGTCACATCCGCCGGCGCCATCCCCCCAAACATGGTCGTCTTGGGCCCCCCGTCGCGCAGGGGCTCCGTCGGCGCCGTGGCCAGCGAGTCCAGAGAATGCAGCGCCATAGGCAGAGACTTACTTGCCCGCGGTGTGCGTCCTCACAATGCTCCCCTTCGCCCCTTGCCCACAAGCCTAACGCTCGCTCTCTTCCCAGGGCAACGCGGCCGACGCCATCGTCGGCACCACCCTGTGCGTCGGCGTCGTCGCAATGTATCACGCAGGCATCGGCGGCGGCGGCTTCGCCCTCGTGCGCGATGCCCAGGGCAACTACGAGGCCGTCGACTTTCGGGAGACGGCCCCGGCTGCGGCCCATCAGGACATGTTCTTGCACAACACCAGGGGCAGCGTCGTTGGCGGTCTGGCCGTCGGCGTGCCCGGCGAAGTTCGCGGGCTCGAGTACATTCACAGGAAATACGGCGTAAGAGGCCCGCCTCTGTGTCTTGACCCTGGAATCCGGCTTGATTCTTCCGATGGCTAATGTCTTCGTCTGCAGACGCTCTCGTGGAAGACTGTCGTGCAAGGCTCCATCCATGTTGCCCGTCATGGCTTTCGAGGTTCGTCCCGAGGGTAGAATGGAACTCCCCTGATCTCTTTCGTCCGTGCCGCTGCTGTCGCCGTCTTGCCGTCCACGCTGACCAGAGATGACCCCAGTCTCGAAAGATTTGGTGCGGTACATGACGGACGGCAAGGGGAAGCCTGCCTACGATTTTCTGCTACACGACCCGAGCTTTGCCCAAGACTTCGCACCCAACGGTGCGCTTCCCACGGGACCCCCTCGTCTTCTCCATGCAGAAGCAGTTGGCAGATATGGCTGATGCTGACGCTGGGGTTCTTCTGGGTGTAGGCACCTTGCTTGGCGAGGGAGACATGATGACTCGAAAACGATACGCAAGGTGCCTTGGCAGTCGACGCCTACCCCCGTTATGTGATTCCTCTATACGTCGGACTGACATGGTGAATGCGTATTAGTGTCCTCGAGAAGATTGCGGAACAAGGGGCTGATGCCTTTTACACCGGCGACCTTGGTGAGTGCCGGGAGGCGTCAACGACGGCGAGAGTGAGGACACGACAGACTGATGGCATCCTTTGCCCCCAGCCGAGGCCATTATCAAGCAAATCCAGGAAACAAACGGCACCATGACGCTCGAAGACCTGCGAAACTACGCCGTCGTCTCCCGCCCCGTCAGGAGCACCCGCTTCCGCGACCTGGACCTGTACACCGTCGGCGCGCCCGCCAGCGGCGTCGTCGGCCTCAGCATGCTCAAGACGATGGAGCAGTACGACGCCAACGCCGACGCCGACGACGGGCCAGGCCTCGCCGCGCACCGCTTCACAGAGGCCATGCGCTTCGCCTACGGGGCCCGCGTCGACCTCGCCGACCCGGCCTTTGTCGACGCCAAGGGGCGGCGAGAGAACAACGTGACGGCCCTCGAGCGCCGGCTGCTCGACGACGTCCACGCCCAGCACGTCCGCCGCCGCATCTCGGACCGCCGCACACAGCCCGTCCGCGCCTACGACCCCGGGGCCGTGTACGCGCCCGACGGCCACGGCACCTCGCACGTCGTGGCTGCCGATGGCTCCGGCGTGGCCGTGTCGCTCACCTCGACCGTCAACCTCATCTTTGGCGCCCAGCTCATGGAGCCCACGTCCGGAATCGTCTTGTGCCTCTCTCTCTCCCTCGCCCGCTCCGACTGTGAGGCTGGTTGGCTGACCCGGTGATTCCCAGAAACAACGAAATGAACGACTTCTCCATCCCCAACGTCCCAAACGCCTTCGGCTTCCAGCCTTCGGCCGCAAACTACATCCGCCCCGGCAAGCGGCCCCTCTCCTCCATCACCCCCGTCATCGCCGCCTACCCCAACGGCACCCTCCGCGCCGTCGTCGGCGCAGCCGGCGGCTCGCGCATCATCTCCTCCACCGCTGCCGTCCTGTGGCACCTCGTCGACCACGGCATGACCATAGCCGACGCCCTGCGCGAACCTCGCCTGCACGACCAGCTCATGCCCAACACCGTCCTGCTCGAGCACGGCTACGACAACCATACTGCCGCCGCCTTGATGGAAAAGGGCCACCGCGTCACCTGGGTCGACGGCGGCCTCAGCGCCGTGCAGGGCATCACGAGGTTGGACGATGGCACCTTTGACGCGGCCGGCGAGCCTCGCCAGGATAACAGCGCAGGACTTGTCTTGTAGAATCCAGGAGGCGACGAATATCGATGGACGCCATCTTGTAGTATCTATCCTCGCTGCCTAGCGTGCTGCGCTCCTGCGTCCAGCACATATATGGTCTATTTTACCCGTCTGCCAGTTCTCCGTATCTCGTCCTTGATGCTGGGATCTGTACGTCTAGCCAGAATGGCGCAAATGAAAACAACTGCCAACAAAATGAGACAAAAAATAGGGGTATCTCCAGGTCTTTGCCGTTTGCATACGCCTCGTCCTTACTTCTTGAGGCCAACCAGTCGACTCATCTGAAGCAGCCAACCCCTGGCAAACTCTTCCTCGGTAAATCTCATTGCTGACGTGCGCGCCCGTTTCCGAATGGCCAGGGGGTCGGGGTGGGACAGCGCCTTTTCGTAGCCCGCCGCAAACTCTTGAGCGGTTGTCGCATGGTAGCCTTGGACACCGGGTTAGTTCGAGCATTCTGTCATCGCTCGTGAGCATCAACGCACCTGTAGGCTCGCCGTCGACCTCGACTACAATGTCCAGCTTGGGGCCACCGCTGTCATGGACGACCGAGATGAGGCCGGCTGCCTGGTACTCGACGACCCCGATCCCAAAGTGTTCGTTCCACATGCCGTTGACGCCCACTGAAGCCTTTCTCAGCCACTCGAGAATCTCCGGCCACGAGGCGTCCAGGTGAAACTCAACTCGGTCCTTGATGCCCAGCTCGTTTGCCAAGAGCCGCAACTGATACACTCTCTTAGAGTCATGGTCGTCGCGGACACTTCCGATGAGGACCAGCCGCGCCTGGTTCGCGGCTTGGCTGTTGGTCTTGAGAAACTCGGCAAACGACTGCAGAACGAGCGGGTGGTTCTTCTCCGGACGGAACTGGGCAATGTACACCAGCACCTGCTCTCGCTTCTTTTCGCTCGCCTCCGACACCTCTACCTCTTGTTCGAGTTCAAGAACTGCGACAGGGGGGTAGACGACCGCAATCGGATGTGCCGAGCGCTTGCCCCGACGATATGGGCCCCAGAGGGTCTGTACGTGTGACTGCGTCCAGGTCGAGTTCGTCATGACGACGTCGATGGAGGACCCGACCCACGAATATAGGCGTGCAAAGAGCTGCCAGTAGACCCTTTTGGCTTTTCCCCGAATACCCGTGCCCTGGCCGGCGTTGACACCCTGGGAGCCCACGGAAGACGTTGGGTCGAGTGACTCGAGCATGTCAGTGGAGATGGTCGGGTAGTGGACGTAGGCGCCTGTCGGCACGTTGCGGAACAGAAGCTTGCAGAGGCCAAGGGCAAAGGCGTATCCCATGGTGTCGACAAAGATGTCCGGAACCAGCAGCGAGAAAGCGTCCCAGGCCAGAATCATAGAGCCCAGAGACTGGCCCAGAAGGGTGAAATGCGGCCAGGTCGTGGCGAGGACCCAGTCCCTCTTGGACAGGTAGAGGAAGGTGATGGTGGGCGGGTGGAGGTGAATATTGAATCTGCTCTGCATGGGGGGTAAGCAGTTGGCAAAGACGAGCGACCTGCCGTTGTGCCAGGCACGAGCTCACCTCGACTCTTTGCAGGATGGCGTCCTTGTTCACATCATGGTCGCCCGTGTAGACGACGCACTTGGCCTTGGGCCACCGAATCTGCGTCGCCCGGATGGCAGCCCAAAGCACACGCTCTCCGCCACCGCCGGCATTGCTACGCGGCGTCAACAGGCTGGCCACATGCCGCGTGCAGTCTCGAGACCGTGGCAGATACTCACCAGAATGGGTGAAAAAAGCCAACGGAGCCGTCCCAGTTCCGGTGCGCCTCGTCAGCGTCACCTGGAGCTCGAGGATTGGTATGTGGTGCCTGGTGATCCTCGTCGGTCGAGTTGGGCTTGGGCTCCTTGTTCTGCTCCCTATACTTCTTGTCGTCGTCGTCCATGAGCGCCGCCAGCTGAGACCGTCGACCTTCGGTTCCCTGGCGCAGCATCCAGCCAAGGGCAAGGGCGGCCTCGCGGATCATCCAAGGTACGACGATGACGAGGAGCGGAACCGAGGCGAGGAGAGTCGCAAACATGACGAGCGGCCGCGGCTGGAGGCCAAAGGAGAAGGGCTTGCCACCCGTGGGTGTAGTGCCGGTGGTGTCCATGGCAAGGTTGACGAGGGGTTCGGCTCTCTAATTGGATCCTGGAGATGGGTAAAGGGCACCGGGTAGGGTAGTCTCTCTTCGGTCAATGCGTCACATTTGGAGTTGCGGACGGAAGTTGGTGCATTGCGAGACAGGGAGGGAGCAATGGGATTCGAAGGAGAGTCAGTCAGGCAGTATTCAGGTGGGGGGTGATGAGAGGCAAGGAAAGCCAGCTAATTAGCCGCGAGTCGCGCTAAGGGAACAGGTAGAGGAACCTCGCGGGCCATCACGTGTCGGCGGCTTCACGCATGCAATTTACGAGGCGCTGCGCATTCGCGGGGCAAATGGTCCGTTTCGGACAGCTTGACATGTCCTCTTTCTCTTGCCCTTTTCCATGACGATTAATGGCTCGCGAGGGAGAGGCAGGCTCTTCGACCAACACAACAGCACCGTACCTTTCCCACGTGTAGCGCGGAGTAGTCCATGTTGTATCCGGATATGTTGTACCCATAATTACGTGGGCATTACAGTGCATTACAGAGAGACAGGGGTTCAGCAGTACCGAAGAGGCGATACCGAACTTTCCGTCAGCCAGTCTGGGATGATTAACAACAAGGTCCAACCATTACCAGGGATGGCAGGCAGCAAACATGCCGAGTCCGCGGTCCAATATCTTTGGACATCTTGGCACGGCTGAAGTAACACTTCCTCCAGCATTGGTAGGTCACTCAACTAAGTTAACAAATAATAAGTAGCCAAGGAAGTGTCGATTGAGGCCCACAGCCGCCAACGAGACCAATACGGAGTACAGTACTGTACAGTACATAACCCTACTCTTGTCCCCTGCCAGTTCCTCGGTTCGATAAACGTTCTTCAAGTCCAGGGTAGCTCGTGGCGCTAGTGGCCCGGAACGACCCACCGCAGCTCTGTCCAATAGCACGTCAAGCAAAAATATCGTCGAGTTACGGATACAGACTCCAATCACTATTCATCCCTCGGCACGCGAGGCTGGACTGATGCACCATGCGACCTTTCCAGAGAACCATCCTTCCACTCGCCAGAGCCAGGCCATCACCAGCCCTCGCCAGAGCGACACAAGGCCGGCGACAATTCCATGTCGTATCCCCGGGAGACGCTGTTGCGTGGGCTGCAGAAACCATCAGCTCCCTCCACACCTTCGGCCTGCCTTGGCTACTCACCCTCCCGCTGGTGGCTGTAGGATTCAACTTCTCCCTCAGGCTACCCATCCAGTACTACTCTCGCCGACTCATCCTCACGAGGAACCAGCTGAACCCCCTGCTCACGGCTTGGAGCTCGCGACACGCCTCGGAAGCTTCCTCCATCTACCGCGTGAGAACCGCCCGTGCCAAGCTCCACGTTGCCAGACTCACAGAGAAGTCGCGCAAGAGGATTTACAAGGCTTGGGGTGTGCAGAGATGGAAGGCCTTCGCGTCCCTCTTCAGCATTGCCCCCTTTATCGTCGTCTCCGAAGCTCTGCGGCGTCTTTGTGGTGCGCCCTTTGGATGGATCGGCCACTTCTTTCTGCAATCAGGGGCCGACCCGGCTGCCGTCTCAGCTGCACTCTTGGACGAGACGCTGGCCGACGGAGGCATCTCGTGGATCAACGACCTGACCGTGGCCGATCCCTACTACACCTTACCCCTTCTCTGCTCGGCGATACTCGCACGGAACTCGTGGGGAAGACTATCCACGGACCAGCTCCGAAAACTGCTCAAAGTAAACGACACCGAGAGCCCAATGACGCCAATATCAAGAGTGCAGACGTCCATCGGCAGAGTACTCCTTCTCGTGCCTTTCTTCCCCATCTTGGTCGCCGACCTGCCCAGCGCCATCTTCGTATTCTGGGCTACGACATTTGCGCTCAACGACGTCAATGAATCCATTCTGGAGCGCCTCGTCCCCAAGGCGAACCCAAAACTCAAACCACCGCAAAGCAGAACCAAGTCTTCTCTCGACATGCCCTACATGAGAGGGAAACTTGCCGACACAAAGACAATAAAAGAATGAAATGGATTTCCAAGGGACGAGCTCGAGAAACCCCGACCCTGAGATATGTACATACTCGTCAAGTGGCATATACACTGCTGCAGAAATCCCCTCCAACGCCGTCGAAACGCACCAAGGCCGACACCCAAGACCCGGTATCCGCAACACCGGTTAGCCGAGGACGATGGCCAGAATCACAATGGTGAGAATCACGGCCAGGATGAGGAGCAGGCAGCAACTCTTGTTTCGCGCGGCCTTTTGGTATCGCGCGGCCTGCCGCGTCTCGATGTCTGCCTGCCGCGTGTTGTCGTGAACATTTTCCACGTTGTCCGCAATGGTTCGGATCCCGACGTCTTGCTCGTCGACAATCTGCGCAACCTGCCGAAACAAGACGTTCAGGTCCCCGACGCCCTGCTCGATGTTGCGAATCTCCTCTTCGCGTTCGATGATGAGAGTTTCTTGGAAGTCGACCTCGTCTTGCGGGGCCAGCTGTGGCAGTTGCTGCTGCTGTTGCAGCTGCTCCAAGGGGGCGCTGGTCTGGCCACTTGCTTGACCCGACTCGGACTCGTGGGCGGCGCGAGCTGCGGTGACGGAAGCCTTCTCCTTCTCGAGGGCTCTTCTCTGCAGGTCCTGAAACTCCTGGAGTGCCGCTTGGAAGTCGCTAGAAACCTTGGTCTGCTCGTACTTTTGCTGCTTCTGTTCAAACGTCAGTACGAGGAGGGGGACAAGAGGACACAAATATTGAGAGAAGAGGGAGAGAAACGTACCGAGAGGTCGTCCCATGTCTGTAACCGCTTGACGCCATCGCCAATCTCCCTGCACAGCTCGCGCGTCTTGTCCATGCTGTTGTGCACGCGCTCGCGCAGGCGAGGCGTGTCCTTCTTGGTGCCCAAAACGTTGACATCATTTGCGAGCTTGCGGTTACTGCTCAGAAGGGACTGCAACTTAGACTTGAGCTCGTACTGGAGATCTTGGAAGCCGGGATCGTCGCTGTAGCCGGGGCGGCGGCCCGATTCGAGGCTCGAGAGTTGGTCGTACGACATGCCAGCAACGAGCGACGGGGTCCGGTCGCCTGTGATGTTCGCGTGAAAAGGAGAGGGGGTATTCGTGAGTTTGGCGGATGAGGGAGTGCCGTTGAGTCGTCGAGGTTGTTTTGCGGTGACGTGCAGTTGCCTCACCGACGGTTCATGCGGACCCCAGGCGTTACGTAACCTCCGCTCCGCCTGCCTGCACATGCCGCCAGACTAGCACCGGTGGGAGATCGGCGGCACGCTATCGCCACGTGACCTTGCCTGCCAGCTTCGCCCTGCCAACGCCTGGGTAATACTGCGTCGGCGATTTTCACTCACGTGCTCGCTCCCCTGGTGCACAAACACACACCATCATCGTCAGCTCGCGCCCAGACAATGCGCCGTTGCAATGGCGGGCACATCGGGCCGCAGAGCTCCTTACAAGGACACTTTGCAGCCAGCCTTGCATAGGCGCTTCTCCTCCACGGCAACCCTCCTGCTGGCCGTCTCCTACCTCGAAGCCGTGCTTCTGGCGACCTGGAGCTCTTGTAGGCAACAATCCACCCGGTCTCAGGCATCCACAAAGACGTTCGCTGACTTGGAGCACCAGACTTTTGGTCTTGGTTTCCGCTTGGCCCCGCCGGCATCCGAACGGCGCTCATCTTCGCGTGCGGACTCGCTATTCTCATCTTGCGCATAGCTCACTACCATGTTGGCCTCAAAACAACGGCCTCTGGGCTTCACACCCTTGGCGCCGCCCTGCTGAGCCTGCAGACATATGAGACTGGTCTTTGGTACGGCGTCTCGAGCCTGTTCTTCTGCCCCGTCTTCCTGTCATCCATGTCAAAGACGGCGAACCTTCAGTGGATCACCTACTTTAGCGGCGATCGAGCCAGACTCAACGAACGGCCCATTTTCTTGGCTTGCTATCTGGGAGCGTGCGCACTCTCGCAGACGATATGGCACTATAGACTCGACGTGGATCGTCTCGACCTTGGATTGCCGAAGCCGAAAACCGACAATCGTGAAAAGGAATCGGGGGCGCTGTCAGGGTCCTTGCAGACAGCCCTGATGCAGCTTCCAGCGGTCTTTGCTGGATGCGTCAAGCAAGCCGTCTCAGCGCTCTTCATGGCCTTGATACTCTACTATCTGTTCCTGCGGTCGTTTGCCTGGGGCTGGGCCCTGACCTTCTTGCGTCCGTTTTACAGCCTGCCCAAGACAAGCATGCTCCCGCCCTCGTGGCCCACCGATGTCTTCCTTCTCGCTCGCTGCATCTACGCCGGCGTTCTCTTGACCTTTTTGTGGTCGGCGGGAAACACGGCATTCTCCATCTTCATGGTCAGAGAGCCGCTGAAGAACGGAAAGCCTTTGACGTCGGAATCCAAAGACCCCAACGGGAGCCTATTGAACGGCTTGAAAAGCAAGAAGCTCTCCATCAAGGCAAGTTGCGCCCGTCATCAGTGGACGAGACTTATGATTTCACCGCTAACACCAGGGCAGTCATTCGCTATATGGGAACTGGCGCTCATTGCCAAAGACTTCGAAGACCGCAGGCAGGCCATATACAGCGACATTGACCGAAAAGATGGACCTATGTGGTCGCAAATCTACATAATCTGCATGGAGCTATTGAAGAGCATCGAGTCAAGGACCGACGACTACGGAAAACCGACTGCGTCAGCGGCTGTCGAGCCCGCTGCCGCGGCGCCAAGGCAACGGATATCGGCACCGTTGCGAGAAGATTCGATCCTGAATCAGAGGGCCCAAGCTTCCGGGCTCGTTGGCGGAGTGGACAAGGCCTGGGACCAGCTTGCTCGGGCCCCCGGGTCCTCTCCCATCTCCGAGCTTAGCCCACTGGCGAGAAAGACGTGGAAGAGTGCCAAGGATTGGATGCTGAGCAAGGAGCAGCAGCAGGCGCTATCACCTGACCATATCAAGGGTGAATTTGAGCAATGGGCCGCGAATATGGTCAAGATTGAGTGGGTTGGGTCGCTGTTGCGACAAGACTTCCGCACTCGCTTTGCGGCCGCCGTGCTGGGCACGCCGCATGCGGAACCAACACTGTACGTCCACGCTGTGCAAGCGCTCTGCCAGTTGGCAGTTCACAGTCTGGCCGAAGACGAGTTTGGTAATGTGCACCGGGATGTGGCAAGCATCATCCGCACTTTGACGGCAGTGATCCGGAAGGTGGAGGCGCTCAAGGCAGGATTCCCTAGCCATTGGACGGACCCGTCGGGCGGCAGGGAAAGCCCCGAGGTTGATGGACTGGTGGATGCCTTACGGACAGGGCTGGACCAGGTCGTGCGCACGTTTGAGCCCTACAGCAGTGACCTTCGACTGTCGCGAGGTGATGTCCGGCTGGCAAAGGAGGCGGCGGTGAAGCCAAAGGAGGTGGCGCCCGCAGAGCCCGCACCACTGGCCAAGGAGGCGGCGGGTAAACCAAGGAGCCCCGAGGAGAGGAGGAGGTCGGAACCCAGGAGGACTCACGAGAGGGCGCAGCAGAGGGTCGAGATGGAGCAAGTCCGGTAATGCCTGGGCTGGGATGCTGAGCTCGGATAGCTTTGGGCTCAGAGATGGGATGAAGTGTAGGACTACGATACCAGGTACGGAACAGGAGATAGAACAACGCAGAAGATGCGTGAAGAATAAGCCCTGTTGCTTGCCAGAGACAACTCTTGATTTCGAACCGTTTGTTCTGGTTTCTTCCGTCATGGAGGCCCTTCGTGCACTGTGCGAAATACCTTCAACACGGTCCAGCTCTGTACATCCCGCCCGTGGGTACTAAAAGACCCACGCTGGTACGCAGGCTCTCACCTCAAGTCGGGGGGCAGCGGGGTACTCTACCTTTTTTCAAAGTCTTTCCAGTGGCTCTGTACTTTATGAAAGCACCCCCAATCGTTGCCATCATATCCTCGTCACTCATCTCCAGCTTCAATCAATCACAACAAAACCCCCCCTCCGCCCTCCCGACGCTGCCGCGGCTCCGTTCCCATGTCATAGCCGTCGGTAACCAGCATAGCCATGCGATGCCACACGCTCTCCACAGAAGAGTTCATCAGGGGTCGAGTGCCGGGCTGATGGCTCGCGGCCCGCCGACATGCATTACCGACGCCTCCTGTTTCGCATCGTCTACGCATCCATCTACCTGCTCTTCTACTTTCTGCTCCTCGGGCTGCTCCTCGTCACCATCAGCGATACCATCAGCGAGTCGCTGCGCAATGAGCAAAACTACAACGTCTGGATCGTCACCATTTCCGTCGTCGTCACCGTCGTCGTCGTCGGCTTCGTCTACGTTTTCCGGCTCTACATCAACAAGACGGCCCTGGCGTCGATCCCCAAAGCATGGGTGCCCATAGAGAAAGGAGACGTCAAGGATGCCGTGTACAAGGCCATCGCCGCCGGGCTGGATCGCAGCGCCTTCATTGCGTTCGAAGCGCAGCCAAGGGTCGAGGCGGACGGGCGCGGACAGCTGGGGCAGTTGAGCGAGGCGCCGCGATCGAAGTGTGATGCAAGGGCGACCAAGACGGCGGCCGAAGAGCTTGCCGTCGCACGGCCGTCGCGCCACGCTGTCTGGGGCGACATTGAGCATCACGGATGGGCGTCCCCTGTCTCGCCCGACATGCCGAACCTGCAATACGGCATCGTCCTGTTGGAGCTGCCCAATCTTGTCGAGGGCAAGGCGCTGGCCCTGGCCCCGGCAGACCCGACCGCGCCGACCAATCCCCCGATTATGGACCCGGAGGCGGTAGACCTGTTGCAGCGGTCTCCAAACATGAGCCTGCGAGGCTATGTCGACCACCTGGCGGACCTGGGCGTGGTGCCCGCGGGTTCGACGACGGCCGAGTTCGTTTCGCAGTACGAGCATGCGCGCTTCTCGAACCGACCGATTTCCAACGCCCGGTTCCGCGAGCTCATGCATCTATTTGCGGAGGTCCTGCGCGCAATGCGGCCCATGGACCTTGTGGCTCTGGGCGGCGGGTGGGCGACGGCGGCGTCGTCGGAGAGCGACATTGACAACGACGCGCCCATGGACACGGACCCGCCGTCGCCGCGCAGCAGCCTCTCCCGCGCCGGGACCGCGAGCACGCAAGGGTCGACGCGAAGGCCCATGCGACACTCGTCGGCCCCGGGCTGGGCCGCAGGCGTGCCGTTTGGTGAGCCCGGCGGCGGCGGCAGCTTCGCGCAGTCGAGGCGGCCGTATCCTGCCCACCAGCCGTCGAGCTCCAGCCTGCGGTCCCGGGCGTCGAGCAGCGGGGCCGGCTCCGTGATCCGGCTGGCGACGCGCGAGGACCCCGGGGCCCTGCCGTACGTCCTCAATCTGAGTGCCACGGCCGGCAGCGGCTGAGTGTCCGGGGCAGCCGGCTCTCATTGTGGCCTGTACATACGAGGCGGGAGTCTGGGCGTGTATACTTTTTTCTTGTACCAAGGCTTTTTCTGTGCAAGTACATGTGCTTCGGGTGCAAAAGACGGAGTTGTGTGTGGGATTTGAGGGCATCGTCACCGCGGGCGACGCAGTTGCTACAAGCACCGACTATTCGAGTAGGGTCTGGCTCATGGTTAGTTTGATAATGAATAATGCATCCTCGACGGAGTGTAAAACGCAAGAAGCCTTTCTTGTCCCCTTTGCGCTTATATCCTGTTTGCCCAAGGCATATTATATAATATATAGAAGCTACCTTTGGCGTTTATCTATTATATGCAGCGTCTTGCCGATGCATTAGCCGGCCGTAGATCAGGCCCGGACCGACCCCACCCCACCCGCTCTGCAGCGAACATTCCTCCCCACCACGCATCATCGGCGGGCCAGCCCTTTTTCCCCCCAACGAGGCGCTCCTCGCCCAACCCATACATCTACTTGCGCGCCGCGAGTACGATTTTCCTTCCCTTCTGCTGTTCCCCCTCCCACCAGGACCGGCCTTCGCTGCGCCGGGCCCCCGTCACGGTCCGCCGCCTCCCCCTCGCGCGCACGACCGCAAGACTCGGTGCCACCAGCCTCGCCCCCCCTTGATAAAGAAATAACCTCCCCCGGAGGCGACTGAACCACGATGGGCCCTTCTCCCACCGCGCCCCCCCCGCTCCCCGTGGCGCCCGACCACGCCGTCCTCGCCAACCGCATCGCCCTCCTCTTCTCCAAGCAATCCGCCGTCGGCAAGTCTCTCCTCCACCGGCACCACCATCCAACGACGACGTCCTCCTCGTCCCGGCAACCACCGCAGCGCCGTACCGCCGCCGCCGACGAACACGACGACGAAAAAGAAGACTTCGTCGCAGCCGCGAACCCAACCGCCGGCGCGGGCTACCTCCCCCCCAAATCTGCCGCCGCCGACGATGCCTCCTCCCGCCAGGACCGCGCGCTGCTGAGGAATCGCCTGCTCGGCCCGAGGGGGAAGCCTGACGGCCCAGGTCGAGGCGGAGGGCGAGCGGCGGCGTCCAACAACGGCAAAAGGGCTGCTGCCGCTCTGTACGACAGCGACAGCGACGATGACCAGGGCAGGAGTGCACTTGGTAAGAGGAAGCGTCCCGCGAGAGTGGCCGCGCCCGAGACGGCGCCCGAGACGGCGCCCGAGCTGAGCCGGGCCGGGAGCGGAGACGAGGCAGGGCAGGAGATGCTCGAGGCCGCCCGAGACGAGAAGCCTGACAATCAAGTTCAGGATGACGTGACGGGGCGGCGGAAAAACAAGAAAAAGAAAAAGAAGAAAAAGGGCAGCGAGTCGCTCTAATGAAGTCGATCATGGCGCGACTGCGTTTCCAAACAAAAGGGACGATGGCTCCCACGTCCGTCTGTCCATTACTTGGCGCCCAGTCGCCTCTATTCTCAAGGACGGCGCCCTGCATTTTTGGGGACACTGCTCTTCATCCTCCCGTGTTCCCAAAACGCCTTCTGCACCCGAAGAGCTCCGCAAAAAACACCTCCCATTTCACCCAAAATACACATCTGCCTGCTAGATCCCTCGCTTTTCCCCTCTGTACCATGATGCGCCGTTCTTCAAGTTAAAGCTATTTGCCTTTTTGTTATCCGAGGCCCCCCCTCCTTTGTATGTCCAGCTCTCCGCACCGTAGTGAGGAGAGTTCATGTGCAAATGTCTCTTGTCAAGAGGGTCCCAATCGAGAGACGAAGGAACCGCAACCTTCAATGGTAGGGGGGAAGGAGCAAGACGAATCAAACACGGAGCATACAACGTCCTGGCAAGTCGAAATGCAACTGTGTCACCCATTTGAAGCCAGACCAGTACGGATGACTGGATATCTGTACTTGGTACGCAGGTCGGCACACGTAGGCGAAAGATCTCGGCCCGCCCCCACGTCACACAGCTCCCGGATATTCTTAGACGATCCCGGGCTGGATGCTGAATCCGCAATCTGGCGGCCGGTTGTTGAGCGGCCGGGCCTGGTGAGTTGATCGGCCTAGATGAAACAGGCTGTACACTCGAGTTCCCGAGAGGAATTGTACATATGGATCCAAAAGGTGGGTGTCAATCCTGTCGTCCGGCCACCAAAGAAATACAATTGACCAAAAAGTCGGCCCGAGTGCATCGACCAGGACAAGATCATCGTGGTTCCCGCCGCTCATGGCTACTGAAGTCGTTTTCGTTTTCTGTCGTCGTCCCCGCGGGGGTCTTCATCCTCGTCCGAGCGCTCAGCCGTGTCGCTCGGATTGAGAATGTGGGCCATGCTCCCTCTCCGCGTCGGCGGTGCTGACGAGTCCCTTATGGCGAGGCTCTTGGCGTCTCTATTCGCTGCCGAGTTCCACGACCAGCTGCCAAACGCGTCGCTCCCGTTGTTCCCGCCGTTTGCGCCATGGGAAGGCGGCGGCAACGGCGGCGGCGGCGTGGCAGGACGCGACTGCGGATGAGGGTGAGAGGCTATTTGGAGCGAGTATGTAGATAACGAGTCGCGAATGCGCTGGTCTTCTGGTGCCACACGGCTCGGGGAGGAGGGCCACGGGGCAGACGGTGGGTTCGACGTCGAGAAGGGCGATGGGGTGGGCTGCCACCCATGCGCGCGGATATCGGCTGCAGTGTGTCGTCGAGCCAAGCTTCCGGGCGGCGGCTCGACGTTGGAGAGGGGATGGGGACCCGGGGGCGGCGCTGGATTGGCGTTGCGCAAGGGCGACGACTGCGTGGTGCTGCTGCCTCCGATTGACCCGTACGGGCGCCGCGCACTGGCTAGGACACTGGGGGGCACCGCCGGTCGGTACAGGGGCTGGCCGCGCGGCTGAGGCACGGTCAGGTTGGCCGATCGTCTGGCATCGTCCTGGGGCAGCTGTCGAGGCGAAACAGGAGCGTTGTCGACGGTGCCGAGGTATTGCTGTCTGGCCCCGTACGGCCCTTCGTGCGTCTCGTCAAACGTCCGTAGCACGTCGGCCTGTCGGTGCATCTCTCCTTGCAGAGCGAGAACTGTTTGCCGCCGTTAGCCTGGGACTCGGGTCGAACCGAAGTCGAGCAGACACAACGAACCATCGCGGTGAACGGGGCTGTCGGCCGGGACCAGCGACAGCACGGCTCTCGACAAATCCTGGTTGAACTGTAGGAGCCGACTCATAGTCTCCATGGCTGCCTGATTCTTTATGTTCATGAAGTGGGCATTCTCTTCGCTGCGCTGCAGCCGAGCGCTCATGTCGAATAGCGAGTGTTCGAGGTTGGCAAGCCTTGCCTCTGAGCTCTCGGCCGTTATTTGCGCCGGCTCGGTCGGCGGGCCCTGCTGCGACGGGTTCGGCTTGTTGTAGTTGCTTTCGCGGTGCACAAGCGCGTGCCTACTCGCGCGGCGCTTAATTTCTCGAAGACCCATGAGGTCGCCCCGCTTGAAGTTGCCGTTGCCGTGCTTGAACTCCCAGAGAGTTGTGTCTGGGTTGCCCGTGTGGAAAACGTCGCGCTCTGGGGTTCGAGGTGTTAGAGGAGGCCAAGCTACCACACGGGATCTGTCGGCCGAACACTTACCCTTGTGAAATCCATACATATTTAGCTGACGGACAAACGAGGAGATGTTGGTATGTTTGAAGTATTGTCTGGAGGAGAGAAGAGCGTAAGAGAGTAATCCCGAGGCGGGGAAGCTCTGGTGTGGACATACGACAAGACTTTTGAGAAGTCGGCCGAGGGCGACATGACGAAGCTCTCGGCGTTGGCAGACCACGATATCAAGTGTTGAATGCTAGAGTCCTCGAGCATGCTGTCGCAGAGCAGCTTAGCAAAATGGACCTCGAGACCTCACGGTCCCACATGGAAAAGGGGGGGGGGGTTCATCTCACTTGTAGAGCTTGTGGATAAAGGCCGTCTGCACGATCTTGGGTTGGTGGACGGCCGCGGCGGCGGCAGGTGGAGGGGCGGGCATATTGATGCTGGAAGAGCTGTGGGGAGAGGTCTGGTCGGGGGGCGACGAGTGGTTCGATCGAGCGGCGGGCTTGCCGTTTGTTTCGGGATCGGAGATGTGGATGGAGGTGGTAAGACGAGCGGGAGAGGTAATGTCCATGGCATCACCGCCGGCAGACATGTCGATGATGGGCACGGAGACGGATACGACGCGGGCACCCATTGACTCGCTGGTGGAATGTACTCAGTTCTCGTGACCAAGAGGGCTGTCACTGTGGACGTCAGCAGACCGAAGGGGTCGACAAGGGCGGCGGCGGCGGCGACGGCAATCCAGGGTAAGAAGGTGGAAATGGGGGAGCCGAGATGAGGCAGAGGGGACAAGGGGAAAAGGGAAGCGCGGCGCGAGGCGGCGGCGGCGATGGCGGCGACGGCCCGGGGACCGGGGGCGATGGCGGAAGGACAAGGCAGGGCACGTACCTCATGACCGCCTGTCGAGGCTATCGTGGCCGAGGCGACGCAAATTGTACAAGGACTTGAGTCGCAAGTGGCGGAGCGACCGTACATATGTCCAGCACACCCTCAGCCGGGGGGGGTGGGGAGGGGGGAAATCCCGATCAGCCTCGCATATGGTTCGTTGGCTTCGGCTTCTAGAACGACAACCATACAACGCGGTCGCGAGACTCGGCCGGGGCAGGGTGAGGAAGGGTGAGGCGCTCCAGTGGCAGCGGCGGGCGGCGGTGGCTGAGGAGAAAGGGGGAGAGGCCTTGTCGACGCGGTCGGTCGTCGTTGTCGGCGGTGGTGGTCGCAGCAGAAGCAATTCGTGTTTGCAGTTTTGACCCTGTTTTTCCTTGTATATCGCGAGCGTCGGGAGGAGCGGGCGCCGAGAGAGCGAGCAGTGGGAGAGGACCCTTAAAGAGTTGGTCGAGAAAAGGGTGGGGGAAGGATGGAAAGAATTGGTTGGAGAAGAACGACGTGCAGTTATCGAGAAGTGATAAGGCGGGCGACGAGGTAGTTTATGGGTAGCAAGAGCCGGTCAGGAAAGGCGCGAGGCAGGCTAGCAGCAGGTACCCCAGGACCAGCTGTTACAGGCCAGTCAGTCCACGAATTAGGGAGTTGGCTATGAGCCCCGTGAGCAGTAGCCTGCAGTGCTTGCCTAGCTAGGCAGGACAGGTACCTACGAGGCGAACAAGCAGGGTGATAACAGCTCCGGGGTGCCGTGCAGCGTCGGGGTGGGCAAGAGGATCGATGGCACGCTCCGGATTGGCACTCTGATCCCCCCTGTCGGCCTCTTGGGGATTCTGATTAATTACACGGGGCGAGAACAACAGGCTTTGACTCTGTGACGCGCGATGAAGAGACGGGGAGGCGATTGGACGGACGGTGGCGCTCTCGACGTCCTGGTTGGGCCTAGCCAAGGCCGCCAGAAGCAGCCGACTTCCATGTCTGTGCTTCCGAGCAGGTGCCTTTTACGGACACTACTAATGTACTGGACTGCCGTACAGCGCCAATCCCACCCTGTATTTCCTTGCCCATGCCATTATTACCTACTTAGCCATTGCCTGTACCGGGGCAGAGCAGAGCCCCTGAAGCACCTTTTTCTCCTTACATTCATGCGCCTTCCCCGGCACGCGCAAACCCTGCGCCGGCCATATCCCGGTCATGGGAGACCAAGGAAGAAAAAAATGCCACAAACGCCCGGCTCTGCTAGTGATATCTGAGGCAACTTAATTCCCCAGCACGGCAGAGCCGTTGTGGGGCACCTGTTCGGGTCCCAAATGTCCCTAATAAAAGGGGGGGCCTCGGGGTTTATCAGCCCTTCCACGAATCTTGATTTCTTTGAAAAACGTTCCATATCCCAAGCCATGTCGTAGCCTCAGGTAGTCGTAACTGCATCACGTTTCATTGCCCGTTGCGGCACACGAGACGGATCAGCCAACATCGGCATTTGGACGCACTGCCGGAGACTCCCAGTGGGTGGGTATCTACGTATTTGTCCACAGCATACGGATACCCGTGCCTTAGGTACCTACCTAGGTACCTTAGGTTTAGTACTGTACTCAGTAACCCACCACGCGCATAAAACAGCGTCGTCGTCATCCCCATTCCTCTGCTATGCCAAAACTCGACAATACAACAAAGGGGCATCCGTTTCGCCTAAAAGCCATCGTCGGCCCCGTCGTCGTCGGCCGCTCCGCCCACTCTCCTCTCGCCCACCTCACGAATCTTGTCTCCGAGGACTGTGCGGCCGTACCGCTCGGCCACCTTGCCCGCCGCCTCCATCATGCGCCCCGTCCTGTCGCGCATCAGCTCCACCATCTCCAGCGCCCGCATCCCACGGTCCTCGCCCTCGCGACACTCGACTGCCAGCAGCTGCAGCAGCACCTTGTCCATGTCCAGCTCCATCCGCGACAGCTGCGACCGCTGCCTGTGGCCTCCCGTCGTCGCCGCCACCAGGTCCCGTAGCTGCGCTGCCTGCACCCCCTTGAGCATGAAATGCTGCTCCAGCTTCCTCGTCTCAGCCCTATCGTCGTCGTCGTCGTCGTCGTCGTCGTCGTCGGCTCCGTCTCTGTCCATGCGCTCACCATCTCCAGCGCTCGTCTCGTCACCCTTGCCGCTCTCCTTCTTCCGATGTGATGACAGCGGGATGGAAAACTCAAACTCGGACAGCAGAGGCCGCGGAAAGTACGGGTATAGGTCGCCGCCTTTGAGGATGATGCAGTGGAACTTGCTGTCGGCAACCGCCACGGGAAAGTACCTCTCGTGCTTCCGCCCCGAGGCCAGACGAGCCAACAGCTTGGTGTCCAACAGCGGCACCCAAGACGCGCGCGACGGCTGCCGCCAGTGCAGCAACGTCAGCAGTGTGCCTGTCGAGTCGTATATACACGGATCCTGTAGGCGCATCGCGCATATCAGCCGCCGTTCCCGCCTTCTGCGCAGCCATCGGCACTTACCCCCTGGTCCGAGAAGAAGACGCTCGCGAGCGTTGCCCCCTCGGGCAGAGCCACCGTGTCCTCGTTTTGGCAAATCTCGTCCCGCTTGACGTTCTCAATTGTGTACAGGAGGCGCGTGTTGCCGTCCGCGCCGACCGGGCCGTTGCCAATGGTCAGGACGTAGTCGCGCCAGCTCGCGCAAGTGACCATGGGCGAGCTCTTGGGCCGGTACACGCGGTACGGCATGCCAAATAGCGTAAACACACGCACGTAGTTGGAGCTCGTCGTGACGGTCACAAAGGACTCGCTGAGGGACATGGCCGTCACCGCCTCGCCCTCTGGCAGCTCGGTCCGCCAGTCGGAACGCTGCGTCCAGCTCTCGTGGGGGCGGTAAAAGATGTATGCCGGCGCGTCGTCTTTGGACGGACTGGAGAAGAGCGTGCCGTGCTCGTTGAGGCACGCCTTGTCGTAGAGGAAGGTGTCTGTAAAGTGAAAATCGCGCTGGAACTCGTGGTCGTAAAACTCGACGGTGACGGTGTGGTGCGAGTCCTGGTCCACGGTCCAGACGAAGCCGATGAGATTCAGGCAGAGGTACTTTCTGTTGCCTCTCCAGGGTGTAGAGCCGGGTTGGAACGCCTCGTGGTGCCGGGGCCGCATGAGGTTCATGCGCTTGCTGGGATGCTCTCCGTACCCGTCTCCTTCGCGGCCCCTTTTGCTTCCAGCACCAACCGCGTACCCGGCGCCATCGTCGTCGACAACAAAGTCGTCCTCGTCCTCGTCAGCCTCGGCGCCGAGGAAGGAGTCCAGGCTCCCGAAGGATTCTCGCCGCGCACGGCCTGGAATGTCCTGCTCGTTGCGGCCACCGGGCGCCAGCTGTCGCCGGTGGCCCGAGATCTCCAATAGGGGGTCATGAATAAATGGCGCCGGCTGGACAAAAAGCTTGAGCATGGGCGCAAACTGGTCAGGCAAGAATTCGGGGTAGATGTAAACTTCGCCGTCTGTCGTCGTGAAGGAGAGGATGTTGCGCGTGGGGTTCCATGCCAGATCAATGACATTGGAGTAGTCGTATCGCTGGATGACGCTTTGGGTCTTGGTCTCCCAGATCAAGATCTTGCCATCCTTGCTCGACGACGCCAGCATGGCTCCGTTGGGCGACCAAGCAACGCAGGTGATGTCGGCCAAGTGCCCATTGGCAAAGCACCTTTGCTTCTCCCAGTCGTTTTTGGAAATGACCTGAATGTCCCGTGTAGGCATGGGCGCGGCAAAGGCCCTTCCGTCCGGATGCCACTCAACCCTCGTCGACGCGTCAGACTCGCCGTCGAGGGCGCCGATGATGCCGTCGACCTTGCGTATGAGTTCGGGCTCCTCCGAGGTGAGCGAGTAGACGTAGATGATGCCGTCGGTGCACGAAACCGCTGCCAGCGTGGCGCCGGGGTCGAAGCTGACATGGCGCGCGGCTCGGTTGTGTTCGCGCAGGTGCCTGATGCGCGTGATGTCGGTGGTATGCACCATCTTGACGCTCAGCTCGTCGCTGGCAACGGCGCACCACTCGTGGTCGGCAGACAGGGCGACATCTCGGATGGGCAGCGAGGTGCGCAGGAGGAAGCGCTCAAAGAGGGCAGCGTCGAGCGAGTAGAGGCTGACGGTGCCGTCCTCGGAGCCGACGACGAAGAAGCTACTGCCAACGGCGACGCAGGCGTTCTGTTCCTGGCAATCATCAATGTTTGTGGGCTCGCCGTCCGAGTCCGTCTTGTACAGGCGAATCGTGTTGTTGGAGCCGACGGTGACGAGCTGCATGCCGTTGCTTCGCCATGCGCAGCGCGTGATGCCCTGCGTGTGGGCTGGCCGTGGCCGCGGCCGAGGCGCAGGTGCCGAGTCCATTTGGACGACTGCTTTACGGCTGGAACTCCACGGTCGGTTGGAAGGTGACTCGGCGATGAAGGAAAAGTGCGCGGAATTGGCTCAAAGGGGTGCGTGATGGCGGTGCGTGATAGCGGTGCTTCTAGGCCCAGGGAGGCGCGTGCTCGGCGCGTCGCTCAATTAAACCACCCAAAAGACCCCGCGATTACGATTACGCGCCAGCCGGCACGTGCCATCTCCACCTCCACCTCCATCCAGTCTCGGTCACGGGCGGAGAGCATCGTCGGAAAGCATGCTTCGTCGGTAAATCATCCTGCTGGCTGGCAAGCCTCGAATTCAGATACAGGATCGGCCGAGCCGCTCATCTCCCCGGTCCAAGAGTTGAACAAGACATCCCTTGCGACACGCGCATCACTCGCAACTGGTCCAAGTCACCATCGCAGCTTGCAACAGAATTCGCCGCGATGCAGTCCGCAGACAGCGACCACTTCTTCCAAACCGAGTCTGTGCCTGCCCAGTCCTCTCTACGTCCCTGGAGCACACTTCTGACACCTCAATCAGTGCATCGCAAGCACAAAAGGAGAGAAAGGCGGCCAAGGCCAGCAACAAGCATGGCAACCCCCTCAAGATGAAGTCCAAGATCCTCGCCGCAATCCCTGACCCGGCATCCTCCTGCACCTCCATCTTCATCGCGGAATCTGCCGGCTATGTGCGGCGCGTGCATCTTAACGTACGTGAGCGCCTCTGTTGCATCAAACAGCCCTGAACCCTCCTTGACAGCGGTTGCCAAAATAGTCGGCTGTGCCCAAGGCCACCTACCGAGGCCCCAAGGTTCCCGTCACCTGCCTCGCCGTAGGTGGCAGCGGAGACGGGACCATCTTTGCAGGCTCGTGGGACAGGGACGTATGGTCTTGGGACATTGAGTCGACCCAGCCTCGGCGCAGGTACAGCGGGCACTCCGACTTTGTCAAGACGGTTGTGTGCGCCCGCCTCGCCGGCCGCGAGATGCTCCTGAGCGGCGGCGCAGACAAGAAGATTATCGTTTGGGACGTCGAGACCGGTCGCCGCGTACACATCGTGCAGGATCCCACGACCACCATGCTCGCCGTTCAACACCTCGCCATCGACCCGGTCCTGAGCACCCAAGACGCCCTCGTCTTCGCCAGCGCGAGCAGCGACCCCAGCATCCGGCGGTGGGAGGTTACCCTGGGCGGATATGCGCAGCTACCCGAGTCGTTTCACGACCTCCCGGGCGCCGAGCGACTCACCATCCAGGAACACGACACGAGCGTCTACAAGCTCGTATTCGACGCCGACGACGACGAGGCCAACCTGTGGACCGCCAGCGCCGACGGCACCGCAAAGAGTCTGGCACGGTCTCGCAGCTTCGTGGCCGACGACGTCTTTGCGCACGGTGACTACGTCCGCGCCGTGCTCGTGTCGGAGCACTGGGTCGTGACGGCCGGGCGCGACGAAAACGTCAAGGTCTGGGACAGGGCGACGGGCAAGCTCTACTGCACGCTTGAGGGCCACTTCGAAGAGGTGACGGATCTCGTCATGCTGCGCAACGCCCAGGGGTCACCGGAGACGGTCTGCAGCGTCAGCATCGATGGTACGATCCGCACGTGGCCGCTCGACAAGGCTGCGCTGGACAGGGTCGTGGGCGAGATGCAGGCATCTCGCGAGGCCGGCCATGCCGAGACGGCGGCGGCGGACAGCGAGAACATGCTGACGGCTGAAGAGGAGGCGGAGCTGGCAGAACTCATGGAAGACTAGGGGACTAGGGAAAAGGGGAGATTGCAGAGGACACAGCTGGCCGCCAGATTCAGGGCCATCGACTAGACCCTTACGAGTACACACAGTGCAAGCCGCGAAGCACAAGTCTCATCCTCCATCGGCTCGGCAGCAGCAGCCAGCCCAGCGCTGGAGACTCTCCATGCACAACTCATCGATCTGGTGTGCGCCAGTTCGGAACATGTCTCGGGTGCCTGCCTTGCCTTGTCTGTACCTCTGGGACACGCGGTCTATCGAAACAACATGAGCAAAGTCCTCACTCACCCTGGCGATCTCAAAAAGCAATTGCGAAACCTCTGGTCTCTGTCGTACAAAGTATGTACATGTGCACGCGCGCATGCATCTGTGTCTTAGCGACCCAACCGATTCTTCAGTAATTATTACAGCTAGCCAAAAAGTCTTTTGTTTTCTGCAAATCTCGTGGCTGCCACGCGAGATGAAGTTTCGAGCCGCCGCAAAACAATAAAGAAAAACTAAAAAGAGGAGCGCCAAAGAAAGACATGGTTGGCTCACAAGGGGGTCCGGCTGGCTGCTTTCTCGGGACACGACAGAGGGAGGCGTTTCTTGAGACGACTTTTAGTCTCCATAGTCTTTCCCTCCTTGTGTCTGCGGGCTCAGGAGAGACTGCGGGAGTCAGCGAGAGAGCACCGGGGGAACCTGTGAGAAGGGCCGGTGTTGGCGCCACCGCACTATCATCACCGCATAACAGAATGAGCACTGGGCATCAGCTTTGGTAGCAGGGAGTCCGTACAATTTCCCACTCAACTGTCTGGCGCGTGCCTCGAAGGCTTCCGCGTAGGCCGTCGAAGAGGCTCCATACGAACTTACTGATTGGAGCAGTCCTCATTCGGGACTCGCGGGCCAACGGCCAACACGAGCCTGTATCTGACGGAAGCACATTCCATCTCTCGCCGCTCCATCGTCGCGCTGCCAGGACCTCGTGGTCCGCGGGCTGCTTGACCGCCGGCCGAGCCGCTAGGCCTGTGCCAGACCGGTTGAAATGGATGGTACCCGTATAAATAGCAACATCATCGACGGACTACGCGGCTCGGCACTGCTGCTCGATAGCAAACATGCGCCTCCCGGCCTACCGAGCCGTAAGAAAATAAGGCGTGTCCACCCAGTTCAGGGGAGGAAAAGACATGGGTGTAGATTGCGCGACGCCGTGCTGGTTGGTTGGCCCTGGATGACCCGTCTTCCGCCACTCCCCGCCCCGTCCTTTCTTTCCTCAGTGGATCCTCGTCCAAAGCTCTGACTTGAAATGTCGGCGGCGACTGCCTGGAGCAAAGGAGCTCGTGGGCCGGAGGCGCGGTTAGCAAGATACGCCCATGGAATCATGCTCCCCATCGATGATATCATTGCGGGAGCTCCGTAGTCAACGTTGCAGGATCTATCTTCGGCCCGAAAGAAATAGATACAGTAGGCTGCAACGACGCGGTCAACAGTTTTCGAAACCGGAGGGGAAGACCCAACAAGGGAGCGGCAACGGGCCTCACGGCGCCTCGATGTGAGTGGCCTCGCGAACATGGAGGGGCGGCCCACGCAACTACACGGACCAGGGCCGGGATGACGGGCTATCCCATGCGGAGCCGAAAACGGCGCTGCGGCTTACAAGCGTTGGGGCTCCGGTCCGGTGCTCCAGGTGAGATGGGATGATCCCTCCTCTTCCCGCCAGGGATGAAACCGCCAACCCCCCCCATCTATGAAGCTCGATGGAAGCGCGGTGACGAGCGCAAATGGACCCACGAACCGCGCAACCCAACAGCTCCTGGCCCTCGCACCACTGGCACCGAGCAGCTACCACGGAGCGCTCCCGGCCCTGGTAGGTGGATCGCTGCCGTGGAATATACCACGGTGACTACGTCGCTCCGTGTACGTGCTGTACTCTGCCGCGACGGGCGCCGTGCTGCACAGGACCTCGGGGAATGGCATGCCGCGGGCATGTGGCCACAGCACACACGAGGTCGTTGTATGGTGCATCGTTGGCCAAGGGCGGTGCGGTTGACCGGGGGCAGGAGAGGACCGAAGCAAAAAAAAAAGATGAATCAAATCTCCAGGGTGTCTCGTTGGCTTTGAGACAACCCCAGAACCCTGGACCTCTGGTGAATTGTGCATGCACTGGTTTTTTACTCCAAGGAGACCCGTCTATTGCGACTTACTTGGGAGCACTTCGTGACAAGACGATACTGTACTGCCGTGAAAGCTGATGAGACGATGTGCTCATGAGAGCTGCCATGCTTTGATCTCCGGCCCTGGTTTTGGGACAGCGGCTTCGGCTCGGCGCCGGCTGAAGGGTATGGAGACAAGTACCTGTGCGACGGAGACCCCGGAGGGCGGACAGGGCGGAGGCGTCGTTGCGTATCTCGGCGTCGCGGATTGCTCGTTGGTCCGCAGCTCCAGGTCCATAGACGAGACCGAGGGAGACGCCCACAGCCACGTTTTCCACAACGCGGATGGAGGAGGGGGCTGAAGAAGGGGCGCATGACGGCTCGGCAGCGGCGCCCATGAGACAATGAACGGCCCGTTCGCTGGGCTGTAGACAACGGTGATCCAAGTACTCCGTAGCACTGACTGAATGGCTGGTTGGTGGTGCTGACGACAACTCGAACGGCGTACGTGCGCGAGCGTACAGTGCAGCTAAGAGTAGTGAGCATCCGTAGTCTGTGCAGTAGTACGGATAGGCACGCGTGTGGCGCAGGTTGCAGGTCCAAAGTGACTGACAAGCAAGCAGGCAGAGGAGGCGACGAGGGGACTTGGTTAGCGCGACACGCTGGGCGATGCTCGACAATGGCCGTGTCTTTCTCGAACGAACTTGCTTGCTGACGTCTAGTTAAGGGAGAGACTGAAACCGGCGGCTACCGAAGTCTCCGTCCAGCCCAGCCAGCAAGGCCAGAGTCGATCTCGTGGCGACGGGTCCTCGGCGATGATCCTCGTCCAGCCCCGACTTTGCGACGGCTCTTGTTTTTTTCCTTCTTCAGTTGCGGCGCTTACCCCAACCTCACTCATTGTCCTCTCCTGTTTCTTGTCTCCCCTTTTCGACTCTATGGCGTGGCCGTTGATATTAGCCATTGGCTCTCCCCTTTTACACTGGTGACGAGCCAGTCATGCCATGAAACATGAGAGACTATTGAACGCCAAGGTTGGCGGCAGTAAACGTAACGGGTGCTTCTGTCCAGGATCCCCGAGATGGCGCAGCACGAGGCATGCTTGGGACGGGACTCGCTCTAAGCTCTTGCCCGAGGATGCAGGTCCGAGAGCTCCTGTGTGGCCACGCGGTCCGGAAGAGAGAATGGACGGCCACTCATCGCACAACTGCATGAGCTAGCATGCTGGCAACGATTGGTCACGAGGAAGCGACTGCCTGGACCCATGCGTGGGTGCAGAGCAAAACCAAAAAGGAGAGGGACTGGGCCCCAAGGGACCAGATGCCAGCCAGGGTCGCCATGAAACATTTTCCTTTTTGGGACGCCATGCTGGATCAGCGAGGGATGGGGGTTAGCCGCCATGTGCACTTGTGCGACACCCACAGAGACAGATGATGCCGGCGCTCGCTGGCGGCAAGCTCAAGAGGCCGTTGAGATTATGGGCCGGGCCATTTCTCTGGTCGGAGGGTTTGACCTGGCGCGTGGCGGACGGGCGGGAGATGATGAGCTGGCAGACACAGAGCGAAGGGTCGCAGGGGGGGACAAAGGCGAGGGCGTCATTGGTGGGCGGATCGTGGACCACGGTGGTCATGCTCGAGTGGTTGATGCCGTCGACAAGCGCTACTGCTCGCTCGCGCCGACCTTTTGAGCAGATAGTCGACCACTAATGCTAGGCAGGGGGCGCGGGTAGCGAGATGATCCAAGGGGAAAGGGTCGTCGTCGGGCGTGCGGCTGAGCAGGTGGAGATGTCGACTGTGAGATGCCGGCTGTCGTCTGCTTGCCATGCTGGCTTGCAGGTCCTGGTACTGTGTGCACGGGAAACACACTGTGTTTCTGGGCGACAAGGGCTGACAACTGTCTTGGTAGCGCCCATCTCCGCAAGGTATCGTCGGGTTGAGGTCCAGCCCCTGTCCTTGACGCCACTGCTCGCGACTGAGACCTTAAGCGACGTACGTAGCGCTCTGTGGCAGCTTGCTCGCGCCGTCTACCTAGCTCTGATAGTGCAGCGGATGAGCTCACCGCTCCCCCGCGTGGCTTACGTTGGTGCTTATCAATCGTCCAGCCTCTTAGGGAGTACACAGTGTCTACTTAGGTACCAAGGACCGTGGGCGGCGCCTGACGAGGAGCTTGGTGCACCAGCAGCACGTTGGCATCCGCACAGGTTGAGGAGCTGGAGCCTCAAGACGGAATGGATGGATTGGTCTTGGCACAGTATTATTTAGTACGGAGTATACTGCAGACAGTCATGCCTGAAGACGAGCGCTCAACCGTCACGACCAGCAACCCGGGACGGGACGTCGCACCTCTCAGGATGTGACCTCGCCAGCTGGCACTGTGCCGGGCGAGCCTCTCCTCAGGTACCGAAGCGTGTTGCCTGTGTTGCCCAAAGCTTGTTTCTGCCCATCCAGGCACGCAGGGAGCCAGCATGTGCATGCATGTTTGCCCATGTGCCGGAGCTCTGAGCATATACCGGTACGGATATCCGTACCTCGAGCATAGCTATGCACGTCGATCAGCCAGATGCAACGCCGTCACATGTGCGCATGTGTGCGCATGTGTCAGTTACGTACAGGATACCTGTCAATTCCGAAGCTCGGGCGCACGGACAAGGACGATGCCATGTTTCACGTCGCGTGTTGGCCACGACGCCGAGTGCCCATCCCATCTGGGTACCCATCGACGGCTTTGATGCGATTCTCCAAGAGCATCTGTGCAGCGACGGCCTTGTTGGTACAGCCTGGGCTTAGCATCATCGCAAGGTTCTCCGTACGGTCGGACGGAGAAATAGCCGCCCCACCCGACCCTTGTTCCTTGACCCTTTTTGACAGCAGCAGAGCGTGCATTGACCCGCACTCACTCGCCCATCGTCAACTTTTGCTCGTCTTTTCAGTCGCCGCAGAGTCACTTTCGTATTTACTTTTTTCCAAACCTATAATGACCTATTTCGAGTTTCTGGCTCATTGTATCATTTCGCTATCAGGTATTCCGTACTCCGCACCGAGCGTGCTACTGTAGCACGCACAATGGGCCTCCCTTGTTCCTCTCCCTTGGCCTCCCTTGTTCTCCTCCCCTTGGTCTCTCCCCCCCCTTGGTCTCTCTCTCCCCTTGGTCTCTCTCTCCCCTTGGTCTCCCTCCCCCTGTCAAGTGGCTGCTGCCTGTCTGTTCGCCTTCTCCCCTTCAACCCCCTCCCCCGGTCGTTGACGAGGGGGCCTCGGCTTTTGCAGTCATCTCCAGTCGGTAAATGAAGGCGTCCACAACAGGGCTGATGAGCAGCTGCTGGGCTCATGATCAACCTGCTGTCCGGCTCGCAGCCCACGTTGGTCGCACCTGCATACTCTGATCCGTCTTCGGCCACAGTCCTGCGGACAGCAAGGTAGATGAAGAGCCGCGGCGTACATTTTCACAAAGGGCCAGCCAGCGGCACCCACCCACGCTCACGCCTGGCACCCGCATCGCCATGGCTGTATCAAGACCCCCAAGGGCACGCACGCGACAGCCGGGCGCTCGTGCCCCAGCGCCCCTCCCCGCCCAATGCTGTAAGCAGACGGGATGCCGTCGTGTGCGGGAGGCTGCCAAGCGCCCAAAGCCTTGGAGGTCGGCCTGCACTGTACAGAGTAGCGAGTAATAGCGAGGCTGGGGGGTACATGCAAAGATAGAGAGGTCGAGGACTTACCGATATTTTAGTTGGTATAGCTCGAGGTTGGCTGTGCCGGTGGACCGATCTCTCTTGGCCACACACCCCTCTCCTCCCCCCCCCCCTTCCCGAGCATCCTTCTCCCTTCCGTACGGCTTCTCCCCTTCTTTTTCCATCTCCATTTCTTCTTCTCTGCTTCTTCTTCCTCTTCTCCTTCTCCACGGTGGTGATGACGATAACGCGCTTCCCCCTCCCATATCCTTCTTGATCTGCCCAGCCCAGGCGAATTCACCGAATCCTTCCCGGCAGCACCTCCCTCACGTCTTTTGTCACCGCCTCCAATCTTCACCTTTCTTCTTCAAAAATCTCTGCTTCATCTCGTTGCCAGCCGACCAGTGGCCTGCTGGCGCCGGCTACTCGATACCCTTACTGCTGTCGCAGGCATATACCATCCAAGCATCTGCCCAGAGGGCACACATTTCACCCTTGTTCTCGCCGCTGGAAATCGCAACGAGCCACGGCATCCTGCCAATTCGACCTCAACTGACCATCTCACCGCCCTGGACGACCTCGATCCGGTGAACTGCTGCTGATCAGTTAGGCAACCTCATCTCTCGGCCATGCCATTGGAGTAGCAGTTGCCTCATAACGTACAGCATCCATACTTGACCCCAACGTCATCCTGGCTTGGACCAGTAGCGACTCGATAGGAAAACCAACCTCGAGCCTTCCTTTCCGCTCTCAACCGCGCTCGGTCTTGCGAGATCTGGGGCAGATATCTCTCGTCGCACATCCGCCTTCACTCGCCAGAGTCGCAAGCCATGGCCCACCATGAGACGGAGCTTCTTGGCAGCATCGTTGCCTTTGAAGGCCGTCCCGATACCATCTCTACCCAGCTGCGGCTTCTTCCTACCTCCTCTCAAGTCCTCATTCTTCCTAGCGTCCAATGCAATTTCCCCAATGTCGATCTGGGGCAAAACTTCGACGCCCGCGCCTACGTCAAGCGGGTTCACGATGCCCTCGTCGCCCGTAACGAAGCCGCCCGGACCTTTCTGCAGGCATCGACCCCCACCAACAAGCGTCTGGTCTTCATGAACGGAGGCACCCCCAGCGCACAGGCCCTATGCATCAAGGCCATCATGATGCACGAAACGGCTGGGGACAGGGCAGAAGCCGGCGCCATCTTCGACGACCTGATCAAGGATGGAGTGGCAGGACTACACGAAGATTGGCATCGCAGGAGTGCATTCGACGGGCGCGACCAAGCCGGCGATTTCGAAGATCCCATAACAAGGGCCATGCGTGCCGCCGATGCCCTGGACCGCCAGACCGCCAGCTTGCAGCCCTCCGACGACCTCGACCTGACCGTCCCCACGCGACAGCGCAGCTCGAGCCTGCCCTTGTATGGCTACTCGGACGCCTTCGGCGATGCCGCTCCCTTCTTTGTCTTTGGCGCTCGTACAGCCGAGAAAGACGGTCAAGTCGATGAGACTTGCCCTACGGCCCCCAGGAAGCCAAGCCTGGCCGTGCCGCAATCCGATGACCCAGCTCAAAAGCCGACACTCCTCAATCCATGGAACCGGGTTTCCATTCCCTACTCGCCAAGCTGCATCGGAGAGTCGTATGAGCCAAGCTCCTTTCAGGAACGCATCGAGGTAGATGCGTCCTCGCCAATGTCGGATGTCTTCAGCATCCAGACCCTCGACAATGTCGTGTACGGGGAGGCATCCGTTTTGGATGTGAGGCACTCCGTCAGCGGCAGAGGGTCCTTGGCAAGAGTCAAGTCTCTCGACAGGATCTACCCCGCGAGCCCCAAATTTCGAGACCTTTGCATCCCTTCCGAGTCGTGGCTCGCTGAGCCCGAGACTCCTAGGCCGCATCGTCCGCAATCCCTCATGGTGTTCAGAGACGACAAAGACGCACCTTGGAGTCGCTTAAGCATCGTCGAGCGACCCAGAACGGTCATGGTGAGATCCAAGATGCCAATCGTCAAGGTAGCACCCGTCCCGCAGGGGAAGAAGAAGAGAAAGAGGCATGTCAGGGCAAGGTCCACCTACGTAGACCGCGGCACCGATCCCGACGCCGAGTCGGACGAGCAGGCTCCGTTCCAGCCCGTTTTCCCCTTGACCGAAGACCTGGTCGTCTTCTTGAAGGAGGAGACTGCAGATGGGCTGCTCGAGTCAGCAGTTGGTGCCTTTAGGGACGGCCACTACCCGCTCCTACCCCTGTCCCCGAAGGCATCTGAGCCGATTGAAGATGCCGAGAAATCGTTGCCCGGCACCCCGAGCTCTCGCTCCTCTGAGGCCCCCAGGCACTGCAACAGCGCTCCTGAGCCTGAAGAGGACATGGTCGCTCCCGCATCGGCCAACTTGGACGACTACGACCCATTCGCGTACATTCAACCTACTGCGCAGGCGCCGAAGCCGTCGCCGATGGCCCCCAAAGTGACTGTTGTACGCCCGCCCACGCCGGCTCATACTCCGCCGCCCTCGGTCGCCGTGTCTGAGAATGAGCGCAAGGTTCACGAGTTCAGTATCGCGACAAACCAAACGGCAGTAGCTGTTCAAAACTCGCTTCGGTCCATTCTTGCCGAGTATTTTCCACCTGACACCCAGGGATACCACCAGTTCCAGTTTTCCCTGCTTCCCGAATTCGACGGCTTGTGGAAACCAATTTTCCGCGGCACCGAGACCGACAGCCCACAAAAGGGCGAGGGAAACATTCACCAGATCTTGGCCATTGGATCGCAGAAGGGCGTCAAGAAGGAATACTCGCTGGCAATCACCGGCCAACTGGAAAGGCTAGGTAGCAAGTCCAGCGACCTGGGTCGAGCGGACATAGTAGACTTCCGGTAAGTTACAATTGCCTCTCCACGTCCTGTCATGTTCTCCCTTGGCGTTCCATGCTGATCGACGAGACTAGCTACCTCCTTGCCAACGCGATGCAAGCCTTCACGGCTCAGCCCCTGGCAAATCAAACTTCGGACAACCCGTTCACCAACTCGTATCTGCTTGCGACACTCATCGTGCCTCACCTGGAGACCTATCTCGCCCTCCACTGCGAGGTTCGATATCTGCTGTTGCAGTACCCGCCGGAACACCTCGGGACGGTCCTGGCCCTGCAGAAGCTCGTCGGCGTCGACCTGATGAAGGTTGCGCAGATTGTCGACTCCAACAGCAAAGAACACCTACCATTCACCCACATTCGAGGTGTTTCCATCGGCAGCAAGTCCGAGGCAAACCCAGGAAAGCGATCGTCGCCCTCTCCAAGCCCATCACCCGCCGTTCCCGTGTCCAAAGCCAACTTTCTCCTCACATCAACGGCGTCCGACAAGGACATTGCGAAGTTTGTGTCCACTGTGTGGAATATCCCGGCCGATTTCGGGGATTCCGAGACGCCGGAGTCTTCAATCCTAAGCTCATCTAAAAGGAAGGCAAGACCTTCGCCTCTCCAGTTGAGCAGGGAAAACCTGTCCCCTTTTCCCAAAGTCAGTCCTCAGAGTCCCGTTTCGCCCAAGACGGTTGTTGCGTCTCCGCCTATGCGCGACGTCCCGCCGTCCGCTGTGCGACCTACCTCGGCAGCCGAGTCGGTTCGAACCTCCAAGTCGGGCAAGAGCAAGCAGAGCCGGCGCAAGTCTCGAGGAAACACAGCGACACCAGCGGCAGATACCGCGTCCATCATGTCCTATGACCCCGCCGAGGAAAGCGATCTCGACTTTGACGAGCGCAGACTGATTCCACTCTTTCTGAGGAAGACTGGGACGCGCAAGCCCAACAGCCGCAAGGCGCTCAAGTTCCTGGGTCTCGCCTGACATCCGGCCATGGACGCGCCGTTGCCGTCATCTTCTTGAGCGGATTCTTTGTTCCCTTGAATATTCCACCTCGAGAGCCACGGCCTCTTTGCAAGTCAAGTGCTTACGACGGAGCCCTCTACTTGGCCTCGACGCTCATTCTCCCAAAAAAAATTCCTTATCCAATTTCACTTTTTTTTATGTTGTCTGTTGATCTTCAATAACGCGAATGTACAATATACGGCCATGTTGGAAGAACTTGGACCATGGGCATGGGGCGGGCGAGCAAATACCCAGGGCAAGGCAGATATGTAAGGTATACCGGAAAGGCGAGGGGAATCTGCGCAGACGGGGTAGCGCATTCTGATTGGCACAAGCACGGAGTCGATATATCGGTGAATTCGATGACATCGCTTGTTTGGACACTTGGGTGTGACGGCTCATGACGTTTGCCTCGGGCATGTCGTGGCATTGTAGCGAGTGATGCCAAGATCCTCAGTGTCCCAGGTCGGAACTACGTAGCAAAATGCCTGAGCAGGGGCGAGATGACATGGCCGAGGTGCTTCCTTGCGCAGCTCTGAGCCCGAGACATGGCGAGGGCATGGCGATCCGTACCTCAACAGCGCAAAGGCGGGCGAGCGGGTAGATTCACAAACAAAGGTCTCCTGTATTAAAAGCCCCCTATTCGCACAAGAGCAGAAAGCGCCAGATATTGCGAAGCAAGAAAGAGAAATGAGGAGGAAAACAGGGAAGCAAACAATCGCACAAGTCGGCCCATCTCACGCGCAACGCAAGCTGCAGCCCAGACAAAGAACGGGAAAATTGGCGAAGAAAATGACGAGAGAATCAGAAGACCAAAAGAAAGGCAGGAAAAAAGCGAAGCAGCAAGGGGGGGGGAAGAGGCCAGTGAATAAACGATAAAGGCACGGGGCTGTATGCGTATCCGCTCGTGCCCCGGCATCCACGCTGCTGGCCGTGATACACGCGCTTGGACGCGTTATGATGCGCTTGTCGTGTATCCTTCGTGATCCTCTTCTTCCTTTACCACCCTAGTCGCCCATGGGCACCAAACGGATTGCCTGTCCTAGTCGAGCCGCGCCCGTCGTCTCTATGCACGGCGCCTCGGTCATCCATCGCGTGCGGCAGGGGAGCAGGAGTCAAATGGGACATGATTCAGTCTATGCGCAAAAACAGGGAGAGGACGTAAATCGGGAACGGAAACAGAGAAATCATGATGTGCCTGCCTAGTCATTTCCGCGGCGGTGAGCCTTAGTCCGTGCTTCCCCCTCCACCTGATGTCGAGGCGACTTAGCAGCAGCTATTGTTGGATGAAGAGCCGACGCCCTGGCCCTGGCCGACTTGGACGCTGGGCTTGGTGTTGTTGGCCGTCGTGGTACCCATGCGCTCCTTGATCTGGCGGGCCATGGTCAAGAAGGCCTGCTCGACGTTGCTCGCGTTCTTGGCCGACGTCTCGAGGAAGGGAATGCCCAGGCTGTCGGCGAATTCCTGGGCTTGAAGTCAGCCCTGATCCACCAATGATGAACGAGGCGGCGGCAGGTCTCACCTTTGCGACTGTGTATTCGACCACCTTCTTATCCGACATGTCGCTTTTGTTGCCGACGAGCAGCTTGTTGACGCCCTCGGTGGCGTATCTGTCAATCTCTTGGAGCCACTGCTTGACGTTGTTGAATGAGTCCATGTCGGTTACATCATAGACGACGCAGATGCCGTGCGCGCCACGGTAGTAGGACGAGGTGATGGTTCGGAAGCGTTCCTGGCCGGCTGTGTCCCACTGCAGGCGAGGGCGCGTTAGGTCGGGGTGCATGGCCGTGGGGGCGGGGGGGGGGCTTACGATCTGCAGTTTGACCGTCTTGCCATCGAGTTCTATCGTTCGGATTTTCTGCAAGTCGTTTAGCGGTGCGCGAGTGAGGAGTCAGGGGGTGGTGGATGGTGGGCGTACGAAGTCGACACCGATGGTGGAGATGTAGGACTCGGTGTAGGTGTCGTCGGCGAAACGCAGCAGCAAGCAAGACTTGCCCACACCGGAATCACCGATGAGGAGCAGCTTGAAGAGGTAGTCGTATCTGGCATGGGAGCGTCAATAAGAGACGACGGATGGCGAGCGCGTAGCGGCAGGGGGCACGGCGAGGCGGGAGAAGCGCGGCAAAGGGCAAGGAGGAGGACTCTGGGCAGCATCATAGTCAGCACGCGTGGCTGCGAAGATCAGGAGGTAAGCGCACCACTCAGGGTTCATGTTGGCGGCGGACAGCGCAGAGGCGTCGGAGAGGGAGCCAGGTGTCTTGTCGATGACGCGGGGTGTGGTGGCGATGTCGAGAGCGAGGGCGAGCGAAAGGGCGTGGAGGTTGAAGGGTTGACGAGGTTGAGTACTGTAGGTATCAATAAAGAAAGAAAGAAAGGGTACGTCAGGGAAAGGAAAGCCGCCAGTCGGAGGCTGGCACTTGGTGGGTTGGATGCTGATGGGGTCACGTGCGGGCCGATGCTTGTCGAGGCGTGCTGGCGTGCTGGCGAGGTACTCGGTACTTGCACAGCCTCCTCGGGGCACGGGCCGGCCAGCACAGGCGGTGTTGGGGACCCTCAGGCGCCCGGGTCGTTGAACAGCGACTGACTCCCCGCTGAAGGGCACCAAGGTAAGTACCTAGGTAGGTACGACTACAGTGGGGGGACAAAAGTTCCGGTCAATGACGCTAGCGCGTCGCGTACGCGCGTCTCCCACATTCCAACCCTTCCTCTTCAAATCACCATCATGCCTTCAAAATGAGCCCAATTACGCCCAAAAAAACACTGGAGCCCTCATAAGAGGACGAAGATTGTGACCCTCTTTGATTGCGGCTTCTCAGCTGCCCTCGTCGGCGTCAAAGAGGACGTTTCTCCTAGAGCTGTCTACGGAATCGTCAGGCGTTACAGGACACAGTCGAGTGCGAAATCTTTGCCGCGCTCTGGGAGACCCTCAAAGCTCAATGACACCCATAAAAGATATATCTTTCGATGCATCGCGAAAGACCCTTTCATCTCGAATGCTCAGCTTCTTCGTGAGGCTTCTCTAGAGTGTTCTACACGTACTTTAACACGGTACCTTCGACACCATGGCATACAACATGTACGCGCTCTTCGACGTCCAAAATTAACAGAAGAACATGCTGCAAAGAGGCTACAATTTGCACTACAATACCATCAAAAGCCAGCTTCCTTTTGGCATACATGGATTTTCTCTGATGAGACGTCAATCGCTCGTGGGGACGGCGAGAGACAGAAGTGGGTTTTGCAATTCAGTACGTCTTAATACCCTTACTTCAAAAATCCCTCCTAATTGCAAAAAGGGGGATAGATTAAATCCGAAAAACGTACAAGCAAGAGGAAAACCTACTCGACATTCCCAGATGTTTTGGGGCGGCTTCTCCTTTAATCGGCGGACTTCTCTTACACCAATGCTAGGAGACCCCGACTCAGCCCGTGGTGGCGTTACTGCACGCCGTGTGCTCGAGACCTTACAAGAAAGCCTACCTACAATTGCAGAGCCAGGCTATACATTCGCCCAAGATAACGCCTCAACACATACGGCGGCCATTGTGCAGGCGTGGCTTGGCTGCTGGGTCGAAGAAAACAGGGTAGATTTGGTCGACTGGCCGCCATATTCACCTGACCTAAACCCCATAGAAAACGTATGGAAGCTGCTTAAAGAGAGCATTATGGAGACTCACCCTGAGCTCTCAGACCTTCCAAAGAACTATAGCTCCAAGCAGAAGCTCTGTTTTGCAGCGGTTGGAGCGTGGGAAGACCTTGAAGAGGATACCCTCAATCACCTAATAGAATCAATGCCTCGGCGCCTTCAAGCTGTTGTGGCTGCACGTGGCTGGTATACCAAATACTAGCCGAAACAACAATAATCTCCACTCAATTCTCTATATATTTATATCTTCGGCTTCATAATTGACCTTCATTTGGCAAAGTAATGTGCTGTTGAAAAGAGGGCTCTGATGCGGCGTTGTGGTGGGTGGGCCGGATTGACCGGAACTTTTGTCACCCGACTGTAGTAGTATCTCGCTTCGACGAGTACAGTACAGAGAGGCCGAGTACCTAGGTACCTACTTACTCGACAACAACCTACAGTACAGTGCAGTAGTTAACTAACTACTCCAGCATCGAGGTAGGAAGCGAAATGCACGACGGAATCCTTGATGCATGCAACATATGGCCGTTCATGTCACCGCGTGGCTTGTCGAACACGGGTCTCAGCCGTCACCGACAGCAGCAGGACGACCCTTGGCTAAGTACTCGAGGCCAATCCGCCGCCGGCACGCATGTGACGGACGGACATGGCCGCGTGACGACCAAACGCCGTCTCGTCTCCAATCTTGGCTGTCCCAGAGGCTGACGGTGGCCCGTCTTGCGTATACTCTGTACATGTGCTGCTGCCGTGATGCATCTTTTGCCCTTGATGTTATTGACCTCTCTCTGTCCAGAGTCAGCGTCGCATCAGCCGTTGGACAATCGCAACACGCTCACAGCATACGCCTCCAGATGGTCACTGTGGACCTCGAAGGGAGTGAGGACCTCCGAGGAAGCGAGAGACGGACAAAGCAGCCTCATCAGTAACCGCACGTCTAGGCAGTCATTGTTAGAGTGCCGCCAGCCGGGAGCCGCCATGGCGGATCAGCCGCCCCCCACAATGGTACCAAGTACCTCCACCACTTGTCGATAACCTCTTCTCGACCATCACCATTGGACATAACTTGCCTCGACAAGCAGCCTCGACAGCTTCTACCCTCGGGGCAGCGTCATCTTGACACGGGCCGGCCTTTGAGCTGCCCAAGGGGGAAAGCATCCCATCTTAGCTCGTCAAAGCCCGTCAAGCAGCCTGCAGCTTACTCTGCTCCCCCTTCCGCTGCCCATCGTCACCATCTATGCGGCTCCCCTCCACTGCCGCTGGCCTGACCACCAAATGGCCGCGCCGCTGATGCGCAACGCCGTCAAGCGCCCCGGCAGCTCCTCCCGCGCCCTCCCGGCTCTGCTCCGACGATGCCGCTTGGCCGTTTGCATCAGCAGCAGCATCAGCAGCAGCAGCAGCTCCGCGGGGGCAGACGTCAAGCCCGCCACGCACCACCACCTCGCGCCGGAACCCGCGCCCCCAGAGGTGCTGCTGCAGCTGCCGCGGTCCTCAACGCACGTACGCCTCGCCAGACCCGCCTTCGACGCCACGAGCCTTCGCTGGGTCGGGGGCAGAGGCGAGAAGAGCCCGGATCCCAACAAGGCCAAGCTCGGAAAGAGTATGCCGCATGGCTTGTCCTTTCAGTCGATTGCGGGAGCTCACTAACGCACCACACCGGGTAGCTCTCAGGATACTCCAAGAACGCCTGCCGACCCTCCTGCAGTCCCCGCTGCCCCAAGAGATCCTCGCACCGAACATCGCCCTGCAGCTCTTCCCCACGACCCATCCTCACCTCCCCACCGTCTCGGGCCGGGTCGCATACAACGCCGCGCTCTGGACATCCCCCATTGCGTGGAACCGCGTCCCCATCATCGGCAACGTCAGGCTCGAGATTCTCGCCGAGCGCATGACCTCGGAGCCCCTGACCTTCCTGCCCCGGCGACCCGGCGCCATCCCCGAGCAGCTCGTCGTCCGTTGGTGCGAGAAGCGCAGGCCGGCAAAGGGCGCCAACGGCCGTGAGCCCGGCGGCATCGTCAGGACCCTGTGGGGCGGCAGGGGCGCCGGCGTCGAACCCAACAAGGCCTTTACCGGCCTCTTCACCTTTGACTTCGACGCCCAGGGCAGGATCCTAACCCACACCATCGAGCAGGCCCAGGAGGGCGGCGACTGGGAGCGAGGCGTGGGGGCCAAGTTTGTCGGGCTGACGGACTGGCTTCTCGGAGGCATGAAAGACCCGGATGATACCCCAATACCAGTGTTTGAGAATCTCAAAAAACGACGCGAGAATTGAGGCGTGGTATAGGGAGGGCCAGATTTGAGCGCATTGGCGCAACCTTGATGGCCGGCCCTGATGTCGACACGTCAAACGGGCTGAATGGCGTTTGGATGCATCTACTCGGCTCTCATGATGCGCATGATTCGATTCTCAATGGAAATACTGTACAATAGCAAGTGAGCGAGATCACTCTCCGCCAAATGCTTCAAGCTCTCAACCTGTGTGCCATGTACGACTTTGTCCGTCACTGGAGGGTGAAATGCATAGCGAGGTGACCCGCCCGACCTGGTCCATTGATACGCGGGGCAGACGTCAAGCTACGCCATGAGAAAGGATCATCAACTCGGCACAAGTGACGGTGATTCTTGGCCAGGTCTCCATTCCATGCGCTGCTTGCAAGGGCAGACGTACAGCTTTTCAACCATGTTCCGTGGCATGCCAGGCGACCCATCTCAACGCCCCAGTCCACCACTTGTCGCGATCCACGTCCCCCGCTCGCAACGAACCTAAGACCTCTCGACCAGGAGAGCATTTCACAATATTCTGCCCGCCCAGGCCGTCTCCGTAGCTGCAAACGCAGCAGCCCGTGACTCGGGGCATACACCGGGGGGGTGTCTCGGGGAGCATCGGGCCTTTTGCCCTCCACCAGCCAACCTCCGTCAGTCGATGGCCTCAGAGAGCGATTTCGCCAAGGTTCTCCCCCTCAAACCCAATCTTGGCGAGCTTCTTTAACCGCGTCTTTTCTTTGGTCTTCTCCACCGACTTGCGCTCCTCGGCGAGCTTCTTGACGACTTCCAGCTCGGCGACTTCGTATCCGGCGGGCGCGTCGTCGTCTTTGTCCAGGTCGATCTCACCTAGCATCAGCACGTTTTCTCCTCTGACGAGGAAGATGCCGTGGAAGACGTCTGCGTAGAGTCCCTGCGTGGTCTCGTGGGGGTCAGCGCCGATTGTTTTCGTCGCGAATATCCGTTCCGTCGTCGATTGAAGAACCAAGTTGGCTGCCAAGGTGTCAGGAGAGCGATCAAATCTCAGCCAGCGTAGAAAACGCAGTGCAAAGAACCCACCAAACTGATCCCAGCTTCTTAACACGCCAATCAACTTCCTCCCATCGCGCAGCACAATCATGAGCTTTTCTGCGTGACTCGTCAGCGTCAACCACCAGCATTGGCCGCAAGGATCAGTCCGTACTGTCAGTGAAATCCAGGAGTTGGGCCGCCGTCGTAAACATCTGCGGCGGCAGCTGAGGAGGTGGCTGCGGAGCGCCCCGGACCTGAAGAGGAGCAACGGCCTGGCCGCCGTGCGGGGGCGCATCTGAGAGAGACAGCTTTTCCATGGTGTCATGGGGATTTGGGAAGGCTTTAGAGCATCAAGAGTTCGGGTATGGGCTTCCGCGCTGGTTCCATGGGCCGGGGTCCTCATGCGCTCGTGCATGGGAGCATGGCCAAACGCGGGACGCTCTCAGGTAAGAAAGCTTGGGTGCGGCCAGACGTTGGAGCTCGCGGCCGTCCTGACAAAGACAAAGATATCGATAACGTACAGTCATGTGACGTCGACGGAACCACGCAGCCGGGTTGTGGAGCTGGTCGTTGTCCTTTGTACAGTACATCCCGCCGTCCGGGCCTACTACAGTCAATTATTAGTTCACGGGCTGGACGACCTTTGTCCCTATCAAAGCATCGATTCGAGCGAGATTCGAACAAGTGGCAGATTGGGGAACGAGGAGGCTCGAAGCCTCCACCTCTCCATAGTTCACTCTCAGCTAGCGCATCACCCCGTGGGACAGGATGCTTTCCGCGTCTTCTAGCCATGCTCTTCTCGTACTAGGTTTTCTTTCTCACGACTTTCTTTCTTTTCATTCCTTGTAATCGCGGCTGACTGCAGGGTTAAGGAGGATCCGGGGTCAGATGACCAAGATCTGCGGCGGAGATTGGAATGGGCGAAGATATATCCTGCTGCCAAAGAAGGAGGCTGCCAAGCCCGTTGGAGGCTACAGAAGAGCGGAGCAAGCTCTGCCACGTTGATGCGGGCGCTGACGGTGTCGACGGCTTGGGGAGGGGACAGGCTCTGGCTGCACATGCGCTACGCTGTGCTCGTTTCATCGCCATACATACGACGCAAAACGCGTTTTCATTCACCACGAGTAAGCTCATATGACCCGGAGGCCCCAGCTCACATCATGTCCATGAGCGATACATAGGACATACCCATGCATGCTCCGTGTCATAGAGGCGACGCTACTCAGCGGCGAGCCCTTCATTTCCTCCTGGCTTTCCGAGTGCGGACGGCAAGGGGTGACTGCCCCGTCTATCAGTGCTTGCTATCAAGGATGTCGATGCTCGTAGGCAAGAAGCCCTTTCCGTACCCGGCGAATCACAAAGAACCTGGCCTGGTTCATCTCGTGCCCGTAGAGCTGTCACCGCCAGTCATGTGTCGTCTGCCATCCAACCTCGTCCTAGGCCTCGATGCTTGTTGCAAATAAAAGAGGAAAAGGTGGGGGGTAACAGGGGGAGGGCAAGAGACAGGGGAAATGGCGAGAACGGGGCACAAAAGAAATCTATAATGTCCTCAACCTGCAACGCCTTGATCTGGATGCAAGATGCGTCTGCCCCTGCAAACGATGAGATGTGTGTGTAAAAGAAATTGGCCTCCAGGGCAGCGCGAGGCAACGCGGACCTCAGGCTGAGTGTACCGCACGAGCGTCTCCGTGGCACGGCAATAAGCCAACGTGAAACGCCGCCGAGCTTCACCGGTCGAGGGCGGGTGCGGCGTCTATAGCTGATTGATGGTGGAACGCTGCAAGGCCTCCTGCAGTTCGGGCCTCGCGGCCAGAGCCTCGTGGGCCTGAGCATGTGTGAACCACTGCCGCTCCCGCTTGTGCCTCTCCGGCCAGTCGTCGACCTCGCTCAGTACGGTAGCCTGGTAAAAGGAGTAGCGGGCTCGGTCCTTGGTTGACTTGGGCGGTCGCTTCTCGTCAATTGTGCCCAGGTCGTAGTCGATGTTGATGGTGATACCGGCCTCCTCCCAGGCCTCACGCGTGGCGGCTTCCTGGCACGACTCGTCCGTTTCCCAGCCTCCCTTGGGCAAGACCCAACCCTTGCGCCGCGTCGACTGGATCAATAGGACGTAGTTCTGGTCCGGACTGAGCGGGACGACTCCCGCAACCAGACGCTCTCCCTTGGCGCTGTAGCCTGCTCGGCGGGAAAAGCCATGTCAGTTGGGTGAGGGGCGGCGAGCAACAGGACTGCAGTCCGTGGCAGAGAGGGCCAACTTACGCTGCTTGTTCCGACCGGTGCGCGACTGCATTGAGCGACCATCGGAGCCTTCCGAACCCGGGCCTGACATGTTGAAAGCTATCGATGAGGATGGGGAGGTTCTCAGGAACGGCGGACACGGGTTTGGCGGTGCAGATAGATATATATATATGTATATATATATATCGCACCGGTCGTTGCGGCTCCCGAGTCGAGGGGTTCTGCGAGCGGCGGGGCAGATCAAAGCGTGTTGCGAAGCATCATCCTGTACTGCTGTTGCGTCGGTGCAAAGTGTGACGAGGGAACTCGATCTGAACGAGACAAAGGGTCAGAGCAGTCCCAGGCTGGTCCCGGAGCACCGGGGATGAAGCTCAATGGGGAGTGTGGGAGGCGTCAGAAACGACGAGAGTCTGGCGGGCGGGCGACAACGCGGTTTATAATTCAGTGGTGCGAGCAGGACGGCCGGGCCGCTCAGGTCCCTGCGTAGCAAGTCGAGGTCTCTCGGCGCGGGGGAGCAGGTGGGCAGGGTACCTGGTCTACCAGGCGCAGTACCCGCGAGTACGGAGCAGGTACGGCGTGTACTACTAGTAGGTACCTACCTAGGTAGAGCCCCACTGTAATAATAGTAGCAACTCCGGTACCTCTTCCAGGCATTCTACTAGTGCCTCACAGCGAGGCAGGCAAGGTTCTAGGCCCCAGCGAGCGGTCGGTGCCGGTGCGGCTGCAGGGTGTCGTACTGTATTAGGTTGCTAGCAGGATCGATGATTTGCATGGAGGCGGTAGCGGTGACCTGCCGCAGCCAAGGTGAGCATTCTGGGCAGGTATTCCAGGGGCACTCACTGTAATTACAGCGTTGACCAAGATGTGATGAGTGTACGGCACACAAAGCTAGCCGCCTTTTCACAGCACACCTACGGTACCAGAAATGTACTCGGAAAAAACTCTGCTTACAGTACGGAGTACTACTAGTAGTAGTGATGAACTTATTGTGGCCCCGCCGCCGCCCTCTATCCCGACTCGGAGACCAAGGGAAGCCAAGAAAGGCACATGGCCAACGTCACCAAACATTCCGACGTTTGCGAAACACCACGCGGCGGCACAAGCCGATACGAATAGCATCTCATCGTACTGTGTGCATGGCGGAAGTGAATGTGAGAGAGGGGAGGATGAGAGAGGGGGATGAGAGAGGGGGGGGGGCGGGCATCCATCCAGGACAGGCAACCCGTGGAAAGCCACAAGTATCACCGCAAGACTATTATATTAATAACCCGTGAAGCTTACCGAAGGTATGGCTGGTGGAAAAGCATCTCATGTACAGTACCTGTGCAGCGTTGGCGCGAGTCCCAGGCATCGTCTTGGAGACCATGGACACTTCTCGTCAGGCCTCGTCCCAGCCACCCCTTCATCTCAACGCCTTGCTCAGCTCTGCTATACACGTACTGTACATGCCACGATATGTACTGTAGAGGGGGCAGCGATTCGAGACCATCTGCCTCGTCAGACGAGTCACGCCAAGAATCTCACGTCGTCCCGCGAGATGGGCTGAGGCGGTGGCGGCCCGGGCCCGTCTCTGCGCACTGGCATCTATTTGCAGACGAGGCTACCTGTGTGTGCATGTCCGACCTAGCAGATGGTCTGTTTGGAGAGGCTGCGGATGATTGCCTCTTATTATTATGTGCGCCATGGAAGGAATCAGCCCATTGGAAATACAACCAAGACCTGCATCTCTTCTGCCTGCACATGGCATCTTTGGTGCCAGGCCCATGGTGCTTTCGTCAGTCCTCGGCAGAGAAGGTGACACGTCTGGAGGTGTTGAAGAATCGAGTCGAGGCCCATCGCCCTATCATCGAGATGCTGCGTCTCTCATGGCTCCTCCTCAAGCGTCTTGCCGTCTTCTGATTGCCGCCTGCACGGGTACCGTACAGCGTTCCAGGTACTGTACCTACTTGCATGCTGAAAGCACCGACTTCCATCCACTGCCCTGTAATGTGCTTTCTCTACAGGGCACTCGGCGCCACGCCCCTCACTGTAAAAGCCCCCTGGGCAGCGAGAGGTCCCTAAAGTGCAAAGTACCATTTACCTGGAGGCGAATGGCACGGATGAAAGCGTCCTCGTTTGTTCTCCGCTCGTGAGCCGTTCGTAATTCCTTCATCCCTCTTTTCCCGCCCGCTCACGCCCACGGCCAGACGCACACCACTGCCGGTCATCTCCAAAATAGCCCCAGCCGGTTCTCCAGCCAGCACTGTCTGCCATCCTCTCACGGACCAGCACGTCTCCCCCTCCCCGCCCCCGCGTCATCGCCAAGTCAAGCGTGCTTCCTCCAGGATCGGCGGCCCACCGTGTCAGTGCGGCATCGTCGTCGTCTGATGTTGCTCCCGTTGCTCCCTGCCTCGCATGCAGCAGCAACGCATTCTGCCCGGTCAATGACATCAGACGCCCTTGCCGGCCTCTGAACCGACATGTTGAGTGAGCGACTGAAACTCATCACGACCCAACCAAAGAGCGAGTGTAACGCACCAGCTCTCGTCCACCGCCCTCCACGCACCGCATCCATCGGCTTGCTCCTCAAGCAGGGGAATTCTCGGCATCCACCAACCGACGACTCGGCTCTCCCTCCCCCCACGACGCCTCCGCGGACGCTCGACTACCCCGCGGCAGTTGGGATCCACGATGGAACCCCCTGAAGGCACCTCGTCCGACTACGAGTTCCTTTCTCCAATGGGTATGTCGTTGACGCACACCTCTTTTCCTTGATGCGTCGGGCCCCCCTTTTGTCTTCGGGAAGGGGGCCTCCTTTCCTGCCAGCGCATTCCCCACGTGTCTTGATCTTGCCCATACTGTTGGATGGTGGAACGAAGCCAACCTGCGGAAATGGTGATCACAATCATCTGCCCAGCCAAAGAAGAGCATATGTCGGCTCTTTTGCCTCAGACTATGCGCTGAGCCCTTGATGCCGTGCTTCCGCCCGGCTCGCCGTCGTTGGTCTCCTGGCTTCTTTCTGCCACTCATAAATCAGTTGTCCTCGTCACGATGGTGAACTATGCTCGACAGGTTTTGGTGCCTTGAGCAGCTTCAGAGACTGTCTATGGACCTGGGCCTATGAATCGTTCCTCCATCTAATAATGAGAACACGCATTCGGGCGCGGGAGACGCGGGGTCTGGCAATGCGTCATCTTCTACGGTTGTTTCCAAGTCTGTCTTGTTCAATCCGCCACTAACTGTACCTGTTATCTTGACAGGTTATGGCAACTCCTCAAGCTGTGGCTATTGTGGCGCTCGAGGGGCAACTCGGTCCAGACGTGAGTCTTCTTCCTTTCGCCGTCTCTGGGGCGTCTCGCGTCAGCCATCAAAAGACGCTCGCCAGGCACAGATCCACGAGGACTCTTGTTTTGTAACCGGACCATGTGGGAAGAGACTCACGATTTGCCGCACTCCTAGGCTTCTCCTACTATGCAACCGCAAAGTCCTTGAGCCCTCAGTTTTACCAAACCCTGCTTGATCGGAGTTGGAGACGTTCAGGAACGCTCCTGTATCGCCCCAACCAGCGACAGGCATGCTGTCCTCACTACACCATCCGGCTTGACTCCAGTCAGTTCAAGCCTTCCAGAGACCAGCGGCAAGCCATCAATCGCTTCAACCGATACGTGCTTGGCGAGTCATATATCAAAGAGGCCGCTCGAGTGTACCCGAGATCTCGGGATGAGACGAGGAAGCGAGACAACGAGTTCAAGCTGACAGAGCGGGTCCATGAGGCTGAATATGCCAACCTGAAGAAGCCGCCAGAGCCAGCGCACAAGCTTGCCGTCACACTTGAAGACGACGGCTTTACCGAGGAAAAGTACGAAGTCTACGACAACTATCAAAAAGTCGTTCACAAGGAGGCCCCGCAGGACAGAACTCCCCGTGCATTCAAGCGCTTCCTCTGCAACTCTCCCCTGCGGCGCCAGACCATGGTAGCCCCTGATGGAAGCAGGCGGCGTCTGGGCTCGTATCATCAGTGTTACCGGATCGATGGCGACCTCGTCGCGATTGGCATTCTCGACCTCCTGCCCGACTGTGTCAGCTCGGTCTACTTCCTCTACCACGAGAGCATACACAAGTATGCGCCGGGAAAGCTGGGCGCCCTCTTCGAGATTGCCCTGGCCACAGAAGGCGCCTACCGCTGGTGGTATCCGGGGTTTTACATCCATAGCTGCCCAAAGATGAGATACAAGATCGACTACTCCCCGCAGTACATTCTCGACCCTGAGGCTCTGAGTTGGGATCCGTTGGACAAGGAAATACTCGGAATGCTGGACAGAAAGCCCTTTGTCAGCCTCTCGCTGGAACGGCAAGCAGCCGCCAAGAATCGAGGGAATAGCCTTGATGACGAAGACGGCATGGATGTCTCTGAATCTGGCCCCGCTGCTGGCGATGGCAACAGCATTAATAGCGAAGACGATGATAACATTACTCTTCTGCAGTCTGACATGCCGGGGATCCCTTCTCTTGCCGAGATGGAGGAGGTCGACTTGGACCACATTGCCCTCAAAGTATTTCCTCGCGGGCCGCTGTTCGAAACGTCAGACTTGGTGGGCTGGGACACGAAGAAGATTACGGATTGGCCGTCCATCAAGGCGTCGGTAGCCGAGCTGGTGGCGGCTCTGGGGCCAGATGTTGTCGGCCGCATCTGCTTGGATTCGTCGCCACGTGAATGAGATGAGCCTTGGCCATGGAACGCTGATCGGTTGAGTTGAGATGGGGCAGATGTTGTATTCCCCCGATACAAAGAGGCGCAATGCGGCACAATGCAGTCTTGAATCCAGCTGCAGTAGGAACATGCCACGTTTTAACTGTGGCGAGTAGCTGATTGCACGAAGTTATGTTTCGTGCAGCCATTCTGAAACTTGCACTTCCAGAGATTGAACCGGTAGATGTAGGGGCTAGGGGACATATCCGTCGCCATGCTTGGGCCGTCGTTGGTTGATGAAGCTGGTCAGGAGTTGGCTGCAGAAGTGGGGGCTCCGCCCACCCTTGACATGTGCAATTCACCTAGGGACCACCTTATCGCTCACCTAGGTGAGGGCTCGACTTATCCTCAAAAAACTTTCGACTGCCAGCATCATCCCTCCGGTGTCGACCACCAAAGCCTCTCTCAAGTCATTTCTCCGCAAGCCTCATGGATCTGCGGTGACCATGGCTGCCCAACAAAATCAGTTCTCCCCGGCCGAACTTGCCTATCTCCACAGCTCCCTCTCTCTGCGACCGCCCATTCGGCCAGATGGCCGCACCCCGACACAGTTCCGGCCTCTGACGGCCGAGACCGGGATCCTGCCCGGCACCAACGGCAGCGCGCGAGTCTGCTTCTCCGACGGGACCGAGGCCATTGTGGGCGTCAAGGCGGAGATTGAGAAGACGGCGCTGCCGCTGGGAGGAGACGAGGGCGATGACGCGCAGCGCGCGAGCGGTGGCGCAGACGACGACAAGGTGCAGGCGAGGGACGACTGGCTGGAAATGACGATTGAGATACCCGGACAGCGAGACGACGAGCCGACGACGGTCTTCTTGGCTGAGATGCTGCGCGAGGCCCTCCTTGCCGACGGCGAGTTTGCAAAAAAGCTCTGGATCAACAGGCGCTTTCACTGGAGGATGTATCTCGACGTGAGTTGTCCCCTTGGAGATGCGTCAGAGAACTGATTGGAGTTGAATTGCTAAACAAGGCTTGTTCTGGACAGATAATCCTGATTTCTCCGCCCCTGTCCTATCCTCTGCCCCTGCTATCCCTGACGACGCACCTGGCGCTGCTGGCGACGCGGATACCGAGATTAAAGTCGGAGGGCGACGAAGACCCCATGTTCGACGACGACTGGGAGGCGTCACGGTTTCTGTACCCGCGCCAAGGCGCGGCGGCGGGATCGCGACCGCCCGTCACGCTGCTGGTCATCTCGGTCGGGGACAGCATCATCTTTGACCCGGCCAAGGAGGAGCTCGCCGTGGCCGACACGGCGCTGGCCGTGTCGGTGTCGGAGGTGCGAAGAGAAAGGGGCCCGGGGGACATGGACGTGGACTCGTCAGGCCGCGAGCTGCGGCTGCTGTCGCTGCGTACCGTCGATCCGCCGTCGAGGCTGACGCCGCCGGGGGTGCCCGACTCGGCCAATGTCGCGACAAATGGCGCGGCCCAGGCTCAGGCGCACAGCGCAGAGGGCCAGCCGGAGGAAGGGGTGTGGAAGGCGCCGCTCGGGGGCACCAAATTTGGCGTGCTCAACGGCATCATACAGGCAGTGCTGGACAAGGGGGGCGTGACGCATGAAGTTCTAGATGGCCTCGAGGCCATCGACCTTGCGTAGGGACTACGGAATTCTACAAGAGGGTCGGCACGCCCCGAAACCTGACCATAGACGTGTGCCCGACCATACATGTGGGGGCGGGACTTGAAAAGACGGGCGATGACGCACAGGTTCCTTTGTTGCATCGAGCTCGCGCCCTTTAAAAGATACCGAACTACTTCTTCCGCTGCGTAGGCTCCTCCTGGTCATCGGCGTTGTGTGGCGTGTCAGGGTCCAAGTCGGCCGCCGCGGGCACCGGGTCGGGCCTCATCTTCTCGCCCTTGCCAAAGACCATGAGGACCGGGTCCTTGGGCTCGATGCCGTGCATCTTCATGAAGAACCTGCGCTTGGCGACGTCGTCGAGGTGGCGCATGCGATGGTCGACGGCTTTGGCCGACTTGTCCTTTTCGTGCATGATGATGACGTTCTTCCACGCGGAGAAGAAGTAGGCGGGCTCGTTCCAGAGGTCCGAGATCGGGGGCACGAGGTGCTTAAAGGGCGAGTTGTGGACGAAGTTGAGGAAGAAGGTGTAGATGCCCAGGGAGAACAGGACGCCCTGCGCATGGGGAAGAATGTTTCCTGTCAGAGAGCGGCGGCGAGTGGAAGAGGCACGAGGAAAGGATACAGTACCATGGTGATGAAGACGTGCAGCATCCGATGGGACCAGATGCGATGGGCCAGGGTCCCCTCGGGCGGCATCAGGCCGGGATAGTTGCGAATCTTCTGGGCCGCCTTCTCGGCGGGCGACAGCTCGGGGGCATAGTGCTTGGGCAGGACGTTTCCCCTGAGGCGGGCGCCGTGCGAGGGCGGGTTGAACTTGGCGGGCTTGCCGAGCACAATCGTCTTTGCCTTGGGCGCCGTCGAGGCGTAGCGGACGCGGATGAGGCTCTGCGACGGCGGGATGCGGATGCCGCGCCAGGCCGGGCCGTGCGCGGGCAGGAGGAAGCGCGGGATGAGCGTCTTGGACGGCATGTCTCTTGGCGCGCGCGTTGGACCCGAGAGGGATGGAGTTATCAAGGGCGAGGGCCGGCGAGCAGCCGCAAGTGCAATGACGATGCTTTTTTTGTTGGCCTCGGGTGGAATTTGCCGAGCTTTCTCCTTTGGGTCGCCGCCCCAAGGAGGGAAAAAGCCGGGCTCCCGACTTCTCCCGCGGCAACCGACGAGCTGTGGCTGGCCCGGCCGAACTGAATAATTGCCGCGCTCCGATTGGGCCGAGCAGCAGCGCTCAGCCACATGGTGGCGCGAAAGCGTCACTCCTGTGCCATGCGAGCCGGGATCCATGCTGTCATAAACTTCTTGTTTTTTTCCCTCTCTGCCCTCTCTCGCTTTTTTTCTTCCCTCTCCCTCCATATTAGACCGGCCGCTTTTCCGCCAACACCCCCTTTTCCCCTTCCACCAACGGAGTTTGTTTTTCTGTCTTCTTGGGTACTCTCCCGATCGCAAGACAAGCTCCTCCGCCGCCCTCTTTCATTTTTCGCCCAGCTCTCCTAATCTCGCATACCCGTCTGATCCAAAATGGCTGGTGGTGAGTCGCCCCGTCAAGAATAGGCTGCCTGCACTTCCAACCCAACCCTTCTTCCCCGAAAAAGCCGAGCTCGGTCTGTGGCAGCTCGACCTGTGGCGTGATGGCTGGACAATGGCACGGGCTCAACTATAGCCATGAGTGGCCTCGACGGCTCGCGCAATGGCTCGCACAGCTGCCCATGTGCGCCTCCCCTGCCCGCGGCGCATCGGCGCTACCGGCTCGACGAGTTGTGCCATTGTCAAAACGAAGAAGCCGTCTCGATCGTCTCGCTCGAGTCCACTCATGGCTGCATCGAGCGGCTTCTTCACATCGTCGTCGAGATTCCCCTGCGCCACCCCCCGGGTAGTGCCCGAGTGGAGCCGTCCCCTCCACTCTCCCAGGCGCTGGCGCACGTCAAGAAGACGCACCAGCCTGCTAACCAAGCTCCCAGGCGACGCAAAGAAGGGTGCCAGCCTGTTCAAGACGCGCTGCGCACAGTGCCACACCGTCGAGTCCGGCGGCGGCAACAAGATCGGCCCCGCCCTGCACGGCCTCTTCGGCCGCAAGACCGGCTCCGTCGACGGCTACTCGTACACCGACGCCAACAAGCAAAAGGGCATCACGTGGGAGGAAAAGACGCTCTTCGAGTACCTGGAAAACCCCAAAAAGTACATCCCGGGCACCAAGATGGCCTTTGGTGGCCTGAAGAAGGAGAAGGACAGGAACGACCTGATTGCGTAAGTCGCCCCTTTTCGCAGCCGTCTTTGCCCCGTGGAGACGGCGTTGCACGCGTCTCGACACTCCGACCTTGTGGGATATTGTCTAACAGCAACTGCAGCTACCTCAAGGAGTCGACCGCTTAAGAGCGACTTGCGGCGTGTAATGATACGACTGAACTGATAGACCGGGGACGGCGGCGGCAGCGACGCTTGTACTATAGACCACCTAGACCAGTGCAGGGCACCCCTTTGTGCGTGCTTGCACTCGATTCACTCCTCTTTTAGAAGACCCTTCTGTCAGCTGTCCTGCCGCTGTGCGTGCCTCGTATGATATTTTTCTCTCTTGGCCTCGGCGTAAGCCGTAGAGTCTGGCATGGATGGCGGCTGCGTTGGATTGTAGACGTGAAAAAGATGGTTGCTCCCGAGCTGTCTTGGAATTCGGGTCGGCCGCGCCAGTTGCTCCAATAACAAGATGGTTCTAGTATTACCGCTTGGTTAGGCCACATCTAACTGTCTAGTTGCTGAGTATATGGTCAAGCTGACCATCCCCCCCCCCATGTAACCCGACCGGCGCCCTGCTTTACCCAGTAGTCAAGCCAACCAGCTTGACCACATACTCCCAGTTGCTGCTGTTGACACTCTGCGCCGCGCTGCCGCAAGTCTTCCTCTTTGATCAAGCTGCCGTCGCTTGGCCGTTGTCTATGCTGTATTGAGTCCCTTCCAAGCTCCTTTTCCCTTTTCCTCCCCACTTCTTGCCCCATCCCCCCATTGTCTACACAAACTCGGCTGCCCGAAGCTTGTACGAGGCGATATCCTTGACGCTCGCGCTCGTGTTTGCCAGCGCATACTCCCAGTCCTTCTCAGCAATGACCTGCGGTCCGCCGCCGCCGGCCGCCACCCACTCCTCGAGCGCGTGTTCGGCGGCCTTTGTGTGCAGGCCGCTGAGGTCGGCGCCGCTGAAGTTGGTGCAACGGGCATCGAGGGCCACGGCGGCCAGCCGCTCCAGCGTCTCGTCCGGTGCGTTTTTGTGGCGTGTGCGGTAGATGGCGCGCAGAATGTCGACGCGCTCCGAGGGCGTAGGTAGGTCGACGAGGAGCTGGACACTGAGCCGGCCAGGGCGGAGCATAGCTTCATCAATCATCTCCGGGCGGTTGGTGGTTCCGATGACGTAGATACCCGTGCGATCCTTGACGCCGTCGAGTTCGGCGAGAAGGGCGTTGACCACCCTGGCGCCCGAATCGGTGGACGAGTTGTTGCGCGGTGGCACGATGGAGTCGATCTCGTCAAAGAAGAGGATACACGGCGTCGAGGACCGCGCTCGCTGGAACAGCTCCCTGACGGCCCGCTCCGACTCGCCCACGTATTTGTTAAGCAGCTCCGGCCCATCGATTAGGATGAAGCTTGCCTGGGCCTCGTTGGCGACAGCCTGCGCGATCAGAGTCTTGCCGCAGCCGGGAGGGCCCCAGAGTAGCACGCCAGCCGGCCGATTCACGCCAAAGTTTTGGTAGAGCTCTGGATTCTTGATCGGCCCTATGATGGAGGTCTGCAGCTGCTTGCGGGCCTTGTCCAAGGCGCCCACCTGGTCCCAGGTGACGCTCGGGATCACGGTAAAGCCTTCTTGTCTTAGCGACGGCGTGAAATCTTCCATGGCCGCTTTGAAGTCCTCCATGGTTTCCGAGGCTGGTATCCACGAACGGGGGATTGACTTGGTGAAGAAATCTGCGTGGACGCCAAAGTCCAGATGTTCGCTGAGCATGACATGGCCGGGATCGGCAGCGTCGGCCATTCGCATCAAAAGGTTGCTGGTTGAGCGGGCCGCGATCTCCGCAAGGTCAGAACCAACGTAGCCATGGGTAGACTTGGCGATCTCATCCAGATCCACTTCATCAGCAAGAGCCATGTTCTTGGTCAAGGCTCTCAATATATCTCGTCGTGCGGCGCAGTCTGGTATCCTCATTTGCATTGACTCGGAAATGAGACCAAACCTGAGGATCGCCGGGTCGACATCGGCGGCTCTGGATGTCGTTGCCAGTACGAGCACACGGCCTTCTTGCCCGACGCTGTTGCGAATCCGCGCCATCTGATTTGCGAAATTGTATGCTGCCCGGGAATGAGGTTCGTTATAGCTCGATGAGGTCGACCGCGGCATACATCGATCAATCTGCTCGATGAAGATGATGCTCGGGGCCAGACTCATGGCCGTGTCGAAGGCTTCGGAAAGGCTCTTTTCGATTCGCTCGGGGTCTTGGAAGCAGCGAGCTAAAGAGACGATCGGTACGCCAATCCTTGCCGCCGTGATGCGAACAAGAGTCTTCTTCCCGACGCCCAACGGCCCAGAGAGTAGTATGCCTTGAGTCAACCGCTTGGTCTTGGAACTGAACAGGCCCGAGCCTCGTAGAAATGCCCAAGCGTAGCGCAAGAGCTCGAGATAGACCTTGCGGTAGCCGGCGAATGGCTCTGGCTGCCCGGGCTGTTCGACGATGTAGCGGCTTGATCTCTGTTGGGTCTTTGCTTTTGACCTGTCTTGGTTGGAAGTAGCCATGGCGGCCGTGTCTGCGCCGCTGACTCGCTCACCGTTGTCGTCTCCGTCGGCCTGAGCACGGCGCTTCTTAGCGGCCGGCTGCTCGCCTGATGCCCGCGAGTTTTGGTCCATCTTCCAAAGCTTTGTCAACTGGCGGTTCAGCAAGAACTGGTTTTCCGTCACTTTTGGAGGTTCGGCCTCGTCGATGGCCGCCTCTGAATCGCCCGACTCGTCCTGCTGCCGCTCCTGCTTGCGGATCTGTAGCGCCCTGTCGATGGCGTCCTCGAGGGTGCGTTTCTTTTGTCTGCTGAGACTCGAGTTGGACCGTTTGATAGCCTCATATATGGCAGGAACGGACTGCTTGAAGGGCTCGGCACCGTGGTGGGTTGCCTCGATGCTCTTGATGATCTGATAGACGTCCCGGTCAAGGGAAGTTCGGAAGTGTAAGTTCCGAGACATTACCTCAAGGTGCTGGGCCGGGAGACTGTTTTTAGAAATGTGTGTGATGATGGATGTGGAAGCTTGGTGGTGCTGGACTGAGGGACTGTTCCAAGAGATGAATGTGATGATGGATATAGAAACTTGGTGGTGCTGGTTGGTCTGTCTGTACGTTGGCGGGGCTTTAGAGGCATCCTCTGTTCACGTGACCCGTGACATTTTGGAAGGTTCAAGGCGGTGCGTTACGAGTGATTTGCAAAAAAAAATTCACCTCCGTGCCTTCTTTTTGTAATGTGCCGCAGGGCATCGCGAAAAAAAAACCGGCGGGAGAGGGCGAGAAACAGCCAAAAAGGGTAATCATCTTGGCAACCAATCCTGATGCAGGCTTGGATCAGGCCCAAAGTTTACCAGCTCATTGACCAAGCCACAAGCCTCGAATTGCCGATGGATACGGATGAATTTTCGCGGTTATTGACTTCACCTGTCTTTAAGTTCCCGACTAAGTTGATCCATTCAAATCGGTCAAGCTTTTCTCGGTCGAGGTTGAGAGTTGAGCCGGTTGGTTGGGGGAGGATGTTGACGGTCACGTGCCGTCTGCCTCAAGGCGCCATCTGCTAACGACACGCCCCACACGTGATTCTAGTAAAAACAGGCACCAAGTACCTCTTCGTTCGTCATCTCATGTTCCGGCGGAGTTTTGCGACCGCCAAACCCCCGCCAGCCCGGACGCGCAACCCCCAAGGCCCCGACGGCTCGCCATCGCGCGCGCGCTGCATCGCCAACCATGGGCGGCAAGGCGAGCAAAGTCACGGCGCAGGACAAGTAGGTGGCCTGTGTACCCCGGCTTTCTTTCCCCTTCTCCTGACCACCCCGGTGCCAACGCAGGGCGATCCTGGACATGAAGAACCAGCGCGACAAGCTCCATCAATATCAGCGGCGCATCACCGTCTTGACCGACCGGGAGACGGACATTGCGAAGCAACTGCTGGCCAAGGGCGACAGAAAGGGGGCGCTCCTGGCGCTGCGCAGGAAAAAGTACCAGGAGTCGCTCCTCGCCAAGACGGACGCGCAGCTGGAGCAGCTGGAGAAGCTGACGGCCAACGTCGAGTTTGCCCAGATACAAAAAGACGTCGTCTTTGGTCTGCAACAGGGGACAAAGGTGCTCAAGGAGATTCACGCGGAAATGGGCGGCATCGAGCACGTCGAGAAGCTTATGGGCGAGACGGCCGACGCGGTTGCCTATCAAAAGGTATGGCGCCCCTTGACTCTATCCACGGTCCATACTAGGAGAGTGTCCGTGCCGGTTCAGATGCTGATCTTGGTCCTCGGTAAACAGGAAGTCAGCGACATGCTGGGCGGTCGAATCTCGAACCAAGACGAGGAAGAAGTGGAAGACGAGCTGGCGGCGCTACAGGCCGAGGTGGCAGGCCAAGGACGAAAGCTGCCGTCAGTCCCGAACGCGCGGCTGCCCGAGCGAGAGCGGGAGGCAGAACAGCAGCCCGTGGGGTCCAGAGAACCAGATGGGCAGGCCATGCTCGCGGCATGACGGGATTGTGCCGGGTCGCGGGGCCAAGATTGATTTTCTCTCTCTCGCCTTATGTCCCCTGGAGAGGGACGGGCTGTTGGTCACAGCGAGCATTTATACATCGGCGTCGGGGGCTTTACGGTAACTTGGGCATATTGGAGAGAAGATAATCTCGTTTCCATCTTTATAATGAGCCATGGACTTTTTCAGTCGCGACTTATTTCAAGTCGGCGCAATTTCCCACGCAGCGCTTCAGCTTCCATACTTGGCAATGAGCTTCTTCAGAATGGACATGGCCCCGCCACGATAGCCACCGCCGAAGATGGCAAAGTGGTTCAAGTGGTGATACCTGCAAGACACCGAGCGGCGACTGTCAGCGTGCCTGGGCGACCGACAAAGAGATCTGCAGGCGCTGTGCGGTTTGCGGCACGCGTGTCACTACTGCTACTACTCACAGCTCGTATAGCATGAGGCGATCGTCCCACTCGGCCACGGGCTCCGCCTTGGGCACGAGCTTTGTGTACTCGGCCCAGAAGCCGGCACCGAAGCCGCCAAACATGCGCATGATGCCGAGCTCGTACTCGGAGTGGCCGTAGACGGCCGACGGGTCGAAGACGACCTCCTCGACGGCGCCCTGGCCGCCGATGCGCCGGCGGGAGTGGTTGCCGCTCCAGAGGTCGCCGTGGACGACGACGGGGGTGATGGGGGGCTCGAGGCGGCCGTCGCCGATGAGGCGCGGGACGACCTTCGCCGCGACGGTTTCAACGGCGTCAGCCAGGTCGGCGTCGCGGCCGTGGTTGGTGGTGCTGGCGCGGAGGATGGCGCGCAGCCGGTTGTCGGCGTAGAAGTCTGCCCAGGACGACTTCCAGCCGTTCTCCTGGGCCGTCTCGCCGCAGCAGGTCGGCACGGGGAAGCCAAACATGGGCCGTTCGTGGCCTTCGGGCGCCGGGGCGGGCGTCGTGTGCAGGCGGGCCAGCTTGGCGGCGAGGGAGAGGCCGGAGGCGGGTGCGGCGCCGAGGTCGAGGAAGTCGGTGGCTAGGAAGAAGCCGTCTGCCGACAACGACAGGGGCCCGTGGGCGTGTGACTTTGGGCAGAAGTCGGGGACGGCGTGGTGGATGGCGTTGAGGGAGGCGTGCTCTCCTGGGGAGGGGCGGGCCGTCGTAGGCGGGCGAGGGTGCGTGTCAGCGCCACGGCCAGATGGTATCTTGCGAGACGGTATCTTGGACGCACGAACCGCGAAACATGAGCTCCGAGGCGGCGCCGGCGCCCGTCTTGACAAAGTAGTTGTTTGTCGGCCCGCCGTCAGTCACGGTGGACAGCTTGAAGGTGGAGGAGAAGCCGGAGCCGCCGTGCGGAGCCATTGTGGTCCGGCTAGCATCAAGCCCGAGGGCCTCGAGTATGGCCGGGTCGACGGTGGAGGGAGCCATGAAGGATTTGCGCGGTGCTTGGTGTGGCTGTGGGCTGTGGTTTCGGGCTTTATCCTCGGGAGCAACAGCGTGACGTTTTGTCCAGACCCCTCTTGGAGGGGGTGGGTGTGTGTGACGTCAGTCAGTGCCTGACTCTCTCGAGGCAAAGCAAATATTCTCCCTGCTTCTTCATCGTCTCCCTTGCTTGAACATGTCTGGGTTCGCGAAGAGCGCTCACCGGATACGTCTGGTAAATACATTATTCCCTTCTTTGTTTGTAAAGGAGAGTCGCAGTGGGAGATGCTGGGGAGTTTTTCTGACAAAAATAGCAAGTTTTTGAAACGCTTTCTTTTCATCTCTCAGTCATTTATCCTTGAAATTCGTCATTCCAGTCTGGTGAAAATAAAGAGATTGGTTCAAAGAAAAAAAGTCGTAACGGTCAGCGCTCCGGGACCCCGGCGCCGCCGCCTTCTCCACCCACCACTCCACTCCGACCGGGTTCCTCCCCTTGCCTTGCCGGCGGCCAATTCCGGGGCCGTCGGAGCTTGACAGTCGGCGGCCAGCGGGCATTAGTCCGGTCCCGCGTCATCTCCACCAAACCCTTGCCTGTCCGCCGCTGCATGACGCCGCCTCATGCACACGGTACATGCATGGCCAGTTACATGACTTGTCGGTTGTTGTGGCGGTGGCTCCCTTGTTCATAAGCCCATCCATCATAGGCCGTTGCCGGCTCTTCACTCGTCCCTCGCTCTCCCCCTCTTCTCAATCTTTGACGATGGACCCATGATCGATCTCCTTTCTTACCTTTGCCTTGGGGGTGGCCCCCTTCTGAAACGCCCGTCATGACGAGCACCATGTTGACGATGATGACGGTGAAAATGATTCATGACTTTGCCGCCCAGACAATCCCTTTGAAGAGCGCCCCCCCAAATTCCATGTTCAGAGTGAGTGTGTGTGTGTTGGGTCGTCGTCGTGTAAGCGTCTTGAGCATGGCCAGTAAAGGCATCCGAGCCGGCGCACCTCCGCCACGCCCTCGGGTCCGGGGAGCTGGGCGCGGGGAGGTTGAAGCAGGCGGCGCAGGGGCAGGCCGACGAGTTGCTGAGCGGTGGGGGAGGAGTGCAGTGGCGCGCGAACCAGCTGCGTCGTGAAGAGGGCATGGCTGGGAGGATGGTCGGTTCCAAGTGCGTCGACCTTGTGTCTAGTGAAGTGAGAGACGGAGGGTTGAGGTGTATGTAGAGCAAAGGGAGTGGGTGAGTAGGAGGAGGGAGGATAAACCGTAAAGGTAAAGAGGCGGAAGAGGGGAACGACGACAAGCTGGGGAGGAGAAGCTGCAGCCAACAAAGAGGTGAATGGGCCAAGGACGAGGTGCTTGGGCCCAACCGATATTTATACTTGACGGCTTTGCCCTCGGTATTCCCGTCGACTCATCCCCAGCCCGCCGGAGGGTGGAGCCAGCCGGGTCCGAGAAGTACACCCGCCGGTTCACCTGTCGGCTCTCTCTCTTTCCTTCTCACTTTTCTCGCTGTGAGTGGTCTCGCGGTGTGGGGACGGACGGACGGTTTGATGCCCATCCCATCCTCGATCGCCCGGGGGGGGGTGAGAGGGGGACCCATGGGATGGCGTCAATGATTCAGGGATAGGGAGGGGAGAGAAGGAAAAACAGGCAGGAACTTTGCACGGTTTCTGTTTCCCTTTTTCTCCATCTGCTTATTTTGCTCTGTTGCTCTGATTCCTTTCTTTTTGGGGGGAGAGCAGAGAGGAGAGGGGGCGTTTCAGGAAGATGCAGCTTTCCAGACGTCATGTTCTCTCTCTCTGTCCGTGTTGGTCGCTGCTCTTGCTCACGCAGGACATAAAAATGCACAGGACATACCTTGACCAAGCATGCGTTTCTCAAACAAACAGTCCCTTTTTGGCCTCTTGTCCCAACATTGAACATGATCCTCCCCCTCTCGTAAAAACGCCTTGTTCTTGCCGAGTTAACCGCAGACCCAAACCTCAGCCCGTCTCTCTCCGAGCTTCTGCCGATGCCGGCGGTGAGCCGGGCAGTTTTATCCTGTCAGTCGTATATCCGTGGCTTCGGTGGCGCGACGCGAGTCCCAACGCCGTTCGGCCGCCCGTCGGGATTTCTTAATTTTCAGCGTGGTACCAACAAGGGCCCAAAAGCCTGTTTGAGCCTCATTTTCCTTTCTTGCCGCAATCCTCTTTTCGGGACGGGCGGGTCTGGAAGACGGGGTGTGCGCGTAATAAGAGGTCGAGGGAGCAGGGGGGGGACGAGTCTACCGGTACTCTGCACCTCTCTCTTGTCTTCTTCAGCAAAACATGCGGCAAAGGAACAAGGCAATCAAACATCTAGAATACGGCAAATTAAAAAAAGAAGCCTCGCCTTCTCTGCCACTGCCTCTGCCTCGACCCGGAGCAAGACACGCCCCCTGCGACGCTACCGCCGCCCCGGCCCAATGAGCTCCATCCAGGGGCGCTCCGGCCCGGGAGACCCGCCCGGCAGTCTTGAACCTTTCGTCCGAGACATGCAGTAGCCGAAGTCAACCGACGCGGTACACGGTAACCCTGCTGACCGAGTCGCTGTCACGGCATTGCTCATGTCCGTGACGAGTTACAACACCCGCAAGCATCAAGCATCAGCCCCCCGGGCCTCTGTCGAACACACGTGATTAGTAGATCGCCTCAAGAGACCAGGGCCCCCGACGAGACACAAAAACGACGCCGTCGGAGATAGCAATCGGACCGCCGCCGCCGCCACCGCCTGCCTGGCATCACATCACACCCAGTCGACAGCTGTATCAGGAAAAAAAATCTCGTTTTGCATGCCGTGGCATATCACACTCACTCTCTCTCTGTCTCTTTCGTCACGCAGACTCTCCGAGCCCTTCCTTTCCACTGTTCCACCCAATCGAGGTAAAAGTAATACAAGGCACACGCGCAATGCCCCCATGTCTAGATACCCAAGGAAAACTCGACGCCAACGTCAATATCGCGGGCTGCACACCGTGTCAGTACCGTCTCACGTGCGCCCGTCGGGGAGCCAACTCACCCAGCTTCACCACCTTGGATAGCTGCACCGCCTTTTCTGCCGCGCTCTGCAGGTCGTCAATGGAAAAGATCTTCATCCCCGACTCGTTAATCAGCTTGTGCGCCTGCTCCACGTTTGTCCCCTGCAGCCGCGCAATGATGGGGATCTTGAGGTTGAGCGTCTCGGCCGTCTTGATGAGGCCGTTGGCAATGTGGTCGCACCGCACAATGCCGCCAAAGATGTTGACGAAAATGGCCGTCACCTTGGCGTCGCTCGTAATCAGCTCAAACGCCTCCTTGATGGCCGCCGGCGTCGCACCGCCTCCGACGTCGAGAAAGTTGGCCGGCTGGCCGCCGTTGATCTTAATGATGTCCATGGTGGCCATGGCCAGGCCCGCGCCGTTGACCAGGCAGCCAATGTCACCGTCCAGCTTGATAAAGTTGAGGCCCGACTGCGCTGCCCGCACCTCGTCCGGGTCCTCCTGCGTCGTGTCGCGCCACTCAAATACCTCTTTTTGGCGGAACTCGGCATTGTCGTCAAACCCAAATTTGGCGTCCATGCACAGCACCTGGTGGTCCGACGTCTCTGACAGGGGATTAATCTCAATCTGCGTGGCGTCGCGCTCGAGGAAGATCTTGTAGAGCTTCTGGATGGTGTCCTTGGCGTCTTCAACGCACTGCTCGCTGAAGCCGAGCTTGCTGGCGATGCCGCGCGCAACGTCGTCCGTCACGCCTTTGTTGATGTCGACGTAGGTGGTGATGATGGCCCCGGGCGTCTCCTTGGCCACCGTCTCAATGTCCATGCCTCCCTGCGACGACGACACGATGACGGGCGTCTGCGAGGCGCGGTCCATGAGGATGGCCAGGTAGAACTCGCGACGGGCAAACTTGCGCTCGCAGATGTACACGGCGTTGCACAGACGGCCGCCGGCGCCCGTTTGCTTGGTGATGAGCTTGTGGCCAATCATCTGTTGGGCAAACATCTCGGCTTCGTGAGGCGAGTAGATTACGCGCACGCCGCCCTTGAGGCCATTGTCAAACGTTCCCTTGCCACGGCCGCCGGCGAGAACCTGAGCCTTGATGACCATGTCCTCGGTTCCGATATCCTTGGCCACCGCCTTGGCCTCCTCGGCCGACTTGGCTACAGAGCCCTTGGGAACGCCGACTCCATACTGCGGGCACGGGTCTTGTTAGAAACTTGCCCCAGCAAAGGCATTTGCGTACCGGGCCAGTGGGAACAGACCTGTCGCAGGAGGTCGGCAGAAAGGTACTCGTGAATGCTCAGGGCCCGTCGTTGCTGAGCGACACCGGGGAACCTGGCCGAAGGGACAATCTGAGGCTGTCGCGGCCATGGTTAGCATGGGCCAAGCTCGAAAGACCCGAGGGGGGAGGGAGAAATGGAGAGGCCGGAGTTGTCGGAAACGCGCGCACCTTGGAGGCGTTGAGGGCCGACGCCAGGGCGCGGGGGCTACGGCCAAGTCTGAACATTCTGGGGGAGAAGATGGCGGTCGCCAATGGAGAGGCAGGAGGCTATGAGGCAAATTCGGGCGGCGTAGAGGACCAGGCGAGGGATGACGACAGGTAGCAGCAGCTCGACAAGCACGCTCAATCTGGAAACAAAGCTGCTCCGGCAAGCTTCAACCCGGGTTTCGCCGACAGAGGTCGTCGGAAAATGGTTTCACCGGCACATACAGACTGCGGCACTCCGACCCGGGTCTGGCATGTACCGTGCTGCTTGTGTGCTCCGGTGGATACTTGCAGGCAAGGTATGACTGTATCGAGTAGATGCTCCCTACAACTACATGTACGCATCGAGCTGCTCGACTTCTAATTATCCTCTCCATCAACTCCGGAGCATACGCCCACAATCAAGTGCTCCATCGACACAAGCTCATCCGCCTCGGTTCCCGCCGCCTCCACCGCCATCTCGACTTTAGCAAGCAGTGCGTCGAGGCCGCCAAGGAGATAATCTAGAAGCTCTACAAGATCTTTCCTCGAGCGCGACGCCATACAGATTGAGATTAACCCCCTGTCAGAGACGTCGGACCATCAGGTGCTGTACAAAGGTGCGGCAGGTAGTACTCCGTACAGGCGGTGCAGTCGGGACTCACCTTTATTAAATCAGGAATTGTTACATGTGCTGGGCGTCTGCCTTGGAAGAGCTTATTACTTCAAGACAGAGATGAACATTTTGATTGGTTGGGCGGTGCGTGTTGCGTTGTCCGCCCCGCGATAGGGACTGACATATCAACGAGAAGACAGTCTAAAGTCTAACAAGAATCGAGGACGCTGACTTGTCGAGGCTATTGTCGGTTTCTCCCCATAGAAATTCCGATAACGTATCCAATGCCCAGCGGTAGAACAAATCTTTCAGATCTACAATGGCGCCAGAAGTCGGTAGCCCTACTACCCCCTTGGTCCCCAAAGGAGCCTACTACCAGTCCATCCGCAAAACTGAAGATTTTATCAGGCCAATCATCGCTCGAGCGGTTTCCTTGCCCTAGCATGCATGAGCTTGAAGAACTCTCCAAGTCCGACTCGCAGTACACATCGCTACACAGCATCGCCCGCTCTTTCAAGGACCCCAAGGCCATCCGCAACTAGGTCACGTCGGTCCTTCTAGCAGGCCGGGACACCACCGCGGCCATGTACATTACGAGCTGTCCGCCTGACTCGAAGCACGGGCAAGACTGGGTAAACGTCTTCGACGTCTTGGGAGTCGCCGGGACGCCAACATACGAGACCCTTAAAGACCGCAAGTATGGCACCAACGTTCTCAACGAGACACTGCGTCTGCACCCCGCCGTACCGTTGAACATGCGCCAGGCGCTACAAACCACGATGATCTCCGGCGCCCCAGGCGAGCCCGATATTGTGCTTCTCAATGGGGACACGGTGACCATCCACACACTGGGGATACACGGCCGCAGAAACCTGTATCTAGTCGTGTCTGACCAGTTTGCGGACCCCGCCGTCTTCATCCCGTATCGATGGGATCAATGAGTTCTAAGACCGTGGACGTACTTGCCGTTTAACGGGGGGCCGAGGATCTGCGTCGGTCAGAACTTCGCCCTGACGGAGATGGCTTTCTGCCGTGAGTATGAGTTCCAAGGCTGGTCAGACTGCTATAATGCTGACCCCGATGTCAGTTGTCCGTGTTGCGCAGCGCTTCGAGAGAACCGAGTACCGTGATGAATAGAACGCTCAATCTTGGCAAACTGAAATTATCGGAACGCCGGCTCTTGGAGTGCTGGTGGCTCAGTATGAGCCCCAGGGGGAAGAGACATATTCACACCCTGAACTATGTGTCCGAAGCCGACGCAAGCACCACGATATGTCTGAACAACCTCCCCAGCAGGAAATCCGCGCACTCGTCATCGTCATGCCTTTACCGAAAAGTCTGCCTGTTTATTTGGAGCTGGTTGGCCGGCAATAGAGAGATGCGAGCAAAATAAATTTGCGACATTTTCTAACAACCATTCGCGAACACGTGCTTGTTTACCGAGCTTTTCTACATCCACCCTACCCACGGCGTCCCCAGGACCTTGCCTTTGTCGTCGAACCGGATGCCCTCACTCCTCAACAACCGCCTCTTTTCATCCAGCGTGATTCCCTCGCCGTCGCGCGGCCACTTGCCTTTGAACCCGCCCAGGCTCATGCCCGACGCCACGACGCGATGGCAAGGGACGTCCGGGGCGAAGGGGTTCCGCCGTAGGGCGTTGCCGACGGCCCGTGGCGAGGAGCCCAGATGTGCAGATAGCAGGCCGTACGTGGTGACGCAGCCCTTGGGGATGTGGCACAAGGCTGTCCAGACGCGCTTCTCGTAGGCGGAGCGGTCGGATTGGGCTATGCGGGCGAGCTGGGCTGTTGTGTCGCTGTCGAGGACGATTTCACCCGGTTTCCTGGCGGTCTTGGCGGTGGCAGGGTAGCTGATAGCATTTGTCCGGGCGACTTTGGGGGCCGGGGCTGGGGACGCGCTCTCCTGCATGCGCTTCCTGCCGGCAGCCATCTGGCAAGCTGATAGACGGGGGGAAGAGGTGACTTGGTCCTGGTCTTTTCCTCTTGGAGAAGAAGCGGTGAAATGACCGGGATGGGATGCCGGCAGCCGTGTAAGTCGAGTTGCACGACCTCGACAGCTGCAAGCTGCACGATGAATGCAGAAAGGGAGCCGGGAGATTCGTCGAGCCAAGGAAGGCAGCAGGCAAAGAGAGCGACCAAGATACTTTCATACACGTGTGCTTCGAAGGAGAATGCACGATGAGAAAGGGTGGTGAGTAAAGGAAGGGCTCCTCAGCACAGCGTGAGCGGCAATGACGCCCTAATAAATAGCGCGTGACGTACGGCGCCGCCAGACATCGAGAGCAACACCAAAGACGCCAGGTCACGTGCGAGAGTCGGCTTCGGAGCAAGATGGCGAGGTGCAAGATCCGCCACGCGGGCCGCTTACAGTACACGGAGCTTCTGATTGATGACTTTAATGTTCTATTCAATCCTTCATCTCTTCTATCAAGTGTGCCTTGAGGAAAGCACAGGGCAGTGACAACCATTCTCAAGCCTCTCTATGGCTGATAAGTCGGCAATAATGGCCAAGGCAAGCCCCAGCCCGGGCATCAAACATTACCCATGAAAACTAGAACACGTAGAAAACACAAAGTGGCGTTGCTGCTCCGCTGCCTGCGTGAAACCAAGGAGCCCGACAACGCCAGCGTTGCGCCGAGCGATGCTGTGTCGCCTTTCGCAAATGTCCCAATGCCACACTGCCACGGGGCCGTTCCTAGCCGCCATATCTAAACCCATGCGCAAATAAGAGTAACAGAAAAAAGGGAAGGAGAAGGCGGCTGCGCAGAGTCTTCTCCAGCATAGCCGATTGCGGGTCGACGCCGAGACACCGGCAGTTGATAACATCCACCTCCATGATGCCCGCTCTGGTGTCTCTTCGCGCCGGCCCTTCGCTGGATTGCCGGCTTCATAGAGGGACGTGTATGCCTATGGGCCCGGTTGCCGTTTTGCATTCGCACACCGCGTCGTCCTATACCATGAATGACTCGCCGCAGCCACACTGCTCCTCTGTGCAAGTCAGCCTCTCGTCTCGTTACCCATGTACGACTTGGGGACGGAGTGTGTATACTTATGTTGGGGTTCTTGAACACGAATCGCTGGTTCAGCTTGTCCTCGGCCCAGTCCATCTCGCTGCCGATGATGCTGAACAGGGCCTTGCTGTCGATGAGCACCTTGACGCCGTCTTGTTCCACCGTCTCGTCGAACGCGCCGGGCTTGTCGACGTACTCGAGGTTGTACGCCAGACCGCTGCACCCCCGGTTTCGCACGCCCACCTTGATGAGCTTGGGCTCCGGTTGGTCGAGGAGGGCGCGTAGCTGCTCCACGGCGGCTGGTGTCAGCCGTATGGCCGCCTTGCGGGCACGCAGCTTAGGCCGGGGCCTCGCGGCCTTGGGCTTTGCGGCCGGCGCGGCATCCGTCCCCACCACTTTGGGCAGCGGCTGTTGCGACGAGGTTTGGAGCGCCGTGGCGGCGGCGGCCGGCTCTGAAGGCGACGGCGGCGGCGGCCTAGTCTCGTGGACACGCGGCAGGGGCTCGGGCTGCGTAATGGGCGTCTCGGGCACCGAGGCGGGCCGAGGCGGGCTTGCGGTGGGCAGCGGATACGAGTGGTAGGCGGTGGCGGCGATTCTCGGCGTCGACGTCGACAAGGTCCAGAGGGGGCGGCGACCGTGTTGCATAGCCGCGCGGACCACAGAAAGAGAGGCGTTCATCTTGAATTCATGCAGGGCGGGGAGTGCGCGGCTGTTTCGATGACTGGAGGTGAAAGTGAAGAGAGGGCATTGTTGGTGACGGGGGTTTCGAGAACCCGGCCTTGCCTTCGGAGCGGCGGTAACTGGGCCCATTCAAGTCGGCTGACTTGTGTACCAGGCCGGTGTCACCCGAGCCAATCAGAGGGCGGGAGTTGGTAATCTGGCGCCTTACGTTTTGCAAGTGCTGGATGATTATAAAGGATTAGCAGGGCCCTACCCTATACCTCTACACGTGTGCGTCTGTCTGGCTGTCGTCTGCCAAGTCGCCAGCCGCTTCTCGTTTTATATCCGTAGATGATATGCCTGGTAGGGCATGTTTTAACGTGTCCAGATAGGGCACCTAAACTGCCAAAGTAGAGGGATATACTGCATGCGTATGATTGGTCACCATTTGCTGCTTCTACGGCCATCAGTCAACCAGTACTCTCGACACAGGACGTCGGATTTCGTTGACTCGCCGGGGCCCAGGCGACATTACGCGACATAAACCTGCCATAGACCTCCAGGCTTGTAACTTACTGTGATACAGAGATGGTATTTCGTTCCTCGGTCGAAAGCCACCTGATCAGAGACGCGATGCGGAATGCGGGCACAGTGCGAATTCAGACACACGCACGGAATTACCTGGTATATAATGCAGAAACGCACAGTTTCATTCACGGCGCCCTCACACTGTAGAGCCCCACGAGCTGCAACAAGTCGCTCATCCATCTCCGACATCGTCTTACGGCCATTCTTGGATGCAGCTTGTGTCTCTCGCTCCAGCCGCCTCATGGAGGCGTCACCTCTTACGCGCCAGCCTCCGCCCGAGGTCTTCACGCCCAAGATTGTCGAGCTCTACTCCTCCCTCTTCAAGGTTGGCCCCTCTCTCTCCTCTCCCCCCTCCCGCCTGGCGTCCAGCGCGAGCTTCCGAGAGCTAATGGCTTGTCGCGACAAACGCTCAAGGTACACCCGCTCCGCCGCGGCAACAAACGCGCATCGGCTGATTCAAGGCTGCATCCCAGGACGACGAAGATGGAGACAAGTCGGACGGCTTCTGGACAGAGTTCTTCCTCCTACGGCCCGACCGCTCGACCCTGCGAAGGATGCTCAACGACTTGCCCCCCTCCCATGCCCTTCTGCTCGAGGGCCGGACCAGAGATGTCTTTGCACGAGCCATCGGGACGGTCAAGACGGGCCAGGGCCTCGCGCCCCTGCATGGCTTGGATGTACGTGTCCCTCGGCGACCAGCCCCGCTGGCAAGGCTGCCGTGCTGATAACCACCACCCTGGCTAGACCTTGACCATTTTCCTTTCTTGCCTGCTGTCCAAGAAGTATGCGCACCCGAGCTCCGACATCATTAACGTCCTGGCCGGGCTCGACCACATCGATACCGTCTTCACCGACTTTGTGAGCACCCTAGACGGCATCTTGCGGAATGGGGCGGACTGTGAGCGCCATCCTCGGGCTTCCTACGTCAGCCAGCTTTACTCATGCCGGCGCAGTGGACTTGCGGCACAAGGCCGTCGAGGTGCTTCTGGCGGTGACTGCGGGCGCGTACCAGACGACCTTGCTCACGTACCTCATCCAAAGAGACCTCTTTCCTTCGGTCATGAAGGTACATGTGCCCGCCCCTTGGGTTCTGCGCCGCGCTCATGCCCGTCCAGTTTATACAAGATTCCAAGTCTGCCGGCCAGGTGCTGGGACCGTTTACGCTGCTCGGACTCTTGGCCAACTACAACAAGTTTGAGTTTCAGAATCCGTACCAGCTTCGCTTAAACGACTTTGTCAACGAATCGACGATCCAAAAGATCATCCGCTGCGTCGGCTACACGTGCCAAGCTTTGCTTTCCGACTACGTCGACATTCAGGACGATCTGCCAGAAGGCTGGACATTTAGCAGCACTCTAATCATGATTGGACTTGGCGCCATGGTGCCAGGGCCCAAGCCCGAGAAGAAGCCCGTGTACGATGCTCAGACTGCAAAGCAGATGTTTTCGGAACTGTAAGCCAGCCGCCCTCCACCGCCAGGGACCCATGGGAGGAGCCCCCCCTGTTGACAAGACCAGGCCAGGAGAGAACGCGACCGTCCTGCTGGCAACTTACGACTTTTGCCACGCGAACAAGCTCTTTTGCTTCAACCTCGTCACCCTCTCTGGTGACGAGGGAAAGGAGCAGCCGATGGCGAGTTTTCTGGGGCTGACGTCGTATCTGCTGCAACACGCCTACCTCTCCAACCGCGCGACTAACTACGCTCATGTCAACCTGATGGTATTTCGTCTGCTGATTGAAGACTTGGTCATCTGCAAGAGGATCTGCAGCGACGAATCCAAGGCCAACGTGCGCCTCTGCCGCCAACGGCAACCCTTTCTGCCCGTGGTCAAGGGAGAACGGGTGTTTGCGGCATGCATCCTCGACGCGATGATTGACGGCATCAACCACAACTTGCGGCGGCGGCTGGACGTCAGCCTCTATACACTATGTGTCGGCATCATGTTGCGAATCATATCGTACCTGTCGCGCTCCCGCACCCGTCTCCAGTACCACTGGTCGGAGCTGTTCCGGTCCTTGCTGGCCTTGATCCGGTTCCTCGCGACTTACACGTCGGACCTCAAGGAGCTGTCCCACATAGACACGCTGCTCGACCACGTCGTAAACCTACTCGCGCTGTCCTTGTCCGCTGGCGAGGCGTTCTTGCCGACCCCGGCCGCATACGACGACCTGTTTTACAAGGTTGTAGAATCGGGCGAGATGCTGACCAAGTTCAAGGAAAAGTACAGGCTCGAGAACCGCAAGAGCAACTCGATCGACACGCTCATCAACGTGAGCACGCACTACAAGCAGATGCTCACGGAAGGGGGCACGTCGTCGAAGAAGAAGCTCAGCAACCTGACGACGCACCAGGTGACCGAAGTCATCAAGCAAGGCTACGAGACGCTGAGCATCCAGGCGAAAGAGGGACTGGACACTTGGGACAGGTTCCGGGAGGCAGACGAGAGGACGCTCCTGAAGAAGATGGCAAGGACGTCCGTGGGCGATGTACGCGTCATGATAGAGAGACAAATCCAATGACGCAAAAGTCAGCTGGCGGACCGTCTGCCTTGTTCAACGCACGCTGCAGCCTTGCGACGACGCGGGGGTGCAAAGGAGTGGCTCATCCTGCTGCCTCGCTTGTTATTTCGTACTCGTCTTTTGACCTCGCTCAGGCTGAGAAGCGAACTGTCAGGGGCGCAAAAGCTGTTGGCCGATTGAAGTGGTGGAGCTGATTCACAGCCTGGAGGCTCGCGAGCTCAAGAGGCAAGACATGACGGGGCAGACGGCCATCTACACACCACACAATGACACACAGGCCCGTGGCCTTGAGATGGGCATTTTGTGCACGCTGGTCTGCTCGGTGGATCAGACCATGGGCTAAAAACAGACGGCGGCGGGACGGGAAGACAGTATCGTTTCTTTTTCCTCTCACTAGAGGCGAGGAGCTGTGCTTGTTCCAAGGCCAAGAAGGAAAGAAAAGGGACAAAAGAAGCAAGCAAGCACAGGTTTGCTACGGCGGTGAAGGGTCCCGTTGTCTGCGCCGAGGCGGGTTGCGGAGGCCAACGACAGCCATGCCGCTGCAAGTGTGAGCACACAGACGCATGGTCACGCCCTCACACACGGCGACAGATGATGGCCAGAAGGATTTGGCATGCGGGTTCTGGACAGAGGCACACACATGCAGACATTCCCCGCAAGCGAGCAGGACCGAAAGGCTGGGCCGGGGAGCGGTTCCGGAGCGGGCGAGGGGGCTGCCGAGCGAGAGGAATAGGGGACCTGGTGGTGGACGGCATGCATGACGAGGAAGGAAAAGAAAGCAAGGGAGAGAGGGAAAAGAAGAAGGAGAAAAACCAGGCAGAAAATGACGTGTTACAAAAACGGGCTCACGATGCAGCGCAGAGTGCGCACAGACAGAGGCAAATGACGGTTCCGGCAGTGGCGACTCGAGACTCGTCCCTGCGGCGACATGCATTATAGTCTATTATAAACGACGCCTGGCGAGCAGGAGACTCAGTCAGTCGATGGATGGAGCACAGCCTCGAGGATGGAGGGGAGGGAACACTCTGGTGGGAGCCGATGCAGAGAGGGCGAGCTCGGAGCCGGGAAGGCCCCTGACCGTCTTGCTCTGGCGTGGCGGGGCGTTGCCCCTATTCGTGCCTCCTCCGTCTCGTGCCTCCGTCGTCTCGTCCTCCGCCGTCTCGTCCTCCGCCGTCTCGTCCTCTTCCTCTTCCTCTTTTTGCCATGTCTGTCGGTCACACCATATGGCATCGGCCAACGTGTTGCAGCATGCAAGAAAAAAAAAACGAAACAGGATCCGCCGAGTGGTTTTAATGCGTCCACCGGTTGATGCAGGGATGTGTGTGTGTGTGTGTGTCTAGCTGTCTCTCTGGAAATGCACGCATGCATGCATCCTCCAGACACAGGCAGGCTGTACATGAATAATTACATGTGGACATGCATTTTGCCTACTGTGTTCGTGATAGCTGGTGTCCAGCTGGATGGATATATAGGTGAGCATATACTGTATATACTGCATACGGTATGTACGCATGATGATGATGATGATGCTACGTGTAAAAAAAAAATCTGCCCCAATCAAGGCGTGCCACATCAAAGAAAGCTGGGGTATTTTGCTCCTGTCAAAATTCTGTTTCATGCGCCTCCCGTTGGCGTGGGACAAGGTCGTTTCACCACGCGGCATCGGGCGAGAACCGTGCGCCGTTTTGACCACCTGCGCGAGTCCGAGGAAATTCGACGTGTCAATGCATGAGTGATGAGTGTTGGGTTTTGGGGTCTTTGGGGTCTGGGTCTGTCTGCGCGGACCAGCGACATTGGGGGCGCGACTCGAGCCATACATACCTACTATAATTACATATACTATCCCGTAATAACGTATATACCGTAGTACAGTATACACATACACATGCACACACACGAGAGAGAGAGAGAGAGAGAGAGCCATCTCCAACTAACTGCATGTCCTAACCTATACTGTACTACTCCGTACTTGCTGCATGCACCCGCATCCATCCATCCATCCATCCATCCATCCATCCATCTCCAGGCCAACCAACAACGCACCTTTTGCAGAAAAAAAGGTTGGCAAAGAAAGGGCCCGCCCGCCCGCCCGGCCAAATGGTCGCTTCGTCTCCTCCCTCCTCCTCCAGGCATCTCCCTCGCAAGTGCTGTGGGGGAGAATGGGTCCATGGGGTCCTCGGCTTTGTGGCCACGCCGCCATCTGGCCAGGTCAAGGGCTCCTCGGAGAGAGAGGCTCGACAGCGGTGGTCTACCCTGGCTCGACCCCTTTTTCTTCTTCTCTTCAGCCGGGCCAAGCGCTCGTCGTGTCCAAGGAACAATCCTGTCGAGCCGTGGGAGGCCGAGGGAGGAGGGCCTCGGCGGCCGCCTTGTGTGTGTCAAAGGCGACGATGGACGCTGCAAGTCAGTCGGACTCCATCGTCACGATAGCACCCGCGCCATCAGGGTTCTTCCCCTCTTTCCAAGGCCGAGAGTCCAGGCCTGCACCTCGAAACTCTTTCTCTTCGGCTCCACCCGGTCATCATCTGATAACCGCTCGATGCCGGATGCAAGGCGGATGCAAGGCGGATGCAAGGCGCCTAATCATGGGCCAGACACGGATGATTCATCAAAGTCCAGTTGGCGCTTCTCGGCCATGCCATGGACGACCATCTTCGACACAGCCAACAAACTGCCTGCCTGTCTGCTCGTTGGGTGGGTGGGTAATGCAGCATTTACAGTAATAAAATAAATGTGCTTTCTTCTTCTCCCTCGTTGAAAAGCACCACGCAACTTGGCTGCTCCAACTAACTAACTAACTAACCACCTACTACCTACATAGACAACCACCAGCCAGCCCCAACGTGCCGCGTGTATGCTCCGTGTGCTCCGTGTGTACAGCGCCAACGGCGTTTAAACGCTGGGCAGCCTGAGACAAGATCCATCCATCCAGCAAAGACGTTCCCATGGGCGGCTCCAACCGTTCTGTCTACTCTACTGCAGTTGTCCAGCTGTATTCGTAGTCCACTGTAATTAATATAGTCTCCGGCACCTCCTCTCCCACCGACCGGCTATCCCGATGGTTCTCTTGTTGGCGCGGCCGCCGATCATTGGGCCCAAGCCGGTGGGACTTGGCCCCCATGCCCCCTTCTTCCCGCCTCCCCAAGGCCCTGGGGCGAACCCGGCCCGTCCTTTCTTATTCTCGTCTTAGTCCCTTGGCCAACCCGCGCTGTTTAGTCCGTCATCGATTGTCGTACCATTTACACGCCGAACACTGTTAGCGCTGCTGGTCTACCGGCAGCTATACGAGCAGGCCCAGATTTGCGGGCCGGGGGCTGGTTCGGCGTCGGCCGGGGGCCGCGTGTGCGCGCTGAGGCATAAACTGGAGTCGACGTCTGATTCATATCCCATATCGCCAAGGCATAACTCGAGTTGTAGATGGCTGGAACAGACATCTCGACTCTTGCCGCAGCAGCCCGTGTCAGTTGGCATTGGCTGACGGGCGTGGCAGGGCAATCTCGCTTCATCCATTGTGTGCCCAACTGGATCCTCTCAGCAGGGATCTCGTCGAGCCTGGCTCCTATCCATCCCGCTGTTCCGTTGTTCCGAGTCACGATGGAGCGCCACTGACAAAGACGCCATCCAGACGCCGTCATCCGTCGAGTTGCGTCGTGTCCAGCAAACAACATCCGGACCCCCGGGGACAGACAGAGGAGCAATATATGGACTGATGCCGAGTCCGTACATCACCGTTCGTTGCCTGCCTCCCAGCATCGTGTGCTCCGTGCCCGCCGGGGCTGGGGAGCCTTCTCGCTCGGCTCGGCGCAGCACCCAAAGCTTTATGTACACACAGCACCCTGTCTCCCAGACGATCCCTTGAGCCGTGCACGCACATCCCGGTCCAGCATCTCCAGACCGAGATTGGGGGAGTGTGGGGATGGAAGAAGCCGAGATACGTGTGCGGTGACGAGAAGAAGAAAAACCGGAGAAGCAACGTGACTCGAGCGACATGCAGTCTAATAGTCAGCACCCGGAGATGGGACACGGCGTGTTGGCCGCGCGGTTGGTTCGTACAAGGACGCGGATGCCCGCACATGGGAATATGATGGCCGCCGGCGTGGATGTTGGCTCTGTCCCCTTGGGACACCCGTCACAGGGAAATGCCCAGTTTCCGAGGCCCCTGGAGCCTCCTGTTCCATTTCTGGGGGCCCGACGTTGCATCTGCTGTACACAGCAGACCAGTCCAGCAAGGATAGACTACAATGCCTTGTCCGTAACGTGCCTCTTGTCCATGGTGGATGAGCTTTGTCGCCGCAGCCAGGCTCTCTCTCCTCCCGGGCAACCTCGACGACGGCGGAGCCGAAAGATTGCCCGGGGGGTTTGCTCGGACGCACCTGGATCTTGCAGCCCTCGGCTGGCTCCAGGTGTCGTACATGCGGAGCCACCGGCGACGGGGGATGGGGGGAGTTCAAGCAGAGAGACACGGGACGGCAGGGCAAAGCCGGGGAGAGAGAGAGGACGCAAAGGGCAGGGGGAGAGACACAGCAGGGCCGGGGCCATGATTGCGGCTCTCCAGTTCCCCCCCCGTATCTCCTCCGTCCATACCTACAGTCTACGGTCTACAGTACAGGCACGCAAACGACGACGTCGTCAGGGCCAGGGGCGGCGGCGGCGGCGGCGATAATGCACGCGCTGCCCCGATGGGACAACGTCTTGCATGCCAGCGGGCCGTAGCATTAGCTTGGCCTCCCATGTGCGAGAAGCATGACACGTTGGTTACAGCCAGTCTACGCCTCGTCGTCGACGTCGTCGTCGTCGCATCTGGCCATAGGGCCGGCCGGAGTGCGCACTCCCGTATGGGACAAGAGGTGATGAGGCCGACAGGGGTCCGGCGTCTACATATACATATGGGCATATTATCTCCGAGCATGTGCCCTCGTCGGCCGCTCCAACGGCGTGGGAGGGAGGCGAGAGCAGAGGCTTGCTGGGCTGCGATACCCCCCCTGCTCATCGGCAGCGAGGCC